TTCGTGCTTTCGGAACAAGAGACCAATTAATCGTCTAGACTTTAAGACGTTGGAGCATCAAATATGATACAATCAGCTTATTTCTCCAGTTGATAATGCTGAAATCATTCGACCTCTTCTCAACTGTTATGACTGTAGTATATATGGATGCGAACCCGAGGGCGTGGCACACGCATTGACAAGCATATGTGGCTCCTACCCAAGTTCATTGTTGTTCACACTCTGCTGCAATGACTTTTTACTGTACAAGTACCCTCATGCTTATTCCATCAACAAAATCTTCATCTCTAAGGAGAGCTCTTACCATCGCTGGGTAGTCGTCGGGTATGAAAATGTCCACCTATCCACTATGCGCTTATAGGTACATAGCTGGCTAGGTATTTAAACTCATGACGGAGATTCCTCCTATTTGAGACAAGTTTTAGTGATATTATAATAAACAACTAACCCCTAGGGCTATCGCCAGATTCGCCACGGATACAGTTAGAGTCTGGTTTGGCGACCATAACCAGGCCGACTATTCCGAATAAACAGCGGATACCTAGCGTTGGCCTCTTGTAGGTCATAGCCCTGGAGCTTTGACGACTAGGATCCTATGATAAATGACCCTGGTCTGACATCAACCAAAGACTAGGTACCTAGCGTTCGCTGAATCAGCACATATATTTACCTAGGTAGGCATTGTTATACATTCTCAGTGTTGAGCAGACTGGCTGACAAATCCAGGAGTTATTTACGTCCCAATCATCCTAACTAATACTGGAGATATCGAGCTACAGTACTTGCCGGCAGGTTGGAAGTATAACTGCTGAAATTCTAGGTAGGTCATATACTGACTACTAGGCTTGTAGGCAGATACCACCATAACATTCGCATTACCCCATATGCCGGTTGTACTAATAAGTAATACGTTCAAAGCTTCTAGTCCTCGTAAAGCAGCGTCTCATGTTGCCTCATTTACGACCTACATCTTGGGGGCTGGATGACGTGGACCTGTTACGGCACGTTCCCACGTATGATTGACATCTCTTGCATGCCACAGGTACTGCAGAAGCATATCGAACCCACCATTCTAAGCATTCCTTGTCTGTATACCTACTGAGAAACTCAGGTATCAATTGGGGTGATGCGAGGTCGTCGATCCATCGTTCAGCACCTGGACATCCTCCCTGTGCCCGTATACGACACCAGCACAATCTAAATCATCACTTATATTGTTGTTATGCAACGGCTTTTGCATGCAAACACCGTATTACGTAGCGTCTTTTAAGAGGACAGTCTTATTTCGCTAATATTCAAGCGTATTTTATAGTATATCTAATACAATCCCGTGCGATCACCGAGGTAGACCCCGTACTTGCTGACTGCCACGCGACACGACGGCATAACTAGTGGCAGTCTCCTATTTCTTCGGCGCTCATAATAGTCTTTCGTCACCGATACCTCGTGCAGCTCGGTGACTTGGTAAACGCCGCAACGGCCCGCAATATTGGGGCAGAAGGACTAAGACCTGAGCCTTTTTTGAGGCACCGGGATCAAGTTGATCTAGGTTCATCTGACCTTGGGGCACAGATACTAGATCCGTCACAGCACGGGCTTTGATTCCCAGTTGCACACATATATATATACTAACTATAGGTACTAACCTAGGAGTAAGCGAATCCATAAGAGGTGGGTTACATGCGAAAAGGAGGCGTCAAGACATTGTTGTCAATTTTGACAGCTCGCGTGGGCGTTAGCCCTACGAAACTACCTACATTACCAGCTAGCACGGGGGATGTTAGTCTGAGAACATATCGTCCCCGTCTTTCTCAAGTGTGATTACATGGGTAAGTAAGTTAGATCTATTGTACATAGGTAAGTATGGATGTAATCTAAAATCACATCAGCCAAGTATTTGACATCCACACCAATGCCTTCTCGGGCCGCCTCCAGCAGTCAGACAGACGCGGGGGGTTAGAACTTACTGACATTTTGACTTCGCTAGGATTAGATACATATGTTTCTGGCGAATATATGTGTCATACTTGGGGGGTAAGTAACCATCCCTCGTTATCTTGCCTCGGCGGGTACTCCCGAGGGAAGACGTCTGTCGGGTTTCTTCCCATGGCTTGGCCTGTTGGTGCCAACAAAGCACGCACGACATTATCTGCGTCAAGATCTTATCGTAACAAGCGATGTGAGCATCAGCATCTGAGATACTTTTGTAAGTGGTCTGATCTTTGCTTTATGTACTACCTATATTTGAACTTCATACATCCATAGCCTAACAGGTAACTGAGAAGTGACGAAGTTAACCTCCCAAAGTCATGACTGTTATATTCTCTACTCACCTAGGAGTTATCATATATGCAATCACCCTGGGCTCACATCTGCGTAGAAACATATTAGATAAATGTATCTATCTACCTAGATGTCCACCCAAGTAACCGAAACATACGCCCCCTACAGTAATGTGTCATGAGGGTGGTCAGCCAAGCCCTAGGTTTTCTGAGCTTCCCGATCTTCGCACGACAGCCCTACAGAAGAACCCCCATCGTCGACTAAAACGGTTCCGAACGCGAGGAAAGATATTACAGCCAGACCCCGTTAGGGTCATCCTATCGGCGATATATTCACTTGAATATCTCTATCTACGCCGCTTTCGCTTTCGCGATCGACGACCTACCTACCTATGTATCTTAGGTGGGTGGTCAACCTTCTGTTTCCTTGCACAACAAGATGGCAAACCATCGTGACTTGTCGTCGGCGCCAATCTCGCTAACCATAATACACTAAAATGGTGACATCCTCACCTACGAGAACCCCTACCTGCTGTCACTCAGGTTCCACAGCCCGTCAGCCTACCCCCTACCTATCTAAGCTAGGGGATGCTAGCTCGTCTTACGAAGAAAGAATATCACCAATTTGTTCCTTCTCTCAACACCAGCAACTTGAGCCACGTGCCACGAGCCATGATACCCTCCCCATATATCATCTCCCCTACAGTACTTCCCTTCCGACAGAAGGCCGCCATAAGCCAACTAGTGCTGTATAGATACCCAGTATGTGTTATCCAGCTGTGACGACCTCAGCCATTTCCCAAAACTAAGTAAGCGCCTCCGATATCAGAACCCCATGTGCGCTACCTAGTAGACTACCTAGGTATCGTGGACTATTTCTCGCCAGACCCTTTTGCCTCGTACTGGCACTCGGAGGCATACTACTATCTCAATATGCCTACCTACCTACCTACCTACCTGGGTAAACTGCCTCTGTATACTACCTTTGTGTAATGCACTCGGTGTTTCTACCTAGGCATCTTCGCCATCCTAGAGAACCCTAGCCACGAGAGATCGCCTGCTGGAGCGAGATACGGCGAGATGCGACGAGATTAGGTTGCTTGCTATGATATACCGAGGTTGTACTGACAGTTCCGGTTCTCGATGCTGTGGTAGGGGCGACAAAGATATATCGCTGTTTCTCTACCTAGGGCCAATCCTATAGACCTTCTGGAGGTAGCTTGGTACACATCGGGGATACCTAAACCGAGGTTCCCACACATCCAATATCATACGGAAGGTCGTCGTCGTCTTAGACCTGCACGAGGCTGGCTGGCTCCTATATATACCTAGGTACATAGGTAGCTAGCTATCACATGTCGACCCGAGGGATCGGTTACACTGCCCCAATCTTATGCATCGGTTAAGCATAGCATACCTAGGTAGTTAGGTACATATTGCCCCTTTCGTATCCCTAAGGGTTTTCAGCTCAGAACTACATGACGAAAATCTCCCGATGTAGGTAGATACCTACCTACCTAACCTAGGTATGAACACGAAATGGCTCGCATACATACATACATACGTACATACCTGCCGCCCGTGACACTGCAGCTACAAGCTGTGTGCCACAACAAAGCCACTCCCTTCGCGAAGTGCGGGGATCTGATAAAAAGGGGAAAGGGGGGCAAGGGAAACGACGAAGCTGAAGCTGAAGCCAAGAATGTTGTATCATCATCTTCCTTCCTTCCTTTCTTTCTTTCTTTCTTTCAGCATCGCGGGTTCAAATGGAGATGGATGCGTTTGTCGCCGCACAATTTCTATCCCGTTGGCATCGGATCCTAGATCACCGTCACCCGTCACCCGTCTGCCGGTCTCTGCCTGATCTCTGATGATTAGGCACCTACTTATTTCTTAGGTACATACAGACATACATACATACGTAGGTAGGTATGTGCGAATGTGCCTCTGTGTGTAAGGTATCCATCCATCTATCTACCCAGGTAGATAGATATAAGGGCCCGACAAAGGGTAGGTAGATACCTACGTAAAGCAAGGCAAGTAAAAGAAAAAAAAAAGAAAAGAAAACTACCCAACAACAGGCGCATGCGAAAGCACTCGCAGGCTCCTTCTCCGTTTCCTTCCTTCCCTCCTTCCCCCCTTCCCTCCTTCCATCCAAAACATACAATTTAATAATTAGTGCGTGGGATATACAGGAAGAAAGCGTACAAACCTACCTATCTACCTAGGTTAGCTAGCTAATAGCTTTTCCTTACCTACCTACCTACCTACCTACATACCTCCTTCGTAGGCACCCAGATAAACACCTCCAGTGCTTACATGAACCTACATAGCCTACCTAGTACCTTACTTACGTATCTAACCTAACCTAGTAGGTAGCTGAAAAGGATCCCGTTCCATCCACATCGTTTCGTTTCCTCGTAGAAAAAGCGCCTACTGACCTGAGTACCTAGGTAGCTATGCAACTACCTACTAGTCTGACCTAGTCCTGTCTGTCTGTCTGCATCAGCTTACCCGTTGTAGCCGGTTAAGTATTGGGGGGGTTTCTTTTTTCTTTTCAGCTGGCATCAGAGTCGGATGATGTTCTATTTTCTGGCCTTTTTTTTTTTTTGGGTAGCCCAGCTGTGACGAACATCATTACCTATGTAACTACTTACCTAACCTACCCAATAACTCCTACATCGGTAACAGGAAAAACAAATGATAGATCACGTACATACATAGCGTTATAGCATAAGCAGAAAGAAAGAATACCTACCTACTGTAGAGAACGAGTCAACGGGACATTTATTGTTTTGGGGTGATTAGGTAGGTAATTGATCGATTGATTTCATCTCTGAAGCGTCAAAAGTCCTCCCCCCTCCCTTCACCCTTCATCCATATTGCTCATGAGGTCAACTGAATAATCAATCCTTTCCCTTCCCTAAGAAAAAAAACATGATTACTCGAAAAAGAAAACTCCACAGAAGAAAAAAAAAACGCCAACTTCGCCAGAACGCATGAACCTAGGTACACATTGATTGGTATCCATATGACATCAAGAGACGTTACCGCGTGACTTATGTAGCCAACTGACTTGACTGACTGACTGAACGGAAAGATAAACTCGAAAAAAAAAAGGCAAAATCCCTCCCCAAACCAACCGACTATCTCCGCCGGCCGTAAAGTAGAGTAAGATTGGATTATCATAGCATAGAGTCACCCTGACTATGGATACCGGAGAGTCCCTCACTACGTTCCTCCTCCATCATCTCGATCAGGTCATCAAGGCTCGAGTCCAAGTTCTCCGCAGCCTCGGGATCGAGGCACTGCTTCAGCAGCCGTCGGTACTTGTCGATCTTCTCGACGTTGCCGGCGGCAGCCAGAGCATCTACGTACTCTTTCTCGACGCCTCGCTGCTCCTCGACGAGCTCCTTAAGCTCCTGGGCCAGCTTCATTCGCTCCTCGTAAGAATCGTCCCCTTCGCCGTTCATCATAGATAGGATTTGGTCGACGGACGTTTTGACGTGGTACCGGCTTTGAGTTGCGAGGAGAGAAAGGATTTGCTGCTGTAACATGGCGGCGTCGCCAACGGTTTTGGAAGCCGACTCCGGTGACTCTAGCTGCGAGTTGAGCTCTCCGATTTGTTCACGAACTACGGCCAGTTCGTTTTGAGTGTTTGCATAGATACGGCGGGCCTCTTGTTCAGCGTCGTTCTTCTCTTTCCATTCTTCATCGTAGATCTGGGCAAAGTCCTGGATTTTATCTATTAACATTGGAGTAATATTACTCTGGAATTTCGTCGCGGCCTCAGAGCTAAACGAGAGAGCGTTTTTATTAAGCAACTCGGCAAGAGAGTCGCGGAAAGATACTTGGCGTTGGGATTCAGGCGCGAATGGCGACGATGAACGCTGCGGTAGCCGCTCCTTGGGATTCTTTGTAGCATTCAGTTCCTTGATCAGATCTTCTGCTCGGATTCCTTCAGCGTTGGGGATGTCTGTGGAAGCACCACGACCTAGGAGGGCTCGGATGCATTTGCGGGCCTTCGACTTGGCTGCTAGATGTAGCGCGGTGTTGCCGGCATGATCTTGAGCATCAATGAGGTGCTGAACAAGGTTCGGGTCATATGTTTCCTGTAGCTTGTTGAGAAGATTGTCCAAGTAGTAGCGGCAGCAAGAAGTGCTTGTAAGTCGGCCGCTCATGTTGGTGGCCGCATGATGAATGACGGTACATCCCAAGTCATCGCGTTGGTCAATGGTGTCCCATAGTTCCTTCATAACGACTGGGAAGGTCTGTTTATCGTAGCAGTTGGTGAAATTAACAGATCGCATGAAGGGGGTCTCGCCCTTGCGATTTCGTACACCTAGGTTCGCCCCAAATCGCTTCAACTGCTTGATAACATCCACATCGCCCATGGAGCTAGCCCAATGGAGAGCAGTATGCTTCTCTGTATCGATCGGCCAGTCGGGTTGGAAATTAGGAGGGGGCTCGGGACGGAAGGTGGGAGTCTCTTGGCGAGAAATAAGGAAGTAGTCGAGTAACTCATCGCCATAGACAGCGTGTTGTTGCTCCGTGAGATCTTGTATGGCCTCCTCGCGCTTTCTCTTGTTACGGCTATTAGCAGGACCAGTAGGACCGGGAGGGCCAGTAGGGTAATGCGCCACATCATGGCGATCATCTTCAGCCATGTAGGACACCGAGGCGACAGTAGCGTTGTCGGGCGTATCGTCCTCGTTAAGTTGCTGACTGACACTCTCAATGTCTGAAGGGGGCGGGGGAGCACCTGTATGGGACATCTTAGCAATGGGCAAATATGAAATGGAATAGTTGAGGAGGAAGGTTCAGACCTTTGCCCCATTTTGGTACAGCAGGCTTCCTAGGTGCCTTAGGTTTACTGGTATGGCGGGGTGCTGGAGGAGGACTTTGGTTGCCTGGTGTAAACTCGAATATGAGGCGAAGGCGGTCGTAAACGTTGTTTCGCCGCGCGAGTTGTTCTCCAGCCTCTAGAGGTATCCAGGTACCTTGATATTTTCCATAGCCACCTTGAATCTTTTCATGTACGTCCTTCTGGACCTCGCGCTCGAGGATTCTAGTTCGAGCAGGCTTATCGAAACCTGCGGCCTTCAGTATGTGCGTCGCATTGATCCAATTGTCTTGTCTTCGCCGCATAACATGTTCCTTGAGGTCTGCGCCAAACTGGAATTCGTAAACGGGAATCTGTCGTCCAAGGTTATCAGTTTAGGGTTCAGTGGTTACGGCGAGTACTAAGTCACGAGTGGACGGGGTGGATGGAGGATGGGCAATGAGGATCGATATCATAAGCAACAAGTATATTATTCGCTTGCGATAGACAATGCGATTAATGTGGAAATGTACATACACCACTATATGTTGCACTGTATATGCCAGGGCCAGGACCAGCAGCAGCAGGAGCTGCGACAACAGCGTCTTTAGCCATGACGACGGGTTTGGGCCCAATCGGGGCCAAATCAATTGGAATGAGTTAGGAAGGCCGAAGAAATATTATATAAAATGTGAAGAGTAAATTTTTGTGAAGCGTATGATTATGCAAGATTGCACCAAAGAGATTGAAATAGACTTAATATGGATTTTCAATATTTTCAATTAAAATACTCGCATCAATTCATAACGAAAAAAGAGACCTTGAAGGATTCGAAGTAGTGGTGATAGTGGTGGTGGTGATGGTGATGGTGATAGGTTGCGATAATTGGGCAGACCGGGGGTAGGATAGTTCAGACTCAATCAATGTTAGTTAATTGTAGAGGAAAGTTTGATGATTGTGTAAGAATCGAGGCTACAAAGTGCAGGGTTGAATGGCTGAATCGTACTAAACTAACAATCCAAGCCGAATAATCAGGCCAAGCGCCCTTTTTCTTCGACTTAAAAGACGCGCAAACGCGAAAAGGGTAGTTAATATGAAAACGACGCGGTACACGCGTAAATTGAATATGTGTGGTCATAGCTCCAAACTTTACCCTATCGATAACCATATACTACTGACCTAGTACATATGTAGTAACTAAGTTACCTAGGTCTAAAACCATGAATTTTATTTATGCCACTTTTTATGAAAACCACTAACCATCATCATCTGACAAATGACAAATAATTCATGATGGAATTTCATGACGGAAGGGAGAGAGAAGATCAACAGGAGCAAACTGCGCATCATCTGTCGATTAAGCCACACAGTGCCGAAATACAAGAATTCCAAGTCAAGGAATATTGAAATATCACAACAGATGATAAAGCTATCTCCTGTTCACAATTCACAATGTTTTATTATACCTCATGGATGATAGATCCTATATCATTTTCAACTTCGCTTGCCCTTCATCATGAAAACATCTATCCATTTCACCGCCTTTGGGTTGGTCGGTTCAATGTTAGAAATTAACATGCCTCTTTTACGCAATCCCCTTCCATCTCCGAAGTGGAATTCCTGGTCTGAGATCCATCCCTGTGGGTGATCATAGATTTTTTGATGCCATTATTGTCGTAGAATATGGCATTTCACTGCCCTTTCGTTAGCATGATCCTCTCGCGGGCTCTCTAACATTCCCATCTTGAATCCACCAGGTGACCATGCCTGAACCAACTGTTCTATAGACCCCCGTGAACAGCATCGAGATTTCTTGTAGTAGCATTGTGAGTTCTCCTGTCATACCTGAGAAAATATACTGCATTGCCACAAGCCAGCTTGCTACCCATAGCTGCTGAATGCCAAACTTCAAAATAGTCCTCACAAGGTTAAGGGCTCTTTTGGAACCCGAGGAGTCTACAGCCCCTAATATTGCACATGGAAAGGAGAACAGGCAGCCATTGGCACCCAAAATAGCTCTCCGCTATCCCATCTCCCGGAGGGATCTAAGGAGACTGTGGAAAGTCTTGCTGAAGGCCGTCGGCTGGCACTAATCTCCCCTCCAAGGGCGAAACACCTCCCTCCCGAGCGACGTCAAAGTTATACCTGCCCCTGATTGCGTTGCTGTTAGCACACGGTGCCAACACAACCGCCATCCCAGGTTACTACGACGCTCTGCCGATTTGTGTTGCGGAGAGGGAAACGACCAGGTGATGTGATTATGGATGATCTCCTGGAAGCAGGATCCTACCCATCAATATGGCGGATAACAAGGTAGGTGGTGGACAGTGGCAAGGATGAGTTTGTGAGCCTCCTATGTAGTTATGCGTTATATGTGAAGTAGAAGTTGATTGGATGATGTCCCCTTTTTACTACCACGAAAAAAAAGCCGGCTAGTCTGTGGACCAATGACGCAAGTAGATTCAAACCCGATTGGGAATATATCTAGCTAGATGAGCTATAACGTAAACTTATATGTGTAGGTACTAAGGTTAGAGAGGTACTGCTAAGCAGGTAGAAATGTGAAATTTCGCAATGCTTTTTCTCCGTATTCTGGCTGCATAACAGTAGAATATGTATTAGAGGTGGTAAGATTCTTCGTTGGCGATTGCGTGATCGGGATGACTACAGTACATACATGATACATCATCCATGGATATCTTGATGTTTCATCCGGCTTTGCAAGTACGACTGTAGGCGATGTTGTCTCTTACCCCGCTCGTTGTAAAAAGTTCCAGTGGGGGTTTCTAGTGCGAGTCAGATTTCTAAAAGCTTCCAAGCTTCCGAATCCGACATCCAAACTGTTCATAAAGCTCTTGTTATCTTCTGTACTCTCCCGGCTTCTATATCCGTGGACTTGAGGCGGTAATAAGGATCCTAAATCCGGAATTGGAGTTTATAAAAGACAGAGGGGTTACAGAAGTTGAGAAACATCCCACTACCTTCAAACTCGTCCAATACAACCCAATTATATTCTCCAAGAAAGCCTCAATATGCCTTTAATCGCAGCAGCTCCGCAAACCCGTGTCATCCTGGGTCTGATGACCTTTGGAACGGATGAGACTGCTGGCGCTCGTATAACCGATATCAACGAGTTCAACAAGTGCCTGGACACCTTTCAAGCTCGGGGCTATAACGAGGTTGACACGGCACGAGTCTACGTTAATGGCCAACAGGAGACCTTCACGAAAGAGGCCAAATGGAAGGAGCGTGGACTGACACTTGCCACCAAGTTCCATTATCCCGCCCAGGATGGGGCCAATCAAGCAGCTAAGGTTGTTGATAGTTTGGAAACGAGCCTGAAAGAGCTCGGTACGGACTGTGTTGATGTGAGTCATTGCCTAACTTGAGCTCCGAAACTTACGCTTGTGCTTTGCCGTGTTTCCTTGTTTGCTTGAATGCCATCTATACTGACAATTACTATTGTAGATCATCTACTTGCACGCAGCCGACCGCGCGACACCTTTCGCTGAGACACTCGAAGCAGTAGACAAGCTACACAAGGCGGGCAAATTCGTACGATTCGGCATCTCTAACTTCACGGCTGCCGAGATAGCGGAGGTAGTGCTGACGTGCAAGTACAACAATTGGGTGCGGCCTACAATCTACCAAGGCATGTATAACTGCATTACGCGAGGTATCGAAGCCGAGCTGGTCCCGGCATGTCGGCGATACGGGCTAGACATCGTGGTATACAACCCGATTGCGGGCGGCTTGTTCAGCGGCAAGATCCGCAGCATAGATATCAAACTCGAAGATACCAGCCGATTTGGCACGAAGGGCAACACAGGTGCCAACTATCGTGGACGGTATTTCAAGGAGAGTACATTTCGAGCCTTACAGACGGTGGAGAAGGCGGTGGAGAAGCACGCGGGTCTGACGATGATCGAAACTGCTCTGCGGTGGATAGTGCACCACAGCCAATTGAAAATCAAGAACGGCAATGACGGTATTATTATTGGCATCAGTTCGCACGACCAGCTCGTTAGCAACTTGGATAATCTGGAGAAAGGCCCGCTGCCAGAGGATGTGGTGACGGCACTAGATGAGGCATGGAAAATCGCGAAAGCAGATGCACCTAACTACTGGCATAAAGATTTAGTGTACAAGTATGACACGCAAGAAGCGTTATTTGGGACCAATGCGAAATAAAATAGGTACGGATATGGAAGGATGATTGAATGGAATCAATGGATGACATTGGATGTACATACCTGCACACACAATACATGTGTGTATGTATGCACATAGATTTAGATTGAGCAAGTGGGTATTACCGTATAATGTCGTGTTTCAGGATATTACTTTCGGGTACTATTGCGTAGACTTTAAAGGGGTGATGATCGCTGGAGAAAATGTCGTGAGTTCGTATTCTTCCACAAAGTTGAAAGTTTTTTTTATGAAGACAAAATAATAGTTAATGTATCGTGAGAATTCGAGAATTGTTTAGGATTAGTTCAAAGTTGGCAGTACTGTACGTTGTAGAGTTTTGGTGTTACCACATGCATACTAGGGCTGACCTTTCTTTTGCTGACACTTCCGGTTGACACATGGCACTTGACCACCCTGGGCACATTGAAAGTTTCAATGTAATGTTTATTTTAGCAGGCAATTGCAGTTACCAACTGTTGTACAATAACTACGACGTACTGAGAAACGGTTACACGGGAAGGGACTGTAAGTAAGGAGGGTAACACAAATACGTGGACCCAGGGGTTAATGTACCCGTGACATACATACATCAATACTCCAGTGACATTACTTTTGAACCTGTAGCCCGGATAGCGGCACCCAAACAAAAACATCCATGGAATTTGTAGATCTTTAAATGTTCCCGCACCAATAAAGGCACTTCAAAAAACCCCCTAATCGCCCTGAAGTACCTAACACTGGGCTAACACTGCCCCCACTGCCCCTTCTGCCCAGTCATGCCTAGCATCGCCCAGGTTGCCTACCAGGCTCCGTAGATGCCTTAGCGTGGCCCCCCTTTACGAATTACGGTACCTCATCTTGGTGGTCATTTGACGAAATTCTTGTCGTACGAATTTGTACCAACTTTCCCTAACTTTGCCTATCATAGCAGAAGCTAACGACCTAAACTTCTGCATATCTCTAATATTCTTGGTATCTGTACTATCTGTGTATTGGTTGAACGAATAGGAATCCTGACCTCAGTCTCTCTTTTTCTCTCTTTTAACATCTGCTTGCATTATTACTGTCACTAGACTCACTACTACCTACCTAGGTAACATACGTAATACCCGTTACCCGTACTTCCTATCATTAGGGTTGTATTATATTAACTCTATTATTATTCTGCTTCTTTCTTTGCTTATCCTCATCTTCTTTTTTGATGTCTCCTCATAACCCAAATAACGTACGGCTTTCCAGCATTCCTGCTCGCCTCAAACCATCGCCGCACTATTCCAAGGCAGAACCATCACCTTTGTCAGCTAGTTCTTACGGATCTAGTATCGAGGATTATATCGGAAGCGGAACTGACACCGTAGGAGGTAGAACCCCAATCTTCGATAGGCGGCTTTCTTTCGTTCAGGAGGACGACGAGGGTTCTGGACTTGACCAACTTCGCAGCCCGGGTAGATTTGATATCATTGATTCTGAATACGACTCAGACGACGACGAGAACGCAATGCCTGACCCAAAGAGACCAGCGTTCTTTCGTCCGACTGACGGTCGTTCCGTCACACCGCTCCTAAAGAAATCCGACGACGAAGACCGTGGAAGATCACGATATAACACCTCGCGGCCGACTTCGCCTCTACCTTTGCCTATCTCTACTCCAACTTCCATTGGTAGGCCTCCCACATACAACCGTCGGTCCGCATTACGGTCCCAGTCGCCAGACACGCAAGCAAAGATGGCCGTGCGCAAAAAGTACACGTATGCTGCCATATTTCTTGTTGTATCGCTAGTGTCTTTTTGCGTCCAGACAGAATTAGGTCGATATGTACAGCACGAGCTTGGTTGGGATAAGGCTTACTGCATGCTTTATCTAACACACGGATCGTGGGCGCTTCTGTGGCCTGCCCAACTTTTGATCTTGCGCGTCCAGAAATGGAACATGCCTTGGTCGGCTTTCTGGAGGAGACACGTTTTCCTGCTCCGCTCCACCGCGCATATGGTCGCCCGGCAAGAGCTTGACATCCCGCGACCTATCATGCAAAGAAGCCCCGTGCCCTATCTTGTTCGTACGACGGCCTTCGTTACTACTGCTCTTACCATCGCCGGTTTGAGCTGGTACGTCGCCGTCAGCATGACCACTGCGAGTGACCTCACTGCTATCTATAACTGCTCTGCTTTCTTCGCCTACGCCTTTAGTGTGCCCTTGCTCAAAGAGAAGCTACGTCTCGATAAATCAATTGCCGTCCTGGTAGCCATCGCTGGTGTCTTAGTCGTAGCATACGGAGACTCAAGCGATCCAGGGCCCGACAGAGATGTTGATACCGAGTCCAGTAGGCGATTTCTAGGTAACCTAATCATTGGCGCCGGGAGTGTCCTGTATGGACTCTACGAGGTGCTGTATAAGCGATGGGCGTGTCCGCCTGAAGGCACCTCAGCCATACGCGGCATGATCTTCGCCAACGCCTTTGGTAGCTGCATCGGCGCCTTCACTCTCCTAGTTCTTTGGGTTCCGCTTCCAATCCTGCATGTCCTAGGTTGGGAAACGTTCGAATTACCTACGGGACAGGCGGCATTCTACCTCTTTATATCGATTATCATGAATGCGACGTTCGCAGGAAGTTTCTTAGTCTTAATCTCGCTGACGAGCCCGGTGCTGAGCAGTGTGGCGGCGCTATTAACCATCTTCATCGTAGCCGTCGCCGACTGGCTAGTCATGGGGCAATCGCTGAGTGGCTCAGCCATCGGTGGTGGGTGCATGATTGTTGTCGCGTTCTTGATGCTAAGCTGGAGCACGTGGCGCGAAATGACACACGATGCCGAGCGCAAAGCTTCTGTTGATACCACAGCACCCGTGGACTGGAGTAGCGATGATAGTGACAAGGATACAGATCGGTTAGATTAGACTACCAAACTTCGTCGTTGGTATTCTATGCGATTTCTGTTTCTCTGTCTCTGTCTTATCATTCTTTCACAAATCTCTTTTCATATTTTCTATTGTGTAATGGGCTATATGTACCATGTGTATCAGCATCGGCCTTGCATGGGTTTCCAATTCTATTAGAGCGGTATTAGACGCTGGGAAGAGGGACTGGTTACATCTTACATGCTTGGTCATTAAGGAAGGTGTAATAGAAACGCGGCGGCGTGAATGGCGGCTGGTTGGGGAAAGATCATGTATAGGGGGGTTTCAAAGTTACGGATCTTCACTTCACGCTTAGTTGTTGCTAAGATCAACGAAACGCCACGGCGTTAATAAGGAAGGGGGCGCTTCAGGTTCTGGTCTGATCTAGGTACGGAAGGGTACGACTATATGTCTATAACCTACCTGGGTACAGATGCGGTTGGGTTAATTTCACGACGCCACTACGAGTTTTTGGCACTCTTACCTACTTGTCTAGGTATGTAGGTACCCAACCCTAGAAGGGGGGGGGCGGGGAATCCATACATGTTATATACACAGAAGAACGGCGCATTGGGGGTCGGTCCCATACATAGGGGGGCGTTTGGGGTTACCAGCTAGAAATAAGGGGCTCGCATCGTCGGCCGAAGCTCGTGGATTCAAGCGTCACTGTAGACGTGTACCTTGTATCCATATGAATATCAGTGTTGCAATTGCATTAAGAAGTGCTGTTTTTGATAAAGATTTTGATCGCTTGAGTGTATTTGTTAGCTGTTCTTCCAAAAAGCCCCAACTGGCTCGATATTTTTGGTATGGAAATATGTGGGAGCTTTCAACAGTAACGGCCTCTGGTTTGCGGCTTGATGGTTGGTATAGGGGTTCCCTTAGGTAGGCACTATAGGGCATATACCAAGAATGTTATGTATATCCCCATCCCCATCCCCATCCCCGTCTTCGAATCCTCCACTACTACATCACATCCACGACCACATCCACATCCTCAACTAAACGCTTCCTTCCCATTAACCACGCGCTTCCTCCTCGGCCAAAAGCCGAGCCGCCACCGCCGCCACGACGACGAACCGATTCTTTTTTTTGTCGAAAAAAAAAAGAAAGTCACTCTTCTACCAACTCAAACGCCAAACGTCGTCGTAGGCGCCGGAGGCTCCTCGCGCATGTACAGCCACTTGCTGGAGAAGGGCAGGCGGGCGATGCCGTCGAAGGCGACGCGGACGAGGGATTGGTGGCTTTGTGCGTCGCGTCAATCAGAATGTGTGTTGATTCGGGGGGTTTTTTTTTTTCAAATTCACTCCCATTTTAATCCATTGTTTCTCATTCGTAGACAGAGATAGATTCATATATACAGGTGTCTGGGTACGTAGTACAGGTAGTTGCTGCTACTGCTGCTGCTGCTGCTGCTGCTGGGATATTGGATGTACCTAGAATGGAAGAAGGGGGGGGGAAGGTATTAATTATATACATTACACCGAGTGGGACTGTGGGAAGAAGAAAAAAAAAAGGGGGGAAGGGGAGGGGGGCAAGTACCTAGGTGCCTCATGCAGATATACATGCGGTCTTCTCCAGTGCAGCCTAGCCTCTTTCCACACGATAGAGAGATGGGGAGAAGGAGGGAGAGGAAAATGAAAGGCGGAAAAAAAAAAAAAAAAAGGACTTATACTAACAAGGTCGACTTCACGCCTCCGCCATGCCCATCGACCTCGCGCTTCGCGCCGGGGGGGTTCCCTTCGTCGTCGCACTTCACGAAGACGCCCTCGCGCTCGACCTTCCAGCCGCGGCGGGCGTTGCGCTCGAGGAACTTGACGGCGATCTCCCAGGCCTCCTGGTCCGCGGCGTCGCCGCTCTCGAACACCCTTAACGTCTCCCAGTTTCCTGGGTCCACGTCCACGTCGGGATCGGGGTCGGCCACGAAGGTCAGCTCGCGCATCAAGGAGCTGTATGACGTGTTTCGCTCCATCCACAGGTCCGCCGGGTCGATGTACTTCATCTCGTCCTCGTCCTCGAGGATCCGGTTCCCCGGCCGCGGGGTGAGTTGCACGAAAAGCCGGTCGAGCTTAGGGAGGTGCTGTAGTAGGACTTCGAAATGAGAGGATAGGGGGAAGATGGCGATATAGTTGAAGTCGATGATGGTGGGGGGCAGGAGGGGTACGTTGTTGGGGTGCTCCTCGCACCCGAGCAGGGCCCCGAGCATGGAGGGCGGTCGCCGCAGGAAGAACTCGTAGGTGCGGTAGACTCGGGTCGAGGAGCCCTCGTTTAGAAGGATGGACGTCCAGGGGCGCGCGGTGAATAGCGGACAGGCTGGGGGCTTTCTGTAGCGGGTTGCTTGGGAAGTAGAAGAAGAAGATCCCATGGCAGAAGCAGCGGCGGCTGATGACTCTGCCCCAGAAGGTGACGTGCTAGTAGTCTCAGCTGTTGGAGATGAGACTTGAAGAGCAGATAGTTGTGCTTCGAGGTGCTCTTTTGATGATCTGTCACGTGATGGCCCCCTTTTGGATCGAGCAAGTGACAGAATATGGTAGGGGATACTAAATGACCATGCATCATCCAGGAAGAGCATTCGAGACATGAACGCGGCGAGAGTGTTCGGAGGCGCGATCATGGTGAAGCGCAAAGGATCGATGACGGAGAATAGCTGATCCCATAGCCATTCCAAGTCCACGGACCTTATCTCCGGAGTGATATGTCGCGCGTCGGCTTCCTTATCTTGGAAGTCTACGACCATGGTGAAGGTCATGGCACTACGGTCCAGCCGATTGTCCTCTAGGAAGCGCAGGAGGGGTATGGGGTTCAGCGTGAAGGCACTGAGAGAGGATATCTTGGGCTTCCATAGCACGTGGCGGAAGAGGCTTGGGAGAGCCAATGTGCGCCAAGTCCTGCAGACGTAAGAAACGGTCTTGAGGCTGTGTGAAAGCTGCGGCGTGACGTCCAGCATATCACTGCTAGGTTGGTCCCGAAGTCGTACCTGGGACGGAGCCGGGCCGTCCAGGAACTGGAATATGTGCAGAAGCACCTCGGGAGGTATACGATCCATGGTAGTTCCTTGAGCGGGCTTAGCTACTCCCCCCCTGAGGTACCCGTACTTGGGGCTATCTTTCTAATTGATCTTTGAATAGGCGAGCTTGATATCTAGGTTAGGAACGTAGGTAAGTAACCTAAGGTTAGGCGATCATGATAATACTAGGTTAGTCTAGCTTTGTTGAAAATAGGTGTCGATAATTACTAAGAAATCAGAAGCTAAGGTCAAGTATCATAGTAAGAGGTTCATGTTTGAGGTTCACGTTTCGATGATTTCGATGATTTCGATGATGTCTACTACCAAATCGAGCCAAGTCTAGTCTGGGTCGCGGGGTGGGAAAACGTAGTCAGGGGTTGTGGGGTTAAGGGGCCTGTTCAACCTGTTTACAGGAATACTACCCATAATTGATATGCACTTCTACATATTATGCACATATACAGACTGCTTAGGTATACCTATGCATGCATATGTATATGCCATATGTACATTGAGTGATAAGGATAATGCCATGTAACTACTAGGTACCTAGATACCTAGTACTTAGTGTAAACTGCTGATTTTGAAAATTATCCATTGTAATCCCGAACTGTAGGCGCTGGAAGAATTGAATTTGCATGATAGAGGGTACTATGGATGCATGCAAATAATAGCCTAGGCTACAATTCTCCAACTCTCCAATACTAAGGGCTGGGACCTACATAAACTTCAGGTATACGCATCGAAAAGGACCGAGACACCAAGGCCTACAATCACATCTCCCAAGACAGATTTGCAAATGCTCAAACCATTTCGCCAACTTGCCAGTCTCGCCTACATACCTAGTAGGTAATGTAGGTTTGGATACCTTAGTAGTAGGTAACCGAGTGCGATGTTATAGCTACCACCTAGGTACTTACATATACTGTAGGTGAATGCCTTAAGCACAGATTGGGTATGTAGCTGTCAAGCAAAGTCAGCATTTACAAAGGCGGGGTGCGCAAGGGTGGAGAAGTCGGGGGAATTATGAGGATTGGAGGACGGCAATCCGATAATGGAGTTGTGGATTAATATGCTAATGGTGTCTTATAAGCGTGTCTAGCATAGTCTCATCTATAGACCAATGTCCATATCCAAAAACCTAAACTTTTAAAGTCCCACCATCCCACTATCTTAGTACTATGTAGCATGGGCTGTTACCTTTATGTTTCCCATGCTACCTACCTAGTACATCCAACTACATAGTAGGTATACATGTAGGTATATATGTAGCCTAATAATGTAGGTATAGAAACAGAAAGGGTCGTGGCTTCCCCTCGGGTAGCTTTCCCTTTTCTGTATAGTATACCTAGGTATTATGTACTAGGCAGCTACTATGTAACTATCCAAGGATATATGTATATTTCCTTACTGTGCAAGGGATGTAGGAAGTCACGATACCCCTTATTTAGGGTTACCGCACTCTCCTTGTCCAATAAACCTCCAGATGTCCGGAGCAGACTATCCCCACTTCAACTTGGCAATGGTAAAAGCCAGCAGGATAGCCGGGATGACGTTTAGTCCTTTCCCTACCTAGCTATTAAGTACCATTTTACCCCCTCAGTCCTAGATCATTCTATAATATTTTCCATTCGGACCCAGCAGGCAAAGCGGCCACTGTATCTCAGCATCTTCCCTTACTTTCACTTCTACTCAAACAGCCCATCTAACCCTGCGTCAGTCTCCGCCAGTAAAGATGCCGACCAACAAGCAACGACCACCCTTCCGTGCCGAGCACCTCGGCTCACTGCTACGCCCGAAGGAGTTGGTCGAGAAGCGCATCAAGCTTGATGAGAAGAAAGCTCTTGAGATTGCCCAGGACAAGGAGCTCCATGAACTCGAGGACAAGTCCATCGATGAGATTGTCAAGCTCCAATTAGATCTTGGATACCATGCCATCAATGATGGTGAATACCGTCGTCATCAGTTCTGGGGAACTTTCTTCCCTAACCTCGAAGGATTCGAGGAAATCCAAAACCCGTCGTGGGACATATTCCGGATGTACGTCCCTGATACCGCTGCCTTCAGTAAGTCTGCCTCTTCGGCAAGAATGCCCATTGCTCCTTTTCACTACTAGGTAAACGAATTGGCATCTAATGACTATTAGCCGAGACGGGTCATAAGCCTGGTGAGACTATTGTCTGTACCGGAAAGATCAAGCATGCTGGAAGCGCGTACATATCCGACTGGAATTATCTCAAGAAATTGGTGCCCGCCGAAAAAGTGAAGGATCTAAAAATAACACTCGCCGCTCCTGAGTGGTATGTCTCCCATATAAAGTCTTGAAATACAGAGTTTGCATACGCCCTCATCCAAACTCAAGAACCCCAATCGTGATAAGGAAGTATGACATGTAACTGAATTCTGACATATTGCAGGTATCACCTTAGATATAAGGAGGGCAGGGCTTATCCGAAGGAGGTGTATGCCAATGATGCGGAGTACTTTGCCGATATCGCCATTGCCTATCAAACAGTAAGTCAACGAACCTCTTCTTCCTCCATTGATTGAGCCTATCCCAATTATACTGCATCGCTGCTTGTTTACGTGTTGCCTTTGAGATAGGTTTGTTGGATTTCGCTGTAGCTGTTGCTAACGCGACATCCCAGGAATTGCAAGTTCTATACGACAACGGCTGCCGAAACGTCACAATTGACGACCCGAACTTAGCATGTAAGAAAGGCCTACAGTATTTACTGATGTTGTGCGAGGAGTTACGCTGACATAGTCCGTTACTGTAGACTTTTGTGACGAGAAGATGATTGCTGGATTCAAGGCAGACGGTCAAGATGCTGACGCGCTTCTTGACTCGTACATCAAGCTGTACAACGATTGCGTATCGTCACGCCCGGCTGATATGCACTTGGGAATCCACCTTTGCCGAGGAAACTTCGCGTACAGTAAACATTTCTCGGAAGGAGGATACGACCGAATTGCTACCAAGCTTTTCAACAATATTGATGCCGACACGTATTTCCTCGAATACGACACGGAGAGAGCAGGCACATTCGAGCCTCTCAAGGAGTTACCGGCGCACAAGAATGTCATCCTAGGTGTCATTACCAGCAAGTTCCCCGAGCTCGAGGATCTTGAGGAGACTCGCGGCAAGGTCTTCCAGGCTGCCGACATTATCGCAAAGGGTGCTGGGCAGACCCGCGAGGAAGCTCTCAAGAGAATTGGTGTTAGCCCGCAATGTGGGTTTGCCAGCCATCATCTTGGCAACGCCGTGACGCGAGAGGATATGATCGCAAAACTGAAGTTGGTGAGAGACCTTGCGGACTCCATTTGGCCAGGAGAGCCTTAAGGCATTACTGAGCACTCGTTTCCACTCATGCAACGTATGACATGAAAAGGGTAGCATATAGGTGTACTCGGAAAAATAGGCGAAAATGTGTATTCAACATGCAAATTGGGAGCGAAAACGGATTCGACCAAATACCTAACCTTAGGTAATAATCGTCGATTGAAATACCTAAAAGCTAACAATCCGGGATGCGGGACGGGTGCTTAGGTATTTATATTGGGAAAATAAATATTGATTCACATGCTTAGGTATGCAGGTATCAACCATCCAGGTATACCACTGTGTAACTCTCCTCTTATGAGTGGAATCGGTTCTGCATGCCACAGATCGTGAAACGCTGAAACAAAGAGGAATGGTTTCGCTACACAGCAATACGAATAAAGTACCTCGCAAGGTAGGCTATTGCATAGTAGAAAATATTAGAAATAGTGAGGATAACCCCGCCGCAGTGAAGATTATGAACAGAGAAGCGCTTATTCGTTGGTTAGATGACTTGGGTCACTTGGCGTATGGAGCTGGAGATCCGTTTCTCAGGGGCTAAGCCAGCCAGGTCTCACCTTGTTATGCCTTAACGGGTGCCAACGAATTGTGCATCAAAGACGCTGCATGTCCCACTTATACATAATATAGAACCCTGAATGTAGAATGTAGGTCCAAGTTGTTATCTTACCGCCTAACTATCTTAACTATCTTGACCCTTGATGTATTAAACGCCATCATCACCTACCTTTCGTCATCTTGGTTGTCGTTTTCTATATCTCTCTATATACTGTTTCCCCCCATCATCATGCCAGAAAAGAAAGCCGAAGTGCCCCCTAATGAGTCTGTAACCTACAGCTCAGGAACCCACGATGGACCTCCCGACCTAAGAATTCTACACTATAATGACGTCTATCATGTAGACCCCTCTAGTAGCGAACCGGTGGGCGGTGTCGCTCGATTCATGTCACTCATTAAGCATTATCGAGAAGACGACAAGTTCCAAGGACAGCCGGACTTAGTGACCTTATTCTCCGGAGATGCGTTCAACCCAAGCTTGGAGAGCTCCGTCACCAAAGGTATGTTGCAGATGTGCAGAATCATGTCTCACTACCCGAAAACAACTATATCGTTATGTAATCCATATGTGTACCTACCTGAATAATTACTCCCAAGAGCCAAATTTGTTGTATATCACTGTTATGAGAATGAGTGAATCTGCATAGACCATAAACTAACACACCGAATCTGGCAGGTGATCATATGGTACCTCTCCTGAATAAGATAGGGACAGATGCTGCGGCATTGGGAGTACGTACGAGGCTCAAACTTATTTACATATACCACCTCAACTAACCACATCACATATATAGAATCACGATCTTGACTTTGGCGTGCGCCAATTTAAACACCTAGCCTCTAAATGCAAATTCCCCTGGCTCATCGCCAATGTGCTGGACCCTGCCTTGGGAGACGAGGTTCCCATTGGGAACTGCAAGAAGACTCACATCATCACTTCTTCTAACGGTGTCAAGATTGGCCTAATAGGGCTCGGTGAACGCGAATGGCTGGCCACGATCAACAGTCTTCCCCCTGATCTTGTTTACAAATCCGCTTCGCAGACGGCGAAGGAGCTTGTCCCCAAGCTGCGGGCTGAGGGGGCTGAAATCGTCATCGCCATAACCCACATGCGCGAGCCCAACGACAACAAGCTCGCCGAGCAGACCGACGGCATCATCGACATCATTCTCGGCGGCCACGACCACTACTACAACCACAGCGTCATCAAGGGAACCCACGTCCTGCGCTCGGGCACCGACTTCAAGCAGCTGAGCTACGTGGAGGCCAGACGGCGGCCCGACGACTCGGGCAGGTGGGACTTCGACATCATTCGCCGAGACGTCACCTCCGCCATCCCCGCGCACAAGCCGACCGTCGAGCTCGTCGAGAAGCTCACGGCGAGCCTGAAGGCCACCCTGCAGAAGCCCATCGGGTACACGGCGGCGCCGCTCGACGCTAGGTTCCGCACGGTGAGGCTGCGCGAGAGCAATATCGCGAACTGGGTGTGCGACATCATGCGCCACTACTACAATGGCGACTGCAGCATCATGGCGTCGGGAACTGTCCGCGGCGACCAGGTTTACGCCCCGGGGCCGCTCTTGATGAAAGACATCGTGAGTTCCCTTCTTCTTCTTCTTCTTGATCTTGAAGTTTTTCCAATCTCTCAAAACTCACCACGTGAATCCCATCTTCAAATTTGTAACACTGTGACAGATGAACTGCTTCCCCTTCGAGGACCCCGTCGTGGTGATCAAGGTCCGGGGCAAAGCCATCCTCGGCGCCCTGGAGAACGGGCTGTCGCAGTACCCCGCGCTGGAGGGGCGGTTCCCGCAGGTGTCCAACATCACGTTCAAGTTCGACGGCGGGCGGCCGACGGGGTCGCGCATCGTGTCGACGACGATCAACGGCGAGCCCATCGATCTGGAGAAGAAGTACGTGCTGGTGACGCGCGGCTACATGGCGCGCGGCAAGGACGGCTACGACGACCTGCTGATCGAGTCCGAGGGCGGCGAGGCGGAGGAGATCGTGTCTGAGGAGAACGGCATCCTGATCTCGATGATGCTGCGCCAGTACTTCATGTCGCTGCGCGTTATGGGACAGTGGAAGTACTGGGGGAACAACAGTGAGTTACCAGCCTGCCTACCTACCTACCTGCCTACCTAAGCGTCGAAGCCCCCCCTTTCCCTGGCTTGAAATGAGAGCACTGGCTAATCCATCACTTACTAGTTGGCCAACACTGGGACCGCGTCGCCAGCAAAGTCAACGCGACGCACACGCACCCCAGCGCGGGCCCGAAGTCGCCCAGCGCGACCACGGCAGCGACAGCCGACGCCGACGCCGACGCCGCCTCGGGCTGGGACAACTGGACGCCGCAGAAGATCCGGGAGCGCAAGACGCGCGGCGTGCCGGTCGACGAGTCCGACAACGAGGACTACGCCGACGTGGACGTTGGCGCGGCGGAGCCGACATATGCCGGCGAGATAGAGAAGATCGACCGCGAGATCCAGATCATGCGCCGCGTGTTCGCCAAGTGGGCGCGCGTCGCCAAGGTCGAGAGCCAGGTCGGCGAGGAGCTCGACGACGGCGAGTTCGAGGTCGACTGGACCAGGGCGATTGCGCCGAGGGTCGAGGGGAGGATTATTTGTGTGGGGGGTGAGCATAAATAAAAAGGAAGGGGAGGTCTACGTAGGCGGGAGGTAGAGAGTGAGTGTTTGGGGGCCCTAGATGGTTAGAGTGTGCTGATGATGATGGTTACGAATTTATGATAGGATATAAAGAAAACGTCTATGGTCTGTCTATTCTAGAAGAAAAAAATTCGCTTTGGTGGCCCTTGGTGGGTGTACATGTGCTTCCGTGCTCGCTCTGTATTGTTCCACGATGCCCCCACCTCTCCCTTACGTCCGGCGTGGGTACCCCAGTAGGTACTTATAAAGGGGCATTTTTCGGCATTTGCAGAAGATAGAACCACCTTGCCAGCATGGTTAAGAAATGGAGAAGGATTCTTCTGGATCCACGGCAAGCCAGGTTCCGGGAAGTCTACGCTCATGAAATTCTCGTCGGATGCGACACAAGTCTCAGTCAGCTTCTTCTTCCACGACAGAGGGACACAATTACAGAAGTCCTATGAAGGTCTTTTGAGGAGTATCCTCTACCAGATAACGATAAAACTCCAAGCAGCCACTACCTGGCATAATTCCAAGACTGGCGAGGGAGGGCAGGATGATATAGAATTGGCACATCAAACAGGCAAAGAAATTTGTGTAGCCTAGATTTCAAAAAACGCATATTGGGCTACAGAGCTGCACAGACGGGGAGATAATGGATTCACCTTCCTAGCCAAACTCACTCTATCTTGCGGATCACGACTGGTTTGGAGCCACACTTTACCTCAGCGCGCACGAGATAACAACAGGACCTAGTATGAATGACTTTATTGACAGTATTCCAGAGAGAATCTGCCACACCACTATGACAAACCCATCCCATAACAACGGCTATCAGTCATTCCGCATGCCAGTCTTATCATCTACGGCATTAGTAAGAAAGTGCCTAGGTAGGTAAATGTAGTTCAGGGCTAAGATAAAAGGGGCAGCAGAAAGGCTAAAGATACTCGTAGTCAAACGCGGTTTGGAGGCAGGATACGGGGTTTTATACGCGGATGTAATTAGATACCTACTTCGTATCTGCCCACATTTTACTGGGAAAAGGGACTGAACACAAATGGATGGTAGGAAGCATTACTAGACGAGCTGCTTTCATCTCCCATGACACACCACAAGCTTTCCAAAGCCAAATAAAGCTAGCCCTGGCGTCGAAAGACTAGATACATGTGTATCATTACCTACACTCAACGTACGTACCCCTGAATCCTTACTCTCCTACCCCTAACCTTACCAATTTACCCACGAGCACCAACCCCCACCCCCCTTCTCAACCGCAGCACTAAAGCGCACCCGTGACATCAAACTGATTCCCCGTCCCTTCCTGCTTCCCCTTCCCCTTCCCCTTGCCCTGCCCCCCACCCGCCTCCTGGTCCCCCAATGCCCTCCCCCTATTCCTCTGCCTCCCGCGGTAGACCAGGAAGGCGACCAAGCCCAGCAGCAGCACGCCGCCGAGCGTGGAGCCGACGCCGATGCCGGTGACGACGGAGGGGGAGTACCCGGCGCTGCTCTGGTCGTTGGTGGTGCTGTTGTTATCGCCGGCATCGCGGAGGGTTTTGTCGTGCTGTGCGTGGGTAAAAGATGGGTATTTGATTAGTTTAGGTAGGTAGGTAGGTAGGTACTTAGAGGGAGATAGTACGGACATCATCATCGTAATCGTCGCCTACCTCTCTTGCCCGCAGACACCCATGAGCCAAGGACAGCGCGGGCGATTCATCGGAGCTTCGCCCGTCGCCGATCTGCAGGACGTAGGTACCTGGGACCAGGCCGTCGTCGTCCCAAGGTTTCCATGTGAACGTGGTTTCTGAGTAGTCTTCATCATTCATCTCACCGTGAGCTCATTGCCATTTCCGTATACGGGGGGAGGGAAATCTCCACCTACTTTCCGCGATCGAGTTGGTCTGCATATAGGTAGATGAACCCTCGGTCGTCATCCTCGCCAAGGTGATGTTGACGGCGCCGTTGGCGCCCGCCCATTCGAGAACCAGAGGCTTCGCTTGCTGCGTGTCCCATACGTGTGTCTTGAACTGGACTTTGGCGAGGCAGAAGGTGTTGGTGAGTGCCAACAGCGATAGCAATATCCCAAATAACATCATCGTCATCACGATCATCACCGGACAGGTAGATATCGGGTACTAGACAAGGACCTAACTAGTAGGTGCCTGGTAGCTTTTTGGAGGATGGCGATGTATGGACTGTCATGGGAGAGGAGACGAGAAAAGAAAGGACCATACTGAAACAGAATAACATCAGCCCTTTCAGCTCTCGACTCGTGGTATAATGGGTATGTATCTGCCTCTGCCATGTTTGTATGGCGTTTGTGTTGCACACGTACTACCGACGGACGCGGGCAGCCTTGTCAAAGCCAATTGGTGCGACGCTACAGCTGATGCCAACATGTAGAATACGCCTTGCCCTTCGAGGCCTTTGATTGAATTGATGTTTATGAACATTATTGATATTAAGATATATGTACATACAAATATTCTATTACCTAGGTACCTACTACCTAGACTGGTAACCACATGCATGCATACATGTATGTACATATTTGTAGTGGTATTAAGGATTGTGTAGCTCCATAACTAAGGCTATATGGTAGAACTGTGATTAGTAAGAAGCGTCCTGGTTTGAGATACATACATATATGAGTATGGATACCTACCTTGGTTAGGTACCTAGGTAGATAGATTAGACATGATCATGTAAACATAAGACTTATATTAGCGTTGGCGTAAATAGAAGAAGGTATATATCTACTTGGTAGAGATACACTGAAAATCATGTCGCCAATTACTTTGATATTTTGCAAATTCTAATGGGTACTTGGTCGTTGTAAAATGGGCCACGCTGGCTCTCTCTGGGTGGAAGGGTAAAGTCGATCTCGTCGACGGTGAAGTTCTTCTTCTGACAGACCTCAACAAATGCTTGGAAAGTTTCTTGATTTCTCTCAGTGGCGGCGATGAGTATTGTGATATGAGGGAACATCCCCACAAGCTCCTCTAGTGTTCCGACGAGTGATGGGATGATTTCCTCGTCGTACGTGACATCCGCTGCGAGAACAACGTCGACAGGTATACCGCGATTCCAATGCTCGTCTTCTGTGCCTACCAAAGCATGTCCCCATTTCAATTCCATGGCCTGGACCGTGGCCGACCCCTGAAGCCCGTTTAGAAAGAAGTTCTCAGGGAGGTTTGCTACTACGTCGTCGGAGCCATCTGACGCGATGGCTAGAATAGGGTTTAGAAACTTAGCACAGAGAATAGATATATACCCAGTACCTGCTCCTAGTTCTAGCACATGTTTTCCTTGAATGAGATAGGGGTTGGCGGCCAGATATTGGCCAAGATGAAGGGAAGCTTCCCAGGTACGGAGACCAGTAGTACCAGAAGCAGAGACAAGATCCCGTGACTCAAGTAATGTGACTTGAGGCGACGGAGTAGATGATGTATCAAGAGATGGCAGGGTGTAAGTGACATACGATTTTTGCAGGACTGCAGTGAGTTCGGAGGGGAGTGGAGAAAGAAGGAGAATAGAGAAGGCGGTCATCAAATCGTCCGAAATTCCCTGATAGAAATGATGGAGTCAGCCATGACTTCATGGCAAAACAAAACAAAACAAACTTATCTTCCTTGCTAACTTATAAAAGGCATGTCTTCTCTTACATAAAGATCCCAGTCATCAATGCTCGCTTCAATTCTTGATAGAAGCTCCTTCAAGACCCTGAGTTTGTATCTTTTGGGAGGGGGGTAAGAGAGGGCATCGTTACTGAATATTTTATGGTAGAGAAGATCTTGCACATCAGCTTCCTTCAGAATGGTAGATGAAGGATAATCCAATTCCCGTTCAAGTTGTAGGTATTGACGACAGAAACGATCGATACTGTCGACATTTCCTTGGATCTTGTTTTGGACCATATTTCACTTTATCAGAATTTGCTGGGTCTGCTCATGATTTCTTTGTGGAGAAGAAGATTGAACTTCGCGGTCAACATTCAATGATGGGGTTGAACTTGAACATCGAATGCCCCACTGATGGATTTCAAATGTGGCTAGGTAATGTGGCTAAACATTGAATTTATGCGGGGCAGCATTGAGTTTTTAGGGTTTTAACCTCGCCTAAGTTCTCAACTTGTGCACATCCCCACCTTCAAAGAAATTTACGGAATCGGAATGTTTTAGTCCGCCCTTAGCCCCAATCACACATTTCGGCTACGAATTTTCGTTGTTTGGTGCAAAGACTTTCTAATCTTTCACTAAATCTGAATACTAGCAGCGTCAACATCGCAAATATCTGTCTCTTCGCCAACCTTCTCTTCAGACAGATCAATTACACTGCCATCAATTCGCGAAAATGGCTGACAACGACGGTCCCATTACCCTGCGAACTCGCAAGTTCATTCGCAACCCTCTTCTCGGTCGCAAGCAGATGGTGGTGTACGTTGTGCCCCCCCCTTCCCTCTCGTCGTTCCCATTCCGTATCAATCAGCAGACAAGACATCTTCGAAACTCGAACATAACGCGCAAATATTATGTTCTATTCTATATCCTTATATTGCGCCTATGTTTTATATACTCAACAACTTGGATCTACAACCTCACACCTAGTCATTACGAGAACATCGAAAACAAACTCGAAGGAATTGATAGGGTGGTTTGCTAATATGAACTTTGTGTGTTGAATATAGTGACATCCTCCACCCCGGCCGCGCAAACATCTCCAAGGATCTGCTCCGCGGCGAGCTATCCACCATGTACAAGGCACAGAAGGACCAGGTCTCCGTCTTCGGTCTACGAACACAATTCGGTGGCGGCAAGACCACCGGTTTCGCCCTTGTCTACGACTCTCCCGAAGCCATGAAGAAGTTCGAGCCCCGATACCGACTTGTCCGTGTCGGCCTATCCACCAAGGTCGAGAAGGCATCTCGACAGCAACGTACGTTTTTACTCATTATACAAATATATATATATATATACATATAGATACCTACAAAATATATATGTACATTCCTCTGGTAGGATTTACTAACATACTTGGAAACACAGGCAAACAACGCAAGAACCGACAGAAGACCCTGCGAGGTACTGCAAAGGTCAAGGGTGCCAAGGCGAAGAAGGAGAAATAGACGATGGGCTTCTGGGTTTTTTCTGGTCTTTGCGGAGTGGGTTTGGCTCGGCTTGGGCACTGGCTCTGTGCATTACGCGAAAATGCATCTCTCTGCGTCCTACTACATACTAGTCTCGATACGGTATTAGGATCTTTTCCTCGAGGCGTGACGGAATGAATTAGATGATTTCCCCACGATAGCATAAACCAAGGAGTTGACATGGCAATAATGGGTTATTGTTCAGACGTGATCCCGTTCACTTCAATCGTTCCCAGTGCCATGTGCTTTAATTTTTCTAGGCATTTGATGTTTTTCAGCATCCGAACTCTGGTCTTCATGCGCGATACTCGTCGATGTGTTAGAATAAGATAACATTAGATAGGTACCTATCTGTACCTGGGTGGTAATACTGCCCGTTTCCTTTTACAGAAACCCAGAAAATAATACAGTACACTCAGCCAGCCCAGAAGAATCCCTAGCAATGCCTGCATCTACATGCCCAACACTCTGGACCAACGCCTGTCCAATGTAGCACCTACCAGTACAAGTAGCTACGAGAGATCTGACAACGACTAGAGAGACGTATGCTAGGAAAAAGAAACTTCCTAACCTACCTAGTACCTCGAAGGCTTTTGTTGAAGCTCCAATCTTTGGCTTCGCCTGTATACGTGCTGTCCTGGTACATGTTAGAATTCTAGTCTAACCTAGTACTAGGTATTTTACCTGGACGTGAGTCTGGCTGATACATAATCTCCTGTTAAAGATCACTTTGGTAGGCAGTCTTGGGAGGGCGGCAGTCACCCTGCTCACCCCGCTGTTGTAAGTACACGTCATTTGAGGATGCTTCGAGTATTGTCATCTCACTCACTCATTCCGTTCTATTTATTTTACGTGATAAAGAGTAGGTAGGTATTGATATATAAGGTAGGTATCTTAGCAGTTGCATAGTTATTTATATACGACTATATATACGTGATCTTCCAGTTCAAGTAGTCGGCACTACCATATATATACTACCGACTCCTTACTTGCTTGCTTGCTTTCATGAGAAGGGGGGCCCTCCAAAAAGGGGATGCCTCTATCTCGTAATTATTTATCCAACACACACCCGTGAACGAAAATGGAAATCCAATGCAATGCATTCCATTCGATCCCAGTTCAAACCGAGTTTGTTTTTTCCTTTTTTTTTAAAAAAAAAAGGAGGGGGTATCTTGAAGTTACTGCAACAATCATCCAACGCAGCATATATATCTTTCCACATATCTACACAATCACATCCACGCTCAAAGCGTGCGACTAACCAAGAAAGCAAAGAAAAAGGAAAAAAGGCCAGAACAAGTCTATTGTCCAGGGACCTAGGTAGGCAGGCATGCACAAAACACCCTCACATCCCCAACACGACCCCCGCAACAACAACAACAACAACAACAACACCAGCCCACAGCGCAGCGCGGCCACTGTCGCTTACCCCCCTTGCGGCGTTACTCGCGTCGAGGATCGGCTCGTGCCAGCCGCAGTGCGTCTCCGACGGCCACGTGACGCAGCTCCAGTACGTCGTCTGCACGAACTTCACGTTCGCGCCACCTCCCAGCTCGTGGAAGTTGCCTCCCGGTAGTTCCGGAGACGGCGTGATCGTGGGCGCTTTTGCGGGGTGGGGGTGGCGGAGTCCCTCTCCTCCTCTGGTCCCCGTGGGTAGGATGTGCGAGGCAGTCCCGTGGTGGCCGAAGCTCCTATGGCCCCCGGAGGCGGAGGCGGCGGTGGGGTAAGGCGGGAAATGGTGCCGCGTCCCGTTGGGGAGGAAGGGGAGAACGCCGCTTATTGCGGCTGGGGGGGTGGCGAGGGGGGTTGCGGCTAGTAATGACGCGGTTGGGCCACCGGCGCACGGGGTGAGTGCGGTTCGTGGGGTTTTGAGGCTGGCTTCTGCGATGCTCAGCAGAGTGATTAGGGTCGCTAGGAGTAGCATTGTGGTTGGCTAGGTAGGTATGTATAGGTGAAAAGGGGGGGTTTATCTTGGGATGGGTAAGGAACCGGGTTCGCAAGGATTAGGGCAAGCAGATATGGTATTATTAAAGATGCAATAGTGAGTAAGGATATGGGGGGAAAAGGTCGAGACCAGCTCAAGAGAGATGAGGTATTATCACGAAGGGACTGGGCTTGGGTTGTCGCGGGGAGGGGGAGTGAGAGAAAAGGTGAGCTGATGGAACAACAGGGAAGAAATATTATATAGATTATGTACGGAAAGACAAACGTATTTTTCGTTCTAGAACAAACCCCATTATGTATGTCAAAGAAGCTGATAAAGAACCTGTTTCTGATTCACGCCTTCGCCTTGTTCTTGACCATAGGTATGCAGGCTGACATGTAATTCCGTAGGTAGGGAGCAGTACCCCTACGTGGTGAAAGAAAAACCTGACGTAGGATGAGAAACGGTTATAGGATAAAAAATGTTTCTTCTAAAACCTGGGCATTTATTTGTTGTAAGAGGGACCGTTGGTGTAGTGGAAGCTATTGGCATATAGAAGCCCTATTTCCATTGGTGATAGCAGTGCCTTGCCGAGCTAGTAGTAGCTATATCTACATCCTGCCAGCATCACCAACACCAGTCGTGAAGAAAGAACTTGATTCCAGGTAATGCGTAGTAATGCAGGTTCAAGGTAGGAAAATACGGAGTAGAAATGGCTTGGCATCTACAGCTCTAACCTAGGGAGCTAGTCCTCTCTTGGCATAGCTGAGTCGGAGACTTTTGTCGACAAACTTAAATGATTGGTGTTGCTTTCTTTCAATGTCATGTACCAGTACGTATCACTACATGCATGTTTCTTAGCCTACCTACCCTGAAAGTATGTATGCTCATAGGTCCTTCCGTGAAACAAATCCCTATGACTCATCCCGACGGTTAAAAACGCAGCTACAACCTCTTTTGGGACACTAATAAGTGGGACACTACCCCGCCCCGGCCGTTTCCCGTCTGTAAGGGCCCGTCCTCCGCTCTGCAGTGGGGCCGCAAGGCCGAACGTCTGTTTTCTTGGGATCCTACCTACCGCTGACGGCTTGCGCCAAGGAAAGAAAGCCAAGGGTAATATAAGATCTGGGTTAATGATTATTGATGGTTGCCTGAGAGCTGGCCGCCACGGTCACGTGTGAACATACGGTGTCCGCGGGGTTATAGGGGGGTTAACTCCAACTCCTATTATAAAGGCCATCTGACACGCCTGGCTTACATTATATCAACTCATTTGATACACACCACTTTAATCTTTCCATGCATATATATGTTGGCATGTTATTATGGCTCGCGTCAAGCAACTTAAAAATCCCCACCGCCCACACCACAGGCGAACAAGCTGGACGCGATTCCACCTGCCGCTTGGCCGGGATTGGCCCGCGTGGTCGAACAACCACCAGGATGAGCGCCGCGGTCCCCTGGTAGGCGTGGAAGGATGTGAGAAGGTCTGGATGGGGAGGAAGGTGGATGATCCTGAGGAAGCTGCTTTGATCATTCGTGAGTCTCGTTTTCTTTTCTGTTTCCCCCTTTTCTGGGCCGAAACCCCCCTTTTCCCCTGGTATTTAGGACGTACTAGGTACGTTTCTTTTTTTGCTAACCCTCAATTTCCTCCCCCCCCACAAAACCTCAGTTTGGCATACAGAGGACGCCTTAAAAAGCTTCCAAGCCACCCCCGCCTGCGCCGAGTTTCTACGTGGCCTACCCGAGACCGCCGACGTGCTACCCTCCTCCTCCGTCACGTCTGCCGGCGCATCACTCCAGGATCTATCTCTAGACAGCGCCTCAGTAACCTCAGCACCACCACCACCACCACCACCATCGTCATCATCATCGTCCAGGTTCCTCATCTTCCAATGGCACTCCCCCTATCGATTCGAGGAGAACCTCAAGGGCCGCATCACGCTCACCGCGCTCGAGCTGCCGTGCACCACCGGCACCGGCACGGGAACCGGGGACGCCGCCGTTCCCGAAGAGTGGCGCAAAGCCGTGCACGACGCGGTCGACGGGTTCATGCCCAGGGGCTGCGAGGACATCCGCAGCGCCTGGAACGCGCGCATGCAGTTTTGGACTGCGTGGGCGTGGGCCGACGACGATCTAACGCACCTGCGACGGCGGGCGGCGATGACGAAGGGGGCTGTGGAAGAGGGGGGCGAGGAGCAGGGGAAGGCAAACACGAGCGCCCGCCGCGCATTCATGTGCCAGTTCCGCCGCTGGAACGGCTACAGCAACGCGACGCCCGAGCGGGAATCCGCTGCGGCCGCTAGCGAGCTGGCGCGGGAGTCGTGGGCCCGGAGGGTGGCGACGGTGATGCCGCCCGTCACGGACTGGGAGCAGGAGCGTTGGGATATTCAGGTGGTGCCGCGGTATGAGCCACCTCTGCCTGAGAGATGTGGGGATCCTGAGGAGGAGGATCCAGAGTATGAGAGGAAGATGAGGGAGTTCTTTGACGAGGATTCAGGAGAGGAGGAGGATAAGTAGGGGAGCGATTTAGGTATGGATCTTGGGTATAGTGTCTACTGTATCGATGGTGCTTGGAGTAATACCACTACTTGATGTCTTTTAGGTAGAGGTAGGTAGGCATTTATCATCCTGGGGGTTTTCCCTTGATTCATGATTTTTCAGGGGCTTGATGATTTCCAAGTTCACATGATTTGGTGAGCAGCATGGTATATACACGATCCAAAGCACACATATCATAACTTCGATATCAACGGTGTATAACAGCTTTAACCTAGGTCTATCTACCTAACTGTGAGGTACCTGGACTCCTTTACAAGACTCATCACCACATCTCCCTCGACAATAGTAATTCCTATTGATACCTATATTTACCTACCTAGGCAGGCATCCATCCTTACTCAAGATCCTATGGATCTTCTGCATTCCTTAACTGATCCGTCGCCCCAACAATCCTATTCCGACCCCGCCCCATGGGTGCAAAGTCCCAGTTGGCTCGGATATCATCATCTGTTGTTCCCAGGAGGTAGAACATGTGCGTGACGAAATAGACGTAGTTTTCGGGGTTTCTCTGGGCCTTGGTTTGCGGGTTGTTTTTGGCTTGCTTGATGAGCTCGATCATGTCATCTGCAACATACCACGGTTAGCTATCTGCCACAATGATACGATGCTCGGCGTAGGTAGGGAGAGAGGTGCGTGTCATGTGCAGGCCACCTACAGAACTCGTCGCCCTCGAGAAACCCGTGGTCATCGGTATCTCCGTCATTATGTACTACCCCGAAGACGACGTGGAAGGCCTCGTGGAGAAATGTCGCGCTTTTGGGCACCACGTCCTTCAGGTTAGTACCTTGAACTATATTCCCGCTTGCTAACGAGTAGTTTACTGGCTTGGGATTGCTGTTATCGAAATTGAAGGGACAGATGATGACGCTCTCAATGTCTCCGCGCACCGTCGGCGTGCCAGTGATGTCTGCCTCTAGCTCTCTTATCACTGCCGTAAGGCCGAGGTTTCCTTCGATGTCGCAGTAGGAGCCGGCGATCTCCGCGAAGTAGTATCCGTTTATTGGCGACCTGTCGCCAGACCACCAGCTAGCGGCATTGGGGTCTGCGGCGAGGGCTTCGGCGTAGCTGGGCACTCCCGCGATGTTGACGACGTTGCCATGTTCATCCAAGATATTCTGAGCCTGCCAGTCCTGGGCCGGCGTGTTTGTCGCTTTCAGAGTAAGGAAGTCGCTGCCGCAAAACAGATAGCGGTTCCCATGTAGCGGAAAGCGAGGCTGGCCTGGGGCATCCGAGCGGTCTGCGAAGCTTAGGAAGTCCTGGACATCCTTGAGGCGGTCTGCCTACGGCGTTAGTCTAGCTAGTACTTTTATATTAAGATGGACAGTTTATCAAGTAAACACAAATCAAAAAATACTTGGAATACATGGTCTGTAGGAAAAATAAGCTTTGGCACGCACCGCCAACCCAATCGATCTGCGCCAGGGTATCATCACTACCCGCCCTGAGAGATCCGCCATTGTGAATGCCGAACCAGATATCAAGCGCCTTTCGAACTCTGGGATTTGTGTTGTACTCATCGATGCCATCAATAGCCGTGCTAAGGGCAAAGTTGATTTCATCAAGCCATTGATCCAGAGTGCCTGTCTTGGCGCTCTGATCGTAATGTGCATCACAGCCGCCGTGAGTCGACCCGCTTTGGACTATGAAAATATCATCGAGAGCTACGCCAAAGACGGTGCGTGATAAGAGGCCGAGAAGGACTGTGACCAGTCTCAGAGGGAAAAGAAGCTTCGCCATCGTATACCGCGAGCTATCGCTGACGTCTATGGTAGTTCTGCTTGCAAGAACAAGAACTCAAAGTAATGATAACAAACGCGCGTAGTTGCAGTACTACCTGGGGCGGCGCACATGGATAGACATGATAGACATGATAGACCTGTTGACCAGCTCGCTTCCTTTACGGCTGTCTGATCATGTGCGAGAAAGAGGGGTTTCCATTCAAGGGACCTAACCGCGAGCTAGCAATCTCCGGATAGGCAAAACATGCTTGAACATCATCACTTGCTGACACGAGAGCGACGGTTACCTTGTGTCTATGAAGGCCTAGCCTAGCACAGGGAGGCTCTTCTGGGAGACATCTTAGTCATTCATGGGATGAGGTGGTGTAACAGTCACCAATACGGATTTTCAACCACTTTACTCGGCCCTTTTGATATAACTAAATGAATCCTTCATGCCATATAGGAAAAAAAAGGAAGGTGGATATTCATCTCACGATGTCTGAGGGTCGATTGTCAACCGGTGTGCCTGGATAAGGCTGTGATATGATGGACTGAAGGTACTCGACGGCATGAAAAAAGAATCGTCTGGCCATGGACGACTTGTCGCTAAGCCTACTTGGGAAGCATCCCGCGAGATTTGGTTGGGTTTTACTATGTACGGCACGAAAAAGTGACTTCGTCGGATACGATGATTGGTTGAGGACGACTACCTACCCTGGAGAGGTAAGTCTTGGCAAGCTGACCTCCTTTTCACTCTGTGATTTATAGGCCTATTGCAAGGGATACAATCTAGAATCCTACGGCTAGTTGCGAGACTCATTATGTAAGGCGATAATTGTAAAATGAATAGTTGGAAGCCTTAAAGCGCATAGCTTCACTAATAAATGCTTAATTTATCGTACGAGCTACTGCTAAGTATCCTAAGTACCTACCCAGGTAGGTATATACAAGCTAAGACTCAAAGAGCACGCAGGCTTCCGGCTTCCGATGTGGCATGTACAACGGCGCTTAACGCCCATGTCCTAAGCCCCCGTCGCCACAATCTTCACCAGAATGCCTGCGGGGGTGTACCCAGCGGGGTACGTTGACGCCGAGTAGGCAGGGTTGGAGGCATTGTAGACCACGCCAAAGGAGCCGCCATCCGTGCCACAGCCGATGAGGGCAGCGGCCTGCTGCTCGGGTGTAGCGCTAGCCCCTCCATCGATTGTGTTGGCGATATCAGCAAAAAGCACGCTGGTGTTGACAGTGTTGTCGAGGTGCTTGGCGATGGCCTGGGCGGTGCCGTGCGCATAGATAGTCCACTCGCCGCAATCGGGCGCGTCGGCGGCTGCCATAGTATAAAGACGTCCAGCCTTGGTTTGTGCTCCGTATGCGCGAAGATAGGATGCAATGTAGGCCACGTCGGCGACAGCCACATCCTGCGGCGTGTTGTCAGGCGCCGTATAGCAAAGGAGGTCAGCCGTCTCGCTGTCGTAGCAGATCTGTGTTGCGCGAGGCGAGAATGGGGGAGAGCTCGGGGCAGCAATGACGGCACCAAACATGGCGAAGGGGATGAGGGGGAGAAGGCTTTGGGAGAGCATCTTGAGAAGGTTGTCCGGCTTTGCTTGGAGAGTTATATTAAGATGGGAGAGATCTTAAAGATACTGGAACTAGACTATGTAGATGGCGAGGAAAGGAATAGAAGTAAGCCAACTTGAAGCTACAGTCTTTTGTAGTAACTTGGAGCGAGGCATCGTGGCTTCCATCATGGCAATATAGCCTGCCGCGGTAGCCTCCCTTCCTGTTCCCCTCGAGCTGAATTGTATCACCGCATGGCTATACAGGGGATAGAGGCGATGTAACCATGTGACTAGATAGCTATAAGGCCGAATAGGCGTAATCCTTGATATTACCATCCGACCCTCAAGAATGAGTATGGTCGAGGCTGAAGGATGATTACCAATACCGGAAAAGTGGTCCGAAAAGAAGCAGCACACCTCCAGCTAAACCACCATGTTGTAAAGTTCTTGAACCTGGAAAAAGCTTCTGCAAGGGTAGGGGGGCTTATACGATTCCTTCGTGTTCTAGACCACCTTCGTAATCTGACCGTAGCATTTCCTGTGGTCATGCGATGTAGTACCAGACCAAAAGTCAGAATGCCTCCCTACCTAGGCACCTAGTAGGTGATTCACCTATTCAAACAGCTCCTAGTAGCGGAGGTGTTGCCCGGTCGTTAAAATAGCATGTTACTGTTGACGGTATTATGGAAGATGCCCTTCTCCGACTCGGTTCTTTCCTCAGTTACAGCGCTTCTCTGCATCTCATAGATTGTTGTGAAGCTTCTATAGTGTCATGGCGTGTCTCTTCGCTTTCCTTTTGACTTTGCTGGCCGCACAATGGAGCCCTGCGCTATCGGCATCGACAGCGGCGCATAGAGTCCTAAATGTGACGGCACTCCCATATGACCCGCGGGTAGGCAATACCTCTCTATTATTGTTCAGGGCGATGCTGATGTTTAATTGTAGCCTGCACCGTCGTACATGGTAGACAACCAGCACAACTACTACCACACAGCCCCTGATAAAGGGAAGCAGAATGGTGCAGTATGGCGCTATTCGGGCAGCTTGGACAAGTACATGGCCAATCTTCGCAATGGCACTGTAGTCCGCGGCGGGTATGTTAACTTTAATGGCACCAAGCAGACGACTTTCAGTGCCGCCAAGGTCAGGCGGCAGTCCTCATCGGACGACTACTGGCTCGCTAATCTTGCGCCTTCGGGAGCTGTAAGGTTCCCTTTTTAGTGGATGATGGGCACTTATGGAGTGTTGCTAATCCTCTATACAAGCAACCTTTCGCCGGTGGAGACGACTATCAGTTCTTCCGTAACGTCAAAGATTTTGGTGCTGACGATACGGGAGAAACGGACACGACTGAGGCGCTCAACGCGGCCGTTGCCAGTTGGAATGTAGACTCGGTGGGGGATGCGAAGACGCGTTGTGGCGAGGAGTGCGGCAACACATTCTCTCAGGGCGCGATCGTCTACTTTCCAAAAGGCACATACAAAATCTGCTCGCCTGTGATCCAGTACTACTACACACAGTTCATTGGCGACCCAAACAGCATGCCCACCATTAAGGGCTGCGATACCTTCCAAGGTATCGCATTGATCGATACGGACCCCTATATCCCCCATGAGTCAGGCGCTCAGTGGTATGTGAATCAGAACCAATTCTTCCGCCAGATCCGTAATTTCGTCTTCGATCTTTACGATATGCCAGAATCCACGGCTGAGAACGACCAGGACTTAGTGCCGACGGGAATTCACTGGCAAGTGGCGCAGGCCACCTCGCTGCAGAACTTAATTTTCAGTATGCCTGCGACTAGCACTACGACGGCCGTTGGTATATTCTCCGAGAACGGCAGCGGCGGCTTCGTGTCTAATATAATTTTTGACGGTGGCAACATCGGCTGGCGCGCGGGTTCACAGCAGTATACAGCGCGTAATCTGCAATTCAACTTTTGCAATACGGCAGTACAAATGGTGTGGGATTGGGGTTGGAACTGGCAACAGATAAACGTAAATGGTGGATCCATTGCCTTCAATATCTCGGGCGTGGGTGGCGACACGGGCCAGGGCACGGGCAGCGTGTCCATCATTGACACCATCATTAGTGGAACGACCGTTGGAATTTTGACTAACGGGCTCGGAAATTCACCAAACATCGTGCTTGACAACACCGTTTTTGAGGGTGTGACCAGCCCTGTCCTAGTGAATGGCGGCAGCAAGCTCTTATCCGGCAATTCTGACCTGTGGGCGACAGGAAAGCGGTACAACGGCTCGACCGGCTCGACCCAAACTGGAGATGTGACCGCACCTGCCAGGGCCAAAGAGCTCGTTGACCCCAATACTGGCTTCCTCTTCGTGCGCGAGCGGCCTCAATATGAGGACCTGAGTTCTGACTCCTTTTTATCGGCGACTAAGGACGGCGGGTGCAAGAATGATGGTACGGGCGACCAAGCGTCTTGCATTAATTCATTTCTGGAAAAGGCCTTGGGACAGGTCGCTTACTTCCCAGCTGGGATCTATACGGTTGGCAGCACCGTGTTTATTCCGACGGGGTCGCGTGTGCAAGGCTCTTCGTGGTCACAAATCCAAGGGTCGGGCTTTTATTTCAGCGACATGCATGATCCTCAGGTCATGGTGCGGGTCGGTAACAAAGGCGATGTCGGCACCATGGAGATTGTCGAGATATTATTCTCGGTGCGTGGTGGTACGGCCGGCGCTATCCTTATGGAGTGGAATACAGCAGCGTCTGAACAGGGCGCGGCAGCCATGTGGGACTCGCATTTTCGTGTTGGCGGCGCCCTGGGTTCTGATCTTGACCTCGCCACCTGCCCTAAGTTTAGCAGTAATGATGAGTGTATTGCTGCTTCCCTCATGCTACATATAACATCTCAGGCGAATGGCTACTTTGAGAATGTGTGGGCGTGGGTGGCTGACCATGATAACGATCAGTCCATATATAACCAACCCGACTCTACCATCACACAAATATCGATTTTCGGCGCCCGCGGCATGCTAGTCGAGTCCCAGGGGCCAACTTGGTTCTATGGCAGCGGTTCAGAGCACTCAGTGCTATATAACTACCTGCTCAGCGGGGCTAAGAGCGTCTATATGGGCCACATTCAGACTGAGTCGCCCTATTTCCAGCCCGTTCCAGGAGCCCCGGCGCCCTTTGGTGCGGCCAGTAGCTTTCCTAACGACCCTGACTTTAGCCAGTGCAATGTCACTGCCAATTCGGACAATGAGCAATGTCGCTATTCCTGGGGATTACAGATTATAGATTCGACTGACGTGATTATTCATGGTGCTGGGCTGTATAGCTTCTTCAACGCCTTTTATAAGGACTGTGAGGACACCAACAGCTGTCAACAGCGCATTCTCGAGGTTAAGGGCTCGACCGGCGTCGTCATCTATAACTTGTTCACTGTTGCTACCGTCGAAATAGCTAGTGGCATTGACAGCTCTAAGGTCCTGCAAAAAGACGGTAACCAGCGCGGCTTCACGACAGAGATAAGCGTGTGGTTACCACTACCCGGACAGGACAATGTCAACCTTGTGTGGGTAGGTACCGACATTTGGACAGCTCCAACAGTGACCTGCTCATCAGCGCCATGTTTGTTGATCCTACCAACGAGTTCGCTCTCTTCAGACACAACCATCTCGCCTAGTGAATATACAACATCGTTTGAGTATGGCGGATTTGGAACCACCACGGTCGGTGGAACCACTGTATTTGTCACATCCACCACCACAGTGACCATTGCAATCCCCGACATTGTCACGGACGGAATTCCGTATTCCAACGTCAATGTGTCTTCCACGGGACCGACAACAATCACCATCTATCCCAGCGTCAATATTCCGCCCATCGGTATCCCATTACCTGATGGTAGCGGCAGCACGACTATACGCACTGTTACCCTCCCGCCATGGCCCAAAGTGAACAACGGGCCCAGCATGGGGTTCACGGACCCAGGGAGTGAACCTGATAACAGCGACAGTGGAAGCCCAGGTAGAAGCACCACATACTATACTCCTATCGGTGTCCCCGTCACCGCACCCAGAGCAACCGTCACAACCTTGACGTTCCCGGCCACAACAGGAGCTATCACCATCTCCTGTCCGGCCAGGACGTCCATGGTCTTTGCCACGCCGCCTATTGCCGTCAGCACGACATGCACGGATTCGGTCTCGATAACCTTCAACTTTGTCTGCCCAACTACCAAGGTGGTCACTTTCCTTGCCTCCACCACAGCCATAGTTTCAGTAGATTGCTCTCTGGTCACATCCTGGAGTACCGGTAGAGCCGATTCTTCTTCCACCACGACGCCACTAGCCGTCTGGGGCACCACCTGGCCACCTTACGGTCAAATTATCCCTGTTACAACCACTGTCGATGAGCCCAAGCCAACTGATGACGGCGTGATCGTGCCTTGCAGGGCTTGGTTTTTCTTCATCTGCATCTCGTGGGGCGAGGTCCACATCGGCGGTTGGCATTGGATCCTGCCGCCAGGTATTTACGGGCCTGGCCCACCGCCAGTCGGTCTGATCAGGTGGCCCCCCGGCATTTCCATCCAAGGAAATTTGCCGAACTGGCCCAAGATCACCATTGGGAAAGACAACCAGATTACGACTGAGGAGAAGAGCGAGTGCGAAACGCAGACTGCCTCAGCATGCACTACTACAACCTACGTGTCAGCTGGCACGACGCTCTCGTCAGCCTCCATGTGCGAGACCATCTCGGGCTGCTCTATCAGCGTCTCAGACTCGTTCACCGAGGTCATTGGCACGCAGACACCGGCACCCATCGGCACGTGGTACGCCGAGGCCTGGCCGACCATGTCGCTGGGGGATGCTTACACTAACTCAGTATTAGATGAGCTGAGCTCGAGGCTGGCTCAGGAAGATATGAGCGCCGACGGGACAACCCTTAGCTTCACGGGTGGGGCAACTGCCGGTCCTCGGTGCGCGGGCGCCAGCACTGCCTGCGGCGGGACATTGTGCGTGGGCTACTGGTGCACACCCAGCCCAACGGGTTACCCGCCCGACTACCAGGACCCCAAGGACCCTAACTCGGGCGGCTACTCGGCACCCACGACAACCATCGGCGGCTCGACAACGACGAGCAGCAGCAGCAGTAGCACGACGCGTGTGTGTACCGTGACTGACGTGTGCAACTGTGACGAGCGTGAATGCGACGAATGCTCGCCGCCCTGCTGTCTCAACGGCACATGTGGGACTACTACTACATCGACGACTACGACGGGTCCTCCTACCCCTCCTCCTGATCCATGTGACGGCTTCGATTGTCGGGCATGCGGAACGCCTTTTGATGATCCATGCTGCCAGAGTTATTGTCAATAACGTAGGGGCGGAGGGATGATGCCTTTGGTAGGTAACTGATGATGTGAAAGGGGTAAATGCATTCATGCAGCAGGTATATTTTCTGTAAGTTATCAAGGTAGACTTCAAGAAGTTGATCAGTTGATAACTTGATTGAGCCAGAAGTTGTATTGATTTAGAATGAAAAGTTGTACGAACAAACGGAGAATTCGAAGTTCATCAAATATAATATAACTAAGGTTAGGTTACTATGTAGGTAGAGTTACATGATACATGAGAATGCTAGAGAATGCAAGTGAGTTAGTACCTACTCCTTAGTCATCAAGATCCACATGACACCCGAGCTTATCGCCTTATCTATCAATTCTTATCGATAAAGCACCTAGTACTTAGTAAAACGGGTTAAGTTACATAATCTCTTAAAATTAATAGGGGCAGAGAATAGGGGTAACTTCGGCCTACCAACCATTCAATTCATGCCATTCTCTAACAATAGATACAAGCTATATGTAAGCACGACAACGCGCGTAGATGGAACACTCCTAATTTCGTATAAACAAACGTTTTATTCATTATATGGGAACAAAAGCGAAAGCTTACCATACAAAAGAAGCAACAAGGATCTTGTTACTTATCAAGCCCCTCAGGTAAATATACACATTTCAGTAAAAATGCGCTGTTTTCTATGAGAAAATCTGCTGTTTAAGGTAACAACGATTAGGAAAGACAATGTACGAGGGAAAATGGCATCGTTTTCTGGAGTGACATATTTCCATCTGTTGGATGTAGTAGCCCTATTCATAAATACCAGCTCTCTAAGATTCCGGCCTGTGCCATCCTAAAAGATTTGTAGCACGATTACCCGTCAATTACCTATGATTCTAACTTAGTATGGCGAACTCCGCAAGATATAGACACATAGGAATCCATCTCCCATTCCAAGTCACTGAAGACCCCACAAACACTTGGACGATTGACGACAAAATTACTAGTGATGGGTTCATATTAGTGGAAAAGGTTATGGACAATGAATATGTTGTGCAGTCCGTGAGAACAGGGGATCTTTTCGTAAACAAGTTATACACTCGTGCGGAGAACCGTTATGACAGGCCCGGAGAAGTTCGGATTTCGACCGCGCCGAACGCAGATTGCCAGCTACCTGGTCCTTATCGACTCGGACTTAAAGGAGTCAACACAATAAATTTTGCAGAACTTGTCTGCTGGCAAAGGTTTCCCACCGGTGCTTGGTCCCTATATTTCCGGTGAGTTTTACAATCTAGCCTCTTCTTTGATAGGAATCTGCCTGGTAGGAATTTATTGACATTGGTAACTGCAGACATTATAACGGTGGTAATTTGGCTATGTTTATAGGTAAGTTTGGAGACCAAGATCGAGCGGTTCCAGAGCATATGATTTGGGTAAGTTGTAGGTAGAGCTTCTGAAATATCATGGTCCCCTGGGGCTTGTTCCGTATGCAAGCAGAACTTTAAAACTAATAACTCTTTTTATAGCACGTGCTTGAGAGGCTTAGCGAAGCTATTAGATGCCTTTACTTTGGTATAGATCCAGGTATGCCTCCGAGAAGTGCTCGAGACCAGGAGGACTGGATACGTAAGTTTAAAGATTTATACATTCCCTGGTCCAAGTTCTATAGACTGACAATATCTACGAGCAGCTATTTCCCATCGGGACCTTTCACCGGAAAATGTCTTAATTCATTATCATGATGGACGCGCAGGCCAGATCCCAATATCCGGCAGAGAGTCTTACGCCTTTCCTGAAAGTAAGTAGTCCTCATTCTAATTACCGGGTCAAAGGTTCAAAGCCCTATAATATCGAATAAACATAATCAGAGGAGAAAGTGCTAACCCTTCACTTCATAGTCATTACAAGTAATCTTGCCCGGTCGGCTTTTCAGACCGATCTCCCAGAAATGGTACGTTTCGGCATTGATTCGGAATTCCTATTCCGTCCATGGGAAGACGTGGTAAGTATAGGTAGCAATAATCATTTTTTCGACGCGTAAAATATTTCCCTCAAGAAGCCCTTCAAGTTCCTTCACTTTCTATTGCTAACGTGTAGCAGTAGGTAGCATCATTTTCATCAGCATTACCCAGCCGATCTCAAGTACTTCTTTGTAGAAATACGAACCTCCTTTCGCTGGTATCCTGTGACGCGATCCCGGTACTAACTGTTTTATTAGATATTGTCTAGGAGAGATCCTCCGACAGATGTGTACAGCTAACCAAGATTTCTACACACCCGCGAGCGAGATAAACGGAAATATTGGTCCCAACGATAGACCTTATTCGGAAGATCTTATTACTCTACTCGAACGATGGGAATATCCCGCTTGGGATGACTTTACTATCTCGATAATGCAGAATCACATAGGCCAAGATGGTTCTGAGGTACCTAACTATGAATACATCCCTACAGCTCGGTGGGTTTCCGATGTATTGTTAAGTGTGGCTCGAAGGAAAGTCCGACGATATCGAGGCATTTCTAAGCGTCCTCGAACATATTTCCGTGAAATTGATGTTTCATGGACGAGACCGGAGAGAATTATGCCTTACGAGTAAGTTGAGCCTAATTGAGTGCCAACAAGCATTCCTTTCCTTTTGAACTACTTAGATGGGTAGGCATATGAGGAACCACATAACTAACATTATTCTTAATTAGGTATTTTGAGACGTAAGTAAAGCCTCCAAGAACTACTAATCCAAATACCTAGGTAAACCTTGAATGAGGAGTTTTAACAGATTTTATAGAGACTTTGAAGACCTCAAGACGGAGTCTGACAGTGACATTGGCGCAAAGATCCTTGCCGGTCTGCCCCCCTCCTTTGATATAGAGCGAGCAAAGTTTGGACCGCTTTTATGGTGGGAGGAGGTACGGCCGGCCCACGAGACAATAACCGTTCTGTATAACCGCGCATATATGCAAAATCTGCACAACTTGCCACCACCAGGCCCATACCGATCCCCACCACCAGACGGCGACTCAGCTTCGAGCGAGGACGGCGTATCTGATGGATACTTTGATAATGATAACGACGGTGACTATGCGCCCTAGTTCCGACCCATATGCTTGAGCATATTTGATCAACTAGGTTGTTTATATTCGATCTTGGATGCAATACGGCATTGTAGGCACCTATAGTTGTTGCCTCGAGCTCTATATCCGGCGGAAAGCGAGTAGGTTAGTACCTAGGTATCTACCTAGTCTTGCAACACCTTAAGGGCGTAGCGCGGTAGGCATTGGCGAAGGATATGATATAAGGGCCAGGGGAAATACGAGCTGGGCCTGCCTACGATTCTCGTAGCTCCTATATATACCTAGGAAATTGAAGATTTTCTAGATAAAGAATATCGTGTAATACCCAATTATCGTATGTATTATTAATAAGTGACGACTCTGTATTGATTCAAGAAACCCACCAAGTTACCGTTCTATTATACGCACTTCTGGTCCCCTTTATTTCCATCCGTCATACGACCCTTATGTTATATTGTACAATCTTCTGTCTCACCGCTGTTGAAATATCAAGAAGAATCAAGTACTATCGTAACACTAAGCAGCTCTCGCAGCATTCCACTCAACCCACTCTCTTTCCCACTCCTCCCTCTTCGGGTCGTTCATATTCTCTAGCTGTATAATCTGCTTCGGCGGCAAGTTGCGTCTAAATTTCCAACTTGGTTCTACTTGGAGAAGTTCCGATGGCGGAGGAGGGAGTATTGCGACAGTATTACGAGGGCCGAGGGACACGTTGAACGGCTTGAACATAACCATCATCTGGCTAGGATCGACACCTTGGCCTACGCTATATAACTCTGAGCCCTCTCGGAAGATCTTGATGTATTTATCAATGACTTCTTCTACTGCCTTCATGATTGAGTGGAGCATGAGAGGGCCGGTGGTCGTTGGGAGTTGTACGTGCATGATAGGTACGAATGTCAGCCGTTGGGCTTCCTCCCATAGCTTGGAGCCTCGAGTAATCAACCTTTTCGGGTCGACTTTGGCCCAGTAGTACTGGTAAGGTATAGTACCTACTTCTTGCGTTCGGAACGTGACACTAAGCCCATTCCATGGGCCGATCAAGCTACGGACTGCGTCAAGTGTGTCATCTCTGAGGGCATGTTGCGGGCTAGCCATGATGAGGCGCTCGTTTATGTAATGAATCGTTTTCAAGGCTTTCCAGGGATTGGTTACCACCTTTGGACAAGTTTGACACGTTGTTGGGGGCGATGGAGCAGGGGGGAGACGAAGAAGCTGGGTGGTACATATATATATGAACAAACGACAAGGCGTCAGTGATGCATTTCCACAAGCTACTAATTCAATAGTCACTTCATCAGTTTTATCATTTTCAATAGTAACCCGCCTGGGCAGTCACAATAGCCTGCTGTCACTTAGTCACTACTCCCAACTCACGTCTGAGTTATCAGTGGCCTGATTCAGGGCAACTGACTTCCACGACAGCGTTGAAATCATAACATACTTAGCATAGGTAACATAGGTACTTACTTACCTAGGTAGATACCTGAAAGAAAGGCAGTTCATCATAATAATGATTGTATCTACCTAGGTAGGTTAGCTCCTTATGAATGTGCCGGTACATAGATACTATTCGTATTACTGAGGCTCAAAATCCTTACATATGTAAGTATCAGCAGGTTGATCCTTCACCTAAATACTAGGTACCCTTCAAGGAACAAGGCGACTGGGGTATTACAAACCAACATTGAAGGCAAATTAAAGTAGTACATGCATGTACTACCTCTTAAATGTACTCTGTAACGTTGTAGGTACCTAGTGTATGCAGCCTGCTTGCCTAGCTATGCCAGTGCGCAGGGGCGAGGCAAAGCATGCCACAACCGCTGAGATACATCTATGGATGCATCCCAGGCCATCCCTACTACCTAAAGGTTGTAGGATACTTGTTTATCAGCTGAAAAGAAAATTAATACCTCAACGGGCTTTGTGTCTTACAGCTTGTGACACCAAAGTGCAAATCTACCCATGTCTGCACATGAAAAGCAAACGCAACCCTGCACCCGTGAATATATGATATCTGTAGAAAGGGAGAATACTATATAAAAGTTCATGATGCGTGTAACGATTTCGCCAAGTCCCACCAGCGCAATCATAATTCAACACCCTAGGTAACACCATATGTGGGTTAATAAACAAGCCTGCCCCAGCCCTAAGCGCTCGGCGGGAGGCTGTTACAGCCATCTCCCCCAACTGGCCTTGCTAGGATTGCCTCGCATGCGTACGACGGAATGCTCAACGAGCTGCACAAACTGATTCGAGAAACTTGAAAGAAAGGATACCCCTGAATCGCAATTTGCTAGGAATGGCACAGCTCGGGAGGTGTTACAGTCATGTTACTTAAGACGTTTCTTTCGGGCCCTCGTACCTCCTGACATCTCCATAGAAGATGACTTCGGGCCCGGTATCACCACAGATATCCTGATATCGAGGATAGAAGAAGGAGATTCATATGACCTCTTGGCCACTTTAATCTACGCATATTGTACAAGGGAGGCTGCTAGAGGGTTTATTCAAACATTTCTCCCGTGCTCCCCAGACGCCTGGTCCGTTCGCCGTAGTACAGACCCCAAGATTGGTCGCCTACCGGTCAACCGTGAGCAACTTGCGCAGATACTTGGCACCAATAACGACCCAGGCATAAAAGCTTTCCAGACACGCAACCATGCTTTTGTCCTATTACGCTTGTGGGGGGGGATTACACGCAGTTATTCGACAGCAGAAGCCAAAGACTCCCTTATGTACTCGAGTCAAAGTCTCCAATCAAGGAACGAACTGGCGTCTATCGGTTTGAAATTGCCGCGGGACACCTGTATTACCCACGCTCCTCGTCGGTGAATGTGAAGCCGATAACGATGGCGCGGAAAGACTTCAAGAACAGAGACGAGTTCAGGACGGAAATCGAGAATATCAAACAGATATTCTTTACGCTGCGAAAGTCCGAGAACATCCTCGAGGCGTTCGACGGTCTTCAACTGGGCGACAGCCAGTTTAGTTTGTTCATGCCCTATTCGCAATGGGACCTTGGGGTATGGATGGAGAAGCACCCCTTTCCCGTCAACACGCCTACCGAGAAAGCAAATATCTTGAGAAGCGCAACGAGCCTGGCGGATGGTTTGGAGTTCCTGCACTCCGGGATGACAGACCGCAACCACAGGCGCATAATTTGCTATCACAGGAACTTCAAGCCAGGAAACATCCTCGTCTTTCCCGACGACAGAGACAGCAGCCAGTTCATATGGAAGATCTGCGACTTCGGCATATCCAGCATCAAGTCGCTGCGCCCGCATACCGAAACGGACGGCACAGACAGCAATTCTTCTTCGTTCCAAAGCGACGTGAATGCGATGAATCCTCGGGTTGACAGCACTTACCTGGGACCTGAATCCATGAAGAATATGTCGATAATGACCGAAAAGAACGATATTTGGTCTTTGGGGTGTATCATAAGCGTTGTTCTCACGTACCTCGAACTAGGGTGGATGGGCGTCGGGGACTATTCGAAAGAGTGAGCGAACCATTCCGAGACCAATAAAGCAGGGAATATGGGTCGGTTCTTCATACCTGGCCCAAAGGTACTTGGGAAAACTATGAAGAAAAACACCTACCGAGTCTTTATCGCTGCGCGCTAGGTAGCTAACAACCCATTCCGCATAGATCTATGGATGGATAGAAGTAGCTACAGGTGCCATCAAGTTAACTTTCTTTGCCATTATTTTCATTGCATTGATTCTGTTCTCCAGGTCTTCAACTTAAAATTACCCCTATCTGGGAGTGGCACTAAAGCCAATGGATGGATAGGTCATCAAGGAGACATGCCCGTCGATGGGACTACTTTCAACCATTCAAGTAAGTTGTTAATCAGGTCTACTCCAACGAAACCAAATGCTTCATACCAACATCTTAGACTGGGACAGCACAATACCGTGGACTTACCACGACCCCGTCGCAGCCAGAACGTACACGCAGAGCGGCATCTTCATCTCTCTCGGCGTTGACGCTCGAGACTGCAACCTCCCCCGGTTTAGCTGGCTCGAGCAAACACCCATCTACCTGAACCCGCCCAGTATGATGAGGCTCGATCAAGCAAGTGCCAGTCCCAACCAGACCGAGTCAGCCTTCGTCATTGATGCCAGCCAGCACAGTTCTCCCGGACTAGCAAAAACCTTCAACGGCTTCCTCTTGTTCACCGCTCTTACATGTGCGATTTCGAATCTGTATCTCGCTTCGAGAACATTATTTGGCCTGACGAACCAGCTGCAGAGTGGTTCTAAAGACTGGTACATTAACGTGCTCACTTGGTTTGGGAAGACTAACAGTTACCGAGTTCCCATTTGGGCCATGACGGGTTCTGCTTTTGCTTTCGCGTGGGCGCCATTCCTACAGCTATATAGGCAAGCAGGGAGAACTGCCCCCGGGATTGGCAGCGCGAGTTCCCACGCCCCAGCGCTTTTTCAACACCTCCTTAACAAAGTGTTACCCAGTTTGTCGACATACTCTCAGCGATGGACAGCGTTGGTGCGCTTATCGTCTGGGCTTGCCAATGCTGGGCATTCATTCAATACTATCATTGGTGAGTTTGATATAATACAACCGGGCTGTTTCTCACGAGGTTCATGCATGTCGAACCGCGGGGGTGAAGATGACTATCCATATTATAGTAATGGGCAGCCGCTTACAGCATATTTGAGTTTGTCAGGCTGTCTACTCATTTTTGTCGTAGTCAACGGTTCTACCTTATGGTCGGGCTTTTATGCGGCCCCATTCCTATCTTCGTACCTCCCAGTAAGTTGGCCCACAACCCCTTTGCCAATGGCAGTATCTAAAACGAGAGCACTTAGGTTATCATATTCCTAGTGCTTTGGGCGCTGCTGAAGGTTTTTCGAAACGGACACCGAAGGCTTGTTAACCTTTCGGATCTACCTAGATACAGTCATGAATATTATCCACAAGTTGGAACATTTAACCTTTGCGGGATTTCATAACGAGCCGACGTCTGACGAAACTGAGGGTTCGTCTACATGGCTGCCTTCTGTCGTTTCAGATTGGTTCTTTCGCAAGGGAGACGCGAGTCAAGTGGTCAACATACCCCTGAGAAACATTTAAGCCTGGCTTCTATCTCCGACGAAGAAATTTGCAATGCAATAGCTTGTATGATTCGCTGTAATGTTTTCCTAAACAGAACAATAAATAGACATCAAAGATGAAAAAGAAAAATTAAATCTAAAAATAGGAGGCTAAATCCAGGGTACCTAGTGTTGGAAACGAAAAAAAGGAAGAAAAAAAAGAGTTTTCCACGCACTATATTCCCTTAGTGTACTATGTAGGCCACTCATTACGTACCTAGTACTATTCATATACCGAATTTTCCTGTCACACATCCACAAATCAATCATACAAAGGCCGCTTGGCCCAATGGTAAGGCGTCTGACTACGACGGAACATGTGCAAGCATGAATCGTTCAGGTTATCAGGAGATTCTGGGTTCGAGCCCCAGGGTGGTCATTAGTAGATTGAGGCTTGAGATAACTCAAGTCAAACAGCCTTTTTACTCTTTTTATCCATGAACCTTTTTACTTTTGGTATGTTGCGTCTTTATTTTCTATTTGTTGCTCCGGGCTCGCTTAGTGGAAACATGCACTAAGGTCAAAGCTAAGTCTAGTTTGTCCTTTTTATAGCAAACTTCACCCCCCTTTCTTTTCGTACCAACAACATCGCATAGAGACCCAGTGTTTACCTCCCTAGGATCGTACACGCAAAACATCAAGATCAATAATCATGATTTTCTCATTTCTACAGAGACAAAACGATGAAAATACCTGGTATATGAATACCTTGTATGGCAGAACCGCGGACGGCTCTGCACTATACCATGGATTAATCAGGTAGCCCCTGAATTGGGAAAGAAGAGCTCACTGGCTATATCCACGTATATAATTCTAGCTTTTGATGACATTCTCAATGAGTCTCCGAGTTTGAAAATTTCATGGAATGCTGGCCCCTTCACCAGATTCCCTGCTCCCTCTTATAATAATAGACTTATTTCGTGTATCGTCTATTGAAGGCCCACCAGTGCAAGACATAACAGCTACCTCGGTAGCTCATGATTCTGCTACAAGCCTGGGAAGTCTTCCCCAGCCCATCGTAATCTGGAGAGAATCTTGCTGGAAGAGTCCCGCTTTGGCAGGCGGTGTGTACCTAGTAGCCTATCGTGGTTTTCGTTTCTGGGTCCCAAGCTTACTCTACCTTACATGAACCCTTTTGGTTGTCGCATTGTGGCTCGGCCGATTTACAATCGGGAAATAACGTCTAATCTTCCACATCAAGCAAGTGGATAGCCCAGCCATTGAAGAAAAAGTGAGGACACAATGGGATTTTATCTCTCCCTCCCTTTTGACAATGCCGGGGGAGAGTCCGAGAGAGAGAGATGTGAGATTTAAGAACAAAGGAACATCGACGTTAGCAGAGTATCATCGCGGCTCTTTGATCATACCTGCAATGCAACACCCGTGACTACTTTTGGTTGTGTCACGTCAGCGTCAGCACAACTGCCTCTCATCCACCACTTACCCCTCCCTGACTACCCAGGCTTGAATTCAACAGAACACACAAGATTTCATAGCAACGAAATCTCACCGCTTCAAATGTTCGACAGAGCGCAAACCTTCCCGCTCAGCTATCGCAAGCTAGCCCCGGAGAGCCGCCATGAGGAATGGATGGTTTCCGCGGCCACACCCTACTCGAATGAAGAGCAGAAGCGCGTATGCTACCCCAACCTCGAGCCATGGTGCGCGCAGGACGGGGAGCGGCACCTGAACAGCGACCTCGAGGAGACCATCAAGGAGCTTCGAGCCAACGACAAGTTCCTGGGCTCGAAAGTGGGGCTGCAGGAAGAGTGGTCCATCAACTTCGAGAGCGCCTACCGACGACTGGAAGGGTCCGATGCGGCTAACGTGCCCACGATAATGCTAGTGGCCTGGAGCGAGGACGATCGCGAGTACGACATCGATGACGAGGATTTGTGGATCGAGGCGTGTAGGGAGATCGTGACGTTTCTGAGAGACAAGAACGCCGCTTATTTCGGCGTTGAGATCATTCATTGGGACAGGCTGGATTACCAGGTCGTGACATCCAACGACCCGGTCAACATGTAATGGCTAATTTGAAGTTATTCGTATTTATAGAGGGAGGGAGTCAAGGAAGCAAACAGAGTAAATAATGGGTCACGGTTAGGCCAATTTCACCTACGATCGTTTATTTGGGTACGGTTGAATCTAATAAAGAAATTCCCAAATTCTAGAGTAGTTGTGCTTACATCCATGAATCCTCTTGGATGACAAATAGAGCAGCCTAGAGTGGAATTCAACATCCTTCAAGAAAAAAAAAAAAAAAAAAAAAAAAAAAAGACACAAAAGGGAAGAAAAACAGAACGGCGCATGCCGGGGGTTAAAGAAGATTAACTCCGGCCGCCGGTCTCGGCGTCAATTCGGATGGCTGGCGAACCCGGAGCTCAATTTTTTCATTTCTTTTTTTTTCCTCTTAACTATTAACTAAAACGAATGGTGTCACTACAGGGCTACTAGGCAGCTAAGTAATACTTATACCTGCTACTATGGAATATCTCGACGTCACCGTTTTCCCCCATTCATATCCAGCCAATTCCTTTGTCCTCGTCTCGCATCTGTGCCCACCTACATAGACACATTACCCCAATGTAGCCAGTCCATACAACCATAAAATGGCAGCCGAGCAGAAGCACAAGCCGGCAGAGGCCAACAAGAACTACAAGGGCTTCGTGGCCGGCGTCTTCTCCGGCATTGCCAAGCTGACGGGTATGTAACTTCCCGTCCCAACCTTTTTTTGCGACGAGAGTTTCCGATGGGAATTTTTCAAGATAAATCACGGAAGTAGAAAAAGAAAAAAAATAATATCAACCGCTAACCCCCCATCCCAGTCGGCCACCCCTTCGACACCATAAAAGTGCGCCTCCAAACCACCGACCCGTCTCGCTTCAGCGGGCCCCTCCAATGCCTCGTCTCCACGGTGCGGCACGAGGGGGTCCGGGGCCTGTACAAGGGCGCGACACCACCCTTAGTCGGCTGGATGTTCATGGACTCCGTGATGCTCGGCTCGCTGACCGTGTACCGGCGCCTGCTCGCCGAGCACGTCTTCCAGCACCAGCTGACCCCTTCTCACCCCGGGGCCAGCACCGTTAAGCCCGAGACCGAGGGCCCCATCGCCGCGACCTCGCACGCGGCGGCGCACCTGCCCTCGTACGGCCACGGGCTCGCGGGCGTCATGGCGGGCGCCACCGTGAGCTTCATCGCCGCGCCCGTCGAGCACATCAAGGCGCGCCTGCAGATCCAGTACGCGGCCAAGAAGTCGGAGCGGCTGTATTCGGGGCCGCTGGACTGCGTGCGCAAGATCTACGGCGCGCACGGCGTCGCCGGCGTGTACAAGGGGTTTTTTGCTACCCTGCTATTCCGCTCCTTTTTCTTCTTCTGGTGGGGTTCCTACGATGTGATCACGCGCATAATGAGTGATCGGACCACGCTCAGCGCGCCCGCGATCAACTTCTGGGCGGGCGGGCTGAGCGCGCAGGTTTTCTGGTTGACGAGCTATCCGAGCGATGTGGTGAAGCAACGTATCATGACGGATCCAATGGGTGGAAAGCTCAACGATGGAACACCAAGGTTTAGGAATTGGGGGCAGGCGGCCAAAGCTGTGTATGCAGATGCTGGTGTTAAAGGATATTGGAGAGGATTCGTGCCTTGTTTTCTAAGAGCATTTCCCGCCAATGCCATGGCGCTGGTCGCATTTGAAGGTGTCATGAGGGCATTACCATGAACTACTACCAATACGAACAGAGAATATGTATAAGAGAGTAATACTAGTCACCACTTCACGATGCAGGCGAAAACTGAAAATATTTGCTTTCACTGGCAGATTTCGGATTTCGGATTTTGGAGTTCTTTCCAGAAGTCCAAATCTATCTATGATAAAATAGAAGTGTATGTCCTACGCCGAGTCCATGCACTATCGTCGGTCTGTTTCCCTTGATTTAATATGACACTGACAAGTTCTAGTCTAGTCCTCATCGTCATCAGCCTCGTCGTTAACGACGTTGAAGAACTTGAGCTCGTAGACTCCCTTGGAGGTCGAGACCACACGGAGCCAGTCACGGAGCTGCATCTTCTTGAGGAACTTCTTGGTCCTACACGCAACGAGCATTAGTATCAAATTTTGCGATATTGGGTATGCTTATCGAATGGGGAAAGACTCACAGGTACTTGAGGTATCGACCAGAGAGCTCATTGTGGGCAATGATCTCGATCTTGCCCTCGCCAGCCTGCTGGATGACAATGGTGTCGCCGAGGTTACCAGTGCGGCCATCGATCTTGATCTTGTCCTGGAGGAACTTCTCGAAAGCGGCGGTATCGAAGATCTTGTCGCTAGCGGGCTGCTGGGCGTTGATGACGAACTGTGTCGCATGTAAGCATTTTTGATCGCAAATAGGATTAGGAAATGGAACCGGTTTGATTGCGACTTACCTTCTTCGTCGTCTTGGCCTGCTTGCCGGATTTCTTCTACATGATGAAAATTGACCTTAGCCTACTGCTTCACGCCATGATCTCGCTGAGTGCCAGAGAGACTGGGCCAACAGCAAAGCGGTGTCAAGTTATACATACTGCCTGGGGAGCCATTGCTAATGATTTCTGGTAATAACGCAAAGAGGTCGAATCCTGCGTCTAGAGATAGGATTTGGTTGAGGGTGAAATTTTGGGTGAGGGAAATCGTTGTGATCCGTGATGAGGAAAAGGGAAAAAATAAGAATTTCGTTACAATTTCGACTCGAACTTTTTGGTGTATCGAAAAAGCTGCAAGTGGGGCTATCGGATAGGGCACTATCATGTGGTCTGTGCATAGAATTTACGTACCTGGGTAGCCACAGTGTATTTAAACAGTCCAAAGACATGGCTAATTACGGTGTTGCACACATGCCGGACTCCGTGCTGCCCGTGAATGTGTAATTATGGGGATTAACTAGTTATCTAAGACTAAAAAAGCAGCATTGAAGGTGCCGAGGTTTACTGTAACGTATCTAAGAGACCTATCCCTGCAAGTCCGACGATAAAAGTAGAAAAGCTCAATTATCAAGTACCTTCCCACGCAAATGTCTAGTAAAAATACATTCATGTACTATGCCTGAGCAACCAGGTACCAATGACATCGGACCAAAACCTGGAAAGCATCATTTGATCCGTCCATTGATTATTAACTATTAGTTAACGTAATTAACGTAAATATTCCAAGTTCAATGTTGTTGATCTCAGTGTCTCATTCAAGTCCTCAAGGTTGAGATCTTAGTGAGACTTTGAAGTTGAATTGAACTCCATGTCCCCAACATCCAATTATCTCAATTCTTCCTTAATAATCTGCCACCATGAAGCCTGATATCAAGATTCCCCCGTTCGAGGCCACGTCAATTGATGATATCGCCAAGATTGCCGCCACGGCCCGTGAGTCGTTTCGATCCCAAAAGACCAAGGATGTCGAATGGCGTCTTGTTCAGCTTCGAAAGCTCTACTGGGGCGTGACGGATTACAGTGAGAAGTTCCAGGCTTCCTTGCAAAAGGACTTTCGCAAGCCAAATGGTGAGGCGGTTTTGACCGAGATCCACCATGTGATTCAGGACCTCGATGTGATTATTAAGAACCTGAAGCGCTGGGCGAAGGATGAGAAGAGCATGGAGTATTCATGGACTTTCATGCCCATGAAACCTCGTGTCAAAAAGGAGCCTCTAGGAGCCGTATTGATTATTGGCACTTACAACTTTCCTATGATGCTCAATATCGCCCCTTTTATGGGCGCAATTGCTGCGGGCTGCACCGCCATCATGAAGCCTTCCGAGAATGCGCCTGCCACTGCCATGGTCCTAAAGGAGATGGTCGAGAAGTACCTTGACCCGTCATGTTTCTTCGTCGTCAACGGAGCCATCCCAGAGACCACGGCCCTACTCGAGGAGAAGTGGGACAAGATTCTTTACACCGGAGGAAACACTGTGGCCAAGATCATCGCCAAAAAGGCCGCTGAGACACTCACACCCATCACCCTCGAGCTCGGTGGCCGGAATCCTGCCTTCGTCTCCAAATCCAGCGATCTAGCTTTGGCCGCTAGACGTCTTCTATGGGGCAAGACCAACAACGCCGGCCAAATTTGCTTATCGCAGAACTACGTGCTCGTCCACAAAGACATTGTCCAGGACTTCATCAAGCAACTGCTCGTACAACAAAAAGTGTTTTATCCTGATGGCCCTAAGGCGAGCCAGGATTATGCTCGTATCATCAACGAGAACCAGTTCGACCGCATTAAAAACTTGATAGACACGACCAACGGCAAGATTGTCATGGGTGGGGAGACGGATAGATCCGACCTATACATTGCGCCAACCGTCATACTGGTGGACTCTATCGAGGATCCCGTGATGCAGAACGAAACCTTTGGCCCGGTCTGGTCGATCATGCCCTACGACACCGTCGACGAGGCCATCCAGATCATGAACATGGTCGATTCGACGCCCCTGTCCCTCATGGTACTCGGATCCAAAGCCGAGAATGAGAAAAGTAAGTTGTCCAGGGCTTCCCACCTTTCCCAGTCTTCTAACTCTGACGGCTACAGTCATCAACAACGTAACCTCGGGCGGCGCCAGCATCAACGACGCCTGGATGCACGCCGGCATTCCAACTATACCCTTTGGCGGCGTCGGCCAGTCAGGCATGGGCTCGTACCACGGCCGCTCATCCTTCGACTGCTTCACACACCACCGCTCCATTGTCGAGGTCCCCGGCTGGGCCGACAACCTGCTGCGCGTGCGCTACCCGCCCTTCTCCGCGCCCGACTTCAAGCGCCATATGTGGATGACGGCGCCGCGCCCCAGCTTCGACCGCGACGGCCGCCCCATCTCCGGCCTCCGCTACTGGCTCTGGCTCGTCACCGGCCTCGGCGGCCCCGCCTCCGCCTCCTCCGCCAAAGGTGCGTTGTTGCTCCGCTGCTGCCTCGTTGTCCTCGCCTCCTCGTACGCCGCGTATTCCCGGTACCGCAGGTCGTGATGGATTTTTATTTTCCTTCCCTTTTTCTTCTTCTTTCGCTACTTACCTATCATTCTTGTTAATTATTTCCCCTCTACCTCCTCCTCATCCTCATCTTTTGCTGTTTTTCTTTTGTCGCATAGCCACTGATTCATATATATTCTAGACTGAAAAAGCATTGGAGGAGGAAATGGGTATTTTGATTAGATGAGTAATAGTGAAGAAGAGGGGTAGGGAAAGGGAAAGGCGCTTCGTTTATTCTTCATTGTTTTGTTGGTTTCGTCTTGACCTTTTTTTCCTCTTTCAACGACCAACAACAACCAACAACCAACAACCAACATCCCTTAATAGGTCCCCTGTTATGCATAGGTGCATATGTATGCATCTGGTCTGGCTGACTAATATCGCAACATCACGACCTACCTAATGCATGTACGAGCAATACCTCGATGCGCTCTCCTCATTTAAGTAGGATAATACTGCCTACATACCTAGGTAGCTGCCTAGATTTACTTAACACATACACGCGTTGCCGTTCTTCCAAGCTTTTATCGTCGGTGTATTGTGTTGCAACAGTGTGTGTGCTGTAGATAGTAGGTTGTTTCTGCGGGGTCTAGTTGGCTTGAACATATTCAGAGCCAAAGCAGCAAAGAAATAGAAATCAGTGCCTATGTAGCTGCGTAGGTAAGTAGCAAGGGAAGGTGACTGACTTTAGAGAAAATAATGATGTGTGGATTATGTAAGGGAGTCGTGTAGTCTAGAATGAGTAAACGGTCTACCTAGGTGGTTGGCCATGGAGTGTATTGTATGTGCAAGACCCCAAACATATATCCAGATCGAGATACTGGAGATAGGTGATCAACGAGTGAAGTATAGAAGTGGTGGTATCTCATCTCTCATTTTCATTTTTCTTTTTTATGAAACTAGCTGATTTAGGGGTCCTAGCCCTTTCGATGGCAATGTTGCGTAGTAGGTATCTTTTAACAGAGCCTCAACACTGAAGTAAGCACCTGGGTAACCTAGTAGGTTGGATATCAATACCGTATGCATACCTAGGTGGGTACCTATTCAGATAGACTCAAATCCTAACCCTCTTCATCCTCGTAGCCAAATCACTACCCCGGGATCGTCCCTACCGCCCCGTAAGCGTCTCAGCCAGCCTCTTGCCCCTCTCTCCTCCCAAATACAGCGTGTCGTCTCCATCACCGTCAGCCCTCGCTATCTCAACAGCCTCGTGATACCCAGTGACCACCATCTCCTCGTCGACGCGCAGGCCGTGCTCGATGAGGGCCTGGATGACGCCGCGGACGCGGGCGATCTCGCGCATGGTGCCCGGGGGTATCGTGTCGTTCTGGCTCGAGTACACGTTGAGCCCCACGTTCTCCTCGATGCGCGTGATGCCCGGCCCCGACGACTCCGTCGCTGCCCCCTCGCCCTCCATGTGCCGACTGATCCAGATGTACCCGTTGACGCCCAACACGACGTCCACCTTCTCGGCGTCGTCGGCCGCTGCGCCACCGCCGCCAACGGCACGGCCTATGTCCAAGATGAAGGTCTGTCTCTTGGAACGGACGACGCCGCCGCCGCCACCTGTGCCCGTGACGGCCATGAAGACGCCATTGCGCAGCTTGCCAAAGCGCAATGAGCGGGTGTGCAGGACGGCGCCGCCATCGCCGTACAGCTGTTGGACTTCGGCGACCAGGAGGTCACCCTCAGAGAAGAAGGTGCGGATTTGCAGCTCATCGGTCTCGGTGCGGCGGCGCTGGATGCCGCCGGGCAGATTCACGGCGCTAAGCGGCAGCTGCGCGAGGAGCGAGGCGCCGACATCGACGCGCCACCGCTTCGCCTGGACCTCGACGATGCGTCCGACGACTAGGTCACCGATCTCGGGGGTATATCGCGCGCGTAGAGGTCGCACTGAAAGTAGCTTGTTGGTCTTGGCGAGGGTCCCAGCTACGGAGGATACGATGGCGGGGGGGTCGGTTGTGGTGTAAGTGCCATGGCCTCTGCAGTAGGTGAAAGCAATATTGCATTAGCCTTTTCTTTCTTCTACCTCGCTTATAGGATGAAGCTGTGTATACTATCTTACCGCATCCATTGCGGATCCTCTGTGATCACTTCGCCGGGCGTCACGATCGAGTAGCCGGCTGTCCTTCGAGCTCGCTTCGCTGGGCGTGTCATAGATATGTCGCCTTGCAGGTCGACCCCGCCGTCCGAATCTGAGTCTGAGTCGTATGTGTCATCTCCATGGCCATATGCTGGCGCTGCGGCCGGTTGTAATATCGTAATTGGCATATCGGGAGGTGTGATCTTGTATGGCTGGGGTGGTCAATTGATAGCGTTCTTTGCCAGAAATACCAGAAATAAAATACCAGAAATATAATTATTTTTGATGGAGCTTGATCCGTTTGCAAGCTATCATGCCCGTTGCTGTTATCGATAACGATGCATATGTCATCAAATGTATGTGCTTTGTACTTGTACCTAATACCTAGGTACTTACCTACTAGGGATGCATGGGTGTTCAGTTTTGGCATGTGATGCCTGATGTCAACTTTAAACAGTTCAATGTTCAGCTAACACCTGGTCGGGTCCATAATGCATACATGCCCTAAGTAGTAGAGGTACACATGCAGTACTCTCTGCTGCAACTCAAAACATTCCATGTATTCGTCTCGATTCTAACGATAACTCCATGTTGGCAACATAAGAGCATGCTATAACCTCATTTATATTGGTCTCATGGAGCCACGTTGGTTGAGGTTGAACCTCTTTCAAACCTCTCAGTTATTTGTCTTACGTCATCGTCACGAAGCCAAACCCGACGCATACCAGTAGAATAGACAGCTGTTCAGTAGACGATACTTATAAGAATTATCATAGTATTTGGAAACCGCAATGATGGATGACTATAGTGCAGACACCTTCGTTAACCGCGACGACCCCATCCCCACTGTTATCCTTGATGGGTCCGCGCCGCCTAGACCGCGCACTCCGTCAGCTTCAGCAGATCAGTCCGACGTTGAGACTCCCTCACAGCCCAAAGGTCTTCGAGGCCGTTTCTCTGCCTTCAAGGAGAAGGCCAAGATCCAGGACCAATTAGTCGAGAAGTTGCTAGCCCAAGTCGTACCTATGGAAGGTGCCCAGATCCCGCAAGATGAGTCGTCGCCCAAAAATGACAGCCCGGGCGTGGCGCGTCCCAACTTCAACTTGACCACCATGTCCAACAACTTCCGCCGTTTCAACTCCCGCATCGGCGTCGTCTTTGTCTTCCAAGCCCGCGTCATCCGCCTCCTATCTTGGCGACATCCCACACACACCCTATCTTTTCTCGCCATTTACACCTTCGTCTGCCTGGACCCCTATCTCTTGCCGCTACTACCCATAGCCATACTACTCATCGGCGTATTAATCCCAAGCTTCGTCGCGCGCCACCCGGCAACGGAGCTTAACTTGTCCAGCGACCAGGCTATAGGATACTCGCCCCATGGACCACCGCTGGCCCCCGCCATCACGGTCAAGCCCGTCAAGGAGCTGAGCCGGGACTTCTTCCTCAACCTGAGGGACCTACAGAATTGCATGGAGGACTTTACCCAATTCCACGACGGCATCGTCAGATTGGTCGTGCCACGGACCAACTTCAGTGACGAGGCCCTGAGCAGCGCCCTCTTCGTATTCCTATTCGCAGCGTGCATATTCATAAGCATAGCGTCGAACGTGCTGCCCTGGCGCCTGATCTTCCTCGCGCTAGGCTGGGCCGTCACCTGTGTCGGCCACCCCGCTATCCAGCGACAGCTCCTGTCCGCGCACGAGAAGCACATCCACCCGCAAGAAGCAAAGGCCAGGGGCTGGATGGAGGACTGGGTCGAGCGCGACGTCATCCTAGACAGCGCGCCGGAAACTAGGGAGGTAGACATATTTGAGCTGCAACACCTCTCCAACGCAGGCGAGTGGGAGCCCTGGCTCTTCGGCCCGTCGCCGTACGATCCCCTGTCGCACGCGCGCATCATCGGCGAGCGGCCGGCCGGCACGCGGTTCTTCGAGGACGTCCTGCCGCCGCAGGGCTGGGAGTGGAGCGAGAAGAAATGGGCCCTGGATCTCTGGAGTAGGGAGTGGGTCGAGGAGCGCATCATCACGGGTGTCGAGGTCGAGACGGAGGGCGAGAGGTGGGTCTACGACATATATGACGAGCATGCCGATAGGGTCGGGGTGGTGGAGCAGCCTGAGCCGTCGACGAAGGGGAAGGATAAGGCGACGAGATCGCCGTTTCCGAAGCCGAGTTGGGAAGAGGGTGAGGATGGCGATAGTAGAAGGGGCGTGTGGAGGCGGAGGAGGTGGGTGAGGCTTGTGAAGAGGAAGAATTTCCCCGAGGTTGCTGGTTAAGGGGATGGGAGGGGTTGATGTAGGTGCAGTTTTAATGAATATAGTAATAATCGGTATTGTGCGAATTTATTAGGCTTTGTGTGGATTTGTTAGTACCTAGGTACTGGGTAGATATGGCTTGGTTCATCGTGGGAAATGTATCGAGCGTAAGTGCAGTTTTACTAGGTTTACATCCCACCACGTACCCTAGTGTACGGAGACGGGCTACGATGTGAGGCATTGCCAGGGATTTAACAGCGATTATTGAAAATTGTAAATATACCTAGGTACTTAGGCATTGTTTCATTGGAAAGGACAAAGAATAGAAAGAAAATGGCTACCTAGGTAGGTAGGTATTCAGGGGTAAGACCACCAGAATTTAACAAGTCAATTTAGCGGAGTCTGTTGATGTTAATGGAAAAGAAATATAGGAGAGTGTCTTCCAGGGCAATTAAATATGTTTATCTTTTTATTCAGTATCTATAACTAGGTATCTACCTACGTCGGTAGGTATGCATACTCGTGTACATGAGTACGTGGAAGAAAGGCATAGGTTCCAGTTCATGTCACTTCGAAAAGGGGTTAATATGTATCGCAACTAACCGCAAACTGTATTCATACTAGGTATCTACCTAACTTACATAGCATTTTACATGCTTATCTATCATAGGTAGCTATAGAGAGGCCCCATCGCGCAATGGATATATGTCCTTGTCCCAGTTAGCGGTTATCGCTCATCATCCGATCCGGCGAATCAAGATTCCGGAGCGGGCCGGTCCTCCTTCAGGCGGCGCCACACATTCGTGTCCTTCTTCACGACGCCCCTGGTCATCAGGGCGTGCAGGAGCACACTGTGCAGCGGGACCCCCGCGTCGTGGAGCCGCACGACCATCCATCTCCAGGCGCCCCCGGCGCGCCGCCGCGACCATCAGCGCCGACGGCGGCGGCAGGCACTCGGTCACCTCCAGCATCGTCTCGAACGCCTCCATGTTGTTTGAATCCGACGGGGAGCGTGCTCTCGCCGAACACCGCGCCGGGACACTCCGCCATGAAGACGGCGGCGATGGCGCGCACCGTCGATACCGGCTGCCGCAGGAAGTCGATGGGGTCACCGATGAAATTGCCATGTTTTAGGTATGTAGAATATTTGAACACAACCTAAACATATACAATACCTATCCTTCGGTTTCTATTGTTCAGATGGGAGGAATATATTGTACTGTCTCTTTGAACACATTTACTACACATCAACTACTATCATCTCGAAACCATGAGGCCGTGGTCACACAATGCATTTGGGACGATGTCTAGCTACCGCATGCCATGGTTTTATATTGAGACAGTTTACTCTTACTATGTAACTATCGCTCAAGGCGAGCCTAGATACATACCTACCTATCTATTAGCTGGTATGGGTACCTAGTGTTGGGCCACCAGGATAATATTTACCCAAGGGGCGGTTGCCATACACCGTGCTTCAACTACCTATCAACAGTACGCTAAACCCCCGAAGAGGGCTCACTGTGAGTTTGAATTCTTCAATATCTGGCCACTTATAACAAGAGTTCTACTCGTCGATGTCCTTTCAATGCTATCATATTCACCTAGGTAGGTACAGAAGGTATATAAGTCTCCTATATTGAGATACTATCTTAAATTGGCGGCTTATGAAACTGAGCTCAACCATCACATACAAAATCATATTAACTAATAGTACCTAAGAACCCAACTGCATTCACAAATCTACCAATCTAAGCCTCTACATAACTAGATACAAACATCTATCAAGCAAAATGCTCACGTCAAGTCTCATTATATTATATTTTGAGCTAAGTTACCCACTCAAGGGTCGTGCCACTGAAGGGCCAACAATAAACCTCCCGGGACTATGAAACGAGGGTATCCAAAGTCGTGCCATTTCACATCCACTCCACTCCACTCCAGGCCTTAACTCCAATACAGTGCCACCAAGAAATTCCATTTCCTCTACGGGGGTCTTTTCCCTCGACACGAAAGAGATAAAACGACCTTGCCTGCCCACCATGTCACAGTTTCCTCTTCATACAACCAACTTGTCCAATATTTTCTGGATTTTGACGCTCTGCCCCTTGCCACTGTCGATTTCGTCCGCCAATTTCCTTGCCCTCGCAACCAAGATTGAGATAACCTTGGCCGTATATTCGAAAGTCCCCGTACTCTCCATGTATTTCACAGCATATCGTTTCACTTCGTCATCCGTCGTCTTCTGCTTCAAGATATTCAGGAGTTGGAGGTTCGAGGGGTTTGAGCGTATGCTATGAATGATAAGGAACGAGAACTTTCCCTCTGTCAAGTCTTCGCACAGCCCTTTGTTCTTGCCATATTCTGGACTTGACAAGTTTCTGTAGTCGTCCTGGATCTGGAATATGATGCCCATGATATTCACCAGGGGCACGCAATCGCCTTGAAAGCTCGACTCGGCTTGCATGAGTTTGATGGCCAAACGGAAGAGCCCGCCGGTCTTGTTCCCAACCATCTCAAGGTAATCTTCCTCGGTGGGGCAGGTGAGGGTATCACGCCAGAAGAGGTCTAGTCCTTGGCCGCGATGAAGGTTAAGCAACTCTTCGGTGTACACATTGATGGCCTCGGGATTCTTTAGCTTCTGCAGCTCTTGCAAGGCGCAAAAGTAGACGTAATTGGCCGAATTGATGGTTTGCGCGGTGCCGAAGATGCTGTGGGTAACAGGCAAGCCCCTTCGCAGCGAGGAATTATCCTCGACATCATCAACTAGCAAAGATGCTGTGTGTAACATGCCGACGACCTTGGTAATAATATCTAGGCTCTCCTGCGGCACTTCCAACCAGGCATTGAAAGCATTGACCATAAGTGTACGGAAATCCTTGCCAGGATGAGCGAACAGGTAATCGAAAGGACCCATGAGAACCTTCTCCTTTTGCTCAGTCCATGTCTTCCTTGTGGTGTAGTTTAGATCTTCGGTCTCATAGCGAGCAGGATCTTGAGAGCCGGTAGCGTGCATGCCTGTCAAGGGATTGGCGCTACTAAAAGATTCTCTTCGAAGACGGTTGTTGTTGTTGTTGTTGTTGGTATTCTGACCGAGCCAGTCTGATTCTGGAACAGGTCGTAAGACGGACTTGGCGGGAGGAAAAGGAGTGGCGTAACCAGTCGAAGAGGTTCTAGGAGGAATGGCATTGGGGGATTGGAGAGGGAGAGAGGTAGTACCGTTGGTGTTGGGAACCATGATTGCGTCGTAATGCGTAATGACCTCACTCCTTCTCCTCTAACGGAAGGAGAGATCTCGAAAACTAAAAACTAAAGAAGGTTGGGAAGCTGTTGGAGATTTATGGCTATCTACCTACAGTAGGTAGCCCTGTGCTGGCGTGAACTTAAATACCAAGTATCTAGGTAAGCATGTATCCATTCACCGTTCCAGGTACAACTTTGAACTGTTGGCATGTATGTGTCTCAGTGTCGCAGTAATATCGCAGTATCAAACTGGTCGGAAATATCGGTTTAGGCTGCTTTTGGTGTCGCATCGGTTTAAGTACTGTGATTTATTATGAATAAATACGAATTGTCATCATTAGAGCTGTAGAGGCGAGGCTTAGTTTCGTACAAATACAAATGCAGAAGGCTGCGCAAGCAATGAGTAACTACTTACCCTAACCTAGGTAGATGGATTGAATAATTGGGGGGAACTAATGCAAGTAACACCTTTTTGATCAAGGATGTTTTATGCGAGCTGCCTAGGTACTTTGTAACTATTCGTACACTGCCTGCATCTGCTATCACATGCATACTAGGTACATCATGTAGGTAATACAATGCCTGAGGCCCTGAACTGAACTGCTCGGATACTAGGTATATATAGTAGTATGTACAATGCGATAACTCCGAAGTCCATTTGACCATAAATTGTTGGGATCAGTCGATCTTGGGTTTGACAGAACGATGGCCATTCGATGTTGAACTTTCAGCGTTCACATGATAGGACACACTATCTAGGACTAGCTTAACGTACTGTGTACCTGTACGGTAGGCTGTACCTGCCTGATACCCCGCATTATTTCAAGGTTAGTACAGGATTCCACTGGTAGGTAGTTACCGTAGTAGGCACTAGGAACCTTGCCTTCAGCCCTTGAACATCAAACCCAAGGGTAAGGATACGCTACCACCTACCACCTACATGACCATTGGCCACCTAGGGTACCTACTGGTTGCCATATCAACAAATATTCTCCACTAAACATCGTGATCCTTGTTCCCAACCAGCACTTCGCATCCAGGATCTCCAGGATCGCAAACGTCAAATAACTGCCTGAGGGCATGTGTCTGTAACACCTACACTCCTTCTACATTCTTTTTTTTCACTTTGGTTTCTTCTGACGTTTAGCAATTCATTCCATTGCGATACCCTTCCAGTCTTTCTTTTCGTTCACTTGTATTAACACTCTACCGCTGTTGCTACGCAGTGGCCCTTTTTTGATTTTCCCTTCAGACTTGACTTGAACCGTCGTTATACCACCTCGTCGCATCTCAATCGCATTCTGATCGCATATAATTCTTGAGGACTTTGTTTCGTTGTGCGCACTATACCAAGATAAACCGCGTCACCTATACCGATCAGCCCCAACAATCGAGAATACATCGAAAACGAGAGACGAAAACGAGATAAAATAAACCAAAAGGAAAAGTAAAGAAATACCAAAATGGAGAACCTACTGTCTCTGGCCTTCGACAACCTTTCCTCCTACGATGGCCCCAAGATCCGCAAGGGTCTGCGCCAGGTTGAGGGATTGCTAGCCAACATCTGCCTATCACGATCGCGGGTCAGCAAAGAGCGACGGGGCTCAGCTACCACTGTTAGCAGCAACAGCGAGACCGATCCGGAACAAGAGCTAGATTCGCCTCCGCTACCTCCCAAAACCCTTGCCGAGATTACGGACGACCCGGCCTTCTACGAGTTCTTCAAGTTGCAGGAGGGTTTTGAGTGGAATGTCGCTATGCGCCTGGTCAACACCCTCGATCGCCTAGTCGCCCGCGGCGCTGACGGCTCCAATGATTTGTTGATCCTAAGTGCGCTCGACTTGGTCCAGGGTGTTATGCTATTGCATCCACCAAGCAAGTCATTGTTCTCACGGGAGATGTACATGAACGTAAGACCCCCAATTTACTGTCGCCACGTTTTAATGACCTACCCACCCAAGTATGCATGATACCAAATCGCTAACCCTCTCTCCCCCCCCACAAAAACAGCTCCTCCTCGATCTCCTGGAACCCGATTTCTGCCCGGCGATCCAATCAGCCACGGTCGTGACCCTCGTCACCGCCCTGATCGATGCGCCGCGCAACACCCGCACCTTTGAGAATCTTGACGGCCTGCTTACTATCACCTCGCTCTTCCGTAACCGTTGTACCAGTCGCGACGTCAAGCTCAAGCTTGTCGAGTTCCTTTATTTCTACCTCATGCCTGAGGTCCCCTCCATCCCCAGTGCCCGCGCGGGTGACCATGCCGCCCCGGCCCTTCTTCAGCGTAGCCCCAGTAAACTCGCTAAGGCCTTCGCTTTTACTGGCAACGGTGTCGACCACGGTCGCAAGGGATCTGATGGTTTCGTGCGCCCCCGCTCCGCCGGCGAAGGTGAGACGAGAAGTCAGGAGGAGAAGCAGGCACTACTCGGTCGCCATCTAAGCAGTGTCCAAGAACTCGTCGAGGATCTTCGACAGAACACGCCTTTCGGGGGTGTCGTGGGTTGATCCCCCTTTACCCCCCTTTATCCCCTTTCCCCCCAACTATCTACATTCCATTTCCCAGGTCGCAGAAATCATGTGTGCCTACCTGACTACCTGCCCATCAGGTGTCTTTACTCGTTTGGTTTTGGCATTAGGTCTTCGCCTAAATTGGCAAGGTTGGCAAAATCTTTCTTTCCTTACTAACTCCGTCACGACCACTTACAGAAATTGGCCTATGATGGATACTCCCATGCAGATATCTAAAAGATATCAGACGAAGATACACACACATCGCGAGAAAGAGAAAACGTAACTTGACGTTTCCGAATTTGTCATAACTGCATAAAGATGCCGACGGTATCTAGGTTAAGTAGTTTACGAAACGAATTAAGGCGTTTTACGAGATGGAATTTCCAATGGTTTTTTTTCTCTCTTCGGTGGAAAGCAAGTAAGGGGTGAAGGCGTTTTCGTTATCATTGCAAATGTCTCATTTTTCCCGGGGGGTTTTGTTTTTATCCCAAAAAAGTTGTTCTCTCATGTCAGACCTCAATTCGTTCGCTCACTCGTTCATTCGTTCGTGCATATGTGTACCTATGTGTATGTGTACCTTTGGTACCTACTCAGTACAATCAAACGCAGGATTAGGATAATTCCAATACCAGAAATGCTTTGTCCATACAATTCGTCCATCCATATATCCATCCATATATTTGACCGTCTTAGTCCCAGTATTACCACCCCCCCAAGCTAACACAAGAAAATATCACTGCTTGCTTGCTAATTCATTTATGCCCATCATGGTCATCACGCGGGTTCGAACCCTGCTGTATAGGAGGAGGCGAAGGCGAAACCGCAATCCCTCGAGTCCGGAAATGTTCCGCCTCCTCGGCCGTCATGGGCGGAGGCGAGTAGAGCTCGTACGGCCCCTCCCGCTGCCGCTGCTGATGCCGCTCCTCCTCGTCGTTGACACTTGCCGGCGGCGTTGTCTCGCTAGTACTCATATCCTTCTCTCCCATTCCCAGCTCCGCGCGTCCTTCGCCTCGCGTATCGAGCTCCACGGGCGGCCGGATATCGCTCGGGTCCTCCGGGTAACGGTGCACGCCCATGGCGGTTCGGTCGAGATACTCGGGACTCGTTCTGGGATCGGTGCCCTGGCTTAGACCCGGCGTGCTGTCGCGGTCCGTGTACGGGCCATCGATGGCAACGGGCCCAACATACTCATACCCAAGCCCATTCTGGTGCAGCCGTGGGCGCGGGCCCGTCCCGCTCGACGGGCTCGTCAGGTCCGACATCGCGCCCGTATGCGGCATATAGGGCTCCGTCAGCGCATCAGCCCCCGACCTCGCCAGCGTGCTCTCCCCCTCTCCCCCGCCGCGCCGCGACCGCGCCTCCCGCCGCCGCCGCATCCAGAACCACGTCAGCCCACCTATGACGAGCGCCGCGCCAAGCGAGACGCCGACGCCGATGCCCGCGCGCGCGCCCTCGGACAGCGCGCCGCTGTCGACGACGGTCAGGTTCGGCGCGCACTGCAGCGGGGTGGGGGCGCCGGCGACAGACGTGCACACGCGCCCGAGGTTGCAGCACCCGCCGCCGTCGCACGCGATCTGCGACGTCGTGCACCCCGGCGGCACGGGCGTGACCAGCGTCGTCATCCCCGACGTCGGCGTCGTCGAGGGGAAGAAGCACGAGCCGCCGGATATGCACTGCGCGCCGTACGCGCAGCACTGCCCGCCGAAGGCCGCCTGGCACAGGAACTGCGAGGTCGAGGGGCACGCGCGCCCGCAGCACGCGGGCACCTGGCTCGTGACCACGTTGGCGGTCGGCGTTGCGTCGGTGGAGGTGGAGGCGGGCGGGGAAGAGGCGAGGGTGCTGGTCACGGTGTCGTTGCAGAAGATCAGGTTCTCCGGGCACGGCGACCCGCACGTCGTCCCGAGCCCGCAGCACTTGGGCGCCCACTGCGCGTCCAGGAAGCAGTACTGGTCGTTGCGGCAGCACAGCGCCGCCCCCGCCGGCCCCAGGTCCAGGCAGCTGTGGTTCCCGTTCCCGCACTGCCCCGGCGTCTGGTCTTGTCGCTTGCCGTCGAGGGGCGCCGGCAGCGCGGGGACCGGCGGCATCCCGTCTAGGAAGTACCGCGGGCCGAGGCCGGGGGGGTCGGCGAATAAGCGCACGTCTGGTAGTTCGCCATAGCGCTCGATGTGGGCCGCGGTGGTGGTTGTCATGAGCATAGGTAAAACCAGCATCGTGAAAGCGGCGATGGGGCGGATAGGCGCCATTGTGTGGGGTAGGCTAGCTTGGTGGCGAATTGTTGGCTTGCAAAGTACCTGAGGTGGCCTGTATAACCTACCTAGGCACTAGGTCCAATGCCAATAGGTGCCTCGTACGTAGATAGGTATTGTATCTATGCTGTATTAGCAGCTCAAAGAGGAAGAGAGTAAAAAAGGCCAATGTCGACTATTGAGCTGTCAATAGGAAGCTAAGCTTCGCACATCGAGATATGAGCGAAAGAGATTGTTGTAAAGAACGGCAGACAAGAGTAAAGTGTCAGCAGCGACGGTAAAATGCAGGCACGGCACACAAGCCAGGGCGCACGTATATGGTACAACCATTCACAGAAGACTCGATGGCCGACATGTTGAAAAACAAAAAAAAGCTACCTGCCTACCTCCTAGGTAGCTAGCCTCTCTGCTTAGCCACTCGGGTGCTGCAGATAGATTGTCCCTTTCTTGTGCGAGGAAGCCTATTGGACTGTGGGATTCGGTGATGGTTGTACTTACAATTCAATATGTAAGACTGCCTGCATATGGTTACATCGATACGAGTGGACTAGTCCGAAGACGATGGGGAAAGCTGCAGACGGTTGGTTGTAATTAGAAATACAGCTGCTATATTAGTATATTTACATGCCTAGGTTGGTTAGGTACCTAATATATTGCTTTTGCCGAAGGCCTTGTGATGGACTGAAGGGTTTAAATGACAACTGATTTTGCATATATATTCTGTGGAATATTTGAAATGTAGACGATGACGATGGCGTTGGTGATGTTCCCAGTGGCCCAGATAATTTTTTCAATACTACCTAGTAACCTAGGTGTCCTATAAATCATCAGCTTACCTGCCAATCAATCATCTTCGGCTTACCTCAGAGCGTCTAGTAGTCGTCGTTTATCCCAAATATGACCGCATTCTTTCAAAGCATCGCCAATGCCCATGAGTCTGAACTCAATACACTATGACCGTATGCTCGCATAAATGCCATTAAGCTATTGATAACGAAAATACTAAGACAATGAATGAATAAACGTATTAATTAGATATTACAAAGAGAATGCTCCTGCTAGGGAGAGTGCCTACCTTCCTGCCTATAGCATTTTCCTATCACTATCCCTAGGTATCCATATCCATATCCATATCCATGCCTACCTATCCTTAGCAACAAAGCCCATTCCAACCAAAAAAGCACGATAGCCCTCCCCCTTTCCATCCTCGTGAACTCTCACGCATGAGGCGCGTGAACAATCTCCGCATCCATCTTCCCCATCTCCAGCGAAACAATCGCGCGCTGGCTTTCATTATCCATACCCGCCGAACTCCCTATCCTTTCCTTATACACGCCCCTCGTCCCATCCTGTCTGCTGCCCAGCTTGTCGTGGGTATACACCGTTGCCCGGGTGCCGCCGCTAGTTCCCAAGGTCATTTGCCGGAGCTTATACGGCACCACGCGCAGAAGCGGCTGCAGCGCGGGGAAGCAGCTGCACCAGAGGCCCACGTGGCCCTCGAGGTTCGTCCAGATTCCTAGGGACGGCATTGCGTATGTCCTTTGACGAGAGAAAGATCGGGCAAGACGTTAGCTCGGGAAAGTGCAGGCTAAAAAGGGGGGCGGGGATGACCAGATACAAAAAAAGAAAAGAAAAGAAAAGAAAAGGGGGGAGGGGGGCATAACACACATGTCGCTAAAGTCCTCCGGAGAGGCCATCAGCACTACGCGAACTATGCTGGTGGCCATCGCAAAGACCCCAACGCTTAGGACCAGCACGATCTGGAGCGTCTTCTTCGACCACATCATCTTCCGGCAGATCACCCAGATGGGCAGCAGCAGCAGAATTGCGTCGAGGACAATGCCCCCGATGCCGTGGCCCAGCATCATGTCATTGTACCTCGCGACTGGCGCGCAATGCCGGCCCTCGAGGGGAGGTTTGAAGCTGTCTCTGGACTGGTGTGTTAGTATCGGGACGACATAAGTAGATATGTAGCTATGTATGTGGGTAGGTCGTAAAAGACGACTTGTGACTTACGCGATCGGTGTACACTGGGTAAGTTTTAAAGTGAAAGCGATGATCGTATGGGTCAAGAGAAGCACCGCAACGGACCACGACACCAACCTGATACTTCCTAGACATCCCGATGAGCAAAATGCTGCTTGACTGACACATCAGGTATTTGGTCACGTACGGTCTTGCGTAAGTCGAGGCAGGAAAGCAAGGATGGCAAACCTTACCAGGCCTATCGCCCAGTAATAGATAACTGTTTGGATCCCTAACCACTAGCAGATTGTTAGATCTCAGCGAGTGTCTTGATGGTAAGGTGGGTGAAAGGGGAGGGGGTTCATACCTGGAAGAATCTAGCTTTGATGTCTTCTGGTACATAGGCTTCGTGAGTTCCGCTACCGAGTGATACAGCTGTAGTAGTCATGCTATGAGCTTCGAGCATTCTCCTCCCTTGTCATAGGGGTATCTTACCACGTATATCCATCACAGATAGCGCCATAAGCAACAACTACGTCGGTCGATCAGATCAAATCAAGTAGCTAAGAAAGAAGGACAGTCTTACATATGCGATACCTGCAATCCCATCATCGAGCCCAGGGGACTTGGTTATGAATACCCGTATGTAGAGCCGAAGACCGTAGAACAAGGACGAGAAGCCGATGAGCCATGCATTCAGACCGATCTCCAGCCCCCCGCGATAACCCGGGGTATTGCTAAAATCCATCGCCGGCAGTTTACTGGGAGTTGATCTCTTCACAAAACGCGACTGCCATATCCAACTTCAACGGTGGTGCATTGTATAAAAGAAAATAGAAAAAAGTGGGCGGGGCATGATATTTCTAGCTGGGTGTAGATCCTGTCCGACGGTCTAGATATCTGCACATATATGAATGATAACCTGCCTACCCAGGTAAACACGAACTTTTATAAAACTACTTAATATCTCGAGCAAGCACTGCAAATGTAACACATCAGAATCGGTCGGCTTTCGGGCTTGCGGTGCCTCATTCTACCCACTCACTAGCTCGTCTAGGGCGACAGTTAGAGAGGACGAGATCCATCTCCTGGGAACTGTTGGTGCCGAGTGCAAGATAAGTAGTTGAACGAGCCCGTCGTGCTGGGTCCCCTAATCGGCAAGGCGACTCATTACTTAACTCCGGATAGCGCATCGGCAGCGGCTGGGCCTCGTGGCTGGGTCGAGGGCCCCCCAGTCTCCCCGGAAACGCATTGCTTTTTTTTCTTCTAACATGGATTGCACTTGTGGGCGCCAACAACAGTCGATATTCTGCCTCGTGGTAAGCTTCATGTCATGATGGGTAGGGACTCGTGCCGCTTTTGTCTTCCGGGTTTTTGAGATCCGGCTCGCAACTATCCCTCAAAAATATTGTTGTCCTGATTTAAACATCATCTCGACCACAAAGACTACCTAGACACTAGGGCTTTATCATACGGACCGCGCGGTAGTCTCTTGGTTTCTCTTGGTTGGAAGGGAGGACAGATGCGTGCCGTGTCTGCAGGTGGTTTATGCGATCCCTCGCGGTTCGGCCACGCTAAAGAAAAGGCCGCTCTCTCGAGTTTGTTGGGCCACGCATCCATGAGCCCACGAGTTTATTGATCGCTCAAATCTTAAAAGATAAGGGATGGGTGGGTTGGGACCAAGATCAGAAGAGATGCCTCGATACGTGTTTTCGCTTGGGCCTTGCTTCCAGTTGGTTAGCCAGAACTTAGAAGAGACCGAGGCCGCTCAAGCCAAACGTTCAGGCAGGACCGTTTGCTTAATCCTTGGTAAAACTGTTCCAACCATAACTTTGATTTCCGAGATTGAACGCACGCCTTAGCATCCCTTACATCAGATTCCACGAGGGCGCAAGCTCTGCCGCACCGACACACGCGTGTACAATACACACACGAAGGTTGGTACTATGTATCAAGTAATAAGTCAGGGAGCATCTTCGTCCGGCCAGTGGGTTTACGGCGGTGGTCATGGTCATATAAAAGCAGCCGATCTTTAATTCCCAGAGCAGCGGCACTGGTGCTGTCCAAGAATATATACCGTATCCGATACCATGCGCATCCTTACCTGGCCGTTGCCCATCCTATTCGTGATCGCGTTCCCTGCCTCGGGCCGCAGGCAATCAAGGCAGTCCGAACCTCCCTGCGAAAATCCTCTCGTTAGACAAGAATGGTATGTCCAGGTACCTAGTTTCTGCCAGCCGCCCGTCATCCCTGCCCCTCGTTTTTTTTTTTCAATCTCGAGCAGCAAGTACCTGGACTGTTTACCTAGGTAGCTAGCTAATTCAGTGTGTTGGTTCAAAAAAAGGCGAGAACTATCGCTAGAAGGGCGGTTGGACTTCATAGCCGCCGTGAAATGTTTGCAGGTCAGGCCAGGGGAGACGTCTGTGGCCTTTTCCGGCGTCAGGTCGCGGTACGATGATTTTGTGGCACTGCACATCAGCCAGGCAGACTATGTGCACTGGGTTGTGAGCATCGCCCTAATTTCGATTCTTGGTTTGCTGTCGTTAATCAGCCGCAAGGGACATTTCTTGCCGTAGGACGCCGTCGCCACCCTGTTATAAGTCCTCCAGTGTGGCTAATTTCGTTAGATGGCACCGGTCTTTTTTGTGGCTGTTTGAACAAGCCCTTCGGGACGAATGTTCATACGGAGGTTCCATACCGTATGTGCTCCTTAATAGATGGATGGATTGGATGAGTGCTGATTGAGAATGAAAGATATTGGGGTCTGTACTAGGTAAGATCCCAAACCATCGAAGGGATACTAATACAGGTCTGTAGACTGGACGCAGGATGCTTTTGACGAAATTTCAATCTTGGAATCGCCGGTTTTCGACCCCGTGTACGGGCTTGGTGGTAGCTACTATTCTCCTATCCCTCACTATACTTCGTAGATGACTAAAATAGCTCCAAGGTAACGGTGATTTCATTGCCGACATTAACCTCTTCCCAGAAGAGCGGAAGACTGAAGTCGATGTGCCAGGAAGAACGGGAGGCGGTAAGTAGCCGCATTCGGGGAACTGCACACATCATTCTAGCTGCTTAGGTACTGATTCGTCGACTGCCCATACAAGGATGTCTTGCGGATGGACCTTTCGCCGGAGTAAATGCTTCTATGGGGCCCGGGAACCATACCGAGTACACTCCGCGCTGCATTCGCAGAGACATCAGCCCGTCATTGATGGTCCGAGCACTAGGTGCTGAGCAACTCGCCTCTGTCTTAAACGCAAGCAGCTATTTTGAGCTCGAGCACCGAACCGAGGGTCTTGCTCTCGGAGTCGAAGGGATATCGGTTCACGGTGGCGGGCACTTCGGGATCGGGGGCATACTAGGTGATGTGAGGAAGCCCGCTTGAAGCAACTACCTATTCACCATTTTCATATGGCTAACTTAGCCGCACATCAATCAGATGTCTAATACGTGGTCGTCGACGGTTGATCCCATATTTTGGCTCCATCACGGCTCGATAGATCGGATGTGGGATATATGGCAGCGGGCAGATTGGGCCAACAGGAAAACAGATATAGGGGGGCCCGATACACAATGGGCGTACCCGTACAACTATTTCGGCGACAAAGCGTACAAGAACATCACGCTGGACTTTGAGATGGACCTCGGCGAAATAGGAGGCTCGGTGAAGATCCGCGACATCATGGACGCGCAGGGCAAGTACTTGTGTTATACGTACTCATGAAATCGGAGTAGAATGCGCCAAGAAAATTGCATTCTCTCAAGCCCTTGACCTGGCTAATTCTTGTTCGACCTCCCTTTTCATCAAGCTCTCAAGTTTTAGCCGTTTGTGAAGAAAAATCTTGAATGGAGTCTTTTTTCTCGATGCTTTTTTTTTTTTTTTTTTTTTTTTTTTTTTTCCTTCTGTGCAACCGCTGGTGAAAGCAAACGCCCTACCGATCCCGATAGTTACCCCCAATGCTATCGAGACAACATTGAATTAGCAGCTTGGACGACAACAAACTCCGAGTGAGACACAATGCGATTCTGATCCCACTTAAATGTTCAAATCCGTTTCGCAGGCAACTCCGAGGCACCTAAAGATAGTATCTTGATCATACCTTTTCTCAATGGGTTAACGGCTTCACCAACGGCTATCTGCTAAATAATATCTAGCAAGTAGGTACCTTTATACATGCGTACTACTAGTAGTAGGTACATAGGTATTCCTAAAGATTTCATGTCGCCAACCAAATTTTGTTAAGCTATAGGCCGCCCTTGCGTCAGCAAGCCCCTCCTTCGAGTAGCACCGCTCCTTTGAAATGATATAACGATGATATTACTTACTCCTCATTTTCCTTTCTCTTGCCTTCTCTTTGTTGTATATAAGAAACTACTCCGGTTTAATATCCAATACATTAAGAAGGTGACCTACTGTGCATTTCGTAATTAAAATCTTTCCGAATACCCTCCACCACTTGGCCTGACCACCCAGCGTTTTTCGTCAGCATGTCTTCCTTCGCCTCATCCCTTAACGACCCCACCTTGTTCGTGGAGAAGAGCTACATCAATGGGGCCTGGGTGTCAGCAAAGTCGGGTAACACCTTTGGCGTACACAATCCAGCCACGGACGCCATCGTTGGCTCATGCCCCGAGTCTGACGTCGAAGACCTGGACGACGCCATCCGCGCCGCCGCGGCCGCTTTTCCCCTTTGGAGGGCACAGTCGGGCCGCGCTCGTAGTCGGATTCTGCGGAAGGTCTTCGATCTCCTCATCCAGAACAAGGACGATGTTGCCAGGATCATCACTGCCGAGAACGGCAAGGCCAAGGCGGACGCAGAGACGGAGGCGTTCTTCTCCGCCGGCTTCTTCGAGTGGTTCGCCGAGGAAGCCCCTCGTCTCTACGGCGACATTGTGCCCCACACGTTTCCCAACCACAGGACCCATATCATGAGGCAGCCAATCGGCGTATGTGGGCTGATCACGCCCTGGAACTTCCCCATGGGCATGGCCGCTCGCAAGATCTCCGCCGCTCTCGCTACTGGCTGCACTGTTGTCCTGAAGTCCGACGGCGTGGCCCCCTTTTCGGCGAACGTTCTCGCGGTCCTGGCCGAACGCGCCGGGCTGCCCAAGGGCGTCTTCAACGTCGTGACGGCCCTGGAGAACACGCCAAAGCTGGGTCTGGTCCTGTGCGAGTCCGAGCTCGTGAAGAAGATTTCCTTTACGGGCTCGACTCGCGTCGGCAAGCTGCTGATGAAGCAGTCGAGCAGTTCTCTGAAGAAGCTCAGTCTCGAGCTAGGCGGGAACGCTCCTTTCATCGTCTTCGACGACGCTGATCTGGAGACGGCTGTCGCCAGCGCTCTCGTCGCCAAGTTCAGAAACAGGGGCCAGGCTTGCATCGCCGCGAACCGCATGTTCGTTCAAGAGGGCATCTACGACAAGTTCGCCGAGAGACTGGTAGAGGAGGCGCGGAAGTTTAAGGTGGGCAACGGTGCCGACGAAGGCGTCACTCACGGCCCCTTAACTCTCGGCGTGGCTAAAGTCGAGGAGCACGTAAAGGACGCCGTCAGCAAGAAGGCATCGATTCTGTTCGGCGGTAACCGTCTACCCCACCTTGGCCAGAATTTCTTCGAGCCCACTATACTGGGCGATGTCGACGATACCATGGCGGTGGCGAGCGAGGAGACGTTTGGCCCCTTGGCAGTTCTCGCCAGATTCAAGACGGAGGACGAAGTAGTCGATCGAGCCAACAACGTCGAAATGGGATTGGCAGCATACGTCATGACGTCGGATCTGTCGCGATACTACCGCGTCGCCGAGAGACTTGAATCGGGGATGGTTGCCTTCAACACGGGCATCATTGGAGACTCTGGAGCACCGTAAGTCTATCCACCGAGGCCCCAACCCCCTGTTGCAGTAAAATTGCCAATAGCTAATATGTCGAGACAGGTTCGGCGGAGTTAAGCATTCGGGATTCGGCCGGGAAGGTAGCAAGTATGGTTGCGACGACTATATGGTATACAAGACCCTGATTACAGGCAGCATCAATACCGTTTACAGTGCGCCAAGCTTGTAAACACTTCCAAGGGTATCCGAAGGTCATCAAAAAGTCTTCAGGGACGGAAGTACCGACACCCTCTACACCAACAGCTGGGTAAACAGTATCAGGTACTAGGTACCTAGTATATAGAGAGCCAGCAAGGTTCGGAATATGGCAGATCGACAAGTAATGATCGCATATCAGGGAATGATGAGCCCCTAGCGACAAGGTTTGACGTCTTAGGAAGAAGTCATCTTGGACTGTGTCTGCACTGAACACCCATATCTTGTATACTAGATCTTGTCATCCCCCATACCCCCAGGGAGTCTATTCAGACGTAAAAAAATACAACAACAATGACTTCCAAAAGTATCCAGGTAGACACTGGGTTAAGTACCTAACCTAGTATAAAAATCTACTAGTTGAGGCAAGAGTTGAGTTGATTGCGAGAAGAAAATACTCTAAACAACCGGGGAATTTGTAAAGTACACACCAGGGCAAACACACTACTCAGCGGGGTGTCACGTGAGCCCTTAGTCCACGTGATTTCGTTCTAACGCCTACGTAGTAGCTTAGTAATAAGTGTCAGAACAAAGCCATGTGATTGCTAGACGGTCACGTGGACCAGCGGTCTAACTACGTGCTGCCCTAAATACCAGGCACTACGTTTGCGTTCTCGTGTACTTATCTGACGAATTCTCTATTGATTTCTTCTTTGACCAGCTCTCTCACGTCTCAAAATACCATTCCAGAGGCACCTTAATTTCATACCTAACGTTCACGCATAACTGCCCAGGTGTGGTTTGCGTACCTAGGTACCTATTCAAACAAGCTGTCCACACGCTTCATGTGGTCCTCAGTAGGTCTAAACTTGGTCTTGGTCTTTGCTGGCAGTTTCTGATATGTTTGACTCCTTGGTCTGCTTGACATCGTTGCTGTGGATTTCCTTCTCGACTACCGTTGCAGCGTGTGCCCGGTCTTCCTCCTCGAACACTATTTCCCACAATTAGCACGTGTTTTTGGCAAAAGGAAAAAAAAGAATCATACAGAAAGCAAGCTCTTCAAGAGTACGGTTCGAAGTCTCAGGCCACAGATACCACATGAGGAACGCCTCGACGGCAATCCAGCAGCAGTACACGATCAGAAACTTCCAGCCGATGCCGGTTACTGGATCTAGGCCAACAGGGTTGACGTTCGTACCAAAAAACTGCATCCATGTTAGTGGATTCATTGACATGGTATGTTAAGGAGTTGTGAAGAATTACCTGGGCAGCTTTCCCGAATAACTGAAAGATCGAAATTCCTCGCGCTCTCATGGCGTATGGGAAGATCTCAACAAGATACGCTAAAAAGTGGCTATCAGCTAAGGCCAAGTACCTCCCTCAACATGCTTGAATGCTTACTATATGTGAGGGCGTTAAAGCCGATGTTATACGCAGGTTGGTAAGCATAAATCCAAAATAGGCAGAGTTTTCCAGCGACCTTTGATCCCGCAACAATGGCCTCAGCTGCACAGATCGTCCACGACACATATATTACCAAAATGGAAAAAATTGAAGTCAAGAACATAGTCCGACGCTTGAATTTCATGACCAGAAGTGCTGTGAAGACCGCGCATACCAGACCCAGGCACTGGTTTCCGATGTTGTACTTTGCCTGGAACGAAGGATCCGTAAACCCGATCAGGTTCAGGATATCTCCCAAGTAATACGAGATGACCACGTTGCCGGAAAGCTGCGACATAACTCCAAGAAGAGAACCGACAATCACACGACGGCGGTTCCCCGGCGTATTGATCATATCGAGCCAAGAGCGCTTCGAGTTTTCTAGTTCGATTGAAATGGTGGTTTTGATCTCGGCCATTTCTGCTTTCGCGAATTCCGAATTCTCGTCGCCTTCAGCGTGATATGTAACTAGAATCTTGAACGCCTCCTCGTATCTTTCTTTGCTGATCAAGTATCTAGGACTCTCCGGCAGGAAACTAGAATCTGTCAGTCGTATTATCTTGCTGTACGGGCGAAGAGAAGTCCTACAGCACAAGAGCAACCTGTAATATAGAGGGCGACATTTGTAGGAGTGAGGGGACTCTGATAGGTCAATGTTAGAATAGTTCGTCTATTACCACAAGGCGTATGGGTCATCTTACCTCCAGGACCTAGAAGTATTTAGGTAGTTAGTTTCCTGGTAAAATTACAAGGGTTCATCATGCCTCAGGGGGGGGGGGGGGGGGAGAACACGTACCAGTCTGACGGAATGAGTTGAGTTCCATAGGTGATAGCCGAAGCCGTGATGGCCCCAATGAAATAAGCCGCGTTGAACAAAGATGTTAAAATAGCACGCTCTTTGGGATACGCCAGCTCTCCAATCAAACTAGATCCGGCAACAATAGCGTAAGGCAGTCCGAACCCGATGATGAGTCGGGAGACGATGTACATCGCACCTTGAGTAGCGGGTTAGCTTCAGCCCCATGGGATCATAGAGACGAGGAGTCGTGCTCTCACGCACCATTAACGGAAAACCCTTGAATGAGCGACCCTATGATCATCATTATGCTACCAAACATCACACACCATCTTCGGCCAAAGTTATCGTTCAGAAGTGGGATAAAGGGGAGACCGATGACAGCGCCAAGAGGTAGCGCAGACGCCAGAATGCCTTTGTAGCCACCAGTAGGGTGTCCGAAAACTACGGTTCATCCATGGTTAGTCTTCTGGTCTCTTTTCCACCCGCATTAGGTAATCTAGAAGTTTGTATAGCACTTACATTCACCCCAGGCGGGCACGATCTGGACGGCGTTAATGATCTGCGAATCGAACCCAGATGTCATCTCGATGCCCATCAGGCAGGGAAACAGCATGAAGTACAGATAGCGCAAGTTCCTCTTCTGGTACCAAGGGATCTTATCATCCATCGCCATGCGATGGACGATATTGTCCGTTTGAGCACTTCCGCCAACCATTTTGCCGAATCAGCTCTCTCTCACTCTCTACACCTAATCACTGGAATGCTAAGGTTTGGGGTTGATTTCGTCGATGGATGTAGTCCAACAGTATTAGGCAAGAAAGAACTAGATACTTGGCAGGTAGGTTTTCAATATCAAGTTCCAATGGCTCTTTTACGGAATCGGCCATTCTTGCTGATTCCTATATAACTGAGCATTTCAAAGCTCGGTCCGATTGTTCGCGCAGTATTCGGCGGTTAATAAGGCAATATCAGCTTATACTCGAGACGTGGGCAAATCAGAAGCAGCTCGCCAGTGTGAATACGGCCATTTTCGAATTTACCCGCCAAGCCTGATTGCAAACCCACTGGGCGAGGCACCAGCCGTAAGGACACACAAGCAACTGGAGAACCCGGGATTTTTTCATTGCCTTGACCTGTAAAGCGAGTTCCCATTGGACAGGTACCGATCTACTTGGCTTGTTTGTGTTCCATCATGGCGTTCCATTCTTCCACAGTCAGGGCCGTCCCGGAGCGATAGGATGCACACCCCGCGATCTCGGTACGCCCTGATGTAGCATTTCTCTTTGGTTTCTCACGCCATTTAGATTGCCTGGATATGAATACCCAGGCGCTTGATATATCTAGATTCAGCTTCCTAGCTTGAATAGCAAAACGGTGCCCAGAAGCTCTCTCAGCTTGTCGCAGATCAGCTGTCGCCTCGGGTGTCAGGTTGGAAGATCCGGGATAGCGGATGGCTAAATAGAGGTTATAGACTAGTCCGGTCGCATCATCGTGAAGTGAAGTTTAAATTTTCGCGATGATAAATAGCGTAGCCTGTCTCTGTCAAATACAATGCATAAAGTAGGTAGGTAGGTATCCATCCTTCAGAGCGACATGACATGTTAGGTGTTAGGTAAGATATCGCGTAGCACTGTGGATCACGTGATGAATGTTAGGATCACATGACATTATTCGAAAATACCTAACTACTAGTAGTACCTTATGTACTAATTTAACGCGTTCAATGTTGTATTCTTCAATTCTGTTGGAGCACATAATAGTCTTCTAAAACTGACATGCATTACACATAATGTTATATCCATGGATGCAATCTAGGTTATCATCGACCTTTCCTTAACTGCTTTTTTCCCCAGGTCTTTGGTAGCTTTTTTGGTGTATCCAATTTCCCGTCATCATGGTCGTCTACTGCGTAGTACAGTTTGTTATCTCTCGTTTACTTCAATGTTTGTCGGATACATAATATAATACATACATAATACATAATACATTACTAAGTATACGTACATAGGCTAGGTAACTGTGTATATTATGAAGTGGTCTAGATCTTTATGATGTCATTTTAGTTTATTGTAATTACCTAGTATATCATATTATTAGGTACCTGTGTGTATGTTAGGCGCATCAACGTATGAACGTATGTAGGTACTAGCAAACATAAGTTTCAAAATGTCTCTACATGCGGCCTTGAGTTATAAAAATAGAACTGCATATAACTAACTAACTAACTAGTGTACATTTTATAGTAGTGGCTGTGTTAACCTTCTCAGAATCTAGATTCTACATAACACATTGTACAACTTCAATGTTGAATATTCCAACTTTCAAGGTGCAATACTGAACTTATTATGTATGTATTAGGTATTCCATGCAAGTGGCATCAAGCCATGCAGCTACCATGATCCGTTCTAATTCTACTGGCCCTTCCCTTCGTTTGTTGGTCCGGGTTCCAGCCCGGTGGGTTTTTAATTAGGCACCGAAGTAACGGGTACCTAGTAGGCTAGATGTAATACTACATACTATACTACATACATCATAATGTAATGGATACATGCCCATTACCCAGGTGTATTTCAAGGTTTGTATTGTACTGTACCTAGCAATCGCGAGGATTAAAGGATATGTATCGGGAGGATCTGTAGATGTACGTACTACATAGATGTATGACATGTAGGTAATAGGTATTCAATAATGCAAGTCAACTTGACGTTCTTCGTTCTTCAAAAACATCAATCCATCTTTTCCCTCTTCTTTTCAATAATACTTACTATTATTGGATATCATTAGTTATGCTACGCCGCCACTATAGGACCCGACTTTGCGAATCATCTGCGCGGCCACATCTCACACCCTGGTACAAATCCTAGTTCTCCACCGTGCTGATTATTTCGTCGCTGATCCTGCTCTGTGGCTGCTCGGCAGAGGAGCAGGGAAAGGAAACGTGCTGCAAATTAGAGCAATGGAGCAAGCTTCCCGGCAATCTCATGCAGATTCATCCGACGAGAACTTTTTTGCTCTACCATCTACATTTTCTCCTTGGCACAACGCCGAGCAAGCTGGCCTCAAGATGGATTTATCTCATTCAGAACCTCAGGCGGCATTAACCGGAGCTAAGGAGCCTCACCAAGAAGAGCACCTTCCACCGGCGCAGGAAGAAGAGCCAATCGCCATGTCCTCGTCGTCACCGGAGAGCTCTGATCTCAGCCCTGCTCCGGCGATAGCGGTTCACGAAACCGATCAAGAGGAGGAGGAACTTGTGCTAAGGCCAACAGAGTACGGCGTAGGACCTAGAAATGAAGTAGTCATCTCTGCCGGTGAACCAGCCACGCCTTCCCAACAAAAGCGGGTCATTCCGCGACGGACGAGATTCAAGGAGATGTTATTGAGCCGCTCTCCCAAGCGGAACGGGTCAACCTCGCTAGGCGGCGGCGGTAATAGCTACAATCCCATCGGAGAGGATCCTCCGTCTGCATCAGAGAATATTCCCATGGAGCCGATAGACAAGTCGCCCCCAATTACGGAACAGAGACGTGACATTCAATACGATACTGATGAGAGTGACATTGATATTGATAAACTTGCCGCTAGATATGGTACTTACCATTTTTCCATTTCATCCATCTTATCTACCTACCATTTTCAATACTAACAAAGTCTCTAGAACGACCGCCTCTGGACTGTCATTCCAGGCGAGATGTATACATCAAGCATCGCAGTTGGACATACATTGTTCTGGCAGTTCTGTCCGTCTACTCCACCCTGATGAGCGGTTTATGGCTCGTCGTCGCCATCTATCAGCCGCGTTACGGGCGTGGGATATCTTCCAGTGAAGATGGAAAGATGGGGCCTTCAACGGCCACACTGATGTGCACGCTAATCGCCAAGACCATTGAAGTGTCTTTCGTGACAGTCTTCGTCGCTTTCATCGGCCAGGTTCTGACACGGAGAGCATTTGTGAGAAAGGCCAAGGGTATAACGATAGCCGAGATGACCATGAGGAATTGGGTAATTGTGAGTAAATGATCAAGAGATTTTTATCTACCCTTCAGGCTCGCTGTTCACCTACATAATACTGACCCAGGACGATAATAATTTTAGCAACCCGGCTCCTTATTGACGTACTGGGAGGGGATTCCGTACGCCGCCACAACCCTCTTGGGTCTTTTTACACTAGCCGCTACTATCTGTGCTATGTTTTACACCACAGCATCCGATGCCATGGTGAGCCCCAAGCTCAAAATGGGAGCGTGGGAGTCGCGGTCCCTAGAAGGACTAGTCAAAGCCTCCTACGCCAACCCATATTACGTGCAAGATTCTTGCTCGACCCCGATTGATCTGAAAATGGACGTGAAAAACTCGAAGGCTTCTTGTTTGGCTGTTCAATACTCAGGCCAGTCCTATCAAAATCTTCTTACTTTCATGTGCGCTACCTACCTACCTACCTACCTACCTACCTACCTAGAGTATCCATACTCCTTGTTCCCTAAGGTCTAACTAACCAAACCACTTTAGGAAGCAATGGCAATATATCCACGACAACGGGACCTCCAGGTTTGACCAGCTGGAAAAGAGGCCCGTGGGGCAGCACATTCTGTTCGACAACACGACATTAATGTCGTCCTGGATCGAGCGCGAATATGGAGACCCCAAGACCGCTTTCATAGAACATGACAGGATCGTAAACAACGTTACATTAGCAATGCCACACCCAGGCGTCTACTCGGCGGCTATGGATTCACGCAATGACATCCTGCAGCCCGACGAGCTCGCGGGCGTTGGCGAGTACTCGATCCGCGCCAGTGTGTCGTCGCCAGTGGTCAATGTCATGTGCGTCAACATGAACCGCAAGGAGCTGGCGCCGCTGGTGTACACAACCTGGCCCGGTGCGCGAAACACATACACCAACATCCCTGACCAGAAAATTGGCGAGGCGGACTGGATGAAGGATGTCCCAGCCCCAAGCGAGGATGAGTGGCTCAACAGAACCGTGGTCGACGATATATTTCGATGGGGGTCCAAGTACTACCGTCGGCCCCCTGTGTTCCAATTGGTGAGAATTCATACCTATCTATCTCCATAATCTACCTACCCACCCACTCTATTCCATAGTCTCCCGAATAGCTTTTTGTTGGTTACTAATTAGTCATCGTGTCGTAACAGTACCCCATTGATTACAACATGATCACTAACACCTCGGTCGCGAATGATAGCTCAATCTACATCCTCGCCAAATCTGGCTCAGTCGAGGACTACACACTTTGCGAGCTCCGGTCGTGGATCACGCCCAAGTGCTCGACGATATTCGATGTCTCTGGCACCTCGGGAGCCAGCATGCGTTCCCATTGTGAAGACCCCGACGACGAGGATTCGTATATGCAGGCATCGGGAAATGACGATGTCAACGACCCCCCGCTACCATCCATCGATGTACGTGATATATATCTCATTGATTCGTCACCTTGAGTTCCCCCTCCTAGTAGTGATGTTTCCAGAAACGCTACTCTCCCGAATAGAACAGTTGCTGACTCTCATCGCGCAGTGGAAAAACTCAGCCGACTCCTGGCGCCTCTCAATGGACCTGAACGGCGGCACGCAGAACAACAACGCGAGCAACTCGCGCATCATGACACACTTCATCCTCGGCGAAGCCGCGCTGAACCCTCTCCTCCCCTCCATGGCCGAAACCCTCGCCGTCCTCGCCTCCTCGACCCTCGTCGCCGGCGCCCTCACCTCGACCTTCCGCGTGCTTTGGACGTACTACCCGCTCGTGTCGATGGAGCCGGGCGTGTACGAGGCGTTCCACGTGTCGATGCGCACGCAGCAGTACACGTCGACGCACGTCGAGTCGTGGCAGTTCGTCTTCTACTTCGTGCTGGGCACGGTCTTCGCCATCAACCTCTCCTGCCTGCTGTACTACAGCTTCTTCCGCCCGGGGCTCGTGACCGACTACACGGAGCCGCAGAACCTGTTCACGGCGGCGATCAACTCGCCGCCGAGCGCCGCGCTCGCCGGCAGCTGCGGCCACGGCCCCGACTCCGCCGAGATGGTCGTCCCCTGGCGCGTCGCGTACTCGGCCGCGGCCAACCATTACTTCTTCGAGGAGGCGACCGAGGCAAAGAGGGTCACGGCTGTCGCGGCGACGCTCGCCCGCCCCTTCAGCGAGTACAGTCTTGCGAGCAGGGCGAGCGGCTCGGAGCTGCTGTCGCCGGGGCGGCATCTTTCGACGAATTACCACAACTACAAGCGGCTTAGTTCGAGCAAGACCTGGCTGTGAGGTGTAAGAAGGGTTTCGTTTTCTTTTTGTGTGTATTTATCCTGGATCATGCCGTTAATCATTAATCTTTTCACATCTCATGATTAATCTTTGTTTCCTTTTCTTCGGCTTTGATTATGTATAGGTATCCTACTTTACATATATCATTTTACCTCAGCATAGCAGTGGCGTCTTTGTGGGAAATTGGGGGGGGGGCAGGGGGTTTGGGTTAAATTACCTTTCCAGGTACCAAGGTTTTGGTATCTAGGTATACATACAAGATACCATCATGGAAGAGACAGAGTAGAGTTTTCATACTACTGTACCTATATCTCGAGCTAGATTTGGTTTGTGGATCATCGTTGTATATTACCATGTACATTCACTTCAGTTCATATCAAGATCGGGGGAGAAAAAGGGGAAGAGGGGAGAGAGGGCGGCGGGGGAGAGGCAACCCCCCTGGTTTAGAGAAAAGAAAGAGCTTTTTTTTTCACGGAGGGGATAGAAGATGAAGATTACTACGTAATTAGGGGTATTATCACCAAGTCGATGATTCCATGAGTCAATTCAATTTATCAACTCAAAGCTAATGTTCCGTTGTTCTGGAAGATGAAAGATAATAAAAAGGATGTTGAGATCCTAGGTAGGTAAGAATCTTTTTACCGTTTTTTTCCCAGCCAAGTGCCTACCTACAAGACGGGTAGGTAGCCTTAGTAATGGGGGGTAAGTAGCAGAAACGTAGCGTTGAGCTGGCGTTTTCGGATACCGCATATATAAAGTAGTTGAAGAAGTAGAAGATGGGTTAGGTTAGGTTAGGTTAGGATACCTAGGTAGGTTTTACCTATAGTGCACCCCCAATTGAAAACAAAAGCATTTTCCTTCCTAAAACAGCTTGTGCTCGAGTGTCATGTCAGACTCGGGCTCGAGACCGACACAGGCACGGAAGATGTTAGTGAGGGCGCCGCGCTGCTTGGCAAGAGCGTTGACGACGGGAGTTCCTGGGGGCGTCAGCGGCGCCTTGAGCATGTAGCTGAGGATGCTCAGGACGCTGTGGAAGCCCTTGTACTCAGCCGGGCCGTCGACTTCGTTGTCGTCGCTGAGCTTCCATTGGATGCGCGTCATCATCTCGGTTACGAGAACGAGGTCGATGATGAGGGGCGACGCGAGCAGAGAGTCCTCGCAGACGTTGAAGATCCTGTTTGCGGGTCAGTTGTCTAGGTAGGGACTTTTGGGTGGGTAGGCGTGTGCTTGGAGAAGGGTAGGTAGAGGTAAGGGGGGAAACACGCGCAAACTTACGAAATGGTTTGATGGCCGCCAAGGAAAATTTCGGCATAGTACTCGTCTAGGGCGCGCTTATTGTCGCCGACAGCCGGCAGGTACTTGATGACGACGGTGTGGTCCGGATGCTCGCCCTTTTTGTAGAGGACGGAGTTGGCCTCGACCATGTCGTCGACGACGTTGCTCTTAGAGATTTCCTTTGAGCGGAACTGCTTCTGCGAGCTCAGGTTCTTGCCGTCATTGTTGCCCAGGTGGTTGTAGCTCGCGATCGAGGTCAGCTTGATGCCGGCGTTGATGAGGAAGTCGACAAGGGCGGATTTCATCTTGGTTTGGCCGGACTTGAAGTCATCGCCGCCGATGAAGGCGGAGTGCCGTTCGGCGAGCTCAATAGCTCCGGGGACGAAGGTGTTCTGCGGCGAGCCGTTGATGAATGGGGCTCCCTCCAGGATACAGGCCACCGCAAAGACGGTAGAGGGTGATACTTCCTCATGACCTTGCTCGATAGCCTTTAGGAGGTTGTCCGCGGTGTTGTTCACGCCCGGGATGATATCGGCGTAACGCTCTGTGTTTGCAGTCCACTGCACAATGACCTTACCCAGGCCATTTCTCTGCTTGAAATCGCTATTCGTAGAGTTTAGCAACAACCCCCTTAGCATAGGTTCATTTTCACAAATCTGAGCTTACCGAATGTCCTGTCGAATTTTCTCAACGTGTGCCATAGAAGCCTTGCTTCCGGGTATGACATTGTCGGCTCGATCTTCCTGGTTGGCCGCAATGAAGTCAGGGTAGTAGATGCTAGGGAGGGGGACCATCTGAGCCATGTCCTTCTTGACTTGGGCCTTCAGGGTAGGTTCGAGCACCGCAGCGCGGTCCATGGCATCCGCGAGGTTCATACCACTGATATCCCAGCCACCAATGACGAGATCGTTGGGATGAACCATGGGAAGCACATCGTGGAATGGAATGTTCACCTCCTTCATGGAGATAGGATCCGTGCCTAGCTTCATGGTAGAGCCCATGATAACAGAGCCATAGTAGTTTGCAGCGCGAGAGCCCTCGCGAGTGTCCCATACGAGGCCACGGCGATTTGCAAGGATACCGGCTGTCACTGTTGTGCCGTTATTCCCACCCCAGCCTACGAGCATCATGCCAACCTTGGGAACCTTGCGGTCGACCTTGAAGTTATATACCAGCTCCTTCGGTGTGGCCACATACTTACCGTTAGCGTCTTGGGTTACACTAGTAGTTCGGTAGGTATACTTCGACGCAATCTCATTGTCGGTGTATGTTACATTAGGGGATTGAACTACGAAGAGGTCGGCATGGCCGGATCGCGATGAGGCCGACCCGTTGCCGTTCCTTGAATGTCCGTGTCCGTCCGCAGAACCCACGTCTGCCTCGGCGTGTGGAGCCATATTGCACAGATATTGGTATGGCGTTATAAATTGGAACTATGCTGTGCTGAAGCCCTTTATTGAGTAAAGGGCGAGTCCGCTGCGCTTCCGGGGGAGGCAGAGCAGCGGGCTCCTGCGTACGGATGGTGGACGCTACGGAAACAAGTCAGATCCAAGCATTATATTTAGATTCTAATGGTGGTGGTACGTACGAGTTGAGGAGGTTAGAAAACGTCTTGTTAAGATGGGTGATCGCTGCCGTAAAGCGCGATCGTCTTGTCAAGAAAATCTAATGGAAGTAGGAAGGAAGATTGTTGCTTCGTAAAATTCTACAGTGGAAAGATTCTATGGTACTAAGAAGTCAGAATTGCTTTGCAGCTATGTAGCAAAAAATACTCGCGATTCGGTCAGAAGGTTTAGAGGGAAGGGAAGAAGAAGCGTCAATCATTCAGAGCTAAATGTAGGCAAACATCGGATTTTTAGTGTGGTTCAACGGCTACGGCTGAAGACTATTCAATCCGCTTCCGTGCCGTGCCTAGTAATCATGGTGGATCAAAAGGAACAACACATATCCATATGATAGATACCATGCAGTAGCGGCAGCTATGATGGAAAAGTGGTACGACTGGAAGCATGCTGAACCGCCGTGTACGGAGTTGGTAGATAGGTACATACGGACTTCACGATATCGGCGGTTGCAGTTGTTGAACGAGCTTCTTTGTTCAGAAATCGTGTACCGGTAATCCCCCCGCCTTGGTTCCCAATGAAGCATACAGCAATACAAGCAATACAGCGGGGTAGATAGGGGTATGATTGGCCAATTCCTAAAATGTCGGTGTCAGGACCCGACGGAATTAGGGCTTGAACGGCTCATAAAGACGTAGAATGAGGATAGGTATACTTGGGTTATCCTGATAGGCCGGCCGTCTCAATAATTATATGCCCAGGTGGACTTTATCTACATGATTTGCTTACCTACCTAAGTACATGTACTAAATAGTCAGTAGGCAGGTATTAGAATATATCTAACTTACATCCCAACGCTAGGTAGGGACATAACTAGTTAGTAGATTGACCTTCTCAACGATGATAGAAGCTGCCCAGGTGGCTGATAGTACCGAGTCGAACTTGCTAATACACGCGCAGATGATATAAATCATGTGAAGTGGAGTTAGCGGCCAACATTCCATACCTAATACCAAACCTGCGTACTTATGGTGGTTAGGAAAAGGGAAGGGATACCTAGATTGAACCCCTTTGGCCAGTGCAAGGGACGTATTGACTGAAATACTCCCATTGGCCACAGCTATAAGCGAAGCACAGACTTGGCGATCTTTGACAAGGGGGGCAGAGCCAAGAGGCTCCCCCAGAGTCCGTGCAGAGCAGAAGAGATTCCGAATCATTGCGGCACAGGTTTGTTCTTCAGACAATCATTCTGCACATTGTTCACTGAGACACACATGAACTCTGACGAATTATGGGGTAGGTATGAAGGCGAATGCAGCCAACTGTGAGAAATAAAACAGCCAAATTCCACGACACTCACCCTTATGGGATATACAGTTGTTGACAGAAGGGCTTACTAGCATTGTATCAAGCCTCATTTCCTTGTTCAGGGGCTGCAACTGATATGAGAACAGCCCAGGCCAAGTGTTCGCACGACTTGCCCATCGATAGGTGGGGGCCAGGTTCAAAAGTACGAATTGAAATAACTATAAAATTGACTTCTCCTAATAACGTCTCGATTAGTCGCCCGGGAATTTTCTTTGCTTGTAGGCTATTTCTTATTACTGCAGAACGGAAAACAACGACATTTATTTTCCTATTCGTCTATTAATCGACCGAATAACAAACCCTACTAGTCATGATTCATTGTCAAGTGACTCTGATAAAGCGGATCTTGTGAGTAACCTACTATTAGTAGTTACTATACCTACCTATACAAAGGTAGTGATGACTTGGCAACTTGAGCAGGGGTCTTCGGTAGCGATAGATACCGTATAGGGCCGAAAAGAGGCACACATAACATGAAAAGTAATAAGTCTCCTGCCGAGCTGTTAACTGCTTCACATTCCGATCGGCCAATATGCAAGAAATCCTTTCTATACCTAATGTAGTAGCCCGCACCAACAGGCACAAGACATACTATGTACTGTCTATAGCCCTATGTCGGTATTGCGTCTACACTAGCATGTACACATAGGTAGGCAGCGCTGAGGTAGGCAGCGCTGAGGTAGGCAGCGCTGAGGTAGGCAGCGCTGAGGTAGGCAGCGCTGGAGGTATTTGATGAACGAACACGCGATCCTGAAAAGGCTTCGTAAGTAGGCAAGGTTAGCTCATCGATAGCTTCCTAAACAAGCACAAATCAACTAAGCTGCTACGCTAGAATGACATTTCATGAGGACCGTCTTCTCTGGGCTTCTTATTTAAATTACCTGGGCCCATGAGGTTCGCATCTGGGGTCCCCGATCAGTGATAGCGGAGGCTAAGTTGTTTAGTGTGCAGATTCGCCTATAAAGGTAATGAGCTACAGAAATGACGTCCAATCTAACAGTAGGCCTATCACGATAATCAGCGTATACACCATATTTGGCAAACAAGATAAGGAGGAGCAGGTTTAGCATTATCCCCACGACAACCATCTTTTAAATCTTCTTGGACTTGAACTGGCTATGCTTAGCTGTCTGGCTCATTTGGGGTTGATTGGTAGCTGTCTATGTATAACCACATAGGCTCTACTTAGGCTGCATAGATAAATTAGGAAACGATATAGTAGTAGTTATATGAGTCTAGATTAATCAAAGAATAATCAGGTTACAGGTAGTGTAAGGAAACTAGTTGGCAAATGAGATTCGGGCGCTTCTAGAATGGCTTTCTAGATTCCTCAAAGAAAAACACTATGGTTGATGGAAAAGAAAAGGGGTGGGATGGATAATTAATACGAAGGAATTTAAATCGATTTTCAAATATCCAATTCAGCCATTCCCACCCCATTCAAGCTGTCAAGGTAGCGCCTACCATAATTACCCTCAAGAACTTAAGGAGTTCATTGAGTTTGCACCATGCAGACCCCTAGCTTTCAAGTTACTGCATAGTAGTATGATAGTACATATTGTACGGTTGCAGCTCAAGTAGATACATACATGGATACATAGTACCTACCATGTACTATCCATGGATGCATTGATACATGTAGTACTCCGCAAGAGCTCCCAAGCTCCGTACCAGGTACGTGCAAACTAAGGTACTGTGGATGGATATTAGGCCCATATTTCTGATTGTCAAATGGTGGGGACAGGGGCATCGGGTTGTCGAATCGCCGTCATGTGTGAGCTGCAAGGTACCAGTTCAGGTCGTGAGCCCTGTCTAGTATTGACAGGCTAGTCCTAATATGTTTAGCGATTCCTAGTCCTGCGAGAAAGGTCGATCGTAGCAGACTATTAGCGTTACACTGCAGCAACAGCACTAATATCGTATCGGTGTTAAGGCCAGGTACAGTACTACATTCTCCCCAATCTCACCTCTCTTCTTCAATATTCTCTCCACCAACGTTGGCTGCGTGGCACGGGTCTTTCAATTCTATCATGGACACCGAACTCTGTAAATCTATGGCGGTCTTGATTATTTCATTACGGATACTGCATAGCAGCTACATATTAGGCCTTTCCTACCATCCTCTGATTCCTACCTAATTACCCGATACGTGTGTTGTTTTGCTCCAACAAGTGGAAACAACTTCTACTACCTGCAGTCAGGAAGGTTGCATTACATCCAGAGATAGAAACATCGAGGAGCAGAAAGCCAACCATGCCGCAATCCTCTGGAGTTGCGGCTTGAAACCAAGAGGAAACGTCTCGTCAAGCTACTACCTACTAACTGGGTATCTACTTACATACACATACTACAAAGAGTAATGGTTGACAGTCGTAGCACCGAATCCTCTGTATTCGTATTGATAAATTGATTGTAGGTACCTGGGTTAGGACGGTCTAATATGAGTAGTGACGAGCGGATAAAATCCTTATTTCTGTCATCGGCGATGAATTTTGTGAGAATCACCAGTGTTTGACATGCGTCCTTAAACATCCTCCTCATAATGCGCCACATACTTAGAATGTGAAGAGTCTCACCATCACGGATCACATCTACTCTCACCCTGTGTAGCTATTTAATACCCTACAGGTTACCAAGTCGAGAATTATCCGATTTACATCTGCGTACCTTTGAGGCTTGAAATATTTATAATACTACATTACTACCTAGGTTACTAAAGTATTATACAATCCTCACTCGCCAAGAGACAACAAGGAACAAGGGGATGGCCCCCATTGAGCGCCCCGTGCATTACATACCTACCTTAGACCCCTTAGTACCTAGTCGTTATCCAGGGGTCGAACCAACAGGGGCTCGAATTAAAACATCCACTCTTTCGAGACAGAGGTCGCAACAACCAAGAGACCTTCTCACCGACCTTTACCACAAGATCTCTTGAAACCTCCTCAGATCTAGTTTCTTTCCGACCAATTGTTCACTCGTCTATCGAGAATCTTTGAGGCGAGGCCCATTCAGCGCCCCCTCTTGCATCACGACACGGCGTGCAGCCTATCGCAAAACTTATCGCAGAACACGCGATCATTTTTTGATGTTTTAATACTTTTTCTTACATAGGTCATCCCAAGAGCTATTTTCAGCATTTCGGCAGCCATCTCCTCAGGGTCGTGACCTTCACTGTTCGGAGCTGTGGAGTTTTGCGTCTCGGCTTTCTACACAACATTAACAAAGAACGCGCCGATCCGTCTTTATTTTCCTATGAACGTACAATCACGAACGTAACGCCACTGAGACGATATAAATTATCATTACTTAATTATCCTCCATCTGACTTGCGTATATCTCAATATCTATTACATCGTAAATTGCCTTGGGTAGAGCATCGCCCATGCGTGGAATCAGCTTAGCCCACTTCGAGTGAGGAAAGACAAAGGAGAGAGAAGAGACGCGAAGAGAAGGGAAGCGTTATATACTCTAAGCATGACTCAAGCATCGCGACAGTCGGCTTTTATGCCGACTATAAAGTGCTCAAGTTGTGGGAACCAGGTTGAGATTTCGATGATGGGAGATCATGTCTGCGGTAGCACAGCCGCCGCAGCAGAACGTTTGTGATCCCCATTTGCCCTTATTTACATATAAGATCTGACATCAAAAACTCAAAGCAGCACCCGCTCCCTCATCAGATCTTCTAGGCGGAGCGTTGTTCTCTTCGCTGAGGGCAAATGTCCTGGACAAATTCCGCACCGCGCCCCCAGCTGTCGACACATCTGCAGCAAGTAAGCCTAGAACCATATAACCACTTTAGCTGTTTGAGTCTTTTGCATTAGCTAATGCAACAATAGATCGCGCATTCACAAGACACGGCCAACTAACTCCATTAAGCGCTTCCACTGGTTCTCAAGGCATCTCACCAAAAACCCCCGCTGGTGGACGGCCTGGCGCCGGTACCACTGGAGATGGCTTCTTCGCACAACCCATACCAAATTCGCCCAGGCGACCAGGAGGATATGGGGGGTTCGGAGAATCAGGGTCTTACGAAGGCGAATCTACTTATGGCTATGGCACTAGCCCAAATAAATCAACAAACTTTTTAACGAGGATGAATACTATTGCACCCGGACCATTTGAATCGAACAGGCGACCAGGGGCGAGAAATGCATTTGCGCGAAGCAATAGCAGGGACCAAAATGCGGAATCAAACGATGATTCATTGCAAGTTGGATCTACATTAGAAAGGCCAGGTACGGCGGGCTCGACCTCGTCGAATGGCGGAAGTCTTGCGCCTCCTCCTAGAGCTCCGCGAACAAATGGTTATGGAGGATTCGGCCCACCGCAAATGGATGGCGATGAATTCGAACCACAACCGCTGGGTCTTGGGAAACGATCTGAGACATTCCCAGAGAAACTCTTACAAGCGAACGATGAGGCGCCCGACACACCGGCCCGTGCACCTTCAGCGCCTGGGCCAAGGCCGGATCGGCTGCGGAGTGCATCGAATACTACTGATGCGCTGCGACCACCACCGCGTACGAGCTTGATCCGTCCACCCACACAAGATGGAACAAGAAGGCCTTCCATCAACCTCGCTAATGAATTTGGCGTTGGCAATCCATACCACTCGCCTTCTGTCTCACAGTCTTCCAGTAATTCAGGCTACAGCCATATGTCACGACCTAGTCAAGCTAGCTCTAGCACAAGTCCTGCCCGATCGGTCGGGTCTCGTCTAGGGGCCCGCCGGCCATCGGATATGTCCAATTTTAACTCGTTAATGGACGATCTCCAATCCTCGATGGATGAGACAAAGCTTAATGGTCAACCGCCTTCGCCTGGCGACCGGCCAGTGTCTAGGAATCGACGGGCCCCTCCAGAGGGTCTCCTACTAGACCCCGCTAATATTGGAGGATGGGACTCTAGATTAAACTCACCAATGAAGTCGCCGCTTTCCCCCAGGTCGCCCTTAGATCGTAGGGATCCTGCTATCCAGGATCCTGCTGTCCAGGGCGGTCCGAATAGGACCCCACCCACTCAGTCCGTTCATGCCCGCCAACCCTCTAAAGACCCACGCTCTCGCGGTAACTGCAAGGCATGCAAAGACCCTATCACGGGCAAGTCGATATCGTCAGCGGATGGTCGCTTGACTGGACGTTATCATAAGGCATGTTTTGTGTGCACCACCTGCAAGGAGCCTTTCTCTTCTTCGACATTCTACGTCATAAATGATCAGCCATACTGCGAACAACATTACCACAAACTGAACGGTAGCCTCTGCGGGAGTTGTGGTCGGGGTATCGAAGGACAATACCTTGAGGACGAGTCTACTAAGAAGTACCACCCGCGCTGTTTCCGATGTGGTGATTGCGGAATCGTTCTTCGTGACGGGTACTTTGACGTTGACGGTAGGGCATTCTGCGAACGCGATGCCTGGAGACGTATGAATGCTGTCATACAAAACCAAAGACCACCACCACCAAACATGCAAGGATATCCGGGACGTAGGCCAAGCGGGCAAGGACCTCAAATGCCGAGAGGACCACCCGGGGGCCCCGGCTACATGGGTCCCGGTCCCAAGACCCCCGGGCCACTCAACCGGCCTTTCGGATTGCCGACCGGGAACCGTCTCATTCCTGGACAAGCTCTAGGCCGAGGTGGATTGACCCCAATGCCGAAAATGGAGAAGAGAATGACGAGGCTGGGCATGATGTAAAACCGAACGTATCTATTTGCGCCGTTTTGATTTCTGAACGACGACACGCCTTTTTTTTTTTTTTTTACCCCGATCGACCTCATCACCGCTGCACTAACGGCAAATATCATCATCACATACCCAGCATTGGCGTTTACGGACTACCGGGAAAGCATTTTGCTTTATTTTTTATTTCTTTTGGGCGCATATACCCCTCCATCACCTCACTCCACAACCCATATTTGTTTATATACCCGTGCCACGAGGTAATCTGCTTCTCCGTTTTTGGTCTACATCATTTATCAGATGCGATACGCTATTATTATAATGTGATAGTTAATCTGGAGATTTTATCTCCTAATCAAGGAGGGGAGGGGGGCCCTTGGGGTTTGTCCGCTGCAACTACGCATCGGCACACCAAGAGCGCCCTCGGTTCAGGTGCGTTGTCTCCGATGCATGGAGATCACGTCTTCTATATAGAGGTTGGAACTGGTACGTAGGGTCCGCGAAGGCCCTTTAGAGCACGGTGTGGACGGATCTCCTCGAGTGGTGGTGAGCTAGACCTTCGAGCGAATTAGGGGTTAGAGAGAAGAGAGGAGAGGGGATGAAGTAACCGATGGTTTCGGAGAGATCCAGCATGGCTACGAGCTAACTTGGCCTGCGCACTTGTTTCGTTGCGCCGTTCGCTGTGAATACTGCCACTGTTGCGGTTTACTCCGAAATGCGGAAGATAGATGATAGAAAAATCAAACAATGAATACACACTCACTAGATTCTTCATATCTATGATTCCATAATACTCGGCATGTCCGTGATCTTATTGTCCAAGTGCCTAAAATTAACCTTGTAAATAGCTATCCGTCGTGACACCCTCTCTACCTACATAGTACGTACAACTTATCCTACTTAAGCCCGATCTCAGACTCGAGCAAAACCTAGGTAATCTGATAAGGGAATACCCGTGACTGCCGAATGTCGGTACCCGACGATAAAATACATAGGTAGGTATTACCCACCGGCCAGCCTACATACCTACCTACCTACCTAGGTTAGGTATGTAAGGTATCCATATCCCATACGTTACAGCCGCAAGATCGCAATCTGTTTGCCCCCTTCTACGGCTACCGAGATAGATATCCACCCGTCGTCAGCCGTTATTATTCGTGTCCCCATACCTCCTAACCCCCGAACTCCTAAATCAAAAGATCGATCTAGAAACATGGTGGTTTTGTTTCATCGGCAAGATCCTGTAGGCGGGGACGATATCGAGAGGGTGCTCGAGAGGGTGCAGACGATTCTGTGGTTTGGTGGGTGTGCACAGTAGGGAGACAGGCAGGCAGATGGCTACCTAATACAGAGACGTCATCTGGATGTTTCACATATATAGTTTCAATGTTTGTGTATGTATGTATGTAGGTAGGTAGGTAGGTATCTGGCATTACTAGGTATCTACCTAGTACTGAATACATACATAGGTACTACATTCCTACCTAGATGTAGGAATTGCTCGCTTCTTACAGCACTTCATTTATCTATCCTCTTACGGAGTCCGAGTCCCTGACTATGTGCTATGGAGGCACAGACTACAGGTGACGCCATCGCTGGGCCGTTCATAATATATATAGATTTGCAACGGGAATCGCCGGCATGTCCGCGCCGTGGGCTGGCGCCGGCGGTGGGGTAGGACGTTACGGCTGAGCACATCTAATATAAAATGGGGGCCGTCTGTGTTTGTGTATACGGACTAGGTAGGTCGGCAGGAATCTGGAAAGGATTCCTTCTTTCGGTGAACCGGGCTGCTTAACCTAGGTAGGTAGGTAGGTACTTACTTACACTACATACTAGATAGAGACAAGTAGCCCTTGTGTACCTATCTATGTAGCTGTAGAATGAACTGCCTACCTGCTATCATGTTATTTAGGTAGATATATCAAGTGTAGTCTACCTCATCTGCGGCTTTGAGACATATGTAGGAAGGCTTACTTACACTAGAGTCTAGAATGTGTTACGTACTTAGCGAAATATCTAACGAATGCAACATTAGGCTGACACGAACGATGGGAAAAACTACCGACGAGGCTCCTTGATTGGATCGTCTAAGATCGACGCACGATGACGATCGCGAGCGTTGCTGTGCCTCCTGTCCAATGGCGTGATAGGTGGCTTTCGAGCCGCCCGTGCTATCCTTACTATGTATGGAGTTGATGGTGTTGTGTGTGTGTATCAGATTGTACTGGGTTTTACCTCCAATGGCGCATTGGCAACTGTCATGTTCTCTTCTTTTGTTTCTTTCCTGGTTGACAAGAGTAACTATTCCGGTCTTCCGATTCTTATGTCACTGTGTCCTTCGGTACTTGGTAACCTACCAACCTATGTTTAGAAATGATAATACCTCCCGCTACCTACACGTCAGCATGTGCCCCATACAAAAGACGCCAGCAGAAGTGGAGTTGAGCAGAATAAATGCCCACGAATTGCCAGATTCTGCAAAAGGACGGATATTTTCTCCATGTATCGGATGGGTGCTGATCTTCAGATGATCGCAGATTTGTGTTAGTAACTGACTACAACTCATCGCGACAGCCTGCGCGGGGACAATTCATCCGCCAGCCTTGTAAGGATCTAAAATGACGATGTCCATGAAGATTGCGATTCGCTTGTGCTAAGAGTCTAAGACTGTGTGACAAGAAGAGCTAAAACTGTCGGATTGCCAGTGGCACAGTGCAGTGGGTGGTCTGTGATTTACTGGACACTTGGATGTGGAGTATCATTTCACCTACAATCCAGTGTGATGTGATGTCTTGTCTCCTTTAGCACAAGGCAATTCGGGGCCTTCTCTTGCGTCAACTCATATCCATGATAAGTTAGCTACTAGTGTAGTTAAATATACCCAGAGCGGGAGACATGGGGAATTGGGGATAGGATAAGATAGGATAGGATAGGGAGCATAAAGAATTGACTAGTGGGACCTTGGGACCTTGGTCTAGAGCATAATAAATTCCCCTTAACAGCTGGGCGAACAGCTGGGCAACTTTCAAAGATAAGATGAACTGAAGAAACTAACGGGTAGAAGAGAAAAGTGAAATGAACACTTGAAGTTTGATTGGGTTTTTTTTTTATAATTGTAGTTACTACTAGTACATAGTAATCACATGTTGATAACACTAAAAAAATCCCCAAGGATTCGTTTATCCCATTTCCAGAGTCCAAATTGAATCAACTACGCTAAGTACGTGACACAAAGAACTGCACAGCAGCCACCCGTACCTTAGTAATAAGGTACAGACAATGTCAGACATGCTAAGAGCGAATCTGGGCGATGCATGCTGTGACGCTAATGCCCCCCCTGTGTGCAGCTAAATAGTGTAAGTAGGTGGTATCCACTTCGGGATAGCACACGGACCAATCCCCACAATCAACTAATGTCAGAAGTCCAGAACTGTCTTATCTTTCTTTATTCTTTACCTTGTCACTGTTGCTGAAACGTCCACTAATTGTAGGTACCTGCATAGTTATTGTCTATTTGTATCATATACCACTTATAACCGAGTATATATATCAATGTACTGTAAGTAGACAAGCAAGCAAGGTAAGGATAGTTAAGTGCCGTGTTGTCTTAAGGATGTACAACTACAAGTTATTATACAAAAACTGCCCAAGAGTTCCAAGGCTCTAAGTTGAAACAAAGAATCATACAGTGACATACACGTGTGTGCTAGGTATAACTACGGTGTGCTAGCTACATATGCGTAACCACAGGTAATCTAAAGCGCTAAGGCGCTAAGCATCTCCCGCTGTATTGAATACATATCTGGCCGAACCTGGTCACTGAAACCCCCACACCTCCTTTGTACCTACTTGCTAAAAATCTGCATGAAGTGTACCATGTGAATGCTAGGGATACATTCAAGTTTCTAATCGAATCCTAATGATAAAGTATCCTGTACAAGCAGTTATTAACAGCATCCTTTGAAGTAAAGGACCGTTGTAATACAGTAAACCTTGGCCATAACGATATGGAAAAAACACCACTCTTAATTCGTTATAGAGAGGTATCGTTATGTAGAGATGGACCCACTGTCATGGTCCGTGTACTTCCGTTGTACCTTTACTGCCATTTTATTGGAAAAGGTACTTACTATTTTATGAAAAATATTGTACAATAGATATTATGCAGTAAGCCAATTTTTCGGCGATTAGATATCGTGGCGGTGATTAGATTTACCTGAAAAAAGGACAGTCCAATTGGCTACCAAACGCAAAATTCCACTTATTCCACCAAAAATTTATCAAAATAAACGGTTTTTTACACATGGTCCATAACGATCTTGGTGGTGGCGGTCAAAAAATTAACGATATATCGCTAAGGTTAAAATATCGTTATTTCCCATACAAAATTGCAATGTTCCCAAAATTATATCGTTATACAAAAATATCGTTGTCTACCGAATCGTTATGGCCAAGGTTTACTGTACTTCAATTGTTAGTACTACGTATGTATCGTTCACCATGCCGGGCATGCCCTAGTTGCGCAACTTTAAACCTTCAACTTCTTTCCCAAAAAGGTCAGGGAAGGGGGATATCCAATTTCAGGCATCCCACTTAAGCGGCTTTTGGTGTTGATCACCGTGGCCAAGACAGCGATTCGCGATTTCCCCAGTCCCTTTTTTTGCACTTATCATATTTTCCTCTGTTCGAGTCAAGTGTATTCAAGTGTACTCTTTGATTGGAATTTTTTTCCAGTTAGGGCATTTTTTCTTTCATTTAGTTCCGTCTCGGTCGTCATCGACATATTATGTATCAAACTCGACTTCTTGCATTTTGAGCATCTGTCGTAACCGTTTTTTTACCCGACCGGTTATCCACCGCAGTCATAAACCCGTACACTCTTTTCCAAGGTTCATACCGATATTTTCTACTGCTGCCCATTTCTGTATTCTGGACAATACGTCTTCAAACGATACTCAACACCTTGTATTCGATACCCGATACTTAATAACACGTACGTGCGAAGTACAATCGGCCTCTCCCTTGACTACCATCGTGATCTATTTACGCGCCAAATATCAAATTCCCGGTTCAAGAATTTGATCTGGAACGTTTAATCTAGGAATCGATCCTCACGATATAGAATTCCCTACCAATCTCCTACCCAACATCCAACAACCAACCGATTTATATGACAATTGCCTGAATCTCGCCATGGGATGTGCCTAACCAATAACCCGTGAATATCCTCGCGATACTAACATATCGCCCCCGACTGCCAAATATATTGCATATTTCGCCAATTGGCCTGATATGATGTTAGCGGTACAACCTCGTCGATTACTGTCGCGGCCTAGAAGTCTGCTGGTCTTTGCCATCTTTGTCGCTGCCGCCTACTGGGTTTTGTTGCATAATCCTGCCCTTCCTCCAACGCCGCGCGTGTTCGACGGAAGCTCTGATGTATTACCACAACCCCCTTTGAAAGCTGGCACCGACACCAAGGAAGACCAAGCTCCTTTAGAGCCAGCCCCTTTACCACCGAGCGAGCCCACTTACGAGGATCAGAATCAACAGACTCAGCCTGAAGCACAAGAACAAGCACAGCCAAAAGAACCAGAAAAGACAGACGAAGAGAAAAAGAAAGAGGAAGAAGATAGGAGGGAGGAAAATCTACGGTCTCAATTTGATAGAGAATATGATGCGCTTGCGAAGTAAGTGGATCATCTATTCGTATCATGGCAACATATTTTAACAACCATACAGAGAGCCGGGCGCCGATGCAATCTATGGACAGACACTCAATACTCTTGACCCTGCCAAGAAACGATCTCTAACCATCGAAGAACACTTAACACCCGCCACGGAAAAGGCATATTTCAGTGACCATCAACCTTACATTTATAAGCCATATCCCAAGTACAATGAAAAGACTTGGCTTGCTGAAAGAGCCCAATATGTGCAATGCGAAGGTCCAGATGGCAAGCCAGTGGGGGACGTATTGGTTTTCAAGGGTCAGCCAAAAGAATTCCCCGAACCTGGATTCGGAAGCTACAACGCTCTTGGCATGGATGGGAACTTGTGTTATGAGCGTGAGACACGACTAGGCATATACGGTTTCCAGGCGGATAATGACACCTCAGCTGCACGGGTTAATTGGGATGAGGTTCATTGGGGTCAACTGCAAGAAAAATGCTCCAAGCAGAACATGGCTCGGTTTGACTTGCAAGGACATTCTAACCCTTATATCACTTCCGTCTACTCACGCGACAATTCGAGTTCGCCAGTCATTGACAGCGATGAAAAGGATCGTGCTTCATCAGGATCTCCCCTCTACGATAGCGCCCCCAAAGTGGCAACACCATCATTGCGGCGAAGAAACGGCCCTATCGAGCGTGCTACGTCTGGGAAATCTAAGCCTATCACTGGAACTGAATCCAGAACCGCGCTATTGCTGCGAACCTATACTGGCAAGGAATACAGCGAGAATGATAGGCAGGTTATTCGGTCTTTGATCACTGAGCTTTCCTTACATACTGGTGGCCAATATCACGTTTATCTTTTTGTGCACGTCAAAGACACCGCATATGCCATCTGGGATGATGAGGCAACTTACCAATACGTGCTAGAGAAGAACGTACCTCCTGAGTTTAGAGACATTGCAATTCTCTGGAATGACGAAGCCACACAGACCATGTACCCCAAGATTGACCCTAAAAAGGCAACTGTACATGTCTCGCAGTGGCTTTCAGTCCAGAAATTTGCGCAGGAGTTTCCCGAATACGACTTTGTTTGGAACTGGGAGATCGATGCAAGAGTCACTGGCCATAATTATGATTTTGTGGAGAAGTTGGTTGCCTTTGCCAAGCGTCAACCTCGGCGAGGGCTTTGGGAGCGAAACGAACGCTATTATATCCCTTCCATCCATGGAGACTACAACACGGACTTCCGAAAGGAGGTTGAGCGCGTATCAGGGGACGACACAGTTTGGGGTGCTCCAAAGTTACCCTTCGTCAATCCTGTCGGGCCCAAACCTCCGGTTACAAAACCTGAGGATGATAACTACAAGTGGGGTGTTGGTGAAGAGGCAGATCTCATTACTGTCGCTCCCATCTTCAACCCGCTCAATAGCTCTTGGATCAGTGGAAATGAGCTTTGGGGATTTAATGATTCTACACATGAAACCACAGATCTACCGAGAAGAGCCACGATTGTGACGCATTCAAGAGTTTCCAAGAGGTTGCTCGATATCATGCACGTGGAGAACGTTCGAGGCAATCATATCTCGTCAGAAATGGTCACCCAGACCGTCGCACTTCTCCACGGCCTCAAAGCAGTTTACGCCCCGATGCCTGTCTACTTCGATAGACCATGGCAAGGCAAGGACCTCGCCAAGTGGTTTAATGGCGGTCAAAAAGGCGAAAGCGGGGGCATTGGTTGCGCCATGGGCTGGGGACGCGAAGCAAGATACCGGGGGACAACCTGGTATTATCGCGCAAACCCCCCACAGAGACTTTATCTCAACCTCATGGGTTGGGAGGACACCGGCATAGGTGGCAAAGACTGGGAAGAACTTTACGGGCGACCCTGCTTACCACCGATGTTATTGCACCCCGTGAAAGATATCGAGCCTACAGAGCCCGGATATAAAAGCGAGTCGAATCTTCCCTACTCTTGAGCGGGCGGGACTTCAGCATAACAAGATCAAACCGGGCCGCTACGAATTATCAAAGGCGCGAGTATTTAGATATTCCGCTTACCAGCTAGGGCAAAGCGTGCGAGCCCCAAATAAGGCAACTTGAAACTCGGAAATTTCCCATGCAAGCGACGAACTACCTACCTACACTATATTCGACACCCTCTGACGACTACATTACATGGACGTATGAGGCCGCAACCGTCGAAAACAGGTCATGGTGGCGGCCAAGGCGCTGTATATTACTCTAAGCCAGGCCACCACGTACCTAATCTTGAAACAAGGCTTTCTGGAGCTAGACGAGAGATGTCATGATTGATCAAATTTTAGGAACTCATCTTAAAAGTGGCGACTATGATGAACGCTATTCGAATTAGATGAAAAGAACATGGAGATAGCATTGCGAGGATTCCACAATTATCACATTACTCGGCGTTATCACATTTGCACTAGGTGCTTAGCAGGAGGCTTGACATTTTATACCCATGAGCTTCGAGTCAAGTTTTGAGGCGGAAAATTCATTGATTGCATGTACCTACTATGGATTCAGATTCAACCGCATGAGCAAAACAAAAACAGCCAAACCACCTAGCATGACCTAGAACTTAGATGGACGGATTCATGGTTGTCTTACGGTCTTTTCAATGTAAATATGTTAATTTTTATGTATATACCCAATTACCAATGAACATATTATAGAGCAATTACCGAGTCGCCACTGTGATTTGAATGGAGTAGATATGTCGCCGAAGGCAACGTAAGGGTTCGATAGGTAGTCGTGATAGGTGCGTTAATCTAGTCTAGGTAGGCGTCGTGGATGCTATATTGTAGATGGTAGAGTAGGCATCCAGGCAGGCAGGTTAGTATGGGTGTTGCAAATTGGCAGAATCTGTTTAGTTCACATCCATAGTAGCGAGGGAGTGATGCCAATGGGTGCTAAATGGTAACTAATTCACGTAGTAGCCTCAACTCACCTAGGGTAGCTCCAGAGGTAAGTATATAAGCCAAAATACCATCAATTAAACTCCGTCCATCGTGCGAGACATTCGCACTGTAACTGAAAGGCTAGGGGCCTCATGGCGCAACGGTAGCGCGTTCGACTCCAGATCGAAAGGTTATCCGTTCAAATCGGGTTGGGGTCAATGATAGTTGATTGGTGGATTTCTTTTTTTCTGGGTTGGGTTCACACTCACTTTTTTTTGGTATTAGGGGTGTTGAAGGGAGAGGCAGGTGGGATTTGCATGTTGGAGGGGAGGGCATGATTTGCTGAGGAGCGAAGATCTTTGCGGCGATGCCTCTTTTTTTTCTCTTTTTTTTTCTTTTGGAATTAACGTAGGAGGAGAGGACTTTTCGCGGGATTTTGCTACTACCTACAGTACCACGAACCACTACGCAAATCCCCCTCTAACAGCGCTTTCCGTTTAAGGGGTCTGGCAAAAAAATTATCTCATTGCGATAGGGGACTTGCAAATCCATCTATCTACATACCTCATATATCCAAAACGGCGTTATTCAAGTATTTGGTATCATATATATGATGTAGGTTTAAATGTAGGGTAAGTATTAGGTACGTATGTACATTAGGTATCTTAATCCCGCTCTCTTAACAATCTCAACAATCTCAGCTTATCTAGATCAGGGTATATGATATATGATTTGCAACAGACGAAACAGAGGAAGTGAAGTGAAGAGAAGGGAAAATAGCAGAGAATTTTCCTCTTCTTCTTCAACAAGAAACGCCACTTTTCTCCTTCTCATCCAGGCCGTTCGAAGATGAGGGTATGTCCAAAGAGCCATCTGGAACAGCCGTCGCTTCCTCGTCTTCGGGTGCGTGTCCGATGATGGCTTCGAATTTCTACGACGAGCATTTTGCTTTCGTTAGCGTGACGGAACGGAACTGGGTTCACAAACGACCAAGGAGGGGGTGGGGGAGGGAGAGGGAGGAGGAAGAATGCATGAACTTACGGGGCCCTCGAACGTCTTGCCATAGGTAATCCAGTAAGTGCCGACCAGGATCAGGAATATGCCGATTACGACGGCGACGTAGTCTGTTTCAATATTGGTTAGCAAAGAGTAACCGCCTTGGAGCGGAGGGGGTTAAGGGGCGTCCATACTCATATCGTCGCCCGAGACGGGGAGGGTGGTCGGGAAGCAGAAGAACTATTGTCTTATAATCAGCACACACCATCCCCCCTCCGAGAGGAAAAAGAAACAGAAAGAAACCATAGGACGCGACGAACCACAGAAGTGACGCTAACAAAAACCACCGCGACACCATTCAGCGCGTACCCCCACACATTTCCCAGCGCGAAGTACGCCTGCTGCTGCTGCTGCTGCTGCGACCGATGTTTCTCAAGCACGGCTCGGCCCCGCAGCAGCAGGACGATAACCGGGATCACGTACGAGACGTTGAGGAAGATGGTGCAGCTGGCGGCGTACGCACTAAAGGCGACCGAGGGCCCGAGGTACAGCAGGCCGAAGAGCACGTTGAAGACGAAGGTGAGGACGATGGTGCGGACGGGGACGTTGAGGTGGGGCGGTATGTGGGTGAAGCTGGGAAGTTGGTTAGTTTAGTTGGCAGGTGTGCGGGAGAAGATGTAGAGAGGTTTTGGGATAAAGAAAATTGGGAAAGGGGGAGAGGGGGCCACTAACTATTCATGGAACACTATGCCCTTATCTCGAGCCATGGCGTAGAGAAGCCTGCTCGAGCTCGTGACGCAGCCGTTTGTGCCGTTGATGAAACACACGGCCAGCATCAGCGTCAGCACCGTCGCCGCCGCTCGACTGCCGGTCCCCTGAAGGATCAGCTCCGCGATGGGCATATTCGTCGGAGTGTTGAGGACCGTCTCTGGGTCAGTGATACAGAACAATATAACGAGAATAAACGCGGTGCCCGTGACACCGCCAACGATGACAGCGTATATGATGGCGCGCGGCGCATCGACAGCCGGCCTTGGCATCTCCTCCGTCATATGCAGCGCCGCATCGAACCCGATAAGCGAGAGCGCGCTCTGCAGCAGGCCCAGGATCCAGGCCATGCCGTCGGACCAGCCGGTCTCGTTCTCGAACTCGGCGAACACGAAGCGCGCGTCGTTCTTGGGCGACGTCGTCGCCAGCAGCACGATGCTGATCACCACCACCCCGAGCAGCGACCAGTACAGCGCCGCGTCGTTCCACCGCCCCAGGATCCGGTTCCCCCAGATGTTGGACCCCGCTGTGAAGGTCAGGATCGCGAGGAAGATCAGGTACGTGCGCCAGGCTGAGATGGTGTAGGTGCCGTTGGAGGCGATGACGGCGGCGGCTTGGATGAATTGGGCTGTTGTTTGGGGGAGGCGTTGTGTCAGTGAATAGCCTGTATGTATAGGCATATGGATATCATAATTCGGTTAAACTTGGTGGCGGTGGTGTATGTTAGAGAGGAAAAGGGCAACTTACCGGCGAAGAAACCTTCAGTTGTGACGAGCGTGAGCCATCCCGCGATATTGGTCCAACCCACCCAGAAGCTCTACAGTAGCTCCAAATCAGCCCCTTAATCTTCTTGTTCTTTTTTCTTTTTCTTTTCTTTTCAAATTCCGTGCAAGGAGTTTCTGGTTCACTTACCATGGACTGCCTCCACCAATCGGTACACAGGGCATAGACGAAGTGGTACTGTCCGCCGGCCGTGGGCCAGATAGCTGCGAGCTCGCCGAGGCTCGCAGCGAGGGCGAGGTTGCACAGGACGCAGAAGATGAAGCCGTAGAGAAAGGAGACGGAGCCCCCCGACGGAAGAACCAGGCCGATCGATCCCGCCAGCGCGATCCATGTACTATCCGCCGTTGCGTGATGCCGCTATCGTTAGTTAACATGCTACTTTTTGCCGATTGATCGCTTGCGCCACGAAACAACTCGGAATGCTGACTCACTTGAGGATTGCGAACGTCAGGGCGACCATAGTCAGCCTCGAAAGGCGAGGTTGAAGCCGGCCTTCGCCGGCCGGCGTTGCTTCAACCCGGGCCGGCATCGTCGGGACTAGGCTGACTAGGTCAGTAGATACCTAAAATTAGGTACCTACTAAGTATGCTGAACCGTCTTGGCCTCGATCGACTCGGGAACGGGTAAGGTACCTATGGTCGTCGGGTAATCTTCCCTAATGAGGCGTTGAGGAGAAGGGATCACAAGACAAATTTGGTAAAAGGGGGGGGAAGAACACTCTCACGCTTAAATAGCTAGAGACGTAGGTAGCAGCCATCTTTATCACATCTAAGACATTCATTTCCAGAATTACACATATATAAATGCAGGTACCTAGCAAGTCGTACCTGAGCAAAAAGCAAAAGATAAGCCTCGTGCTGTTTGTGTAGAGATGACTAACCTGGTAGACTAATTTACTCGAGATAGAGAGAGCCTGCTTTACCAGCTTCCCATGTCGCTTTGCCACTTGTGAACCAATACGACTGCAACCCGCTCAGCTCACGTAATTTACCTAGCTACCTACATATCACCCTAATTAATCCCGTAGGTAGGTACTTACCTTGTGCTATGTATTCCTCAAAGCCACATAATAAAGAGAGAAATAAGATGACATCCCGTCATACATCCTTACAGATCTCGTAGGGCTCCAGCTGTCCAGGGAGCCAATCACGAACCCGACGTCGTTGCAAGGTTTGCTTACCATTGGCTGAAATAGCGGCACAGGTGGTGGCACTTCTACGTAAGGCCTACTTACGGCCTTTCCCACGGATCTGATGCAAGAAAGTAGTGTAGGTACCTAGGTAGTGGTAGGTAGGTAGGTATGCAAACATGACTTGTTAATTTCACCGCTCCTTTCCTTTTACCGCAACGAGTCAACCCTTTCTGTCCACCAGCCCAGCCAAAAGTAGCGGATTGTCTGTGGTTGTGCCTCCATGACTGCATTATTCTTTCCCTTCTGAGAACATACGTTCGCACCATGATAAAGTCGCCCTGCTGCCCCCAATTATCCTCCCCCCCATCCTCTCCCGTTCTCGCTACTCCTACATAGAGACTAGTCGTCTCTCCAATTTTGCGCCCCCCCCCCCCTCTTTCAAACCCCAAAATACATAACTGTAGCAGCAAGCTACTAGAAGTGTAATGTAGGTACGCGAGGAAGGATGCGATCCTTCCACTGACGTATCATCGAACCGTTCAGGTGCGGGAGGGGAAATCGGGGAAGCTTGTTACCTAACCAGGCAGCTCCCCCCAATTGAGGGTCTCCAGCTCCCTTATCAAGAAATCCCGAGCGTGTAAGTCGCCTAAACAGGAAGCGCTTGACGCCGCTCGCTCCCCTACCCTAAAGAGAGAGAGAAACAGAGAGTCATATAATGGCTACCCATGGATGTATGTCCTGGCCCCCGGGATATGGTCGAGCCAAACCCCATGAGATATCCCGCACATCCGGGGCATCCCCCAATTCCCGCAAGGCATGGATGTAGGCAGGAGACCCCACACCTTGGAATCCCGAACGTTGCTCGTCCGAGGGTGTTAGGTAAGTAGGTCATGGATGATGACGACGGCAATCCGTATCCCTTGACTAAATTTTACATTAAAGGATAGGTAGGTAGGTAGTTAGTACTTCGAGGCTAGGTGGGTTATGTTGTTTGTGCCGTCGTCCTACCTACGGCCCCCCCCTGCCTATCTCGGCACTTATTTACCTCATGATGGTTGCCAAACTCGAGCGAGACATGGCAGACGCACTCGCTTCGCTCTACTATGTATTGTATAATACGTAGGAGATTCCATATGCCAGATATAGAACTTTTGAACCGTGTAACTAGGCCGAGTTGAGGAATGTTTATCGAGCCTCCCACAAGCCCTTGTCCTTTTTTTTTTCCCTCTCGTCCCACACTTATTATTCAACCCCCGGGAACCTCCCCGGATCCGAGCGAGGACCCACGTGAGAGCTGTGCTCGGTGGTTGACCAGGGCCACTAGTTAGATCCTGGGAAGAGCTGTTTGGAAGGACTCTGCGATCGCTCTCGTACGAGTTATGGATATCAGATGGGTCTCTCTCCTCAGTCCTAGTCCTAGTCCAGCACCTGCTGTTTTCTTCTTCTTTGTTTGGTGCGTGTGCGATGGTAGGTAGGTATTCTACAAGAATAAAGATCACCAACAAATATTCGCGCCTGCAATAAGCTTTCACGTGAAAATGCACCTTGGCATCGAGTGCGACGGGTGTATAATAAAAGAAAAATGCTACGGCAACGCGGCGGGCGTTGGAGCTTTCCTGCTGGCACCCGAGACTGTGCACAAGGAGGGTCGCAATGGTGTCTGCTGCAGAAAGTTGGGAAGGATGGGGAAGGGAGCTGCAGGAAGCATGAGGTGCATTGCGCACCATTGGTTCCCTTCTAGCGCTGAATCTGCCGGCAGGGCCAATAAATGGGCGATCCTGCTTCCCTCCGAAGTAACGCGGTCGCTGGGGGCCATTTTCTCTCTCTAAGGAAAGAAAGAGAATACCTACCCACGCCGGAGAAAGGCGCATACAGCTCGGGATTCGAGAGAGCATGGATGGCCTGAGGTGTTTTTTTTTCTTTCTCTTTCCCTTTTCTTTTCTGGGGTCTGCTTGCTTGCTTGCTGACTGCAGACGCCGTAGACGTCTCCCCCGCACCTGGTATGCCTACACTGCAGCAGTACAATCGTTTTGGTTCTCCCCCCTCGATGGGCGGCACATGGTATAAAAGGTACAAGCCAGTGGTCGCCAATGGTTGTTTGATAATCCTGTAATGCTCCCACCTTCCTATCTCTGAGAGAAAACCCTCCCAAAAAAAAACCCCCCAGAAGAAAAACCCGCTGCCTTAGATTATTTCTTCAACAACCACCTCGAGAACATGACTGCCAAAGTACGCGTCGGGGCCGTCCAGGCAGAGCCAGTATGGCTTGATCTTGACGGGAGTGTAGACAAGACGATCTCGCTTATCGAGAGGGCCGCTGCGGATGGCGTCCAGGTGCTTGGGTTTCCCGAAGTATGGATCCCAGGATATCCGTGGTAAGCTTAGCTGAGACATTTCTATTTCTTTTTCTTTTTCTTTTTTTTGGTAGGACTGCAGGGCACGCTAACGTCAAACCTGTCTCCCTCAATCCAGGTCCATGTGGACTTCGAGTGTGATCGAGAATGCCCACATCATCCACGACTACATGGCCAACTCGATGCGTCGGGACTCGGAGCAGATGGAGCGGATCCTCGCTGCCGTGAAGAAGGCCGGCATGTTCGTCGTCCTCGGGTACAGCGAACGGGAGGGCGGGAGCCTTTACATGGCCCAGTCCTTCATCTCGCCGGAAGGCGACATAGTCCACCACCGAAGAAAGATAAAGCCGACGCACATTGAGCGAACCATTTGGGGCGAGGGGCAGGCCGAGTCGCTCAAGTGTGTGGTACCGTCACCGTTCGGTATGATTGGCGGGTTGAACTGCTGGGAACACCTGCAACCTTTGCTTCGCTACTACGAATACTCGCAAGGAGTCCAGATACATGTGGCAAGGTGAGTCTCGTCCCACACAAGCTTCCTTCCTTCGTTACTAGATACGGCCTTCGTTACCAACCCCTCCCTACACCCCCCTTACACACACGCACACCCAAAGACACGACATGCCTTACTAACTCGAAAAAAAAACAATGTGAAGCTGGCCTGCAGAGTTTGAGATGCCAGATCCCGCCAAGCTCAAGTGGCTATACCACGAAACCGGCGAGGCGAGCTACCGAGCCAGCCAGTTCATGGCTATAGAGGGGCAGTGCTTCGTCCTCGTCGCATCCCAGATCCTGACCGAAAAAAACCTGGAAAAGAACAACCTTTCCGGCAACCCAGTCACCAAGACGGTAGGTAACCCACGCCCAAACACTCTCCACTCACTCCAATACCCATGCTTCTTCTTCTTCTTCTTCTCTCACACTCCATCATTGTCATTGTTGTTTGTAGAATTTTGAATAAGGTTGGCTGGCTAACATCATCACCTCTCCCCCTTTTTTTTTGGTTTAGCCCGGTGGTGGATTTTCTATGATCTTCGGGCCGGACGGTAAGCCGCTCTGCGAACCGATCGGCGCGGGCGAGGAGAGTATCTTGACGGCGGATGTGGATTTAAGGGATATCGATTACCCGAAGGCGTTCATCGATGTTGTTGGACACTATGCGAGGCCGGATCTGCTGAGCTTATTGGTTAACCCTACTAAGGATTTGCATGTGACGAATATGCCAAAGTAGGTAGTAGGTAGGTAGGTAGGTGGCTGTGGCCGAGGGGGTTGGGAAGAGGTGTGGTGATGGGATACAATATGGGCATATATATATGGTGGCTATGATAGGGGGTAGTAGTTAGTGATGGGAATAATGATGGTGATGATGGCGGTGGATTTCGTCGTTTATCCAATACACATATACCACAGGTTCTAATAATCAGATACTCCACGGGGCGTTGATGTTGAGGTTGACCACGTTCCACCACTTGAGATTAGAAGCGCGGCAGCTATCAGCCTGGAGGTCCTGCTGTTTCCAGAACGACTCGATAATAGCTCTCAAGACGAACACGTTGCCAATGCGCCGTCTGTTATCCATGCGGTCGAGCGTCTGCAAGATCATTATTCGCTGGTGGTCGTTCTCGGTCTCGCAGGCAATTACGAAGAGCGGCCAGGGGCTGGTGCAGACCTCTAAGCTGTTGAGCGCCTTGAACGCCTGCTCCAGGTACAGGGATCTCGCTTCTTGGTTCTGCGCGTTGCAGTCGCCCGTCCGCTGCAGGTACAGGAAGGCCGCGATGCGGTAGAGCTCCGCGGTGGTTAAGATCCTGATCTGCTCTTGCTGCGGCAGCTGCCTCGCATCGCGGGGGTCTAGCTGTTGTATAAGATTTGTAACTCTGTTCTCAATCGAATGCCACTCGTCGGCCCTCTGCGCTCGCTTCTGGGGACTAAGGTCGGCGGATTCGCCCCGGAGCTCGGCTGCGCGTAGTCCGTTGGCGAAGCTAATAATTTCCATGACTTCTACTGAACACCCGAGCGATCCTATGATCTACCTGGATGTTAGCTTGTCATTTGTTTCCCGAGCTGAGTAGTCTCCAAAGGGGGAAGTAGATACCAAAGTCTTGTCAAAATTTGAGTCATGTAAAAGTTGAAGGGATGCTGGGCCATTGGGTCCATGTTGAAGAGGCTGGCTAAAGCCCCCTAGAATTTCATGATACAAGAACCATGTATACAAGAAGCTATATTTTAACTGTCCGCCGTGTTTATCTGCCAGCTTGCGAAGAATCTCCTGGGCGCCATGGAGGTGTAAGCTCCAGTTACCTTCCGTCTCATCGAAAACCTTTTCTTTGGTATTAGCAGATCTCATCTCATGTACAAGCAAGTAGGAAGGAAGGAAAGCTGTGTCTCTCACATTATAGACACATAGCATCATAGAAGTGGCTAGCTGCGTCTCGGTCATACCGACCGACTGGCTCGATAGAGAGGAAGATAAAGATCGGAGGGCATCCGCCTTGTAGGATAGAGCTTCCCCAGCGCCCCAAAGATGAAAAGCCGCCACAGCAAGCATAGCATTCCGCAGACCGTCCGAAGCGCTACCGATAGTCGAAAGCGCCATAGGCATCAGCTCTTCACGGAAACCGTTGTTGACATCAATTGTGGATATCATCTGTGAAAGCTTGCTCCGATCTGATGGGGGGCAAACAAAAAAAAAACGTAAGCGCAAGTTCCGAAGAAGGCAGGTAGGTAGATCAAAGGTTTGGTCAGTTAGTTCTCACAGTAATTAATCAGATGCGACTCCCTTTCCTGAAAATTTGGGAATATGGGAATACTTCTTCCAGGGCGTGGCTGGGCTCGTAGGATGGTCAAGCCAATGGGCGCCAGGACTTTCCTAGCTATAGCCAGATCCGTATAGGTCACATTCAAAAATTGCTGGCCATAGTAGGCGGAGTCGATTTCGTGATGGTAGATCGTGTGGTTCGGGAGTCGAGTTAGTCTGCGTCTACCGTCCGGCTGATCTGGCCAGGCCAGGCGGATCCCGTAGCCTTGACATTCCCTCCCGGTACGAAGACAGTTGTTACAGGCTGGATAGCCGCGGTCACACCCAATCTTACGTCCTTTTCAACAGGTTTCTTTTATTTTAGTAAGTTTTTTTTTTTTGGGATTTGCTGATGTTATACTCGAAACTTACGTTTGCAGGTCCAGCATCCCTGTGTCCGCTTAACAGTCTCCATCTTTTCTTATGTTCGAGAAACGTGGCTAAATTGTAATGTGATAAAAACTTGGAAGTCGAAAATGATCTAAGGTCTTCAGTTTGAGGCCGTTCCCGCGGGGTCTGAGCCTTGCATGTTCAGCACGGGTTTTGACTTCTCTACATTGGCGAGGCTAGAAAAAAACGGCCCAGGCGGCGCAGACGGGGAGCAGACGGGGTAGTAGGTATAATAATAATCAAACTGGCGCGATAACAGAACAGACTTGTCTACTTTGGTCATCCAATTTTTCGAATATGCTATCATGCCATCATACGACACATTGTAACGATTCAGCTGTACGGATTAGCCAAGCCAGGTGACTTTGACGACAGGATGGTCCCCGGGACTGGTTGGTACATTCGATATACGTCGAGTCTTGAGATTTGGTCCGCAGCGATATCGAACTATTCAGAAATGTTCAGATCTCCGCAATTCCCTATTAACCAATCAGACAACGCTTCCTGATGGGGGTTTCAACACTCAAATCCCGAGTGGCCGGACTGAGACCCCGAGTTTTTAGCTCCTAAAAGCCTGGAAATGGTCACACCTTGCAGTTAAGATTGCTCGACGGTCAGAAGCAGAAAAGGAGAATTTTTTCTTGTTGAATCTAAAAATCGATGCCGGTGTTAGGAATCGAAGAAATATTGAATAAGATAGTCGGCGAGGAGACCAGTCTTCGGCAGTTCGGCGACTAGGGCCGGGTCAATTTTGATGCCAACTGCTAGTAAAAGAGAGCCAAGGCAGTCATGCTGACGAAACTTGTGCGATACAAAAGCAGACGCCTTTACGTCATGTCCGTACCGTGGTAACACTATACTACATGGTAGAAGAAGAGGTTCAAATCCCATAAATCCCCTCCCCATTCCCCGTACCTCGTCTGCACACCTGCACGCCTGCACAACAACACCCTCAATGGATAGGGGACATGGAGGTACGCCACCAGAATGTCCATGAATGTCCATATGCAAGACTGCAAGTAGTGTACATAAATATATCTGCCTAGTATCCTACGATACCTACCTAGGTTAGTACGCAGGTGAGATCTCGGGTAGACAGGTCCCGGTTCAGCATCTAGACCCTCTATAGTAAGTACTATGATTTTTGACAGCATTGACAGCACACTAGTTCTTGGCAACCCTCGATCATATCGGAGCCTATAAAAACAACATCCATGGACGACATCCTGTACGACATCGGTGACAATAGACGGGTAATGCCGGAAATAAGTCGAAAGACTAGGGAAAAAAAATCGGACGATGTCGATTACATTGTGTACACTACCTACCCTAGGTAGGTAAGGCATCATCTACATACATATGTATGTAAGGATTTTCAGGGGTTTCCTGCGCGGGGGGTTTTACACGTTTTTGGTAAAACTACGAAAGGGCAACATACAAACGCCCTATTGGATTGCTCGTGGCCATATGCAGACGACTAACGAAACGAGAAAGACTCGATATGGTAAAACCCCATAAGCTGCGAGACGCAATCCTCCTGCAACATGTGAATGTGGACTAGGGTACGATGTAATAGTTCGTGGGTCTCGTCCGAAATCTGGGGTTTTAAAATATCAAGTAATACAGTAGCGCATGGTGCGTACATGAGTGTGTGTTGCATTTTGATTATAAATGTTGCCTATCTATAGGTACCTACCTACCTTGGGTACATAGCATAGACGTCTCCAGGACTGGAGGAGGCCTTTGGGATCTGAAAATGGCATCTCCAATCCTATATGCGACCCACAGAATGGGCTGTCTGTCTTACGTGATTCTTTAGCTCGTCAAAATCGGACGCAGTCATTAATTCTAGTTCTAGTTAATTTAGCCCCTTTTTTAGTCTAGGGTTCTTATATCGTTAATAAGATACCGACCTAGTAGGTAAGGTAGTGGTGGTCTTGTTGATTGTAAAGCAGATGGCTCACAATGGCTCAGAGCCCCATGCAATTCAGCTTTCATCATTTTTGCTCCAATAACCCGACCCGCCCTTTCGCCAAATCTTTGAGCGCTCTTCAAACGACTCGCGCATCTCGTCTATATCATCATAGCAGGCAAGTTCAAGCTCAGAATACCCCGGGGCATATTCAAACAGTTCTAGCATGCCGGAAGTTTCCATGCGATCCAAGTCCCAGAAGACATAAGCCCACTCCCTCAATTCAGAGTTATCTGTGAGCATGACCCACATGCACGTACTGAAGCGGTTGAAGGCCACACGCCATGCTTCAAATGGGCCCTTATCTGTGTTCTGGTCGTGGCTTTCAATAGGCGGAAACAGAGCTTCCAGGTCGTCCTCATCAGCGTAATCAGAAACTGTGACAATGTTGTTTAAGTCCGATTCGGGCCGTGATATAAGCGCATTGTAGAGATTGGCTTGGCCATATGGAACAAGGAACGCAGACTTTAATAGCGCCTTTTTGTCGTCGTATGAGCTCTCACTTATCAAGCTGTGGATGAAGTCGACACCCTGTAATAGCTAGGTATGACCATTATTTGTAAGCAACAGATGGTGGCAGATAAAGTAAAGATGTTGGATTGTGGCTTACCAAGAGTTGCCTGAATTGGTTATGCTCAGCAGTCGTGATAACTATAGTCGATCCTTAACTCGCCAAACTCAACATCATGAGCTAGAACATCATGAGAGGCTGCGTATTGGAATTAGACACCAGCGCTGAGGGCTCATGACCACAAACTCATCGGAGATACGTTTTCATGGATACCTAGTAAATAGCAACTTACCCTTTGAGAGCTTGAGCTCTAGAAAGTCCAGGACAGAGATGAGCTGCTCCTTTTCCCATGGTGGCTGGTTGGAAAAAAAGTGGTGTTCACCAAAGGGTACAGACGTCAACCGAGTTCTACAGCGGAAGAGACAAAGATATAACTCCACCCGATAAAAGGCTCGGCAAAAGCGGAGGTATTCTGACGGCGACAAAACGAGGCTCCCAGCCAGTTCCAATTCTTCATTTTTAAGTAGGCATGTCCATGCGCTGCTGGCAAAGTCGGTAGTCAAGTCATGGATCACTCCATATATAAGTCCCATTCTTCTTAGAAGCGGCACAGGCATGGTCCGGAGACGTTCGGTAAACTTGGATGGTTGCGTACATAACGTTTCGAGCAGCTCTTGGACTAGCTTTTCATTTCGTGGGCTCACATGTGAGGCTTCCAGCAACACCACCGAGTATGGGATGATAGTTGTGGGGATCTGGCGCTGCAAGATTTCGGCTGCCCAGCTCACGCAACGCGGATATCACAATCACAATCTCGTAAGGAAGTGTTGTGAAAATAGACATGTTTTGTTTGGCTTAGGTGATCCTCGTAAAGTTATGTCTGGTATGCTGCTTGCTGCTTCAGAGTGATCATATATGTGATTTTATTGACAGGCGGGTTGGTATAGGCGACCAAATCGTTGCCTGAGTGAGCATACCCGGAGATGCCCTAGGTACCTATCCATACCCTTTTGGGCACGTCGCGTTCCCACGATTTCATCTCGCACACCACGACAATGAGTCGCAACTTCGAGTTGCATGTCGAACATTGAACTTGGAATGATGCAGTGCACAGTGTGAGGGTTGTTGACTGTGGCTTGATAGAAGAGGCTGATTCAACATTTCTTGGTTAGTTGAAACTTCAAAGGTCAAGCCTGAACCATTGTGCAACATGAACTATGAAAGCTCAGGTGCCGCGATCCGAGGTTCTTTCCATAATGTCAACGAAGCATCGATCATAGTTAACTGTTAACCTATGTTAATAACTGTACATAATAGTGCCTACCTAAAGTTTTAGTGAGTAACTAGAGATTAGTTAACATTGTAGTATGCCTGATCCTTGTTTCTCCAGGTTATTAGGTACCACAGACCTAGTCCTTGCTTACCTACACATGCCAGTAAGGATACGTGAAGTTCTGAACGAATTAGGCAAGGACCGAGGTTCAATTGGCATGTGCAAAGGCTGGAGGAATAAGCGCAAGCGTCATAGCTCAGCTATTAGTTATGTAGCCTCGCATTTCCTCGATACCACCGTCTCTGACAACTTGAATAACTTCTCAATTTCCACTTCGCTTGCTACAGTCCCTCATCGAAACATCGCTTCTTGTATTTTTACCACCAACAAATACTTCATCGTATCAAATTTTGGATAGAATATTTCATAATACTCGTTAAAATGAGTCTCAAGAACGGTAAGCTACCTATCTAGATCTCGATCGATCTTGTACCGCAGAGAAGACAAACTCATTCCCTATTTGTAGACAGCTTCCCTTCATCGGCTGCTTTCGATGCCATCAACGAATCCTTACAGTCCAGCGAAGCTGATCGGAAGGATGCTATTAAGCAAGGCAATGCTGTTTTTGCATTCACGCTAAAGAATAAAGCTGGCGAGACAGAGAGTTGGCATATTGATTTGAAGGAGAAGGGTGTTGTCGGAAGTGGCCTAGGAACCAAACCAACAGGTATAACTACATTGCGCTCGAGGTAGCGAGTCCCATCTGTCTAAATCCAGCATGCTAATTCGGGATGTCAAAACAGTCACCCTATCTCTCTCCGACGAAGACTTTAGCAAGCTTGTGTCTGGTCAGGCCAACGCTCAACGATTATTCATGTCGGGGAAGCTCAAGATCAAGGGCGATGTAATGAAGGCTACTAAGATGCAGCCGATCCTGGCGAAGGCGCAGACAAAGGCCAAGCTGTAGAATGCTTAGCTGTCGTCAACCTGTAGCCTAGTTGAAATCGAAATCTAGAAGATACTAGGTTAGAAGATATTAAACAACCTATATGCCATATTTTATACCATATTATCAAAATAAACCAGAGATATTCCCGCCCTGTGACCTAAACACATACACAAATTGAGACTTTAGAAGCTAAGTCTTCAAGGCTGGTAGCTTTATTGCTGGATCTATCGTGATATTTTGTTACGTAATGAATCTAAGTTATTGTCCGTACCATGCATAAGATCTAACCGGAATATTTCCTTGCTCCTGTGTTGCAAAATTATTCTAGTCGTAACCTTTGGATAGTGCCCGGCAGGTCGGCTCTTTGTTGTTCAAAATAATGCCAAGAAAAACTTTGTTTTCTCCTTTGTCAAATGGGTTAGAGATACATAGGATAAGCTATGAAAGTATTCTAGGTTAACCCAGTCATCAATATTACCCCTGGACATCTCACACGCGTGAAAAGAATGGGAGAAACTTTGGAAGAGGTTCAATGTTGCAAGCCAGAGACATATGCTGATGATATGCATATAGAGTATCTGCTTAAATACATAAGACTAACTAACTACTAGATATATGTAAGTATTGAGTATAGTAGCATTGAGCGAAGCAACCATGTGGTCTGTGCTTTTGAGCTATTGCGCTAGGTCATGTAGGTAGTAGTATGCACTTGATACGAAGTACTTAAGGCATTTGAATACTGTTCGCGTCGTGATTTTGCATTTTTGCCCAATGACGTGAGTTACGGGCGCGCAAAAGTTTGTTTAATTGATTAAATTGAGCATACCTGCGGCCTGCCTAGGGTACCTAGAGTAACTAACGTTTTCATTTCGACCGCGCGGTAACCGTCGCGACGGAAGTAGTACGTACAGTACCTAACCCTTACTTACTCCAGTCACTGGTCTGTTTTTTTTTCTTTGCAAATCTTTTAGGCACTCACTCCGTCCACCGGTTAAGCCATCATCGCCCCCCCCCCCCCAAAAATAATAATAACATCACACCCTGTTCTTTTTTTCAAAAGCAAAAACTTCCCATCCTTGTTACTTTATCCTCCGTCAAGGTCATCGAGGATCTTCAACTATCATCAACAAGACCAAAAAAGTCGCCGATTATTCGGATTGATTCATTTCAATTGTTTGCATGTCAATGCCTTTTTGAAAGCTACAGAGATCTTGCCTTTTAGGCTCGACATTTTCTTTACTTTTGTTTTCTCTTCATTGTCATCCCATCATCTAGTCGCAGTCGGCAATTCCCAGCCTTAACCCCGTCTTCCCAAGACACCCTAAGACGCGTCCATCATCATCTACATCTTTTCGCGCCATATTCCTCCCTCCAACAATCGATCATTCAACCATTACACTTAATTTACACAAATACAAATACCATCATAATCGCAATACATTCTTCAAAGAATATCGCACGATGGATTCTACGCCTCTAAAGCCTCGCCCTCGCCCGGGTCAACAGGGTTCCACGCCCTTCCGATCCGCTTCAGCGAACAGGTTTCGATCATCACTTGTTCCCATGAACAAACCTTCTCCTGCGCGTGCTACGCGTACTACTCAGGTTACCGGCAAACTTGCGCCTGTTTCGTCCTATGGTCGCGATCTTTTTCGCACTTCTACTCCACAGTCCGCTCGTACCACTAAATTCGCGCCGAGTATCCCTGCAGATGCCTCGCGAATGTCGCCTCGAAAGTATGCTCAGAAGAGTGCCCATGGTGGCATGTCGAATATCCCCTCAACTGAGCCTTTCAAGTTGAGAATCCCCTCCCCAGATCCTGACTTGTCCGGCGAAGCTTTATCCAAAGAAGTCCCTGACGATCCTACTCGCACCGGCACCATCTATGCCGATCAGTTCCTCGCTCACAAATGTCCTGCGAATTTCGATGATCTTCAACGACGACAGTTCTTCTGTATTCTCGATTTGCGAAGATTGAAGTATGCTGCTAATGAAATCTTCGCCAAGAAGGATTGGAAGTTGAACATTATGAACTTCGCAAAAGAGTATGAGAAGAGCAGGGGTTTGATCATGCTACGATATGGGCTCTACGAATTCAAGAATGTGAAGCCGTCCGAGGAAGTGCTCAAAAGATGGAGATCTCTCCACAACCTACCAGACATCCAACCGGAAACAGAGAGTAATACATCCACTGCAGCGGGCTCTCCGGTTAAATCTATCCGTCGTCCTAGCGGGCTGAACACTAGTACATCGACGAAGAGGAAGGCCGAAGATGACTTAGTCCTGAAGGATAACACCCTCATGGCGTCTACTGCCAACCAGAATAAGCGACGAAATGTGGCTCAGGAACCAGTGGATGCTTCGCTTACGGGACCCGCCCCCTTTAAAAAGAGCAAGCGCAAAATGGACGAAACAGACGAGCCTGATGAGAACCAACCAAACAAGATTCAAAAGCCTGCCTCATCCGCCGCAAAGTCGAAGTTTGAGAGTTTTCTCAACAAGTCGCAAAGCAGCAACACCTCCCCTCTCAAGCGAGCTCCCTTGGCCCCCTTCGGAGCCCAGAAGTCGAGCGATAACCTGAACCTGGCCGCCAAATCGAATCCCTTCGCAGGAACCTCAAACGGACTAAAGCCCACTCCGGCCAATACTTCCAATGGTCGTGATGCCACTGGGTCCGTACTCGCTAATGGCTCCTTCGAGGCTACGCCAGCAAAGACCGGTAGCAATATCTTCAGCTACCTCTCCGGAAGTTCTGCGAATAGTAGTGGTAACGAGAACGGCAATCCTGACGAGGGTGACACTGAGTCAGAATTAGAAGATAATGAGGACCAGGAAGCCGGTGATGAGCAGACACCGCCAAATAAACGAGCTAATGTTGCTGATACCGTCAGCACATTCACCCCTTCGGCTCAGAGTGGCTCAGCTTTATTTACTACGCCCAAACCAAGTACTGGTCCTACCAACATATTCAATAGCTTTTCTAAGCCAAGCAATGATCTTACTTCGAAGGGCGGCCTCTTTGGGCGAGTTCAAGTAGGGTCTGACGGGCAGCCACTCCGTGCTACAGCTAGTATAGAAGAACCTGATGCCCCCGCCCCTGTTCAACAGCCTGTCATTAAAAATGAACCGAGCAAGACACCAGCTAAGCAACCCGGTGACTACACATTTAATGCGGCCACAACCCCAATATCTTTTGGTCCGCCAGCGTCCGAGGCACCAAAAACCCCAGCCGTGGTTTCTACGACGGAGTCTAATAACAAGTCTGATAATGCGCCAACGGCGAAGACGCCCGCAGCCCTATTTGGAGCCAATGCCCCAGCGAAAACTACATTCCAGCCATCCGGTTCATCACTATTCGGCTCGTCTAACAATGAAAATGCATCTGATATGTTCAAGCCAAAATCCGATGGCGCCGCCAAACCTGTCTTCACAGGACAAAACTTGGCCTCTGGATCTTCCAGCATATTCGGTACACCTGCTACTAATTCATTGTTCGGGGGTGTTGGAAAGGCAAACGAGACTACCTCTTCCGCCACTAAAAATGACTCGAAGAGTACCCTTGACGCTGCTTCAACGACCACCAACAACACCGCATCTCAAGCGATCACTGAAAAGACACCAGTTGCTCAGAATCCCACTCCTTCTATCTTTGGTGCTTCGACAGCCAGCACAGTCAATGCAAGCCAACCCCCTTCGTTGTTTGGCCAGAGCATCAAGCCAACTGAATCCAAAGAGAATGGGAGCGTTGGTAGTTCGACATTATTTGGTGGATCTGGAGCTTCTAAAGCATCTGCTCTGTTCGGCGAAGATAAGACGAAAATTAATGGCTCCAGCACCGCGAAGTCAGTATTTGACAGACCGATCAAGAATCCTTCTGCCAGCTTCACATTCGGTAGCTCAAAATCAGAAACTAAAAATGAGGCGAATAAGCCCAGCATTTCGTTCAACCAGGGAACCAACACACCCAGTGCGACTCCAGCCAAGCCAATATTTGGGTCGGAAATATCCAAACCTGTCCAGAACACAACAGGCTCCTCTTTATTTGGTGACAATTCGGCTCCAGCTACTTCAACGAACCTCTTTGGCGCCAAGAGCGGTGGAAGGAGCCCGTTCGAGAGCGAGCCTACCACCACGGCAGCGCCCCCGATGTTCGGTAGTAATTCGCCCTCGACGAGCATGTTCAATACCCAGCATAAGGTTGAGCCCGCGACTGCGAATACAAATATATTCAGCTTCGGAGCTCAATCTCAACCACCTCCGGCAACTAGAACCTCGCAGTCGCCAGCACCACCAATGATATTTGGAGCCCAAGCTGCACCTTCAAACACAAGAACGTCGCAGTCGCCTGCACCACCCATGATATTCGGTGGTATTTCCAACACACCTCAGCCCACTGCTGCTGATCCTATGAAGACCGATTTTGCGTTTGGAAGCTCTGCACCAAGCGTAAGTGCACCAAGCTCATTCAATTTCGGCCAAGGCACCACGGATACTGGCACTAGCTTTACCTTCACTGCTGGAGGTAATGGCCAATCCTTCAATAATCCGTTTGCTGCCTCAAGCGCAACGCCATCGGCACCAATGTTCGGTAACAACAACCTTTCGACGCCAGCCCTATCTGCCAGTTTCACGTTTGGCCAGCAGACGCCATCTACTCCAGCCCCAGCCCCTGTCAGTCAAGGAAATGCACTCTTCGGAGCATCGACCAACGGAGGAAATGCGGGTCCTAGCTTCAGCTTTACGCAGGCCACGCCGAACCAAAACAGCCCAAACCCATTTGCACCTAAGCCCACTCCGTCTGCTTCGGCAAGTTTTGGTAGCTTCTTACAAGGTGGTGCAGGGGCATCCTCGAGAGGTAGTCAGTAATCTGTATTAATACTATTAAAGTCTTATTATGATACTAACACGCCTAGACTCGCCGTTCCCTGCGCCCTCTAGTATAGGAACCACCCCAGTAGGCGGTACACCAGAACCGCAGACTCAGAACGAAGACAACGAAGCCCCTCAGGAGCAGATTTCGCTCACGGAAGTTGGACCAGGCGAGGAAGACGAGATTCTTTTGCACGAGGTGCGAGCCAAGGCCATCAAATATGTGCCGATCATCAAGGGAAGTGATGATGAAGAGGAACGGAAGTCGCCATGGTCTACTCAAGGTGTGGGACCCCTTCGTGTTTTGAAGAACAAGAGCAATGGAACAATTCGAGTTTTACTACGTGCAGAGCCAAGAGGTCATATCGCCATGAACAAGGCGGTCCTCTCTGACGTGGAGTATACTGCCAAGGATAAAACGGTGAACTTTGTGGCAGCAAAGGACACGGGTTCCGGTTTGGAGACGTGGGTTTTGCAAGTCAAGAAGCCAGATATGGCACATGAGTTGGTTGGTGTGTTGGAGGCCAACAAGAGTGCCAACAAGAAGTAGACTGTTCTTTCATTTTTCAGTTATGGAGATCCGACAGGAGTACGGGACGGAGAGGGTATACTAAAGTATAACATTGTTGATTGTATTGCTCTGTAGTGTCCTCTCTTTTGAGAGTGCCTACGTAATAAAAAAAAAACACATCGGGGTGCGTTGAGCATAGGAATTTTTAAGAGAAGGGAACCGGTTTCTGCATTGTCATGTCCACATGTGTAATGGAGTTAAAAGGAGAAAAACACGATTTGCGTTAATGAAGATGGAGTCAGTCTACCTGGAGCCGCATGTACCTGGAGTCTACCTTGGTCAACTTGAGGTTCAAAGTTGTAATGGTGCCCAATGACCCCTTTTAATGAAGTAGGTAGTTGCCCAATTACATACCTAATATGTACATATTAAATGGAACAAGACCATATGGGTACTATCATGATGGTGCCTACTAGTAGTGATGTTGGTTACCGATGGAGGTTTTAGCCGCATTTCGTGCATTAAATGAGGAGTTTGCAAGCCTGTTACGTGCATGTGCAGTACCTAGTAGTATAGTACAGTGTACTAAATAGCACCTATCCGTACTTAACAGGCCATAGATGCACGGCAAGAACTACCCTAGGAGGGTGGGTAGGTAGATAGGATTTAGCACTAACATTAAAAACATCGACGTAATGTGTAATGGATGTACCTACCCCGATTACCTGGGTGGACTGTGATAGGTTGGGTGATTGAGTGATTAGGTGATAATAACCTTGGAAATGTATTTTTTTATTTTTTATTTTTTTCCCTCAAGTGCAAAATTTTCCTTGTGCTATGATCTGGAAAAGGCAATATAATTCGCCGTCCAAGTTTTACAAGATTCTGCTACGATTTAAAACTACAACCTCCTCTTTCAAATCTTATCATTGTAGGAAAACGGTTCAGACTTCTAAACCCAACCATATCAATACCCTTTCACTGTCCAGCCAGCGACGTTCCTTATTTACAGACCCGAAAATGTCTGGTGAAATCACTCACGAGACCATCAAGGGTACGTTTTCATGAAGCCATATAATGTGTACTTAGGTGCTCAAGGTTGTGATGGATGAGAGAATGTCTCAGTCCCATCCCCCCCTTACTCATATTGATACTTGGGTTATCACTATAACTATTACTCTTTACACATCATAATAGCTACTTTATACAATGATGTAATAGACATCTACGTATCAAGCCACTATCTTCCCTTCTGCAGTCATATTTCACTCTCATTTCAGACGCATTGCAACTGCATTATATGATATCACTTCCACTAACAATATTACAGATGGCTGGTTCAGAGAAATCTCTGAGATGTGGCCCGGTGAGTGAGGACGATGTCCCTTTCCCACTGTCGGCTGGACATGCCACAGGGTAATAACACAAGTAACTGGTTCTAATCAAGTGTCTGGGTTCTTATTATAGGCCAAGCCATGACTCTGAAGGTAAAGAAGGTGCTACACCACGAGAAGAGCCAGTACCAAGATGTACTCATTTTTGAGTCTACCAACTATGGTACTGTCCTTGTTCTAGACAAGGTGATCCAATGCACTGAGCGGGATGAGTTCTCGTACCAAGAGATGATCACACACCTAGCCATGAACTCCCATCCCAACCCCAAGAAGGTGCTGGTCATTGGTGGTGGTGATGGTGGTGTCTTGCGTGAAGTCGTCAAGCACGAGTGCATTGAGGAGGCTACTCTCTGCGATATTGACGAGGTATTGCCGTCCCTCTCCCCTGCTCTTAAGCCTGTCCTTTATAGAATATGGATGGCTAATTCTCCAATGATTGCATAAGGCCGTCATCCGCCTCTCCAAGCAATACTTGCCTGGAATGGCTGAGGGTTTCAAGCACCCAAAGGTGAAGGTGCACGTCGGGGACGGTTTCAAGTTCCTGGATGCCTACAAGAACGCCTTCGATGTCATCATTACGGACTCGTCAGACCCTGAGGGTCCTGCCGAGAGTCTGTTCCAGAAGTCGTACTTCCAGCTACTATACGATGCTCTCCGACCCGGCGGCGTCATCACCACCCAAGGTTGTACGTCTCCTTTATATCAGGCAAAAGTTCGAGAGTGTGGTATTGGATAAAGGCACTGAACTCGCCTGGTTGTTCTTAAACAACTCTAATTTCCTAAAAGGGTCGACCATGGGCTGTCTACTGCTGGGCTGTGTCCTTCGAGATCTCCTCACTTCTCTCTACTAAGTGTTCCCTTTGTCTACACTACATCTCCATCTCCTTATCCAGCCCCGGCATCAATTTCCTCCCTCTCTCTCTCCCCCCACCACCTTTCATCATCCACTACCCTATAGAACTCAGTCATGTTTTTCTATTAGATATTTCTCTTTGAATTTAGAACCGGGCCCCTTGTTTTACTGAAGAATGTTGCTTGCTAACCATATACTACCACAGCCGAGAACCAATGGCTTCACTTGCCACTAATTGCTAAGCTGAAGAAGGACTGCCGGGAAGTCTTCCCTGTGGCTGAGTACGCCTACACGACGATCCCCACCTACCCATCTGGCCAGATCGGATTCATGGTGTGCTGCAAGGAGGAGGGCCGCGATGTTAAGAAGCCCCTGCGCTCCTGGTCCCCCGAGGAGGAGGCCCGTCTCTGCAAGTACTACAACGCCGAGATCCACAAGGCGAGCTTCGTTCTGCCCACTTTCGCAGCACAAGCCCTTCAATAGACACGGCGAGTGAAGGAATCGGATTTGGGATGGAAATATGCAATCGACGAAGGTTTTGCGAGGTTTTATTTTCACTTTATTGAAGCTTGCGTCATGGTTGTCATAGAGGTTCATTAGGTCACTAAGATAAAAAAAATTCATACCTGTTGAAATACAAATACGGGCTTACGCGATCGTATACCTACTTGAACTGGTTTCTCCCGTAATCTTTCTTCATAATGGTTTGTTCTTCTCTCCCGTTTGGTGTGAGAGAGGCGAGTAGGTATGTGTACTGTTTCTAATCGAACTCATACTCATCCCTCTTATGTGCGTGCTTTGTTTTGAGATGGATGTAAATCCCTTCACTTTCTAGGTTATTACTTTAAGAGAGAAAGGGGGCGTGCTTAGTGGGTTTAGTTAAAAAGGCACCTGGACAGGTATTTACATGGAAAGCGAGAAAGAAGAATTGCACGTCAGGGGGGTTTAAAAGTTAAAAGACTGGCCTAGAGGCATCCTACTTGTGTGCCGTCAGTTCCAGGTTACCCACCTACCTAACCTAGGTACTCACCTTTAGCATCGAGAAGCTTTCTGAGTCGTTAGGTAGGTAGGCACCTAAGCTTGTAACGAGGCTGCTAACATACCTACCTAGTTAAGCTACCTCTGTCTAGATAGGTGCTAGGTAGGTATGTAGGTATGTAAGTGGCAAATCCCTTCCTTACTGGTACCGTAGGGAGCCGGTCTGCATGTGGTTCTGCTTGTTTGTTTGTTTGTTTGTTTGTTTGTTTACTTAGGTAGGTAGGTAGGTAGGTAGGTATGGATGTATAATCCGGTGATGGACGATGCTAAGTGGTTGGTTAGGCAGGTAGTTAGGTAATTAGATGGAACGGAACGCGCAGATAGGTAGGTAGGTATCCAATGTCACATCCCCCCATACCCCATACCGCCGCCTTAGGGCTAGATAGCTAGGTAGCTAGGTTAGCACCTAGCTTTCGAGAGGACGACAGCTTCCTACCTAGGTACCTACGGTAGCTCTAGGTATGGGGCATGTTGGAGGGCCATTGGAAAGAAAGTTCTGCCTGCGTGTCTACTAGGTGGTCACCTGGGTATTTGGTAATATATATAGGTAGGGACCTGAGCGCACTAATGCCTATTCCATCTGTAGGTAGGTAGATTCCGATGATGCAGTGGAAGAGGAAGGCAGACGCATGACGGTCTACGAGCAGCATGCATCTTCGGATGTATAGTATGCTAGGTAGGTACGAAAAGCAGGCGGACAGACAGGCAGGCATTTTATATATGGGCATTTGGAAATCGATGTCTATGCATACATACATACATACATACATCTTAACTCCCCCCGTGACATATATATAGTAGCTACATACATGCCTACTGCCCCCCCCTTATGTCACTACCTACCTACCTACACAACTACAATAGATGCGTACGTACCTAACCTAGGTCCCTATCTATGTAAGCAACTCGTAGGTACCTACTTACCGGCCTAACCTAGGCAGGTACATAGGTAAGGAAGGAGGTGGATACCCTAGGTAGGTACCTAAGCTTTAAAATTCCTCGTGGTGTTGAAGAATGCCGATGCTATATATATCTACAGGTACTGTAGAAAGGTGTTTATGTATGACGCGGGTAGGCAGGCTAATGCGCCGAGCGAGCCGCGCAACTGTCGTTTTATTTTTTTCTTTCCCTTCCCCCCCCCCCCTTTTTTTTTTTGGGTTTAACTTTGATGTTCCCCGGGATTGCATAGGGACGTACATGTAGTATACATACTACACGTGTAGTGTGTTGAATTTGTACATCGATGGAAATGCAGTAGGTAGGTACATACATATGTATAGATATATATGCCTACTAGGTATGTAAGTAGATACCTAAGATATTTACCTATGTATGTAGCTAGATGATGCCTAGGTACCTAGGTAAGTAAGCCAGCTTGATGTAACACACATCTACACGTAAAAGATGCAGCCGGGGCCAGGGAACGTGCTTACCATAAGATCGGTTACCTACCATAGGCACCTACCTACCTACCTACCTACCTACCTACCTACCTACCTACATATATATGTAGGCAGTACCTCAGAACAGCGAGCTGGTTACTATGTATGTGCGTAACAGCCGTTCGATGACTACTACTGTTACTACTAGACTCTAGGTAAGTAACATGTAACTATATGTATTACTGAAGGCCTTGGGGTTAAGATAAGCAACGGAAGCACAGTTGGAACGGATAGCTTACATACCTACTTATGTATCCGGGCACTCCCGTTGACATCCTGGCGTAGGGGGCCCGTCAGCCATTGGAGAAAGGCTGTTGGGTCGCACATACATACATACATACATACATACCTGGGCACGCTACCTGTATTGGCTTACATGATATGATGTAAGCGTCTGGTAGGACTGCTATTACACTGTTATCTAGGCGGAGGTGGTGACTGCCTAGGTTAGGTGGGTATCTATTGTAGATATGAGGTACTGCTGTCACAAATTCTGGAAATAGAGAAATAATAGCCTTGGTCGTTACCTATGTACCTACATAGAGGGGTATTATGCTGGTGTAGTAGTATCATATACCTAGGTACTATCGTAGTTTGGGTATAATTCTTTCTGGTAAAACGGGCAGATATCTGTATTATGCAGCATGTACATATCTAGCTTAGGCTGTTCGGCCATCAAAGTTCCTAACTTGAATGTTTCTAGATGTCCTATGTATTATATTGTATTGTGCATGAGGTAGTTGCATAAGCCCCACAAACTACCGAGCAGATTCCATAGATCCCTCAATCGGCCGCTTCGAGGCGTAAGCCAAAGAGGGACTATGTAACTACCTAACCTACCAGCATGTATTCAAAGCTGCCCGGGCATGTATGTATGTAGTTAGTTATACCTACAAACGTGATAGCGTAACAATGGCTTGAGTCAGTGTTACCTGGGTTCCCATCTGTTCATGATTCACCACCGTAACTCGGCGGTCCGATAAAAACCTTCAACGCCTAACTACTATACCTCGATCGGTGCCGCGTTCAACTACCCACACAAAGTAGAAAGGGCCCCGACAGACTAAGGTAAAAAAAAAAAAAAAAAAAAAAAAAAAAAACATGCCTGGAACTGCTTAGAGCTACATATATCTACTACCACTGCCTTTAGAACATGGGATGGTTGCATTTGGAGATGATGGCAGATATGCACGACTGCGGCATAAATCGGCATGTATGGGGGCCGGCACAGCAGCGCTTACAGCCAATAGCAGCCAGGGAATTCCTCATGCTCCGGACAGTGGTGGTAATAGAGAGGCAAGGCTTGAAATCCTTCCTGACTTACGTCGTCGTCGTAGTGGGTGGGCGGCCTTCTAGAGTAAGACAATACTAGGGACACATTCTGTAATTCGTTGGACATGCTCGTGTGGCTTCTGTAGATCTTAGGTTCCTTTGATCCTTCCAACGCGATGGGAGTGAGTGGGCAGAAGGGATTAGTTAGCGAGGCTCTATTCGATTACACCGTAATCGGATCATTTGGGATAGGTAGCTAGTAACTAGCTGGAGCTCAAAGTAAGACATCTGTAATCCCTTTCTTAGGGCCAAAGTGTACTATGCTACAGTTGGTATGACAAGACAAAACCGGTAAGGCATTCGTTGGAATATTGACCTTGCTTGACTGCTCGGGTACGGGGTAATTATCGGGTATTGAGATATATTATATCGATGGCAAACATCCGGGCAGTAACCGTGCCAACCCTCAAGAGAACTGGAAACTTGATAGATAAACTTGTTCCATGGTAGTGGACTCACGATTTTCCGACTGGACTTGATACCGACAGTTTTTTTTACGATTTGAGTCGCGGCGCTTGGGAATGTCTGAACCAGGGATTTTATGATTGTGGTTGATGGGCGAAGCGGCGGTAACTAGGTCTGCCCGCTCCTTGTCGCAGCACGTGTATGTAGGTGAGATCCTTTTTAATTCAACGTCTCTCGGTGACCGCATGTTTATAATTAGTAACTACATGTAGCTCGCAAGTAGTGACTGTAGTGTAGTTTGTATTGTACAGTAGGTATGTAGGTGAGGACGTATATATCGTACGTCGTACGTAGGCAAATTGGCGGTCGACGGTTTTCGAAGTTACGCCGAAGCGCATTAACTACTTACTCCCCAGTCCTTGGGAGGGTTGATTCCAACTATTAAATAGAATAAAATGAAGATACCTACCGACCTAGGTAGGGTAAGGTAACTTTGAAATGAATGAAAATGGTAAACCCCTCCTCCACTTCCCCTCAGAATTCAATTCTTGTATTTTTTTTTATTTTATCTTATTTTATTTTTTCATATCAAGGTTCATACAAAATTAAAACAATCCTCCTCACTGGTATCGCATCAAATATGTATGTATGTACGTAGTTCTTATTCGTATCTCTAGGGCTACTTACAATTGAGGTACTAACCTAGCGTGGTAATTAACTTTGAACTATATTAAGGGTGACACGAGCTTCCCAAGCTAAGCTTGGAACCTTGGAAGTTACATGATTGTAGACCACCGGCAAAGTAAGGTACTGGGTACAAATGTATTGCACATAGAATCATAGACAGCCCTGGAGGTGGTTAGTACCAGGACTTCTTCGGCTAGCATAGCCTGTCTGTGCCAGATACTCCACCTTTAGCCACGTTTTTTCCCCTATGAATGAATGAATGACATGCGGGCGTTAGGAACTTCCTAACTTTAATCCTTTAGGCTAGCCCCCGGCCAGGCAGCCCTGGCAGTTTTGGTCTGTAGGAGCCTCTAGGAGGCATCAGTCCCGCCAACTTTCGATTGGCCACTAGCATCTTTTTACTCTAACTCGGTGCATATATACCTACATAGGTATCTCTACTAGCGTGCTTATTGATCTGCGACTAGAAGAAAACAATCATCCGGTTCGTAAAGAGAAAAAAGAAAGAAGACGTCTGGATTCTGGAGAGACTCCGCAAGCTACCCTATGTTAGGTAGGATATGTGCTTAGGTACACTAGTGTTAGGTAGGTAGGTAGGTTATGTGCGTGTGTTACATAAGTTAAGTTGTAGTATTGACAATCACCAGGGTTGCACGTTCGTGGATGACGGCCCGGCCTTGGGCATGGGCATCAATGGGCATGGGTACGGGCTAGTACGAGCAAGGGCGTGAGATATCTTGTACTCAAGGGAGAGCGGTGGCGGCTGACACCACATGGCACTCGCAACTCCCACATTGAAATTTCTGACAGCATATTACGGCATAGTATTATTGCATAGAATAAATACATCCAAGATGATCCAACTATGTCGCATCGCATAATCAACGGCTGATAGTTATTTGGTTCGGTGTGGTGCAGTGGTGATACATGTACAATACATAGTTATTAGTACCATACTTTGCTAGCAGCACTGAGTACATATGCATTACATGCATAGCAAAGAGCCTATGTACTATTACATACCTCATGTAGTGCGGATGTACATACGTACATACATCCCTAGTAACTACATTCATGTTCAATGTTATTAGTCCTAATGTCGGACAAGGATATTACATAGTACCTGGTAACATACTAGCATACATAAGTGGGAACCTCTCGAGCTTCTCCTATGCAATTGACTACCCTAGGTTAGGTACATATGTAGTTAAATAAAATGGGAGATTCAAATGTTTTGAATGATGACCAGCTTAATGTCTCGAGTTGCGAACCCTACCTGCGGCATCTGTTCCCCTATCCCTGTATTCGTACTACGTATGTAGGTACTATTCCGGCGCAACTAGGCCCTGCTCTTGCTTGCTCTTGCTCAATAAAGTCGTTGATTTTTCTTTTTTCTTTTTTCGCAGTTCTTTCTTTTGTCTTCTGTGGGTTCTAAGGCCGTTTTGATCGACGCCCAACATTGAAAGGCCCGGAGCATAAAGAACAAATAAAGCAAGTGCCTGTACCTACATATGCAAGTATGTATGTATGTATGTATGTATGTATGTATGTGTGCTTGTTTGTATGTACATATGTATGTAAATATATGAGATGTTCGATTTTAGTTGATAAGATTCAACGGTTTCTGTTGACGTAACCTTATTCTAAGCATGTGAGTATTTATTATTACCTAGTACTGTTTACCTACCCTAGGTAGTACCCTGTATCATTGATCTACCTAGACTTTAAAGACCGACTCTTGGAAACTCTATTTATCATTAGATCATACATACATATTGACATATGTACAATACCTACATACTAATACCTACATACTAATACCTACATACTAATACCTACATACTATATACATATCTATTGATAGCACTTTCAAGTTAGCAGTTACATGTATGTATCCAAGGTATACACACATGTAGGGTTACATTCTGCAACAATAAAGAAGTATTGACTTATGTTGGTTGGCTCGCCTTAAATAATGTCGCGTGGCATTTCACGAGATGCTATAATGCATTGTAAGCTCCTACATACATATCCCTAGAAAGGAGGCCTTAATAAATGAGCTCCATCTAGTAGCGGTTTCGAGCATCCATGGCCATGCTTCCATCCCCACAACTACAAGGGACACTCGTAAATGGAAAATCACCTGGCGAGTTATTAAAAAAAATTAGGGTGGAGTGCTATGTAATGCCGTAGTAAGTAGTACTTCAATACAATATATGTACATACATAACAGCTTGACTGTATGTAGCACGCCCCCAAATTGTCCTGGAGCTGATGTACTTATCTAGGTACATTGATGGGAGATGGGATGCTTACATGACACTTACACAGCCTGGAGTGTTCTGTTTTGTTGCGCTTTAACATAGCCTGCCCAGGTGGTATCTACATGTAGGTAGGTAATCTCTAACATCCAGCACAGTTCCCCGGTCTCCTTACCAATAATAAACTGGAATTGAATGAAACCAAGATTATCATACCTACCTATACACTTGAGTTAACGGAAGGAGAATGAGAATGAAAGGAGTTTAAACGTTTAAACAGGAATTATTAAACAACTTCCAAGGCAGAGAGAGCAAGTACAGTAAATTGTAGGTACCTACCTAGGTATGTATGTTATGTATGGATGACATGTCTTAAAGTATCTCTCATACAGTATCATACATACATACATAGTACATACATGTATGTGTGTGTGTGTATGTCACTGTATGCTTGGTTGTAGGTATTTTTCTGTTTTCAACTGTCACCCTCCCATTCAGTTCCTTTGCTTGCCCTAGTTAAGAGGTATACATAGCTATATGTATGTATGTGTGATAAGTAGGTATGAAATGTACCTACAATAAACACACATACATTCATTATACATGACTAACACCGATTGACTGGATTGCCTTAAGATCAAGGGCTTAGAGGGCGTAGTAAGAAAGAATTGGTCTGCCATTCATTGCTGACAGGTGGGATTACATATCTATTTCTACAAGCCCTACAAGTCGACAATCTCATCTCAACCTTTTTTATCTCTTCTCCTACTCTGCTCCTTTTCCCCTGCTCCCTTTCCTATTTCGCTCGAGCCTCTCCATACCCCGGCCCACCCGGACAGGGTTCCGCCTCTTCGTCTTATTATCCCCAGAAGACTCGAAACGAGAAAACCATTATTAGTTAAACCCAGCCTGCCCGACCAATCCTAGTACCTAGCAACAACTTGGAGGTCCTTTTTTTTTTTCTTCTGTCTTCTCTTCTCAACTGCCCTCCCTCTTCTGGCAAAGTGTGTAGGGAGTAACTCGAGGTCACGAACATCAAGCAAGTTAATAGTTCGTCACGAAAAATCCTCGCTGGAAAAGATAATCTTTGTTATTATCTCTTACTCACTACCATCAACTGGATCGCGCTGTCCCGTCGGCTCCAGGCTTAGACCCCCGCGCCCAACCTTCGCCGAACCATTTCGTTCGAACCCCGAGTTAGCCTTTCCACGTCATTGTGAAGCTGTAGTCTCTGCTATCTTCACTCAATAATATTTTATTTTCGCTCTTTATCTTGTTATAAGTTATATTTATACGTCTTTGTTAGACTACAAGCGATAGTTTCCGCAGTTATCTACCTAGGCTTTTTTTTTTTCCTTTCTATACTTTTACACATACAGGACGCAGCTTGCCCCCTCCAATTTCTGCATGAACACGCGGGCGCTCGCAGCATAGTTCTAGGGAGGTTTATCAGGCTCGACATATCCACCGCCCATCATGTGTTTTGGCAGTCGGAAAAAGAATGAGGAAGGAAATGCTCGATCGCGGGAACTAGATAAGATCATCCGCCAAGATGAGAAGCGCATGTCCAGAGAAGTTAAGCTGCTCCTCTTAGGTACGTAGCTGGGGATCTCCTTCAAAAAGAAAAAGAAAATCTACAATGTTTAGAATGTCTTAAAAAAAAACTTAGCGGGACACTGCATCTAACCTCGGAACTTTTTTCTTTTTACTTTAGGTGCCGGCGAGTCGGGAAAGTCTACGGTGCTCAAGCAGATGAAATTGATCTATGCACAAGGATTCAGCAAGACCGAGAAGTTGGAATGGAAGCCCGTCGTGTTCAACAATATCATTCAATCCTTGCGCGTCATCTTCGACGCCATGGCCGATTATAACATCAAATTCGAAAATAAAGACAACGAGGTATGTAACCTAGATCCCTTCCCCCCTCCCCCCCCTTACGTGTTCTACTGGGCCGTCCCGAGACATGACATGCGACGAAGATCTGTCGTCATAAATAAGTTAATTAACAATGTCTGGGTTTGTAGAGAAATCAATCGCTGCTTCTGGTTGACATCGAGATATCGGCACATGATTCTATGCCTCACGAGTATCTTGAGCCGGTCAAATCCCTCTGGACCGACGGCGGAGTGCAAAAAGCCATCTTAAAAGGCAACGAATATGCACTTCACGACAATTTATCATAGTTTGTCCCCTGCCCATCCTTTTCAATATACTGCTAACCCCCCTGAATAGCTTTTGCGAAGAGGCCGACCGACTATGGGCACCCGATTATGTTCCCTCCGACCAAGATCTGCTGCGATCGCGATTAAGGACGACCGGTATTACCGAGACTATCTTCGACTTGGGCCAATTGACCTACCGAATGTTCGATGTTGGTGGCCAGAGATCCGAGCGAAAGAAGTGGATCCACTGCTTCGAAAATGTCAATGTCCTTTTGTTCCTGGTTGCGATTAGTGGTTACGATCAATGTTTGGTCGAAGACAAAGATGGCGTAAGTTTGGACACTAATTAAGAAAAAAAAAAAAGCTCCATTTGAGAGTGCCATGGTTACGAGCGCGACAACTAATAAGGCTGATCACTGTAGAATCAAATGAACGAAGCACTGATGTTGTGGGAATCCATCGCGAATTCGCATTGGTTCACCAAATCCGCCCTCATCCTCTTCCTCAACAAGATGGATCTCTTCCGCGAGAAGATCACATCGAGCCCGATAACGGCGCATGGCTTCGTCGACTACCAAGGCCCGCCAGACGATTACAAGCAAGCGAGCAAGTACTTCATGGACAAGTTCCGAGCCCTCAACCGAAACCCCGAGAAGGAGATCTACGGCCATTTCACCAATGCGACGGATACCAACTTGCTAAAAATTACAATGGGCTCGGTGCAGGACATGATCATTCAGCGCAATCTGAAGCAGCTGATACTGTGAGTTGCCTGCTTTTATCATGGAGATTTCTGTGAGTCAGTCCTCGTGAAACCGAATCTGGCCGTACCATCGAGTCCACAAGGCCCGCTGGTTTGGCCAGCGATTTCACCGACGATATGTTTTTTTTTTTTTCCTTCGATGGTGTATTTTTTATTCAAAAGATGTAGGAGAAAAGCAGAAGTCGAAGATCATGCGGCTGAACTATTCCGTTTGAAGTATATAGCATTAGTTACTGCGATCTGTCTTTTTGGCTGCGCGATGTACTACTTTTTTCACACGACGCGAATACGTACGACCTCTGCCCCGGCCAGAGATGAAGAAGAAGAATACAAAGTCGCAATATTTCCAATTTTTGGCTCGCTACCGTACCAATTTTGGACCCAAAAACCCACGAACCGGTCGAAGAGGACAAAGAGAACCTCCACCACATTATTCGGACGGGTCGATGACTACCTACCCTCGGACGTACTGCCGAGGTACACTATACCTACCTACCTAGCTACCTAGGTAGGCGCTTGATAGGTATCTTCCGAGGGGAGGTTACAGACTGAATGCAAACTCTTGGATTTTTTGCAAGCACCAACACATTCCGCGCCAGGGGGATGAAACATGATTACGAATAGTCTGCTGGGAGTTTTCTTAGGATGGTGTTATTATATGTATCTGCATTAGACGAATAGCTATTCCCCCCCACCCCCTCCCAAGACACATTATCTGGAGGGGTTCGGCTTTTTTTCTATTTCGGCTTTTTTATAATGGGTTTTTTACTTTTTTTTATATTCTCTCCCTTCCCTTTCGATTATGATCATGGATACCAGGACGACGGCTTCTTTTTTGAGTTGGCAGGAAGGCGATCGAATCGATACGTGACGAAGTTGGGCGGAAGAAGTTTTTGGGGCACGATAGTACAATCACTCCGTATATCAAAGTGCCTTCGGCTGGCTATCTAGGGTTGGTAGATACATGCATACCTACACATAACAACATATGTAGTAAATAGGTGAATCATCAGAAAGAGGTGGATATATTTTATAAAAGCTACCTGTTGAAAAAAAAAACCTCAAACTGACTTATTAGTCAAAATACCCAATAATTCACCTTCAAACATTGTTGATATTTGATGGCAGTGCTTGTCTCGGAAGCTTCACGATCCATCTAACCTACATACTTCAATGTTGTCGACATTGTGTACGGCAACCGGCAAGGAGGATGAGAAAGTTGACGGCGATAATGTGTAGTTCATGACTCGAGTAGTACACTAAAATATGTGCCTAGCAGCCTGTAGCAGGTACTTGGAGAGGTGCCTAACGCCCTAAGGCAAGGCGGGTAATAGAGTTAGACCTTATTCCAACTTAAAACATGTCCAGTGAGAAGTAGTACATAAGTAAAATGCCGAAACCAGTTAGTTCAGGTTAAGCGGTTGAAGCGACGGGATCTACCACTAGTTAGGTAGGTACAATACAATACGATACAGTACCTGCCGACTAGCTCAGTAACAGCTGTAATAAACCTTATTAGCTTGCTAAACCACATGTGCACCTAATTAGAGGAACAATTGACCAATTAGGAAGGAAGTAAAAAATCCCCAAATAATGATTAACCCAGCAACAACCAAGCATTGTTGACAACATCAATAAATCATCAACGACAACCGGATCGGAAGATCCATCTTCAGTTTTCAATACCTTGCAACCCCAATATACTCGTTGACTTTTGTCTATCCCAATTGTCTTTTGTTGTCTTCAGATGTCTACCCGGCACAACTTCATTCGTTTAGTTGTAAACGTCTCCAACTACTACATTGACACCATTACTTAATTAACCATACAAAAGCATAACTTACATATTTCGTACCTTAGGTATCCAAGAAAATCGGGGTACATATTAATACTTGTCGTGTTCTTCGTCATTGTCTCGTGTTCGCAACAATAAACATTGCTTCTCAAGGACTTGAGCGAGCGATACCTGGATTGGATTACCTGATCGTATTTCACATACACACACACATCCAAGACTAATTTCTCACCCAAACTTTCCAGATGAGAACTCATCATACCTCACATCTACAATGGCAGAAGTAAATAAAAAAAGCCATACAGTATCGCAGGGCCAGACGATACCATCGGGCCGGTCAACATGGTGGGGTAGACTTCAGCAACGCTTCCCTCTTTTGCAGAGAAAAAGGGGCAAGGCTCTCCTGATTGGGCTCATACTCCTTCCACTTCTCGCCTTGCTTGGCCTCCTCGCTTTGCGAAATAGGCATGGGGTTAGCAGTGCAGGGGTTGGAGGAGCTGTAAGCGACCAAGACGTGATTAGGGATGACACGTACTTTTATGGCCAGTCTGAACCGGTATATCCTGCTCGTGAGTAAACAATTCGCAGATGTTTTATTTCTCTCAACGTGTTTGGATTCTAATTCGCGGTATGACCAGCGGCAATGACCGGGGCGGGAGCATGGTCCGATGCCTACAACAAAGCTGTCGACTTTGTCAGGCAGCTCACTATCGAAGAGAAGGTATGTAGTTATTTATTGAACGTCCAAAGTCAACAAATAAGACTAAGATATATCAGGTCAACCTTGCATCAGGCATTTCTTCATCGACGGGTAGCTCAGGCACAATCAATGGTTGCTCTGGTAATATTGATGGCATTCCCAGAATGAACTTCACCGGATTCTGTCTCAACGATGCTGGCCAGGGTGTCCGAGGTACGGATTTCGTTTCCGGGTTTCCGAGTGGTATTCATGTTGCTGCCAGCTGGAACAAAGATCTTGCCCGAAGTCGTGCAGAGAGTTTGGGTCTTGAATTCCGTGTAAAAGGGGTCAACATCCACCTCGGACCAGTAGTGGGTCCGGCTGGACGAATAGCACGCGGCGGCCGCAACTGGGAAGGCTTTTCTCCCGACCCCTATTTGTCCGGCATGCTCGTCTCCGAGACGGTATCGGGCATCCAGTCCCAGGGCGTTATAACTAGCACCAAGGTGAGTATGATTGATGAGGCTTTATTGAGAAGCTAGACTTATTAAGAATACCTCCAGCACTTCATTGGGAACGAACAAGAGACCAATCGGCAACCGACCGGCGATGTCGAGGCTGTCTCGTCCAACATCGATGACAAAACCATGCACGAGCTTTATTTATGGTGAGGTTCTGTTCTTCGTTCAGTTCGAAAGCAAGCTAATCAATAAATATGTAAAGGCCATTCCAGGACGCTGTCAAAGCCGGGACAGCCAATATCATGTGCTCGTACAATCGCGTAAACAACTCATATGCGTGTGCAAACAGCAAGACCCAGAATGGCCTCCTCAAAACCGAGCTGGGATTTCAGGGGGCTATTACTTCCGATTGGGGTGCTTTGCACGCTGGAGTTGCGTCGGCAACTGCTGGAATGGACATGGTCATGCCAAACTCCGAGCTTTGGGGAGATAGATTGGTAGAAGCAGTTAGGAATGGATCTGTGAGCGAGGACCGCCTAACTGATATGGCAACCCGAATTATGGCTGGATGGTATCGGGTCGGACAAGACCAAGACTTTCCAGAGCCCGGAGTCGGCATGCCCGCAGATCTTACTATACCGCACGCTATTGTCGATGCACGAAACACTTCGTCTCAAAGGGTTCTATTAGATGGCGCTATCGAGGGCCATGTTCTGTTGAAGAATGTCAACAATGCCCTTCCGCTTAGAAGCCCAAGAGTCCTCTCTGTCTTTGGATATTCGGCGAGGAGCCCCGACCAATGGAACTACCAATCTAATGGAGGTGTAGCCGCGTGGACCTTTGGGGGCGAGTCATCTTATCTCGGGCGTGATACACAAGCCGGATTTTCAGGTCATTACTACGAAGATTTCTCGGACATTGCTCCGAACGGAACCATTATCTGCGGTGGAGGTTCGGGTGCCGTGACGCCTGCTATTATCAGTTCGCCATTCGACGCCTTGAATGCTCGCGCATTTGACGACCGCACACAAATATTCTGGGACTTCTTCAGCCCTGACCCAGATGTCGCTGGCACGTCAGACGCGTGCCTCGTCATCGTCAACGCGTTTGCGAGTGAAGGGTACGACCGTCCGGGATTACGGGATGAATTTACTGATGGCTTGATCCGCCACGTGGCTGATCGATGTAACAATACCATCGTGATTTTTCACAACGCTGGAGCACGATTAGTAGACCAGTGGATCGATCACCCAAATGTGACAGCGTTGATATTTGCGCACCTACCTGGCGAGGCTTCGGGCCGTGCCCTCGTCTCCTTATTATACGGGGATTCAAGTCCGTCCGGCAAGTTACCGTACACGGTAGCTAGGAACGAGTCTGATTACGATCACCTAGGAGGGCCGGACCTACCAGAGGGCCAGTTTGAGCGGTTCCCACAGTCGAATTTCAGTGTCGAAGGCGTATATATAGACTACCGGCACTTCGATGCTAGGAATATTACGCCACGGTACGAGTTTGGCTTCGGACTCAGCTATACGACGTTTAATTATTCAAGCTTGCAGATTGCGAAGCGGGATGGCGCTAATACGGATGCCTATCCGACAGGGGCTATCCAGGAGGGCGGGCAGGTTGACCTGTGGGATGTGGTGGCGACCGTTAGCGCCAATATCCAAAATGTAGGTGAAACCGATGGCGCCGAGATTGCGCAGCTGTATGTTGGGATACCGAACGCGCCGGCCAAGCAGCTCCGGGGGTTTGAAAAGCCATTCCTCAACGCGACAAGGTCGGCTACAGTATCGTTCGACCTGACTAGGCGAGACCTGAGCATCTGGGATGTGGTCGCGCAAAAGTGGCTCCTGCAGCCCGGCGAATACGGGGTATTTGTCGGAGGAAGCAGTCGTGATTTGCCGCTGCAGGGTACCTTGAGCATATAATAATGAAGAAGGTGGATATGGATAATGATAATGGTGGGTATGGGACATGAGGCGAATGAGAAGATCTGCCGACGTGCTAGAGTGAGCAGGGAAGGAAAAACGGCAGCTAAACGTCTTATGACAAGGTTATGACGAATGCGTCCACGTACATACACGTACGTTCTAGCAGTGGCTTGGGAGCGAAGCCTTACGTTGATGCTTCTGTATTGCTTGCCTGCTAACTACTACTGGGTAGGTATCATGGTAGGAGCAATGGAGCATACCTACCTGGGTACATACCTACCTATCTAGTGTTAGCCAGAACTTTTTATACGCTCCACGATGGTATGATGGGGACTTTGCAGTGGGGTTATGGAGACGACTTTGTGCAACTGCTATGTACCTAGGGTAGGGACTAATAGCTTAGTTCGTGTCTTAGACGGTTGATAAATGCACCCGAAATGCTTCTAGTGTGCTAACGTTGGTGTTCTGAGGCTTACATGCTCTGGATGTGTGCCGGTAGCTACCTACCTCCCTATCTACAGTAAGTAGGTAGGTAGCAGATACAATGTAGCACCTGGACGGTTGTTAAGTTACATAGTAGGTACCTAATGAGATGCTATCAAGTAGTACCTAGGCATAATATAAGCAAAGTAGCCCCAGGTAAACCGGCGAGGAAAATCCAATCCCATCCATCTAACATCCGTCTATCCGTCTATCGTGGGAAATGGCGAGAGTCTAGCCTTAAGTAGGTAGTTAGTCTGGTATAGCTAAGTACCTACCTACCTAACCTAGTACGGTCCTATACCTAGTAAAAAGATTATGTAGGTACATACTGTACCTACCCAGGGGTTATCCCAACTATTACACTAGAGCTTGGCTTCTTTTTGGATCTAGTTATGGAAGGTTCCAAATAGAATTTTGATGGGGAGAAGAAGGGGGGGGGGGGGGGGGGGGGGGGGTTCCATGGATGTTTTTTTTTTTTGTTTAGCGGACTAAGTTAGTTTGTTAGAAGGTCTCGGAGTAAAAGGAGTTTCGATGTTGCCACTTGCATGATTATTGTTATAGGTAGTTAGGTTAGAGGAAAGTACTAACTAACTATGTAGATTTGTAGAATAGAGTAATGATAGGTAGAGAAGAAAAAGAGGTCAGCCCTGATGGCTTGAGCTTTATTGGTGGAGATGGACAGTTAAGTAGGTAGGTAGGTAGGTAGGTTACCTGATTTAATACCTACCTATGGATATGGGATCTGGATTATGGCTCTTCCTGGCTGTGTGATAGGTATTGCAGCTTCGTTATACATACAGTAGCTTGCAAGGTATGTACGTAGGTAGGTGGTTCTTTCGTCGTCTCGTCCAGGGGACGCCTTACCCCTCCTTTTTTTCTTCTCCTTTTCTCAATAGGTTGGTTGGTTAATTAGCTACTGGTCGTCTTCTTTTTTTTCTTTTTTTCTCCTGAGGCGAGATGGCTGGTGTGCAGGCAAATCAGAGAGTGATAATGACAGTGGGTGAGTGAGTGAGTGAGTGTTCCTCCAGGGCTGCTTTATCTTGATAGGATAGGGAGTCAGGGGGCTTTATTGTATGTATGTATGTATGTAGGACCATTGTAGGTAGATAGGGATGATGTGGCTAATCCAATGGGGATGTGTGATCGCGCAGGTGACAGGTTCTAGCTTGCATCGGGTCTTTACGGGGGGGTGGTTTCCCTTTGAGGAGAGAGAAACACCGCCACAAGCCTCAAGTATGTAGGTCGTCGTCGTCGCCTGTCTTCAGCCTTGTGTTGCTTGCTTACCTATCCATGTTACTTGCTTACCTACATATCCACCCCGTCAGTTAACCTAAGTTAGTACGTAAGCCGATTGTAAGGAAAATGTATCACGGATTATTTCTCACGGGATGTTTTGTCAACCGCAAGGACTTTCCGGGGATGCGTTGAATGCGCTCCATATAACCTGTGAATCTAGAGCAGATATAACTAATGGGACGGATAATAGAAACTATGCGATTTAGGTGGTTAAGCCTTTTTTTTTTTTCTTCTTCTTCCTTTTTTTTCCTCTTTCCTTTTGCTTCAACACAGAGAAGCACTTACAGTAGGTACCTACATTACATAAATGGTTGTGGGGAAGGGAGGCCAAATAGCCTCGGTGCTCAGACCCTTCGAAGCTGGAGACAGCCCCGGAGGAATATCAATCTAGCAGCCTAGTTAGTTACTAGGTAGCGAAGACTTTCAACGTTCTTCTATGCTAGTGTCAATGCACTAGAACGACATAGTACAAGCTTCCCAGGTTGTCAATAACTCTTAGTTAGGCAGGCAGGTATTGTAAGTACATATGTAGGTACTGTATGTAATATGTATGCATGTAACTATTGTACAATACTATTTACGTGGAGTTCGCCGCGTGCTGAATCTTTAGCTCTTAGCGTAAGTGCTGTCTTGTTGAATGATTTTTTTGAAGTTGTTCGTGGATGAATGAGTTGGTACTTAGAGGTTAGTATAGTATAGTATGATATAACCTAGGTTACATAGTTAGTATAATATAGTATAGTATTAGTATAGTGTGGTTGAGTGAGGGAGAATGAAAGCCCATTACTAAAGTCTAAGGTTGCTAAGTAGGTACTGTATTGTATGTAGTGTACAGTACCTACATAGGTAAGTAGTAATGAATAGCTAGGATATCCAAATATATTCTATATTTTGAAGTTTTGTAACCTATTTCTTATATCCCTTCATTATTTCCCTATTCCCTATTTTCATATTTCCATATTTCCATATTTTCATTACCTACTCGCTTCTTTCCTTGTTCCTATCATATTATTATATTATTATTCATACTTACCTAAGTAGTAGTTAGATAATACTCTTCTTCCCCTGCCTGGCTTGCCCACTTGATTCAATCCCTGCCCTGCCTAAGCTTGTACAACCCCCTTGTCTCTTTCAGCTTGACTTGTCGATCATCTATCTATCTCTCGGCATCCAGCCCCAGGACCAATTCACGTTACTTCTTACATAGTTATCCTAAACTAGGAACTTGGGGAAACGGCGATACTCATGATATCCGGTTTTAAGTGAATTGGTACCTGAATATCAATCAGCCCTTTGGAAAACCATCAAAAGAGAAGCGCCAGTGTTCTCTCTCTCTCTCTCACAAAATACCTACTACGCATAACACACAACTCTGTCCCGCGGAAAACCGCTCGTTCGAGTCAGCCGGATTACATCATTTCGTCTTGTCTTCTTTCTGTAGGGCTGCAACTGTCCGAGACAAATTACTTTTGCACAACGGTCTCAGACAAACCCGTATCGAGAAGGTCAAAACGTGGTCAACCAAAGGCGTCTGGCTGCGCGCACACGAGAAGGAAATGGTAACTCCGGTTCTATGTTGAGATCGCTGTTTTCTAGCCAGGATCGATAGGTTTTCTATTTGCCTACCCAGGTACCTTCTTTCTCTTCCTCTCTCTCTTGATCGCCGGGGGGAGGGAATCGGATACTTTCGATATACGGTATATTCTACATATATCCTGATGCGCGAGGCGTTTTTTGTTATCTGAGCACGCACTTGCACTACACACCCCTCCTCCCCTCCCCTCCCCCCCTTCTATCTCCCTCTCTCTCCTCTCCGAACATGCCGACGACGCAGGGTTCCAACGGGCTCTCGCCGTTTTCGGGGTCGACGCCGGAATCGTCGCCTGGGCATTCTCCGAAGCGACAGTGTTTTCAGGACCATTCGTCCTTTCACACGATAGAGACCACGACGATAGGAGGTCTAGCCGCTCGCGCCTGCGAGAAGTGCCGCGCCTCGAAACGCAAATGTGATAAGAAGCTGCCCTTCTGCGATCGGTGTAAACGGTATGTATTATGATGAAAATGCGGATTATCGTTATTCTCTATTCAAATTTAGATCTATGCGACTTAGACAGACAAGACAGCCAGACAGAGGACTAACAGAAGAGAAATGTAGACTCAATGCAAAATGCCACTATGTCCAAGACGCCATGAACAACACGGGCGCGCAAGGGGCCCAATTCGTCATATACCAGCCGCGCTCGCTGTCGCACGATGCACTGTTTGGCTCCGCCGAGCCGCTGGAGGGCATCAATGCCCTGCAGATCCTGTCGCTGGTGTCCACGTCCATCGGCCCCGGCTACCCGCTCGCCGACTGGCGCACCGCCATCCACACGTACTTCCTCTGCGTGCACCCGTGGTACGCCGCCGTGCACCCGACGCTCTTCGAACGCCAGATCACCAGCTTGGTCGCCGCCGTCGACTCCCCTCCCCCCTCCCAATCGCACGCCTCGCCCGGCACGCTGTCCAACGCCTCCCACGACCAATACCTCTCCGCCAACCACACGTACTCGATGACGACGGCCTCTTCCGAGTGCCCCTCTAAAGAAGTGGCGCTCCTGGTCGTCGCCATGTACCTGACGACGCGCATGCGCCTGACGGACGCGGGCGAGCTGCCCATCTTCGACGAGACGTACCGGACGGTCAAGCGGCTGCTGTCCTCGCTGCTGCTGGCGTGCGTCGGCGACCCGCGCCCGAGCATCGAGCTCGTGCAGTGCGGCGCGCTGGTCGCGCTGTACGAGTACGGCCACGGCAACGCGCTGACGGCGTACCGCACCCTGAGCCAGACCGTCGTCACGGCGCGGATCCTGGATATCAAGCCCGGCCAGCTGGCCGATACCGGAGATGATATGCTGATGCTGAGTGTGGAGGAGGAGCAGAGCAGTTGCTTGTGGTGGTCGATGTTTATATTAGAGCAGTAAGTTTTTGTCTTTTCCCTTTTCTCTTTCCAAGGGAAAGGGGAGGGTGGAGTGTAGCCCGGCTGTGTAGATGGATAGGGAGAGAGAACATCTCCCCTTTTCGACTGAAGCCCTTGTAAAGTCCCCGACTAACTCTCTCAAGATTCATCCACCAAGACGACGAGGCCAAAGGCCTGCCGTTCCTCCTCGAGACCCCGACGCGAAACACGCTGCTCCCCGAGACGCCCCCCCTGACGCCGAGCTCGACGACAAGCGGGCGCTTCGAGTCCCCCATGTCGCCGACCCCCTCCTTAACGCGGCAGCCGCACCACCTCCTCCGCGCGGGCGTGATCGTCGGGAAAGAGCCGCTCGGCCGCTTCCAGCTGTCGGCCAAGTCGTCGTCGCTGTTCCACCGCGCCATCCGCATCGACAAGGAGCGCGACACCCGGCCCGGCAAGATGCCGCTCGTGGCCACGTACTCGGACCTCGACCACGAGATCCGGGAGGCGACGCTGACGCTGCTGAGGGAGACGCTCGACTGGGAGTCTACGCTGGACTGCTTCGCCATGCTGGTCAGGTATGTTTTCATCCCCCTTATCCCTCTTTTCTTCTTCATATACCTATATATGTAGACAGACACCAACCCCTTTTTCCATTTTTTTTTTCTTTTTTGGCTAACCCGAATCCAAAAAAACCAACAGCGCGCTCTTCACGCTGTACGTGCCGTACCTGTCGATCCTGGAGCACAGCGCGGGACCCGCATCCGCGCTCCTGGAATCGAGCGAGGAGGTGTCGACGGCGCTGGCGGCGCTGCGGTTCGCGTGCAAGCTGTCGACGGACATCTCGTGCAAGGTGAACGCGGACTTCGAGCGGGCGCCGCGGTCGCCGGCGCTGCTGTGCGCCCCCGCGGGCGCCACCTGCTACCACGTCATCTCCACCTTCGCCGCGCTGTGCCGCATCTTCCCCGATGAGCACGACGTCTGCCACGCCAACATCGCCGAGAAGTTCGAGAGCCTCGCCCTCTTCAGCTTCCGCTGGGGCATCGCTGGTATGTTTGTTTTTGGCTGTTTAGCCTACCCCCTTTTTTCTCTCAACCACCTCCCTTCCTTCTTTTTCTTGATCTCCTGGATATTCTGCATTGTAGAGTTTAGCTTAGGCATTTCTTCGCAAATGGACGAGGATTAGCGAGAGAGAAAGAGAGAAAGGAATATAAGAGAACAGAAGCTAACCAGCACACCCAGAAAACATGATGGCCAGACTAGAAAAGAAATACGGCCTCGACCGGCAGCACTACCTAAAGAACTCGCTGATAACGCCCCCGCCCCACGCCATATGCTTCGATTTCGCGCGCCGATAACGCGGGAGAATGGGGGGAGAGAGTGTGTGTTCGCCTGCTTGCCTGGACAGGACAGTCAAAACATCTAGCACTGCCTTCCTAATCAACCTACCTAGGTGGGTAGGTACCTAGTAGGCAGGCACCAACTATTACTTACTACCCCCACGCCCCGAGAAAGCTGAGCCGGAGTCAGTTTCCTCTTGTGCATAGCATAGCGCTGGCTCGCGTTGCATGCGTTTACGAAACGAAGACGAAGCGGTGATGCTTACCTGCCCACCACCTGCCTACGTATACCGAAGCCCGCCTATCTATCTAGGTACCTATGTAGAAGAGTTATCATTACACTTGCTCGCCTATACCTACCATATACCTACCTATCTACCTACCTAATCTCACATTTCTTTCGAGATCATGCCACACAGCTTTCTACCAAACCCTAGGTACATTGCGCCTCGCACTGGAAACGAAGGGGAAGGGGTTTTCCAGGCAGACCAGACTCATATATTTCCCTATTTTCCCCTCATAATATCACCATCCCCTCACAAGCTTTGCTTCAAGTTCAAAGGCATACCCCGTTCCGTCCGGCATATATATGTAATCTGTGTGTAATATGGCTTATTGACGGGTGGGCGGCTGGCTAGCTAGCTGGCTGGCTGGATTTTGGGTTCCTCTAACCTAGGTATACATCGGTCCTCTACCCATCGATAGTGTGGAGACGTTTTTTGCAGGAGGAGGAGGAGGAGGTAAAGGAGTGGGAACCCCCCCCCCCCTTTCCCGTAATTATGTCCGTATCACCCACCACCACCACAGACCGTGGTATCAGGGCGTGGGATAACGAGCAAGCACCGCCTTTTTTTTTTTTTTTACCTTGCCCAGGTGCATGACCTTTCAACATTTCACATCCACGGAGGGGGAGGGGGCTAGATATCTTCAAAACAACACGGGAGTTAGGGAGTTTTGGGAGGATTAAGGAGCCAGCCGCACAGGGAGCACAAAGAGGGGAAGAAGGATAGGTACCTATATAGCGAAATAATTGCCTACCTAGGTACCTACCTACCCTACATACATGAAATAATCAAGAGCGAGCTGATGATGCCGCGAGCGGGGAGAGGGGATAGCATACCTAGCCACCAGCCAACACAACCTACCTAATGAAAACCACAAACCATCCTTTAATCCTTTGCTATTGAAACAATGATGAACGAGATATTAGGTACTTTTGAGAACAAACCTCCCCCATATCCTTTTTGTAATATAGGTAGGTACCTAGTACGTATCATTGCCCACCACCACCATAGGATTTCCTTTCCATAAAGGTCAATGCCAACATTCTGCCTACTTATTAAGAAGAGTATCAAGATAAGTAGGTGCCTAGTACATACTTACCTATGTAGGGTAACCATCTAAATGAGATATCTCTAACAAAAGGGATAGGCGCCTAGAACCAGTATATATACCTACAGCAAATGCCAATTCTCCATCCACGAATGAAGCAAGGTCTACAAGTTCCACAAAGCCAGTCACGCTCATACATTACTTCAAGTAAAACCCTCAGCAAATATCTCGCAATTTCACCATCTCGTTTCCGAGACGTATATATTTTATTTCGTTTTCCCTAGGCACCTATGTACCTATGCAACTGTTTATCTACCTCTGTACCTAGGCACTCCTGGATATACATACAATACACGCTTAACGCATTCAATATCACCATTCTCAAAACAGCCGCCAGTAAGCGAACTACTGTCCTGTTTCCATCTGCCCACCCCCTGATATTCGATATATATATATCTCTCTCGTGCGAAAACCCGCGAATTCCAAGTCCGTCCTGGGTATCGTACCGATTGGAAGAGGGAAAAAGATAAATCAGAAATACAATCTGCGAGGGGGAAGCGCACTAGTTAACTAACGCGAACTCGTTCGATAGGAAAGTCCGTACTTTCTCATATCCCGGAATAAGGCCCCCTGGTAGCCCTTGGATATGTTAATCAATCTCATCTCGTCTGCGACCTCAATTCATATTTGTGTACCTAGTACACCTGTATGAAACCCGACTCGGGTCTCAGCTAAGCAAGGCATGTAGCCTCATATATGTGGGGGGGGGGGGGGGATTGCTCATCCCCATCTAATAAAGGAAAACGCCTCCTACGAACGCCAGGGAGTCTCTATTGTAGGATATAACCGCCCATTTTCTATCGTAGTGGGGGCTAGGAAGTTTAATACATTGTTGGGAGGGATGGAGGGAAGGAGGTTTAGTTTGGTTGGGTACTTTCATAAGCCATTACTGCCCATCACGATTACGAGCAACATGCCGTTTAGGGAGCAGACAGCTATGAAAGCGGCCCAAACGGCGAGCTTGTAGATGACGCTGACGGGGTAATGGCGATATAACATAGCACCTAAACCCATGCAAGCGCTGAATAGACTGGTGACTGATCCAATGGCTACACCAGCGTCGACTTCGAGCCGTAGCTTATGTCGGCCTGTTGCTACTAGCACCCCGGATATGGCCAAGAGAATAAATGCGACAACGAAGGCCAGCACGACAGATCGCGTTAGTATCTTGTCTCGATACATCACAATCTGATACTCGTGGTTTTCCTCGGTAGCCGGCAATGCCGCATAGCGCAACTTGTTTCGGCGTCCGATACTAGAATTTAGTGATGAGGCATACTCATCTTCGGTAGCATCGTTATCGGTCGCAGCTGGATTATTATGGGCGCTGAAATAGTCGGCAGGTGAATGGCCGCCGAGGAGGGACTGTGTCTCAGCAGTTTGGGGCGTTCGGGCCTTGAGCCAGTGGCGGACTTTATCCACAGGGGCAGCGAACATGGTCTTGATATATACAAGACCCGGAAAGTCCGTATTTGCGTTCGGGTCGATGTACAAAGCGTATCCATCGTCATTATCACCGGCTTCACTCCCATGTTCATATTCATTCCAATACGTCATCGAAGAAGCGCCAGGGGTGTTCACGGACGTGGGATCAGACCCTGGTGTTAGCGATGGTCGGCGACTCTCGTTTGGTGTTTCGGTTTCAAACCGTGACTTCGTTCTCCCTATTCGGGGTTCGACCCGAAATGAATTAATGTTAGGAGAGACAGCCTGCAAATTTGCAAGTAGTTCTTGGTGTTGTAATCGTAACGGATGAAAGTCGCGCTTCGTGAAGCTCTTGGGTGAGGTGAGAACATTCTCCTTAAAACGACTAGTTAAACTGGTTGAGCCGGTCCATTTCTACCAGCAAAAGCCAAAAGTTAGCATCGTCAATGTGTCGTGAACATACTTACGAGTGCATGCATGCATACCCTGTACTTCTTGAGAATCTTGCGGAACGCAATGACCTGAGCGTTAACAAATCGGCTTAAAGCCTTAATATCCTCATTGCATTCATCAACTTGAAGGGCGTACTTGGCAAGCCGTCGCTGTCTTTTTGGGGACACGCCACCGGCTTCGTTACATCGTATTACAAGCTGCTGTATTGAATTCGACAGGTGACCTGCAGACCGTGAATGTTAGTCAGACCCAATTAGAAGTGTACATTGACGAGAGCGTACATAGTCGCCTCGAAATCTCATCTGCTTTGCTGGTGACAAAGAGACCGACTCGATTATGTTGATTACAAAGCTCAAGGTAGAAACCATCCTCGAACCTCTTTAGAGCATGATCTTGCTGGCCTGGAATAGCGATAGCCGTGGCTTGATCCTTGGTAGTGTGTACCTTGATCTGGTGCTTCAATGAGTTGTAGTCGATATTATGTAGACCCCAGCTCGGTACGGACTCTTCTTGAAGGTGTTCCCCGTACTTCATCGTCGGTATACGCCGCAGCGGTCCAGGAACCGCTTATATCTCCTTATCTCCCCTCTGGTAGATCGGGGAATTCGCTCCAAGCCCCGTCTTTTGCCTGTATGGTACGAATTGGATGGGTTCGCACGTGGAAATCTAGGAAGTTGGTTGACACGATTGGAAACTTGGGAGCTTCGGAAGATGGTTGAATTTTTAAAATATAATGTACCAAACAGTTAGAAGGTATTAAACCTTAGGTTTTTTAGTATTTGGTTTAATAAGAGGGAGTCGGAGATTTCTATTGTCTTGGACCGTCCTTTATTCCATGTATAACCAAGGATGCTATGACGTTTGTGTTTCTTAGTGAGTGGATTCCACTGTGATTGTAATGGAGGTACCGTTATCCACTGTCGAATGTCCACTGTCCAGTGCCCAATACCCAATGCCCAGTGCGTCCCACTAGGTATCAGTTAGGTGGTCTGCCCAGATATTCCCAGGTATCCAATGTAAAAAGTCTGGACCTGCCAAGGATATATGGGGTCTTCACGCTGGGGTAGATAAGGCTCAATTCTCTTTAACTTTCTAACCTGTATTTCGTATAGACGCTGTGTTAGATATTGATCGTCTCGTCTTAGTTTCGCCGAGTAGCAATTAGTCTTGACAAAGAGTGGACAACAAATAGCCAAGCTCGGTGAATTTGCAATCAGCTAACTACTAGGTAGTGTAGTTTTCTCGTACCTACTCGTAGCAAGTAGCAAGTTAGAATTGATGGATTAGGTGTGTAGGTGTTAGTAGTTGGAGATAAGGGAAGAGAGGGTGACTGGGTAGACTGGGTAGACTGATATCCGTCTGGATGAAAGTTTGAAGATAAAAAAAGATGTTAGTGTTTCTGGTAGTCTCGAGCGGCGCCATGCTTATTTTAACTTTAGCGGGAAACAACCTAGTAGAGGTAGTAGTACTAGGTAATTTGTACATGCTTCCGGCTAGGGTAGTACATGTACATACCACTGATACATACCACTGATACTAGGCTTAAAACGCTGGACAAGGAAATAAATCTTCAAATTTTCTCTGCCCAGTGCCCACGTCCATTGTCCCTTCCCAGACAACGAGACTATCAGAACTTGTTCACGTGCAGAAAATATCGATATCTTTAATCGTTGATGTTGCTGGCATGTCAATATTACCCTACTCGTTTTTAGCGCCAAAACTACCTAGGAATCTAGGATACGTATATATGTATAGAGCCGAGAACTATAGCGGTCTCGGCCCCTGCGCTGATCCCATGTCACACCAACATCTTGTGGTTTGGTTGTCGAGTTATTAAATACTTCAATGTTCAACGGCCTCAATGATATCAAATTGAGCTCACCCACTCTCAGCACTTCTTGAAGGAATACCTTACTGACTGCTTTATCAAGGTCGCATTTAAAACTTGCCGAGCTATTCCCATGCCGATTGGGATATCCATCACCAGTAAGATCTACCTATGTATACATCTGTTGTTACTCGATTCTTTTTAATCCGAGATGTCTTCCAAACGCACATGCATGTCTACATAATAGTACACTTACATACCCTCCTGCTACTAGATACATAGTACAGTCTACTACTCTTGCGGGTAGTTACTGGTATGTAGTTATTAAGTAACGGATATATTAGTAAGTTCTGATTCTTTCTTGCGGCTTTCTTGGAGGGGGACCGCAGTTTAACTTGAAGCGGGGCACAGCTCTTTCCAGATATATAATTGGCGAATGGATCATTGATTGAACCCCACTACCTTCCCTACCTTCCCTACCTAGTGTAGGTACCCTAGGTAGTTCGCTAGCTCGATTTTACTTGTTTCTAGATGTCGGTAGTCCGTGCACAACACACCTAGCAGCCCTTTCTGGGGCTCAAGCTAAGGGATCGGTTTAGTACAGCTACATGAACAGCCCCGGAGGTTAGTACGAACATGGATGTAGCTCGGGACGCTATCCCCATGCAGTAGGTACGTACAATAATCAAATTGATAATTCCTGTACTACATAACTATGTACACACAATTTGAAGTTACCCAAGCTTGTCCATGTAACAAAGTAATTGATGAGTACACTAAGTTACCTACTACCCAGGTACAGTAGGTACATAAGGTTGGTTACCTACATACTGCAGTCTGCAGTACCTTATGCAGTTTTTCGATTGGATTGGTTGAATATTGTATAACATTGAAACTTCAACTTCAACTTACATCTTGCTTACCTACCTAACCTACTACACTGCACCTATAAGGTGCATGTAAAAATAAAACTACACCTACATACATACATTAGGCACATTGATCTCGCTGCACCATTTCGTCCAATCGCGTGTTATAGATGAAGCACGTGTATTCTCACCGCTCTGTATAACTTAAACAAGTCTGAGTATTCATCCAAAGTCCAAAGTCCAAAATCTCGATGCCTTCGTTTCGTTCAACTCGCCCCTCTTCTATGTTGTGTTGTCTCATATTGATGTTTTTACTAGGTACTCAGATAGGCAATGGGTCATGCGACCTGTTGCCTCTTTTCTGATGCGTGCTTCGTATGGTGTATGGGGCTTGGTTACAGTGGACTGGGACGAGTGGGCTTCGCTACCACGGTGTGAACTGCATGAGCGATGGCATCCATCTAGAACACCTGGGGATTTCAATCGAGGCCGCCTAGGTCTCGTGTCCACTTGGCAAATCCATTACGCTTCTTCCTTTTTGCCTTCCTTTTTCTTCTTCTTTTTTCTTCTTTTCTTTTAGGTCCCATTCTACGGTATACTGCGGTATACTGTGTGGGAAGAAGTTACAAATAGTTGCCCAAAACAAGTGGCCTTGTTCAAGTTTGTATTAACTATCATACAAACACACATACACACATAGCTACAGCACAAAAGCCGTTGCTAGTTGTACAACATCCTGGCTATTCCCATGAACGCCTATGTTTCAAAACACTGTCTCGAGGGAACGACGATTAGGACCGAGGGATCGTCTTGCCCCGAATACGACATCGCCTAGGTTTTGTGCATGCGGAACACTGCATGGTATTTACGTCAATTATAATGTCTCACCTCATTTGTTGTCGCGATTACGAAGCACGACCCTTCTGCCTGCACAGCTGGAGGTATTTTACATCACCGTCTCATGCCTAAGATTCGATGCTACGTAAATGAGCCCGGGTATGAATTCTGCAAAGAGCGCATCTAACGCGGATTTATCTTGATCAACCAAGGGTGTGAATCGAATTGCAACACTTGGTGCACGACGGAAAAGTTCCTCGCCATTAATCATCGTCACCCCCACTGCTAGCCATTCATCCTTCCGCTTGTGTCGAGTAGTTATATACAATCGATTTCGCAACATCGCGAAATAATGCCATAATCGTAGAATATTGACCTCCCCCGATCACCCCATTTTCCCGCCCCGGTCTAGACGTTCTGGGGAATCCTTACAGACCACCCTATCGTGACTTACCTACAGTTTACCTACAGTTTACCAATGGGAGCCAAGCTGATCATCGTCATGATTACAGACAGTGTGCAGGCCGGGTACCGGTTACGTTGAGCCGCATCCGAACCAACTACTAGGTTAGTCTAATGACTTTAGGGAAGGGGAAGTGAATTGATTGTACGGATTCGCAGACGACATCCATGGAAGCATATTTGCCAAGCTATAAAATTCCGCCACTCCCTCCGGTAAAGCAGAAGAAACGTGCAAAAAATCCCCCCCCCCAAAGAAATTCAATGAGGCGGCTGAGACAAGAGTCAAGCCAAGAGAAAGAGGCATTTTCAACAAAACATGTCAAACCAGTTGCCGAGCGGCATCGGAAGAGGTGTTGCCACGCAGAGCACGGCATGTACATACATAGTAAAAGATAGATTCTGTGGGATCTCTAATCCATCAGCTGGTTGGTCAAGCCCCCTTACTTCCCACACCATCCCACCGCCATACCCAGCCACGGACTTTTTTTGGGGGGTGTACACGTCCTCTTGGTAGTTCACGTCAGGTCGCCAAGAAAAGAAAAGAAGCCGCCCTGGGGAACCCAAAAGCTGTATACCGAAGCACAGTTGACGCCATCTGCGTAATTTATGGATATATCGGCATTTACATATGCGTTCCTGATGGAATACCTACCTAGCCTACCTCTTGGTTGAATAAAAGCCAATATAGAGCAGTTACTCGCATACTAAATTAGGAGGTACATGCATAGATATATCAATGATATATATTGATTGATACTTATCGTCTTATCAGGCAAACACCTACCTACCTACCTAGTAGTAGCTAAACGCTTCAATAAACTGCCACTGCTACCACCTTCTTCATTGTCCGTTCAGGAAATTGCTCGCGTGCCTTCTTCTTCCTCTCCCCTCTCCCTTTTTTACTCCTATACTAGGCGAGCATTGCGGGTGTGGAGGAGGGGCGGAACGGGAAGAGGCAAATTCCCAACGGCTCTCTCTTCTCTCGATCCTGCACACAAACTGCAGTACCACGGTGTCACCGCCGCGTAGATCGAACGCAACCACCCTTGTGCCTTTGCCGTTCCTCGCGATCGACCATGTTGGGTCATTGATACCATTCATGCATAGGCAGGTATCGTCATACCCTAAGTCCTTTTTTTTTCTTCTTCTCGCGTTTTACACGTGACTAAAAAGGGGGAGGGGGGCGGAGATCCGTGATACCTACTTGCACGGACTGGTGCTTACTGGAAGAAGAGAAAGAGAGGAAAGGGGAAAGGCGGGAGGCCGTATCCGATTCGGGGGTTGTGGGAATATAGATAGATAGGTAGGTAGGTAGGTATCTACTTGTTTACCAGCAATGCAATGGGCGAAAATGTTGTATAGATACCTACCTAGGTAAAATAAAGATTCCAGCTCTTAATCAAGAACTACCCTACCGAGGTTAAGTTACTATGTAGGTTAGGTAGGTATTTTGTACCCCTTTTACCTTCATCTATGCCACCTCAACGTCAAATATCAATATCATCCAGATCCTCGACACTCTTCATTGTAGCCTTAGAGAGCTGGCTTTGAGGCTTGCCAAGATTGCATCTAGGCACGGAAGGTCACGCGAGTGTGTAGCATGTGCAGTTAAAAGAGATATGTATTAAGATCAGAGCGGGAGAGTGTAATAGACAAAGAAAGAGAGAAATGAATATTAGGTGTTTGTCTTCAAACCAGGGGTTGGTGGTTGAAAAGGGGGTAAGCCGCTAAGCTCACATCACACAAGTCAGGTAGGTACTCATACAATGCAGAGCAGGCTGCTCCATACTAGCTAGGTAGAGGTTATCCAGATCCAACATCCGGTTAGTTAGGTAGGCGAGTAAGGGCTTGCGATGTTCAAGTTGGCCTCGGCCCCCCCGAGCAGCGTTATGCAAGGGAGCCTCACCCACGATATCACGCATGTTTTGGTAGGTAACAGGCACCTGTCCTAATGAGAGCTTGTACATAGGTGCTTGCTCGCTGTGGTTTCCGCAAACAATACTATTCAATCCGGCGAACCTAGGACACCGATGCCGACACTCTTGCAGAATTCGAGCAGGGTTTTGAAGGATCTCAGGGGCCGCCGCTTTTGGCTAGGAGCCGTGTTGGTGCAAGACCACGAGTACCATGACTCAGCTTACATATGCGATCAGTGAAATAGAAAGACAGGGACATCCTCATTCTATTGCTCGGGGAATGGTGGCATTGCCGTGTTGTCAGCAGCCCGAGTCTGTCTTTCGCACTGATGCCGCACTTTGTGCCGCGTAGCGTGATCCGGCGACGGAGACTCCAGATGAAATAGACTGAGACGTGCAGCCATGTTTCTTACTAGCCCCTTTCTGTGTTGTCGAACAAAGAATACTTAGGCATTGTTGAAGAGAGGTGCTAGGTAGATAATGTGCAGTACGCCGGTGGTCTCCATCTAACCTAACCTTATACTTAGGTATGTAGTTGGAAGTAATAACTTGAACAAGTATAACACGCCGTATTATTTGAAATTGATTAGTACAAGTTGTAGATATATACCTATGTACCCGGGACCCGGGGGTAGGCGGGCATCTTTAGTAGAATATCATCAACCATCCACAGCCACGCAACCGACTCGACTCAATCATTCGTCGAAGCGAATCTTCCCCTCATTGACATCGGGGTAAACATCGAACCGCCTCTGCGCCGTAAGCGGGATATTCCTCCTCGTCTCCTCGACGACCTTCCCATCCAGCTCCCACGCCACCACCCCCTCCCCCTCATCCGCCTCCACCAGCACCCTCGCCATCGGATCAACGATCAGACTGTGCCCCCAAGCATGGTACGACGCGCCCGTGTCCCTCGCGGGGCTGCACAGCGCGACATAGAGCTGGTTATCGACGGCGCGCGCGCGCGCCTGGAGCTCCCAGTGCAGCGGGCCCGTCGTGAGGTTGAACGCGCCGGGGTAGACGAGCGCGAAGGCGCCGCGCCGCGCCGCGATCGTCGCGAGCTCGGGGAACCGCACGTCGTAGCAGATGGCGACGGCGATCCTGCCGTACCCCGGCAGCTCGACGAGCGTGACCTTGTTCCCCGGGTGCAGCACCTCGCTCTCGCGGAACGTGATCTTCCCCGGGATGTCGATGTCGAACAGGTGCACCTTGCGGTGGCTCGCGAGCAGCGCGCCGTCCGGGCCGAAGACCAGCGACGTGTTGTAGTACTTTTTCGACGCCGGGTCCGGGTCCGCTTCCGGGATGGAGCCGCCGACGAGGAAGGCCTTGGCCTCGGCGGCCATGGCGGAGAGGGCGTGGTAAGACGGGGACTGGGTGGGGGAAGGGGGGCCGGGGAGGAGGGTCTCGGCGTAGGAGGGGAAGTAGTCGCACCCGTAGGGGGAGTTGAAGCACTCGGGCAAGACGATCAGTTTGGCGCCGGCCTGGGCTGCCTCGACGACCTTGTCGCGCGCATGGGCTAGGTTGGCGGCCTTGTCGGGACCGCTGGCGAGCTGGATGCAGGCCAGCTTGATGGGCTGCTTGAGCACGGGGGCGTTGGATGTGGCCATGGTGCGGAAGAGGGGGGATTGGATGAGAGGGGTGAAGTTATTATTGGTGGTAGCTGAAGATAAGCTTCGAGATGTAAGTGTTCTTAGAGTTCTAAGAGCAGTTCTCATCGTTATCGCTACCGTTGTTGATCTTCGTCGTCTGCGGAGATAAAGTACATGTAGGTACCCAGTATATGTATATAATAGCTCTAGTGCTCTACTCCGGCTGCGAGATCGGGTGGGTTGGTATCTGCAATACTAAGGTTATCCGGTGCGGGGACATGCATCGGGTTGATGCATGTGGGGTTGATCATAGTTGGAGAAACCGGGACAGGATGGTTACCCCAAAATGGTTACCCCAAATAGGGTAATGATATGATATCGTTATAAGCAGATGAGTTATGGTATCTATGTTCGTGATGTTTTCAGAAATGATGAATCTATAACTGGCTTCATGAAATATCCTGAAAAATAATGATAGAGGTACTGTATAAGTTTGCCTTCACCAGTCACAACTCCTCCCCAACAACTCTGCTAACTTTTCCAAATTCTTCTTATCCACCTCGTCGAACCCTTCGAGTTCAACACAGTCAATATCAATAATAGCCACCAGCTTTTTCGAGCCCTCCTCTTCTATAACAATGGGCACCACGATCTCACTCTTGCTGTCCCCGTCACAGGCGATATGGCCAGGGAACTGCTCAACATCCCGGACCATTTGCGTTGTTTGAGTCTCCGCCGCTGTACCGCATACCCCTCGACCGAAAACGATGGTCTGGCATGCGACTTTGCCCTGGAACGGACCCAAGATGAGCTGTGGCTTTGACGAGGTAGCTTTTGGATCAAGAACGTAAAAACCTATAGTTTTTGTGGCAAAGAGTGGTAAATCCAAGTGTTCGGTAAGATCAGAGATGACGATAAAGCAAGGCGTTTCACTCACCTGCCCAATTCACTCTGTCACTTGGTGAAGGTAATGATTTATAGGCGTGCCATAATAAAGAGGCAGTGTTGGACAAATTGCTTCAAGGCCTTGTCAGTTGAGTCTGTAAATCACAGCCAACGAATTACTCTGCTACATACCAGACCTAAAGGGGCAAAGACATGAGCGTGAGTTTACTAGGTTAGGTACCTAGGTATGCATGAGATGGGATCTTTTAAGGCTCTTAACACACCCAGTTTCTTTGACCGTCAAAGAGGCCTTCTGCTTGCAAGAGTACTTGGGCATAGGCTTGCTCCTTCGTTACGCCGGCGGCAAAGTTCGATGCATCTGCATGAACCTAAGAAAACTTATGTGAGTATGACTTGTAAGGTTGATTACATTTGAACTAGAAGATGTGAAAGGCCAGGTTTCGAACCATTCTGCAGAGATTATTTACCGCCTTGAAGCGTTAGTTTTCGGAACCCAGTTCGAGTTGGAAGTACACTGAGTTGCCGTAGCTAATATATAATGGCAAGAAATGCTCATAGAAACCTCAAGACTTCCAAATTATGAGGGGGAAAAATCAGATTCATGAGCACGCGATTAACAGGGATCTACTGTACAATACCATAAAGCCCGCTAAGCTGCCTACTACTACCAGTAGTCTAGTACACCTATAAAGTAGCAGAGGCTGCTTACTCATCCACGGATAGCTATAAAAATGTTGTATAATCATCATTGAAGAATTGAATACTTGACCCTAACCACATGCATCTCTCAAAATAGCAGCAATATTGCTAATGGCTATTATCCGGGGTAGACAGGGATTCGTACAAGTTTATTAGGTAGAGCTCCACGGCGGGCTTCCCCTGGAGATGTCTACAGACTACTCCAGCTTGGTACCTCTCGGAGGCAGATGCCCCGGCTGTTTCTTTTGAACCACTCGTTATTTTGCCATTTTGTTATTTTTTTATTTTCATGTATTATTTCAGAGAAAATCTATGGTAGATTCTACTTTATGTCTGGTTTACTTCAGTAGAACATCTACCTCTTTTAAAACGTAAGATTTAGGACATTAAAGACGGTAGAGAGAAGAAGAAGAAGAAGAAGAAAAAGAAAGACAAAACCCCTGAAATGGGATAGACTCCGTCGCGATGGGCCGGATGACGATGATGCGAACGAGCAAGCGAGGCCCAGCCTCCACCGCACGTCTACGGCAGGTCGTCATAATATCAGTGATGTGCCTGGCGCTATACTGCTTCCTGCTCGTGCCAGACCACAGCCTCGATTCCTCGCGGTCAAGCATGCTGGAGACGTTTCCGCGCCCGCAGGCCAAACCCGAGTCTGAGTCGGCGGAGGAACTGCCGCAAGCACTGCTCAACAACCGCCTCCTCACCTCCTCGCAATGCCGCGCGACATTCCCAGGTCTGACCAAGGAAATCGACGACGTCGTCGCCAAGGGTCCCTTCACACTCATCCGCAACCCTCACGGGCTCGGCCCAACAGTCGCCCGGATCCGCTCCGGCCAGCTGTCGATCCTGACGTACGCGCGCAAGGCGGATCTATCCAAGGACATGCTGCAGCACCGGTCCGCAACGCTACACCAGATCGCCGCCGCGCTACTCACCACACCACCCTCTGAGCCCGTGCCGGACACCATCATCGCCTTCAACCACGAGGACGACCCGAAATCGCACACGCTCTCGTACGCGCGCCCCGCAGACCCATCCCTCAACGGCCCCGCGAAGCGCTTCTTCCCCATCCCGCACTTCAGCTTCTACTCCTGGCCCATCCGCACCGTGGTCTCGCAGGCGCGCGCCGCCGCCGCCATATCGCGCATCGAGACCGCCACAAACCCCCACAGCACCTGGGCCTCCAAGCCCGCCCGCGCCATCTGGCGCGGCACACCCTGGTTCAACAACCCGCGCCTCGCCCACCTGCGCTCCGACCTCGTCCTCCTCGCGCGCGACAAACCCTGGGCGGACATCGAGGCGCTGCTGCCGAACAACAGCAACGCCCTGCCCATCGAAGACTTCTGCCGGTACCGGTACATCGTGCACACGGAGGGGGTGACGTACAGCGGGCGCCTGCAGTACCACCAGCAGTGCGGCAGCGTCGTGCTGGCGCCGCCGATCGCGTGGATGCAGCACCTGACGCACCTCGTGAAGCCCGTGTTCAGCGCCGCGCTGCAGCTGGAGGGGTCCGCTCGCTCGGCGCCTCCAGATGCCTCGTTCGCGCGTGGTGGTGGCAGCAGCCAGCCGAAGAAGCCAGCCCCCTACCCGGCCCCCTGGGCCCTCGCCGCGTGGCCCACCTCGCACGACCCGTCCACCGAAGCCAACATGGTCTTCGTCGCGCCCGACTGGACCGACCTCGAGCCCACCATCGCCTGGCTGGAGCAGCACCCCGACACCGCGGCCGCCATCGCCCGCCGGCAGCGGGACCTGTTCTCGGGCCGGGGGTACTTTAGCCCCGCCGCCGAAGCCTGCTACTGGCGGGCTTTGCTCCGGGGCTGGAGCCAGGTTGTCGATACCGAGGGCCAGGGGTACGAGGAGCTGGAGGAGGTTCCGTGGGAGGAGTTTAGCTTGACGGAGGTGCACAAATAAAGGGATTTTATATTTTTCATAAAAGGTTCCAAGGTTACTTACCTAGGTTAGTTTTAATCTAGATCATGTGTCAAATCACATCATATCAAAGCAAAACAAAACAAGTGAAATCAAATCACAGCAAATAACACAATATAGCCAGGCACGGCAGGAAGTAGGTACCTACTACTAGGTAATGTATTACCCATTATGTACTTTTTTTTTTTATTTCTCTGAATTATTTGAGGTTTGCTATTTACCTGCACAACCTATGTAAGTAGACAGACACTATAAAGTAGGTACCCAAGTACCTAGGTAGTTATCGTGTGGCTGGCTGGCTTAGCTCTCGAGCTTCGTCCAATGTTCTAATCGACATTGAATATTATAGCTGTTCGACTACCTAGCCAGCCAGCCGCAGATTGGTACCATGAGACCCTTAGTACCTAGGCTATTACCTAATACCCAGTACCCGTGACCTATACACACTCGATGCCCGACTCCCTATTATTTTCTCGTGGCAACATCATTAGTTTGGTACCCCGTTATAATGACTAGGTATATATGTACAATGCATCCGTTCTCATTAACTGCTTCTCGCACTCAGGCTCGCAAATGCATCTGGACTGTGTCGGCCATTGTTCCACGCCATCTCCATACCTAGCGTCATGCTCTCTCGGCTTCTGGCACCCGAGGGAGTGCCATTAGGGTTGCCAGTAGGGGCGAATGGACTTAGTCCCAGAGCTGTGGCTGGGGCGGGATTGGGGGATGCTCCGTTACTGAGAAATGGGTTATTATTTCCTGCGAAAGGAGACGATGCTGGCTGTGGTGGGGGTGCCTGCGCTTGAGTTGACACAGGTACTGTTTGACTCGTTCCCACGCTAACTGCGTTCTGATCTTGGATTTGTGATTGGGCCGGAGCTAGGTGGGGATAGTTGAACAAAGCCATGATAGAAGCTGTATCGGCTCTTTGAGGTTGCTGATATCCCGGCTGGGATTGTTGATATCCCTGTTGAGGCTGTTGATGTCCTTGCTGGGTCTGTTGATATGCCTGTTGAGGTTGTTGGTACGCCTGCTGGGGCTGTTGGTATGCCTGCTGAGGCTGCTGGTATGCCTGCTGGGCTTGCTGATATTCTGGCTGAGGTGTAGCTTGAGCGGGCTGCTGGAGCTCATACCAGGCCTGTTGGGTGGGCTGAAGCTGAGGGGCCGAGGGTGATGGCTGCAGAGATTGGTTTTGGTTCTGGTTCATCGCAAAAAACGGATTGCTGCCATATGACGATTGAGGTTTACTATAGAAATTTTGCTGTGACTGCTCTGGGATTTGATTCAGAGTAGGTGATGTCAATCGTGTTGGCGATTTGGTAAAAGGGTTATTACCAAAAGACCCCTGACTTGAGAAAGGCGAGGTATTCAAAGACAACGAAGCCTGTGGCGCTGCGGGAGCAGGGGCCTGCAAGAATGGGTTGTAGCTTTGCGATGGTTGCGCCATTGGTGGAGGGTACGTTTGATTATTATTATTAAAAGGGAATGATGAATAGTTTTGGGTCTGGGCGATCGGTGGAGTCATCGGCGCCTGGTAAAAGGACTGTGTCATGGGTTGAGACGATGGCAATCCACCAGTATGATGCGGGAAAAGCGGCTGCTGGAACGGTGCCAAAGACAAGTTCTGTAGGCTCTGGTTTAGATTGAACTCAGCCTGCTGATTCGGCATGTCAAATGGGTTGGAGGCATAGAAGGGATTCTTGTTCTGCAGAGTTCCTGTCGATTGCGTAGACTGGGGCCGCGCCGGTTGGATGTCCCAAGGGTTATTTGATGCTTGACTAGCTGGACGTGGTGCCTGTGATGGACTGGACTTGGATAGCCCAATGGTAGGCCGTGGCGAGACAGGTTGTGGTGTCAATGACCGAGAAGTCGCAGGTAGAGAGCTCTCACGAGATGGCACAGGTAATGAAGACCCTCCACCTTCTCCCAACCGAACCAATGCTTCTATAGTCTTTTCCAAGCTCCCATTAACACCCTTCAAAATCATGGCGTTTCGCTTATCGTCTGTGAATCCCATATCCCTCAGCTGTGTTAACTTCTGTGCCATAGCCTCGGGGGAATCTTGCGGATGCTGATGCACACTGGCCCCAAATACTTTAGAAGCCTTGTTGCGGTTCTGCTCGGGACTGTGCGGGTGGTCGTGTGAGCCATGTGTGGTGTCGCGTCCACGAGAATCCTTCTTGGACCGAAAGGAAAAGAAACGACTGCCAGTTTTGGGTGGTAGAGGTGGCGGAGTGCCTTCGTCTGAACTTCCCGTATTGTGCTTTTTTGTCCCATTAACCGCTGCTTGTACATACTTTGCACGAATGAAACGTTCCATGGAAGAGTCAGCTTCGTCAACGTCGATAGGTACCGGTGGCTTCTTGTTCTGGGGATTGTAGATTTTGTTGGATGCAACATTTCCCACTCGTTTCATAGTCTGTAGGATGGGCATATTTAGCTATGATCGGGCAAAAGTAGGCATTCTCCATGATAGCTTTCCATACCTCGACTTGCTCGTTGGTCCAACTATCCATGCTCAGCGACTTGACCTTCGAGATGTGTGTGCCCAACTTGCGATGGATTGTGGCGCATCGCATGCACAGAAACACGCCCAACTAAAGTCATATTAGTATCCATTCTGTCTTAATGTGTTTTGGATATAGGTATAATTCGTGAAGATTAGGGAGCCGCGATGCTGAGGTAGAAATTTGGCTTTTGTGCACATACGTTCCATGATGCCCAAGCTAGAGAAAGATGAGATTAGTTAGACGGGTTCATTGTATTTCAGGCAATGGAATAGGGATGTCTTCACACACCTGGATTTCTTGCTTGACAATCGACGCAAACATTGTTTCCTGGAACGGTTTGTACAAGATCTTGTAAGGCCTTCTCGTTGCGCGCCTGCTGACGTTTGCTCATAAGACTAGACATATTTGCGCTCCTTGAAAACAAAAAGAATCGTACTGCTCACGAGAGCATCTGTCGAGAATTGAAATCGGCTGCAAAGGCGCACAGCTGAAAAGGATCGGGTTCCGACAACCAACTAGGAAAGTCGCGTGCAAAGCTGGGGACAGCGGAAAAACTGCTGAGCGCAGTGCTGAAGGAGGATGTATCTCGCCGAAATAGTGTAGTTATAAGCCAGGGGGGGGGCGTGACGATGTTCCTCGATTCGGATTAGGGCTTCATCAGCTTGTCATTACGAACTGCGATGATAGGTTGTAATAAGAAATAATAAGTATGAAAATAAGATGGATATGTAAGGGAGTACACGCTCGCAGACAACTATGTCAAATGTCAACAAATCCGTCTAATCTAGAAGTTCAACACGAAGAACAAGAAAAGAAGAATTCAAAGACGAAAAGAAAGTTGGAGAAAGACAGCGTAAGTAGGTATGTAAACTCCTAACGATCCATTATCGACACTCAGACTGGAGTATGAGAAAGGATCGACAGAGACGGGGCTCTCTCAAACAGGCCTGGATCGCAAATGACTTTTCTAAAGGGTAAAAGAAAGAAAAAAAAATAATAACTAGAATCCTATAAGCGACTCCACAAAAAGAAAGGAGACACGATTTAATTATAGTTCAGTACTTTAATACATTGATGATACTAGCCTGACATTTAATTCAAGTTGATGCCTGTACTATTGTACAAGTACCACGCACGCCAGGCAGCCCTCGCAGCTAGGGTTGCGGAATGTATTATTCAAACGTATTATTCGCGTATTATTCAAATATAATATTGCATTTTATTATAAAATGCAGTGGGTCCGAAATGGAAAAGTGGATCGGTACATAAGTGGAGTAAATTTTGCACCAAAATTTGGTGATATTACCTAATTTTACAGGTATCTAAGGCGCGTAAATCTCGATATGTCGTTTATGTGATCCGGCTGAACTAAGCTTTGAAGATTGCGTTGGACTTTGATCATAATGTGTTCGAAGAGCATGATCAAATCGGCGCCCCATTGCATAGGGAAAATGGCAAAAATGGCCATATAATTTAGCTTCAAATCTTGTAAATCTTCCATATTATTTCAGAGTGTAAAGCTTTATTGTATGTAGGTATATATTAAGTGTATTAGGTTAGGGTGGTCACGTGACCCACTTTTGAATAATACGGTATAATACGCATTTTACAGGGGTTTTGAATAATACGCGCATTTTATTTTAAAGTGCGCATTTTACGCAACCCTACTCGCAGCAGCGCAGCTACCACCAACGCAAAGCACGCCACAAATGATAGTGCTAAGGTTAGGTAGTTAGTACCTATGTAGTAGTGCTATGTATGTAGCCTACGCCGAAATTTAACCGTTTGTCACTACCCTGACTAGACCTTATTAATATGTGTGTAACTACATACATCGAGCACCTGCATCATTGATGTGCATGTACGTACTTGAGCCTCATTAGGTTAAGCTTCATGCGCAATAATCCTTTTTATGTAGGTGCATGGGCAGCATGGCAACTTTATCTTTATCTCTAAAGTTACATTTACCAAGACATGAGGCTGTTGATGCTTAGCTACCTAGGCTCACATCCATGATGTATCACTACAACTAGTAAATAGGACCCTATGTCTTGTAAGGAACAACCTTACATGACTACCTTCTAAATAACTATGAGTGCATAGATTTTAACGATGTTTATCTTTATAACTCATCATAGATTAGGCTTGGACTGTCTGTCAGCAAAGATGTCAGGCATTGTCAGCCCTTTACCTACATCCTACGTACTCTTTGCAGTGGTAGATTCCTATTGGATACTAGGTAGAACAGGAAACAGACAAGAGATACATTATCTTATCACATCTACCTACCTTAGCATGTATCATATTACTAGGCATCTAGCTAGAGGTGATTCAGGTAAGTGCTAGGTATGTATCCCTGGACACCGAGTACGAGGCACCCGAATAAAATAGCAATGATTATATACCTACCTACCTAGGCTTATTCTCTATGATCTGTTCTATTATAAACTCCACGGCTTAGCTTCATCACCCCAATACCATACACGAAACCTACCTTCAATGTCCTATACTCTCAAAATAACTCAAACCATGTCTAATATAATCCTCAAGCCATCATTTCCCCCCAACCCTAATCCATCCGTGGATGCCGAGTCTCCCGAGACTCAAACCATCATCAAGTCTCTCTCGCTAATACCGCACGTGGAGGGTGGCTACTTCGTCGAGACTGACGTATGTAACTCAAGAAACCTACCTAGCTAGGCAGTCAGTGTTACCTGAGTAAGTTACTAACACCACCTTAACCCACAGCGAGACCCCCTTCTGATCCCCTCTCCCTTCCCGCCCAACCCGGCATCATCTTTCATGCCGCAAAGACCCGGCTTCGACCCAGCTGTCCGGAACGCCTCGACCACCATATTCTACTACCTAACTCCCCAGTCACCGCAGGGCTATTTCCACCGCAACCGCGGCAGGACGGTGCACACGCTACACCAGGGACGCGGGGTATATGTACTCATCCATGCCGATGAGCCGGACCTGCCGGGCGGCGGGAAGCGGGTCGAGACGTTCGTCGTCGGCCATGATGTTGCTAAGGGGGAGAGGCCACAGTAAGGAAGAAGCTTCCCTCTCTACCTACGTAAAAAGCTCGCTGTCAGAGCGGAAACTAACACTTTACTACCCACAAGGTGGATTGTAGAGGGGGGCAAGTTTAAGGCCAGCTTCTTGTTGCCAGATGATGCCAGCGGTGCCGAGAAGACAAGCGGCGGCCTGTTGATCTCCGAGACGGTGGTTCCGGGCTTCGAATTTTGCGACCATGATTTTATGGTTGCGGATAGATTAGTGCCGTTGGTGGGGGCCGAGAAGGCCGAAGAGCTGGGCTGGTTGGTTAGGAAATCGTAGATGGTAGTAGGGGATGAGAGAAAAAGAAAAGACTGTTGTGAAGAGGGCATTATACTATAGTAAGGGCTTGAGATCTGGACTTCCCTCAAAATACTTTCTTCGGATGCTAATCATTCCAAATTTGCTCACCTCTTGTTGCCAAAGTTTATTTTGCGGATTGACGATTTCATACAGGCACATATTCTCAAATAGGGGGTTACCCCTCGGCAATCCCCTTGTCTACAACCACAACCACATCATCGCTCCATTCTAGGATATCCAAACTGCTTATATCGCCATTTGTGAGTACAGCTTAGGGGGAAAGCTGTTGTTGTGTTTCTTTCGCCGACAGACAGCATAGAATCCTCAGGAATCTACAGAAAATCACCCATACCTCGCAGGCTCGGTAAGAGCGAAATAAAGCGCTTGCGTACCTAGGTATTTAAAAGAACACTACCCTGGGCTGGTATCGTCTCGGACTATGTGATACGAGTCGTCCACCCACTGGGGACTAGGATCAATGTCCAAAGCAGCCTTCGCCGCAGCGCATACACAATATCGATGTCGTTCTACCCCCCTTGGGGTATACCAGAGCCGGACCTCGAGCCCCTTTTCATCCCATCTCTCAAACTCCCCCAATAGACATTCCCACAAGTCCTTGTTCTTGACCGCCATTCTCCCTCTCCTGCACCAATCTTTCTTGATCCATTTCCTCAGCCACCTCGTCGATCCTTCGGCTACGTACTCGGAGTGGGTGGTGATGATGGTGATCGGAAGCGAAGTACTGCGATGATGCCACGGAGCATGGCGCGATTGTGGGTCTAGGATACTTCGTCGCCAAAAGGCCCCTTCGTCTCTAGCCGACCGGCCACGACGGCCGGGTGGCCATCGAGTCCCGGCCCATGAGCGAACGCCCAGGCGCCTTTAGCATATGCTTGGCCGTTGTGTATGCACGCGTTATCAGTGAAAATGAGAATGGCTCTAGGGTCATTATAATGAGTAAATCTGAATCTGGACTAATGTGTCTGGCCTAGGTAGCGAACAGATTATGAGGAACCTTGGTAACACGGATTAAGACGTATTGGATTACACTATGATTAAGACAGAAGTTTAATGTTGTGTTTGATTAGAACGAAGAATTGTGTGTGCAAATGAGAAACTCCCGAGGTCATTTAAAAGTTCATGATACAAATACATGCTACAGGAACTACAGGAACTACAGGAACTACAGGAACTACAGGAAGAGAGGAACGAGTTATTGAAGTTATCGGTAGAAGCTGTAATGCACCTAGGGTAATCGAGGTAGGTACTCTCGATGAAGATTGAGCAAATGTCATATGAGCTGATGAGTTACCTACGGTATACATCAGTAATACTAGGTATCATTGATTTAATAACGCCTGTCAACACATCACTTTCTTCTAACAAGAGTATAGAGATGAAATATCCATCATTGATACAGCAGTACCCCATCCATAGAAGCGTCTACGTATTTATCTGTCAGTCTTTGTTTGCTTCGGGGAGCTACACTATTATACACTGGCGACGTAGTAATCCCCTCTCTCCCCTTACCCCCCCCCCTTTTTCTTCAACTACCTCCTCCCTACTCTCCCCACCTTCCTCCTAACACCAACCCCCTGTTTTTAATTATTTTCTCGTAACAATCGTCGTGGAACTTTTTTGTCTTTAACCCCCCGTGCGAACAAATGAACGAATGAGGACGCCGATGAAAATGAATACGGGACAAAGGAGACAGCCAGACAGCAGGCATATTAGAAAAACCACCCACAGAAGGAGGAGGGGAAAGGAAGCAATTAAAAAAAAACATGAAAAGGATAAGATAAAGGGGAAGGGGAAGGGGAAGAAAACAGGCCGTCATCGTAAAATCGTAGCCTCGAAAAGAACCCCTAAGGAGATGAAAACAAAAGAAAAAGAAGAATTCGTTTCGTGAGAAACTCAAGTGCCCTGTCTTGTCTTTGGTAGATGCAATGCAAGCGTTGCCGCCCCCGAATTTTCGTCATTCTATGTTGATTCGTCTCATTCCGATGCTCATTCTCATCTTATCTTCATCTCATAATCGCCGTCGTAGTAGTCGTACTGGTCGTAGTAGTAGTCGTGCTCGTCATAATTATGCCCTCTCTTTGCTTTTTATCGTGTGTCTGCCGGCCAACCAGCCATCCAATGTTTCATCCTGCAACAGACCGACCCATGGGAGTAAGAAGATGGAGAAAGTTATGTGTGAAGGGAAAAACCGGAAAGCGAGCGAAAAAAAAAACTGCCTTTCTGAGGGATGGGAGTGAGTGTCGACAGCCACAGATCAGCCAACGGGGTAAAATGGGGGATATGTGAGTGGGTGAGTGATATGTATAAGGGCAAGCAAGGAGCGAAAGGGGGTAGACAACCCCCTTTGGCCTCCTCCTTCTTCCCCAGCCACAAGTTCTTCAATTCCCTGCGTCAGTAGTTGTTCACACACTTGCCAAAACCCTAAGCCATACGCGCCCCCTTCCCCTCCACACTAGGCGTCGAGCGCTCTTCTCCAGCACCGCCATTACCAGCACCCGCACCCTCCTCCAACGACTCGAGCGAAGAATACGGGTTCGTAGCAGTCATAAACCCACCTCCAGTCTTCGCCGAACTCGCACTCGCACTGCTGCTGCTGCTGCCGCTCATCTGCTGGAACTGGGTCTGGCCCGAGGAGGCGGAGGCGGAGGAGGGGGGGTCCTCCATCCTGATACCGGGGGATCCGGGAACAGCAGTAGTGTTAATCGTCATGGGTGAGGCGCGGCTGGGGGGACCGATGGGGCCGAAGGGGGATCCGTAGGAAACTGAGCAGGAGAGATGATTAGATTAGCCATGTCCTCCATCGTGCGTGTGCATCCTTTTGGGTTATATGCAGATAGAGATAAGATCAACAAGCAGGCGGGAGAGAGGAGAGAGGAGAGAAAGGGAAACGGGAAAACGGATAGGGGGGATAGGGAGAACGGGCAACATAACATACCTAGCGGGTTTCGCAAGCCACCACCGACACCACCGCGAACGATGCCCCGGCCCGATCCAAGAACCTTCTGCTCCGTCACGTGGTGGTGCTGTTCCGCGCTGCGCCGCCAGTTCGCGAGGCCCTGTGTAATGCCGCCGTTGCCACCTCCAGGGCTAGGGCCTGGGCCCGTGATCAAGCCCACCTCACCACCATTCCCACCTCCCAGACCTCCACCATTGGCACTTCCTCCCGCGCCATGGCCGCCACCACGTCCAACAACAAACCTCTCCCCCCCGCTCAACCTCGCCGTCTCCTCCCCTCCCCCTCCCCCGCCCACATCCCGCTGCCGCGACAGATCCGCCTGGTGCTTCTTCCACCACGCCGGGAACCCGTGGAACAGCCCCAGCTGGTGCTGCGTGACCTTGTCGAACGGCATCTCGTGCTTGTACTTGCACCCTTGCTGGGTGAAGGCGCAGACGCCCTCGTGCACCCACTTGTCGCAGTAGACCTTTGGGCGGCGCTGGGGGTGGTGGTGGTGATGGTGGTGGTTACCTGCTCCGTGGTGTTGGCCCGCGACGACAAGTGCGGTCGTGGTTGCTCCCGCGCCTGTGGTGCTGGGGGCGGGCGTTGGGGTCGAGCCTGGGCCTAGGCCGACGACGCCGGATGCGAGGGGGGAGGCGTGGTGGTGTTGGTGTTGTTGTTGCTGCTGCGATGGCGGCGTGGGGGGCGTCGAGGCGACGATGGTGTCGATTCGGGACTGTGGGGGGGTGGGTTTAGTGGTTAGCTTAGGTTCTATTAAACTTGGTATATCTGATACAGATGCATTTTAGGGGATTGGGATTGATTGCGTGTGAAAGGAAGACAAAGAGAGACGGGACAATTGGCTTGAGTGTGCTTCAGGGTTGAGTCTAGCAGTTGCGTTTGTACTATCATACTCAAGATAGCCACGTGTAAAATGCAATTACTTTAGATCAGAGCAGGGCTTATGCTTATGGTGTGTGATGTGTATTCAAGGGAGGGCAATTGGGGGCAGGGTGCTATCCATCCATCTCAACAAATCGCCAGTACAGCCCAAGAAAGAAACATGGGACTGAAACCTGGGACTCACCTGGATGTTGTCCGAAGGAGAGGAGGGGGTGTTGGGAGGGCTCTGTGCAAGTATGGTCAGACGGGAGAGGTAGGTACGAGAAACATCAAAGCGACAACTACTCACGCGAAGAGCGACGGGCTCGGTGTTGCTGGATCGACCGTTTGGAGGCAACGCCCGCGGCTGCGGCAGGACCATCATTCCGGAGCAGCTCTGCTGTAGGGCAGGGACATCCTTCAGAGGCGGCAACATGTCAGCTGGAATGAGGCGCGTGTACTGGCCATTGCCACGGTCGTAGCAGTACGCGTAGCTGGCATCCAGCTGCATGTCGGAAAAGGTCCCAGGTGTCTGGTAAGATGCCATTCCAGATGGTTGCGGGAACTGCTCCATGCGGGGACTTGCGAAGATTGATTGAGGGTGTCGGACTCTGGTGGTGGTGCTTGACATATGATGGCTGATGGGAGAGTCAAAAGGTGTAAAGTCGCCACTGGCCCGACTCGGAAGCACCGCTGCTTCGTCTGCTGCTACCTGCTCTCTCCAGTTGGAGGAGGCAAGGCCTCGAGAAGAAAGATTCAGTTGTTGCATACTTGATCTTAGCGTTTGCAACTGAAGATTCTGCTGGTTCTGCTGGTGCTGTTGTTGTTGGTGCTGTTGTTGAGTTTGGTGTATATGGGGCTTATCTGTGGAGAGTTTGGTTCTACGATCGTTGACTGATTGGAATGGGTTTCGATCCATGTTGGGTCGACGATCGAGAAGGGTGCTAGGGTTTTGCTCTATATTGAGGTTTAAATTGAGATCTAGAAGGGATGAAGCACCAGGAGATTCCGAACCATGGGTAGTAGAGGCAGGAGAGGTGTTTCGAGTGGAAGTTTGGGAGACTTCGGAAGAGTAAGACAGGTCGGAGGGGGAGTTAATTGTAGTGGTGCCGGAGGCAGTGGGGAGGGGAGATGTATCCATGTTGAAGGGGGAATTTTTAATGGAGTTTAATGAGTGGCCGCTGCCTGAACGGAGCAGTGCAATATCAAAGAATTAAGAACAGAGCAAACGGGCAAGATTGGGCACGCGCTCTAATTTATACCGCCGTGTTAGTCCGGGGTTAACAACGTCGGGAAGGTCTTATGAGACGGGATCGAAGGCGGCTTCAAGGATGAAGACGATAGTACTAGAGATATGTAATGTGCTAATACTACCAGGTAGATACTAGGTAAGTACTAACCATCCTGAATATATCCATGAATGTATGTGGCAGGCAATTTCTATGCTAAAGCCAGAGAAGATATGGGGAACCGTTTAAAAGGAGGTCTGAAAGGAGGGCTATGTCCAGATTGGGTCAAGCAAGCCCGCCATACACAGACACACACACGCACAAGCACGCACACATACACACACACACACACATACATACATACATACATACAGACGGATACAACAAATATCTACCTACCTGGGTATCCTTAGTTAGTTAGGTAGGCAGGCAGGCAGGCAGGCAGGCAGGTAGGTAGGTAGGTAGGTAGGTAGGTAGGTAGGTAGGTAGGTAGGTAGGTAGGTAGGTAGGTAGGTATGCACCTTACTGCTGGGCACCATCCCTACACGCATACCTACCATCACGGCCGTTTGCTGAGAAACCTCAAATAGGGTTAGATGCATCCTACGGATACTTGCAGTCATGTCTTGTGTTTCCCACGTGACAAAACCCCGTAGACGGTTGGACAACACACAGAATTGTCTTGGTTCCAATTTTGAATTCACTTCGTCCATTTAGTGAACAGTGAATCTTCTTTTCTTCTTAATCTTCTTTTATTCTGCCGCGTGTATATACATGTAGGTAGGTAGGTATGTAGGCATTTACCCATGAAGACCATGTAGCAATGCAACTACCTACATATGTACATGCATATATCAATGCATGCCGAACATTGAATACTATGAGTGCCTAGTAGCTAGTAGAGTGCAGATATCATGTTTCCCTATTCACAATGAAGCGGTGAAGCATCCCTCTCCTTAAAGCTGCAACCGGTAGAAACGCCATGATGCTTGGAGTTTGCATACTTCATCATACGTCTGCTTGCTGCTTGGGCCACAACTCTGATCCTTCATCGTCCAGCACCTTTCACCCCTTCGGTGCTTCGAGCTGCTGTAGCCGTTTGATTAGACTGCTCCTGTAGGCTTGAAGTCCAGGGGAATTCCTGAGATTATCAATTGCGACCCGTAACGAAACCTGCGAATTCAAATTAAGGCATGGATGATTCACAGAGTGTTCGGCTTTGCAAACGGGGCAAGGGTAGCAGTCAAAATTATGACGAATAGGTAGACTATTATTAGTAGGATTCGCCGGACGTCTTTCGTCAAAGACCTGTCGGCCTGCCTGCCAGTTCATGCTTTGGGATGTTGCTGGTACAGCAGGGGGAAGAGAGTTTAAATGACGAACTAGAGGCTCAGGAAGAAGAGAAGATGACGAAGAGGGTACAGAAGGTACCGAGTTAGGATGTGGTGAGTAAGGGGGTTGAGGATTGGGACGCATGCTCGGATGAAGTAGATGAGAAGGAATGTTTTGGTAAGCTGGATTATGAGGTATGTTCTGGATCGGCATTGGTGAACGTTGAACAGGAGGCATTTGTTGAGAGGGCAGTGGCCGAGGCTGAGGCATTATTACGTTAGGTTTTGCTGGTTTGGTGGAATTTTCTGCTGTGTTTTGATGTGCCTTCCGTGGAGGCTTCGCCGCATCGGTCGCCAACTTCTTCGCCATGCGGATATTGTGAGTGTGTTCCGTTTCTACTTGTATTGCTATTTCTGTAAGCCTTCTAGTTGCTGGACTCTGATGATGGTCTTGGTGATGGTAGAGCCAGGCCTTTACCTTTGGCATCCATGGAGTTTGTAGCCGTAGGAGCCCCTCGTTCTTCTAACCCGAAAGCTCCATCGTCGCCATCGTCATCGTCATCGTCATCGTCGACTTCCACGCCGAGATCGATATATAATTCGTCGTCGTCGTCGACATCGGAACCGCCGCTATCTGGCTCAGGGCGCTGTTTCTTTGTTAAAATATCATCATCAACACCTTCAATAAAACGTACTCTACTACTATTGTAGTTAATGGCCTATAGTATGTTGTGTTAGTCTTGGGCTACCTAGGCACCTATGTATGAAAGGGAAGTCCTACTTGAGTACCCCGTCGCCGAGCTCCGCGACCATACACCTCTTGCCGCGCGGCAACTTCTCGTTTGTGTTGTTCTTCGCGTGCCTTGAGAATATTTTCCCAAACGCTTGCGTCTGCCGTTGTTGCGTTGTTTTCGGTCGTGCTATTGACATTATCGACCAGTGTACCAGAGTTGTTCGCCCAAACGCGTGCAAATGAGAATTTTTTGTCAGCATTCATATCGTCGTCGCCGTTCGAACTTTCGATCCGGCTCCTGTCAAGTAACTTATCAACTGAGGCTGCATCGTACGTTATCTTTGCCCTGTCCTTGTCACTGAACAGGGACTCCGCGCCACGTTTCAAGATCGATTCTAGATCATTGCCAGAATCGTCCTCGCGGTCTATACTCTCGATAAGGGCATGGTCAAGAGCTAGCTTCTTCTTGCCAGCCTGCAAGATGTTCTCTTCAATTGACTCTATAGTTGTCAATTGGAAACAGAGAACTTTCTCTTTCTGGCCAATTCGGTGGGCGCGTGATATGGCTTGGAGATCCTGGTGAGGATTCCAATCCGGGTCATAAATGATGACCGTATCTGCTGTTGCTAGATTGATGCCAACACCTCCGGCACGAGTCGATAACAACATAGCAAAGAGCGGCGAATCCGGTGCGTTGAAGGCATCAATCTGTTTTTGTTTCTGCAAGGCGCTAAGTCCTCCGTCGATTCGTCCATGTTGAAGTCCTAGGCTGTTAAGAAAGTCTTCAAGGATATCGAGACAACGTAAGAATTGGCTGAAGATCAAGACGCGGTGACCTTTTTCCTTGAGCTTTGGGAGCATCATTTCTAGTAGAATGAGCTTGGGAGAAGCCTCAATTAAGTTTCGCCTCATTTGCTCCTCGCCGACGGTCTTGTCCTCAACTTCGCCACTGAAGCAGAACGGGTGGCATAGACATTGTCGTAGATCGGCTATGATGTTGGAAAGGTTCTTGCGGTCGCCAGCCTTCATTTTCCCCTTAGACAAGATTGCCTCGATGAGCTGCGGGTTACGTTGTATGATAGACTTTGAAAGCTTTTCCTGTAATACGGTCATGGTTACAGGAACGATGATCTGAGCCATTGGTGGTAAGAACTTCAACACATCGGCCTTGGTGCGTCGTAAGAAGTAAGGTCGAATGAGAGCATGAAGTTCGGGGAGGTTTTCCTTCGTCAGCTCGTTATACTGCTCGTTGAGAACCTCCGCATTGTTTTTCGGGTCGACGAACTGGAGAAGATTGAAGAGCTCCTTCTTATTGTTTTGCAATGGGGTGCCTATCACAAGTCGGTTAGTTTTCTTTCTTCTTTTTTCAAGTCCGAATTAGTTGTATGATCATCGCCTACCTGTAAGTAAAGCCCTATAAGGTATCTTCATTTCAAGTAGAGTTTTGTAGAGCTGCGTTTCATCATTCTTGAGTCTCTGGCCCTCATCGACGATCAAGCCAGCCCATTTGATACCGTGGAATGTGGCTTTCGCTGTACTAGCTGCCTCGTAAGACATGATCACAACGTGAGCTTTCATGCCCGCTTTAACCCCTTCAGGGAAAAGCTCATAGTTGTAGGCGAGCTCCTGAGAGGCTCTTCCGCCATGGTAGGTCACGACCCGGAGAGAGGGGGACCAATCTTTGAGCTCACGACGCCAATTGGGACAAGTAGCATTTGGGACCACAACAAGGAAAGGCCAGCATTTTGGCTGATCTAGCACAAGAGTGCTGATGAAAGTGACAACTTGAATTGTCTTTCCAAGACCCATCTCGTCTGCGAGAATGACATTTAACTGCTGGTGAAAGTTATAAAGGAGAAAATTCACGCCTTCCAGTTGATATTGCATTATTTTATGACCTTTTCTGAGACTCGATGGTTGTTCTTTTAGCTCGCACTCCTCCTGAAAGTCTAAGGTTCTGTATAAGCTAACGCTTTCCTTCATTCTTTGATGCTCGGCCGATGGGAAGTATTTTCCGATAACATACTCATCGTATGCAGCCTGGAAAGCGTCCCAAAGTGCCTCCGAATCAGGGTGGGGGGGTTCGTCCCACACTGCTTCCTCGTAGCTTAGCCCCTGAAACTTGACATATGCAGAGACTACGTGTGAAATTCGTGCTCGATCCTGCGCTTTGGATGAAGCACTGGAACCACGGCGATATTTCACATCGAGGACGACGTCTATCAGCATCCACTCTTTCTCAACTGCGGATTTGGTAGTCATTCGTGGGTACTCGTTGCCATCGCGTTTATGAAATGCGGTTCGCGTTGCAGGTGCCGCTATACCGTAGACCCAAGCCCCGGACATCCAAGTGTCATGACAATGTGAACGCCCGTCCCATTTTACGAGATATTCTATCTCATCTGCACTAAATTCTTCGGCCCGTTGGCTCTTTTGGTATGCATCCTGGTCGGTTGGTCGCCATGCAACTAATGCATGAATTTTGTGCTTGGCATCCAAACATGTCTTGCATTTCCATCCAACCGAGGCGTACTCATTAACACGCTCGTCTCGGACACTTGGCTCTTTGTCGGGACTCGTAGTCAAGGGAGGCAAATGCTCAAAGTGGTAAGCACACCTACACGTCGAACAGCGGAAGAGGACGTTGTTATGCTGGTTAATCAAATGGGGGGCAACGGATGTGATAGGGTCTTCTCCTCCATTTTCTGACCGCGCTGTCTCTTCTTGCTTCGGTGTTTTCTTGGTTGAGAATTCGGCACACGATACTCCACGAATCTTGCAGATCTGGCAATTCGCATAGCTTGGGGAGCGTGGATCCTTGCTTTTCTGTAGTCCGATGCAGAATCTGCATTGAAGTACAAAATCAGTCGGGCCAACCTTGGTAACCCTATGGTCACGTTGGGAGCGTGCTCCGATGCATTGCTTATGGTATGAGTAGGAGCACCCCTGGCAGAAAATGAGGGAGCCTTTGCCGAGACCAGCTGTTGATCCGCAAGATTCGCATTTGTTAGAGTGCGATTTTCGGAATTCGGATTCTCGAGGCTGTTCTTCGAACGTTTCCTTGATGCCAACATATTTTATAGCAGAGAGTGCCTTGTCCTCATCGAACACTTCATAATCGTCATCCATATCCGGGTCCTTCATACTCTTTGAGGTCTTGTTTGATCTGCTGGACTTTCGAGTTGGTTCAAATTCAATATCCGAGTCACTCAGCACATATCTCGCATTGCGCGTCTTCTGCTTTCTCTTTTTACGCAAAGATGCCCTAGCTGCCCCGTTGATATCAGAGCGAACGACAGGAATATAGTCGCTGTTTTCGTCGTTCTCGTCAGGTTCAGGTTCAGGTTCCCGCGCCAACTCATCTTCAGACTCATATTGGGTAAGTTGGCTTTGTCTTGCTTGATTTGTTGATCTAGTCGTCCTTCCCCCAGCGAGGCTAAGCAAGCCTGAGTGGCGGGCACTGCGTTTAGCAGACCTTTTCTTTACGGCTTCTTCATCATAATCTTCGTCGCCAAATTCTTCATCAAAGTCATTCAATTCAAGGGCATTGTCAGTTGATGTCTGACGTGAGGTTTGCTTCGACGCTTGTCTTGAGCTTCGACGCATAGGTGCGGGAGATGGCTCAGGTATCTTTGGCCGTTTTGTGAGGCGACGAGAGACAGATCCGTCCGACGAAGATTGGCCATCCTCGCGGCGAGGGTGCTTGTCAGAGTAGCCAGACATGACTGTTTCATCAACTTCAGTTCTTTGTAGTTGATATTCATGAGCAGCACGGTCACTGTTCGCCAACTCTAGAAAATCTTCGTGCGCGATCTATCGATCAGTAAGCAGGAGTGAAAAGTTGGACGGAAGAAAAGGAAAAAAAAAAAGAGTTGGGTGGGAAACGTTGCGTGTGTTGGGTGAGGTAAGTGGTGGTGAAGTGATGGAGACGGCGGGGCGGTTGAAAGAAAAATGACAATTATTGTTGCCAGAAAAATAAGGGAAGTATAAGTCGTCAATGCCGACGGAGCAGGAATAACACCTAACGCGAGACTTTTCACGCATCTATATGGCCTGGGTAACTCACCTAGTTGTTTCAATGTATTAAGAAACGATGGATGATATCGACGTGTAGAATGATCGACGCGGGTTTAGGATGCTTCCATGCATCGGCCGTGAAAGAAACAATTGTGTGTGAATAATTGAGGTGAAGTATGAGGGACAGGAAAAGGATGAAAGGCTGACGTTCGTTCTTGGAAAGACACGACAGCCAAATTGGTAGCACTGTTACCACGAAAGATGTGAATTGTTAAGGACTCAATGTTTGTAGAACGGGGAGGTGCTGCGGGTTTATATGGTATGAGTACAATTCTAGTTGGTTTCCCAAGTGACTGAAAGTGACTGACTTCAGGAGTAATTGAAATGAACGTTCAAGGCAAAGAAAACAAGAGTACCTAGAAGTACGCCATGCGTGAACGAAGTGCTTCCTTATCAGGTACCTCATTAGGTAGTTAGGTTTTGATCCGGGTTGATACATCAAGTAGTGCCCATCATATACCTAGGTATATATCTGCCTGAGGAAGCAATGAAAAATCGACGTAAGGAACTACATATATGGTATTAAACAATAAGATGAAAATCACTTACTTGATCTATATAACCGTCCTTAAATTCAACACGGTAGAATACTCTGTCGTCAAAAGCTTCTTCATCCAGGATCCTTTCTACAACTTGGCTTGGCTTTATTCTTTCGTATTCAGATGGATTTGGCGGCGGTCGAAGAACTATTTGAATGGGGAGTTGTCGGGACTTCACCGATAGGGGTGACTGATAGTATAGGTTGCTCGAATCATGCTCATCTGGCATACCATAGTCTGAGCCTGTATGAGATAGTTCTCGCACCCCTCCCATTATAATATCGTCATTTTCAGACAAGACTGCATCAGCCGACGTATTACTCGGCGCAAACCCCACCAAATCCATATCTTCTATACTGTCTATACCTCCTTCACCGTCCAAACTGCTAGCAGCAGAATCCATATTGTCGTACTCGTATGAATGGTGTATTCAAGTCTATGATCATCATTTAGCCCAAAAAATTGCCTTAATACATGAGGTCGTGTCGGAAAGTCGAGTGCAACGGAAACCACCAAAGTACTAATAATCGTATATCAAATCGTGAATCGGCGTTCATTACGGGGGCGTTCGTGAAAGGAAATTGATTTGGTGTTACGCTGGCCTTATGTCATATACACGCATACCTACCTGGGTATATCCTCCTCTTTAAAAAGAAAGGTAACAGCACCGTGGGCGTTGTGAAGGGATATGAATGTACAACGAAATGAATAGAGACATGACATGTCGTCCATTAAGACGCGCCGCTCGGAACATTTTAAATTTCACGCGTTGCATTTTAACGTTAATCTACCCTACATGTACCTAGGGCAGGTACCTAAGATACAATACTAATCTTGTACAGGGGTCACTAGCTTGTTCTCGGCTCTAGCCTCTAGTGTCTGGGAATCATGTGGGTACTGTATGTATTGTACTATGTACCTGGTTCAAGGATATGTACCTACGGTACTACCGGTAGGTAGTAAGTTATGATAAGATAACCTTTTTTAAAAAAATAAAAAAATAAAAAAAACTTTTCTTCAATGTACCTAAGTACCTAGTTATACTGTTCGAAAATTTCTTTAGTTTCGATCTGAATAAAATTTCTGTTCAACTCATCATTGACATTATGTTAATATTGATGATATTTGATATTTTACTACAAGGCCTTACCTAGCCTTCTGTTCATTCATTCATTCTTTTTCAAGATAATCCAATGCTTTCCTTCAATTCTTCATGTTTGCGTGGAAAACATAGTGTATTACTAAAGCCTCGGGTTTCTCCCTCCATCCTCACAAATGTTGCTTCACGTGCTTCTTCTCTCTCGGCAATCCACAGAGGACTCCGGGACTCGGAAAAGTCAAGGCCGCAGGGGTTCACGCGGGATGCCTTGAATACTGCTGGTTCTCCTAGATCACCCTTCTATAACAAAGATGCACGATCATCCTTCAAAATTAAGAAGGGCAAAAAGGACATCACAAGTGATGGACCAGGGCCAAAGTCAAGAAAGGCGCGCTTCTACGATCCAGATGAATCATTTGGGAAGAAAAGTCTTGTGTACCAGTTGAATGGGGGGGTCTCAAGGGGGGGTGCCTCGCGCGGCACATCGCACAGAGACACCGACAGAAGACGACCAGAAGATAGGATGACTCCCGATCAATTCCTAAATGACTTCAAGTCTAGTTCAGCACGATCATTCTCATCAGACACGAGCCCCCAGAAAACTCGTGCGCCTGCTCCCAGGCCACGATTCGGGGACCGGCCTAGCGGTACCTACGACAGACCGCCGCGAGATAAGCCGTCCTACGACAGGACCAGTGGAGACAGGCCATCTTACAACAAGCCATCTTATGAGAGATCTACTGGAGATAGGCCATCATATAGCAAGCCATCTTATGATAGGTCTACTGGAGATAGGCCATCTTATAGTAAGCCATCTTACGACAGGTCTACCGGAGACAGGCCATCTTATGGGAGGTCTGATAGACCGTCTTATAATAAGCCATCCTACGACAAGCCCACTGGAGACAGACCATCGTATAGCAAGCCATCTTATGACAGGTCTACTGGAGATAGACCATCATACAACAAGTCTGCCGGAGACAGGCCATCTTATGGGAGGTCTACTGGAGATAGGCCATCTTATGACAGGTCCAGTGGAGACAGACCGTCTTACAACAAGCCATCTTACGATAGGTCTACCGGAGATAGACCATCTTATACCAAGCCGTCCTATGATAGACAGACTGGAGACAGAACAGGCCAAAGAGAAGAGCGGAGTTCGTTTAGTCAAAGCCCACCAAGAGAGCATATGCCTATCCGTATCCCTCGCACCACCGCAGCATCCCAATTCCTCTATGGCCGTTTTGTAGTCGAGGCCGCTTTGAAGAACAGTGGGCGAAAACTCTATAAGCTATACATCTACTGCGGCGAGAACCGTCAGGACGTGATTCGAGACATAAACCTCGAGAAACAGGCAGAACAAGCTGGCGTCCCAGTCGTAAAGGTTGAAGATAACTATGGTCTACGAATGATGGATAAGATGAGTGAGGATCGGGCGCACAACGGCTACGTTCTTGAGGCATCTCCGTTGCCACAATTGCCGCTCAAAGCTCTGGGTCCGTGGACCGATGACCCGACTCCCGGATTTCATCTCGAGCTAGCTCATCAATCCGCCGAGGAAGAGGAGGTGAACGGCTCGTCCGAATTCGTCCCATGCAAGCTTCCACCCAACAGGAAACCTTTCCTCTTGTTATTGGACAAAATCCAGGACCCGGGTAACTTGGGGGCCATCCTACGGTCAGCATCGTTTCTGGGTGTCAACGCGGTAGCGATGACGACACATCAATCTGCCAAGATGACTTCTACAACATTGAAGGCATCAGCTGGAGCGTCCGAAATCCTCAAGTGCTTTGCAGTCAGCTCCGTGGTTGACTTCCTCACTCGGTCCCAGGAGGCGGGGTGGACTGTCTACGCTGCCGTAGCGCCCACTTTCCGGCCGAGGGGAAACAAGCATCTTACATTGGATAGGGTAGATATATATGACCCTACGGCGAACCACCCCACGATCCTAGTCGTTGGGAGCGAAGGCGAAGGGCTCGATGGCAAAACCAAGCAGACAGCAGACTTTGAGGTCTCGATACCGAATCTCTCAGGATCTACTGTGGTAGACAGTCTGAATGTCAGCGTAGCGACCGGTATTCTTTGCTCGGCTTTCCTGAAGAAGCAGTTTACCTCGACCGCCCTGGATCAGATACTCGAAAGCCCGGAAGAGAAGGATGATGAGGAACGGTTATTTTGATATAGCATAGCATGAATACCTATGACCTACCTACCTATGTATTGATTATGACAATGATGTCTGGGAATAACTATAGTCAGCATGGATGAGACGTTTGTAACATTTATGACCATTGTGGAATGTAACGGAAACGACTTGCATACGGATGAACCACTCAATAAACACCTACGGTTAGATAGTTATGTAATTCAAAAGTACATAACTACAGTACCAGGAAATGTGTAAATATATGCAATACACTAACTATGAAGATCCGGTTCCTGACGATCGTATGCAGGGTCCTACATTCTAGAAGCTTGCCCGATTAAGATGGTATAAGATGGTATTAGTACTGCATAGGTAGGTACGTAACAAGTCGTTTCGTCTACTAAACAAATAAATTTTTATCGTCTCGGTCCAATCATAACGTACCTAGCTCCTCTGTCTTCCCCCTTTTTGCAGCAATTATTTATGTCAGGAATACCTAGTACCTACGGCGTACACATGTACATACGTGACGACTTCTGATGCGTTGTCAAAGTCTCGACTTGGATTGGCCCACGGCGATCCGGCAACGACCCTGCAGGGTGCATTGCAGGCCCCAGCCAGTCCACCTTAACCTAGTGCTTTGGCTAGGTTAGCTGCTTGTTGCTGTGTACTACAGTGGTGTTGTCAACGGCTGAGGTGAGACCTGAGGCAATTCTCAATGATCTTCAAGGGATCTCAATGGTTCCTCCTGATTGGATCCACCTGAGCTGACAACACCCAAGCTACATAGGTACTACTAACTAGTAGTTAGTATTTATGTAACTATCTGTATCTTATTTATTACGGCTGCATGGCTCGTGTCACTCAAAAACGTCCACCGCTCGCTCGGTAAATAAACTCATTCCCATCTGCTTGTTCCTGCAAACTGCATCGCCGGCCCCAAATGTACCAAGAGAGCTTATAGTAGCAAGGTATTTGGGCAAAATACCTAAGCTTAGCCAAATACTATCTCCCAGGTAACAAGAGAAAAAAAGGAAAAAACTGTATCCAGGACAATAAGCAATCCTAGGTCCGGGAATACACATTATCGGCAACCAGGTAGCTCAGCAGATAAGGCATCTATCCATCCGACAATGCATTTCCCAAACGCAATGCGGACCTTCCCGCCCTCCTTCCTCGCCCTCCTCGCCGCCGCGACACAGCTCCGCGCGCAGCAGCAGCACCACCCGACAGCAATCCGCAAGATGTCGCCCGACGAGGGCGAGAAGTTCTTCCCGGAGTACTACGCATTCGGTCCCGCGCCATCCTTGTCGCCGCTTCTCCCTCGCAACATCCGCGCCACCAACGACGGTGAAGAAGAAGAAGAAGATCCCGCCCTCCTCTCCAGCAACGCCACCATCCCTTTCCAGCCACCGTACCCGCTCCACTACGACTACCACAGCGCTTCTTCAGAGCAAGACCCGGCCCTCCCCCCTCGCCGCGCGCGCGACGACGTCCTAGCCCGGCTGCGAGGGCGCCAGTTCGCGTGCCCGGCCGGCACGCACAGCTGCACGAACATCGAGCAGCCGAACTACTGCTGCAACACGGGCACGACCTGCTTCGCGGTGACCGGCGCCCCCGAGTCCGGCAACGTGGGGTGCTGCCCGGAGGGGCAGACGTGCGGGTTGACGGTGGGCGCCTGCGCCGACGGCGCGACGAGCTGTCCGGCGGGTGTGGGCGGCGGGTGCTGCATCCCGGGGTTCGTGTGCGCGGATGTTGGGTGTAAGTTACCATCCCCCCCCTTTCCCACATAAACAAAAGCAAAAAAAAAACTCTACTAACCACCCTTTCTCGTTTCTCCAGGCATCTCCAGCACCATAACCCTAATAACCTCCCCCCAAACAACCCTAACCTCCACCATCCTCTCGACCCCCACCACCACCCTCCTGCCCCCCGCCCCCACCACCATCATCGTCACCGTCCTCGTGACCGTGACCCCCGCCGGCGGCGGCGCCCCCGTCCTCAGCACCACCACGCAGACCACCACCGCCTCCCCCTCCCCCTCCCCCCCCACATCAACCATCAGCAACGTCGGAGGCGGAGGCGGCATCCCGCCCTACCGCCCCACGAGCGGCTCCTCCTCCACGGCTACCACGTCGGAGGCAACAAGCGCATCCTACTGCCCGACGGGCTTCTACCCGTGCCTCGCCGTCCTCGGCGGCGGCTGCTGCCGCACGGGCCGCGACTGCGTGCCCACCTCGTGCCCGCCGGGCGTTTCTTCCGCGCCGATGATGACGACGGTCGTTGCGACGAACGGGGCGACGGTCGCGGTGCCCGTCACCGATGCCGAGGCTGCTGCTGCTGCTGCTGGGGTGTTGGGGACGTCGACGTGTGCGGTGGGGTGGTTTATGTGTGGCAGTAGTAGCAGTAGTAGCAGTAGTGATGGTGCGACTGCGACTGCGGTGGTGGTGGGGGGAGTGTTGGGGGGAGAGGGATGTTGTCCGTCGGGCTACGCGTGCGGGACGGCGAGCTGTACGCTGAGCGCTAGCACGGCGACGGCGACGGTTGCGAAGGCGTTGCCGAGTTCTGGCGGTGCTGCTGCTGCTGCTCTCCCTAAAGTAGGGGTGGTGGCGGTTGGGTTGGGGGTTGTTTTAGCTATGCTGTGAGCCTCCCCGCCCCCGCCCCTGCTTTAGGAGGCACTGGTTGAAGTGCGACATGAGTGAGTGAGTGAGTGAGTGAATGGGAACGTTTGGCATTTACATTTGCATGGCAAAGGGGTAGCATAGCATTGTGTTGTTGTTGATGTTGGAGAGATAGAAAGAGGAAGAGAGACGAAAAAGGGGGGAGGGGGGAGGGGGGAGGGGGGGCGGACATTAGATGGACGAGATGAAGAAACGCTGGAATGTCTATGGGATGATATGATATGATAAAAATTTGCATGTTTGCATTGGGCAGGAGTTGGTACTTAGCATATTGACGTTATTGAGATGAGTTTGGAACGGGCGACGTTTTTTTTCTTCTTTTCTTCACAGCTTGTGTATTGCTCACCTGGTACATCACTAAGTGGAAAAGATCATGAGGATACCTAGTAATAATTATATAGGGGGTGAATTGGTACTTATGCAGTTGTGATATGCAATGTGCTGCATAAATCTACAAGCCAACACATTAGACACGTCAAGAACAGCAGTCCTAATTAAAAGAGAAAGAATGCAAATTCATTCACAAGCAAAGCTCGGTTACGCGCTGTATATATACAAGACGGAATGCTTTTCCATTAAACTTTGCTAGCAAACATTAAGCCAACATTAAACCAACCATCCAAAGCAATTTTTCTTCAAGTCTATCATATTAGAATAAAGGCATCCAAATCCAAGCTTTCAAACAAACACCACCAACCCCCCCCACAGCTTTGTCTCCAAGGGGAATCAAGGTAATTTTCAGGTTGCCCTGAGTAGCAACGTCTAAATAATGATTCTAAAAAGGTGGTTGCTGTTGCCACAACGCCTCTGGATAACTGATGAAAGACCGGGGCTGCTAAACTAGTGTAGTTACTGCCATCGAGACCATCTTTCCCTTGTTTCCGATTTCCGAATCGAGGTGTTTAGAATTAAAGGTGAATATGATAAAATAGGGATACCGAGCGCAGCCTTCCGAGAACCAGCTTCGTTTGGCCGGTAGGTAAGCAGCAAGGAATGGTCGAAGCAAAAAACCTGACAAGGAATGAATTGGGTAAATATTTCGTTGATGGTAACATGGCAGATGTCTTCCCATCTAATAAGACATCAGGAGCGCAGCAGCAACACCAACAAGTGCCAGAACGCTGTTGGCACCAGCATGGAAGGCTGCGGCGCCGCCTTCGTCAGGCACGACGGTGGAGGTCGGGGCCGAATCGTCCGTGTCGAACGTGGAGGTAGGGCCGGAAGGTGTAGCAGTTGCGGCACCGCCAGTGCTGGTCGCGAATGTTGAGTTGGAAACCAACCCTGTGGTGAGGGCTGCAGAGCCAACAGCGGTTCCTGCGGTTCCAATGACGGTCCCTGCAGTTCCTACAATGGTCTCCGCTACAGTGGCTGTTGCAGCAACAGAAGCGCTTCCTAGTATGACGGTACCAGTGCTAGAAGCATCCGTGGTAGTAGAATCGGTAGCAGTGTCGGTAGCAGTAGTATCGGTAGCGCTGGAGTCTGTGCTAGTGGCATCGGTGCTGGATGTATCTGTAGGGACTACATCTGTGGTGGAGTCTGTTGCAGTAGAAGTTATGTCCGTGACGGTAGGTTCAGCTGTAGTAGATTCCGAGCTAGATGGTGCCGGGCCGCCATCACCGCCCTGGCCAGTTGCTGAACTTGCGGCCTCGCCAGTTGCACTCACAGCGGCATCAGTGGCAGTTGCGACAGCAGTACCGCTAACATCAGTACCGGCAGCAGCAGTGCTTTCTTGAGCCGTGTTACTAACGTCCTGGGCCACGGCGATAGAGGCGGCGAGAAGGGTAAGGGCGGAAGTAAACTTCATTTTGTATGTATGTGGTATGTTACCGAGGTGCTTATATACGTCGTTTGAAGGTGAAAGTGAAAAGGGGTAATCTTGGATGACCTTGAAGGATGAGCAGAAGCAGTAGCTTGGGACAGTAACTCTTATGAAATGGAAGTTGAGTATAAAACTGAGAGTTGTTCAAATGCTTATGGAAGCGAGTGATGAGAACTGAGAACTAGGCATAGAACAACTGATCAAGAGAGTCACTTATATAGACTAGATTGGGTCATAAGGAAACATAGCAACTAACATTGAACGTACCATACAATTCAAGTACTGATCTATACATAGATACTTGCATAGATACTTGGTACGGAAAAGGAGGCCCGCCAAGCTATATACGAACCTAAAATCGCTTACGTAGACCCTGATAGTACTATGTAGTAGGTACTCGTAGTAGGTACTGGTAGTAGATGAGCGGCTACGCATTCAACCATGCGGGTTGGCATTTTGACGGGCCACCTCGGGGTATTCCATGGACTACGCGTGTCGAAGGCGATGTTTTCTAGGAATTCCTAAAAAAGAATTATCAAGTTAAGTTGGTTTAAGTTGGTTGAATGTCTCGAAATGGCTGAATGTGACACTAGTTACGTAGTACTTTGTACATAATAGTATACCGGTAGTCCCGATACTTATCGATTAAATAACCTTAGAACACTACTACATAGGTAGTTATTAGTGGGGTAGATGTGGCTATGACTTTGAGACAAAAGAGGGCTGGCGGGCCGCATGAGGTAACCAACCTCCTTTACGACGTACTACGACGTACATATCTATGTAGGTCACTGGTATGTAACCTGGTCTGGTACCTACTAAGTAAGGAGAAGCGCCACAACCCTGGCAATGACATTGAACCGGATCTAGTAGTGAGTTGCAAACATTACATTGAAGTCGTAATCCTATGTGGCACTGCACAGGTCATATTCTACCATAGTATGTACATATGTATGGAATTACCATCCATTACTACTAATACATAGTAACTAGAAAGATGCACATTTTTCTTGGTGTCAATAAGCAGCGAAGCACATGATTTGTCCCTTTATCATCTATCGACTTGAGAATATTGATAACGTAAGCTTTTATTGATACGGACTCACTTCAATATTCCTTTACAACCAAAAAAGAGATAAATCGAAGTTTGCCCCTACTGTAGAAGTCTGACCTCAATTAAACTACCGGTATTCCCCAGCTGTCAGGGCCGTCACGTTTACTATGTACTAAGTAAATACCTAGCTGGGCAGTGGAGACTGTGCAGCCACGACTGACGTCAATAGAGTCTAAATTTATCATCCGCCCGGCTCCGCCACTAACATTTGAAGTACCCACCTCCCGGTATGCACAACACCACTGGGAAGGATCAAGCCGTAAAAGCTTATCTAGCCGCTACTAAGGGGGACCCTTGCCCATACCCTTCTAGTTTGCTAGGGTTAGTGCAGTAAATTAAAATGTTGGTATTCCGAGTAGCTACATAGTTTAGCGAACATAGTTATCCTTCTTCTGTGTGCCACGTAACTAACACTAGAACCCCACGATTTCGTCCGTTTTAAGCCAGCAGACTGCAGACATTCATACTATGTACCTAACAGTCAAACCAAATCATTCGGAAGTCCTCCATGAAACGGCAAGGGAGATGACCCCCTTCAATCACATGCATCTTGATCCGCTAGATCTTATCCCAAAGCTCACTTATTAGAGTATTACGCTCGGTGAATCGGTTGCCATTAGCGTGCCAAGGAGAGCTGTCAAAAAGTTTACTCCCGGCTCTGTGGTAACGGTCGAGCATTACGCGTGCGTTTGACATATCCGGCGACAGGTACCGCTCTTGGCAAATCCGAGCTCTCGTCAATGGCATCGAATAGCAGAAGTCTCCTCAGTAAGGTGCCTAGCGCAATTCCATTTTTCAGAGGTCAATCGTTTATTCTACGTAGAAGGTAGTTGGTGGCATTTATCTAGCACTCGTGGAAGCAAATCACAAGAGAGGACGTTTTCTGCAGCCAGCATATCTCGAAAGTGTCAGGGTCTTGGGCCCGGCGCTTTGAGGGGAGGGTCATGGAATGGGACTTAATCGATATTTTCGCGCCGGTAGGTAGGATATATATAGCATAGAAGGGGGTATAAGGGGCTGTATTAAAGGGGTGAAGCCCTTCCTATTCACACACACATGAGATGTCTAGCTACTACTCCCTATCCCTGACAGAAAAGGGGCGTCACCCCAACTGATAACTAGGAAGCGCTTCCAACGACACCTTCAGCCATCACAGCTTAACAGATATGCATATCCATCTACGAAATATCAAAATGTGTAAATGGTCTAGGTAGACCATCTAAGGTTTACCCTGGGTACGTAACAGGTGACAACGTACACTCACCAACTTAGGTAAGTTCTACTTTGCTTGCCCCTTAATCTACCTGATTAGTTGACACATACCTACGCAGCAAAGGCAGACAGCTTATGACGTGCCAGCTAGTTTATTTGTTATGAATGACTCTCAAGCGTAGTGGCTTCTTATGAAATCTTTGATGTGTGATTTGATCTTTTTGACTGCCCAGGTGTAGGAGCATATATAGAGTAGTATCAACGAAATCACCACCAACATATTCAATGAAAAAGCCCAATGGCCTATTATATTTACTAACCATGCCATCCCATAAAGGGTACATGGGTGAGCGCTTCATCTAAGGCGCAAGCATTATTTAGCATCAACCGGTTTACACGGACACACATATCACACTTGCCTAGGTCCTTAATTGCCAGGCAAACACATACCTACATAGTATGCATCGAACCCAGAGCCTAGTGGTTGTGGTGGCAATTTGGAATAAGACTTTATTCTTCGAACACTTCGTTCTACACCTAAGCCATACCAATCCGGCTGATATTTCTGCTATTGCTATGATCTACGTGTTCTCTCCTGTTGCAAGTTGGAACTGTGCCGGGACTGAGCTGACACTGGTTTCCGGGGTGATGGGCACTTGGAGTGATAGGGGTTGCTGGTCACAGTTGCCTGCGAAGTGAACTTGGATGATGCCTTAGGTACCCTAGGTATCCTGATTCTATTCAGACGCATCAATGTACCTACCCTCTATGTAAAATGACATAAAACATGCGCAACTTTCTCTTACATCAATATCGAACGTTCTTCCCAACCACTTTTGAACTCTATTTCGATTAAAAAGCATCATATCTGCGTCGTTTGGTTCGAGAAATAAAAAGTCCATGATACCATTTCTGTCCTGAGATGTTTCACCCTCTCCCTCCTCTTCAATTATCCGAAATATCCCTATCGATTCGGACAAATTTATCAAGGGGGATATGGTCGCGACAAGGGAAAGGACCACGAGTGCCGTGATGATCGGGAGTACCTATGCAGCCGAAACGATTTACCGCCCCACAGACAGCTACCGCCCCCGAGACAACTACGGACGCGGCGAGCAGAGAGAACGCCCACGTGACAACCGCTCTGACAATCGACCCCGCGACGATCGTCACCCTCGCGATCAGTCCGATGAGGGCCGCGAGGAGACAGAGAGAATCTTGCAGGGAGACGGGTACATATTGGTAGACGATTCTGAGGAGTCTGAATCAGAGTCCGACTTATCTGTTTACATCACTGCCTCTAAACGTAACCGTAGTGCAAGCCCAGACAACGACTACAGCCCCCTCACATGCCGCAAATGCGGCGGGCACTTCATGGCCCGCTCGGCCCTATTCCGCCACGTATACTCCAACACCTGTACTCTCCCCACTCCACTCCACTCTACTCCAGACCCTCACGTAAAACAGTCCTGCTCTCCAGCCCTGAGAGGCAGTACCTACCACCAACCGTAGAAGACGTAACCGAAGAACTCTTTGCGCAAGATGAACCCATGCAAGAAGCGGAAACTTACCTAGAGAAAGATGAACAACCCACCACCTCTGTCGATATATCCAAATCCCAAGTACTCTCATCTAAACCGCAACCCAAACCCTAAAGATACAAGCTAGCGAGGAACTCATACCCCGAGATCGCCACGGACGGGACGGTTCCAGTTCCGCCGTAGGTACTACGGAGATCGCTCGCGGCGCTACGGCAGCGAGACGAACTTTCCCCGCCGCCCCGGCAGCTATCGATGGCGCCGATGGGTGAAAGGAGGAGCTAACCGGAACGGGGGCTATCTCGACGACGATGTCTACTTCGAATGGACTAAGGCGGATGCTACATGACCTTGAAGGAGTATATATCCAGAACCTGACCGGGAAGTCAGAACATACGTGATAAAGCAGTCCGTCCCGCAATTAGTGCCTGTACCAAGTCGGAATATCCTCAGGAGTAGGTGGAAGCTTTGATCCCAACCATGAATCCATAGGGTTGTCTTCAAATACGTTATGGCTTCTTGTATCGACGAAGCGACACATGCTAGTCAGATAGTATAAACGTCCATCACCATTATACACCCCCCACTATCTGTGGCTATGGATAAAAGCATAAAGCCCCAGCAATCGGCTGAAATGCCGATAATGCCTGATGCCGTAGTCAACATGCTTGATCGGGGCGAGTCGTACAACACCATTTATCGTGTAACGGAGGCTAGTAGTATGACGGATGGGATTTTGGATAGAAGCTGTCTTGGGAATTCATTGCAATTTCCATTTCCATTTTATATCTCCGGAGATGCTGCGATCACTCCTGTTGAAGACCCTGGGTCCAGACTTGTATGACCCGGACGTCTCCTACAAGGCCAACTAGGAACGGGCCTTGCGAGGAGATGGTCCAGGAGCCTACGTCGTCTTCGTCACTATTCGAGGCCGAAAGGGCAGGTTCTTGTGCGTCAGGGAAATCCAGGAATTGATTAACCATCTACAGGAGTATGCCTTTGCTGTAGATACCTGCTAGAAGAATAAATTATAAGGTCAATACGGGAGTAGCCAGTACATAGATGAGGAGATGGAGACGATTATCCATGCCATGGAAGTCGACGATGCCGTGCGTCCCCAATGCCACTACAATCTAGACAATCCACGGTTCGACCAATCCGAATCTCGATTTCGCAGTGGCGGTCAGCCAATGCTGGAATATTTCAGGGTTGGATGGAAGCCTTCCAGAACTGGAAGACTAAACTTGATATCTCTCCTTGTGTGGACATCTACGCCGTCTTGGTTTATATGCCTAAGTACTACGTATTATTCAGAAACAAAATCAAGCCAGCGTCTTTCCACATCTCTGCCTGACGTTCCCAGAGACATTGCAAGATCTCGAGATATTCACCGGCATCTCAACGTGGTTGAGAAAGCTTCCTAGTATCAAGGCACTGGATTATTCTAGTCTTAGCTGGATGCGGAGAACGGTTTCGGTGTGCATCAGCAAAACGTTCAACATCACGGCAGTGGAAAACTCTGGGTCTTGAACATGGGCACGAGGCCTCCAGGCTTCTACCTCGATTCGGGGTCAGGTTTTGCCTCGATGCGCCATCTAGGCTTCTTCCCTCTCCTCTTTATTCGATATGCTGTTTTGCCCATATGATGATGCACAACCTGGTATCATCATACTAATATCCTTCGGATACTTTATTGTAATACACTCCATGAACAATTTGTGAGTGTGGAGTTCGCAAGGGTTTATGTGTCATGATGGCCTTGATGGCATTCAAGCAGAGATAACCGTTCGGGGTCTGGCAGATGTAGGGCTCGTAGAGAGCAAAGCCACAAGTGCACCGCCACATCAGATAAGATCTTGCATCAATTGATGTCGTCACTCAATCGTTTCCGAGTTTCGGTGGGATCTCAGATGGTTCATCTCAGATGGACCCTGGAATGCTTTAGGTTACGTCCTTTTGCGCAATAACACCTTCGTCTCCAAACCATCCATCCTTTCCCAAGCTTACTTACCTTACATGCTCACCTAAGCTCAACAATCCCACCCAACGCAATAAGGAGATAATTGACAGTCCCCACCACCCAGAAGAAAAGAAAAAAAGAAAGACGATCCCCAAGAAAATAAAGGCGGACATACAATTCGGGATGAGGCATGCCACTCCGCCACGCCTTTGTCCCGATCCGGCCGCGTCAATGTCTACATTCCCTATACGCCGCCCCTCTACTCTTCGTGTCGCCGGCGGGGGCAGAAGGAGTAGCAACGGGAGGAAACTCGTCGAGGAGGAGGTGGTTCCACGGCACCGCGCGCCTCCGCGATGAGCAGATCGACAACTCGCAGAACCACTATGAGACGCTGAAGCTGCATCCGGGGGCCACTCCGGCCGAGATTAAGAAGTGAGTTTTTTTCTTTTCTTTTCTTTACTTTCCCCCCCACTCGCATCTCCCCCTATCGGGTGTATACGAATGATTATTTCATTTTATAAGTTAAAGTAAAATTAACCAGGTGAACTATTTTTATCTTTTTCTTAAAAATATAGATCCTTCTACACGCTCTCCAAAACCCACCACCCGGACGTCAACCCCGCCAACCCCTCGGCCTCGCGGCGCTTCATGCGCATCAGCGAGGCCTACTCCGTCCTCTCCATCCCCGCCAAGCGCGCCGCCTACGACCGGGACACCCTGCGACTCAGCCCCCACTCCGCCCACTCTCGTCACCACGGCCACTCCTCCTCCTCCTCCCCTTCCTACAGCAGCACCAACCCCGCCGGCGGCCGCCCCCCCTCCGGCCTAAGCCGCCGCCGCGGCACCTTCCAAGGACCGCCCCCGAGCTTCTTCCGCAGCGGCGGCTGGGGCTCCCACGGCGCCAAGCGCCGCGCCGCCCACGACGACAGCACCGGCACCACCTCTTCCGCCGGAGGCATGGGACCCGGCCAATCCCCCCACCGCCACGAATCCACCACCCCAGACGAAGCAGCAGCAGAAACCCTCCGCCACTTCGACCGCGCCTCCCACGAGCGCACGGGCCGCCAGAGCGACCGCCGCCGCGCCGCGCGCCAGGAGTCCTCCGACGGCCGCCGCACCAACGTCGAGGTCGAGCGCGGCGTCGCCGGCATGTTCTTCGTGATTGGTGGGGTGATCGCCCTGAGCGTGTTGGTGCCTTTTGGTGTGGGGGGCATGGTGAGGGATAGCGTTAGTGTTAGCAGTGGTGGTAACAGTGGAAATGGTGTTGGGGGAAATGGGGGAAACGGGGGAAATGGGGAGAGAAAGGGGGGCAGGGCGAGAAAACCGCCACCGCCACCGCCACCGTCACCGTCACCGTCACCAACGGATGGTGTGGCGGCATTGTAAGCTTGGATTCAGTTTTGCATGTATACCTGCATATGTAGGTAATTATGTACGAAGTAGATATGTTGGGTATATACCTACCTATGAACGAAGGGGACAAAAAAAAAAAAAAAAAAAAGGATACCTACCTGGTAACTAAAAAAAAGAAAAAAAAAACAAGCAAATTATTTCATGTCATAATAATTCACACAGCAGAGCTATCAATTTAAAAGCACACAAAGTCTTTGTCCATTCAATATCATGAGGGTATTACCATTGATCGACTTTTTGACGTCCGAGAGGTTCTAATCTACATTCAAGAGATCCACCCCTCTCTCACCTCACCTAGCACGAAAACAACCCCCGCCCGTTTTTGTATAGGTGTACACACCGTAATGGCATTATGGCGTTGGACATCTATTTCCCGAAAACTCGTTCGTCCAGAATTCGTCCAATCTACCACTCCTTATTCTCAAACTAGTCCATTTAGCTCTCGAAGGTGAAGCTGGCGCCAACCTATAGTCTTATTAGATTTCACCACTCGTATACATGGATATATAGATGGTGGAAACAAACCTTGTGGGTGGCCTGCTCGAGCTTCTGGGTGTCGAAAGAGGCACCTAGGCCCATGGTGATACCAGGGCGGAGGAGGACGTTGTAAGAGATGGCGGCAACACCACGGTCGTTGATCTTGGCCTATTTTTCTTTATTAATATCTCACCAAGTCCACAGTACCTAGTTGTAGCGAAGAAGAAAGAAACAAACCTTGGCGAAGGAGACAGGGTCGAGACGGTACTTGCTGGCAACCTCAAGGCCAACATTGTTTCCTCGCTTGGAGTTCCAGGCGGCCTTGGCACCGGCCTCGACCTGGCTGTTGACCTTGTGGTAGTAGCTGGCGGCGAAAACGCTGAGGTTGTCGGTGGCAGTGACAGCGGCGCTGTACTGGGGGGCAATGTAACCTACGGCGGCGCTGTAGCCAGTGACAGCAGCCTTCTGGACATCATAGCCGGCAGAGGCACCAGCGAGGAAACCCTCGTGGCCAATGACAGCGTCGACGTTAGCGGTAGGGCCCTTCAAGAGGTCGAAGAAAGCTCGGCCGTGGAAAGCGGATTGCTTGAAGGTGAGGTTGAGCTTGACTCCCTTGTTCTGGGAAGCAGGGAGGAATGAGAAGATGGTCTCGGCCTTGAGACCTTTGGCGAGGGAGTCGGCAAGCTCGACCTTGGTGTCAAGGGCGTTGGCCGTGTTCCAGGACTGGGTTAGGGTAAGGCCTGCGCGTCGGTACAACATTAGTAATCGTGATTCTTTATCATTGAGACATAGTGTAAAATCGATGGGCCAAGCGTCTGGATTCGCAACCCGAGTAAGATAAACTGCAAAGGCGCTCCTGCGCTTGCGGATGATGAACCGTGCAGACGACTTGATGGGAAGGGGATAAACAGTCTTGTCATTTTCATTGGTTGCATTGCTGGTAGAATTACCGAGAGACTTGTCTGTGTATTTGCCCTCGATCTATAAGAATGCGAAACCCCAATGGTTAGTATTGCATGTACAATGTTCATTATCAAGTTGTATGGGGTGAAGGTGAATACGTACAGCACCGCTAGTGGCCTTCTCGTGGCTGCTCTTGCCAGTGACCTTGAAGGCAACATTGTTGGGAGTGTTGCTCTTGACCTCGATAGTACCGGCGGAGAGGTGGTAAAAGTCCTTGTTCAACAACTAAAATTGGTAGTGTTATAGTGTTAGCTCTGTATCTCTGTTTGCGCAACAAACCAACATTGGCAAGTTGGGACGATTCTAAGCTCGGACTGCGCGAAATTTTGTGGATAGTCGCGGTCAAAAGGGACCTGTAACTAGTTATGGGCTGGTTATGTTTTTAACTCACGTCATTTGCCGACTTGGAAATATCGGCGAAGGCAGGGATAGACATCTTGGGCAGATTGTATTCGCGGTTGGGAGGGAGAGATATGGGTTATGGTAAAGGGTTGGTAGAGGTAAAAAAGGTGAAGAAAGTAATAAGAAAAAATAAAAAATAAAAATAAAAAAATGTTGTGTTGGGGTATGTGGATTTAAGGCCGGTATGAATCGGATTGGAAGGTGCGGGCTGAACACAACAGCTTCGTTATTTCTCTGGTCCAGCCAGCCCAATCCAAGCCGGTAAGCTATCTGGGCCGCTATCAGTTGGCAACTGGGGGTACTGCAGCACCAATCAACTGGCAAATTGTACCTACCTAGGTTAGGTAGTTACCTAACTAGATAAAAACAGGTACCTATACCGTATCCACGTGGGGGTTGTCTACACCGGGAGTGGACTTCCTTAACAAGCTTGGAAGACAGTACCGTAAAATTACCTAAGGGTGAATTTCAATGCTTCTCTGAGTCTTTAACGGCAGTTTCGATGCATTGATACTACCCGAGGTTGTTATTCTATGCAGGTACAATACCTACATACCTAACCTAGGCACTTACAAGTTACCAGTCTTACCTAGGTTACAGGTGTACTATGCGCCGTATATGATTTAACTATTTAACCTCCAGGGCTTTCCAAAGAATTGAACAAATGTTCAAACAACTACATGCAGTTACCATTCACGATCCGATGTTATAGTCACACATAGCAACGCCAGGTACCTATATATCATACCTAGTATCATGTCATTGATCTCAACATTGAATTTTCAGGGTCAGATTTAACTAGAGGTACCTTAGTAGTACATATGTATTGTACCTTACTAGGTTATCTGCACGTAATTCTAAGCTACCTCAACGCCAAGTCTAGCTTTTCGTCCCCTATAACTTATAACCGAAGTGACCAATCAATCTTCACCATGCAATTGAGGTACTACATAAGTAGGTAGGTATCAACTAAATTGAATCTTTTTTGACCCTCCTAGGTTTCTATTCGGTTTACATCATCTTTTACTCAACATCACAATGTTTCACTCTTTCAAGCTGCTGTTTGGTACTTAGCGTTGTGTGTAGCGATAGCTCTGTATTTGAGAAAAAAAAAACATTAGCAGCTATTCCATGTTGAATCGATATATTTTAATATGAACTTACCGTCCACTAGGATCAGACTGTTTCGACCAAGTCGGCGTCCACCGCATGACCGTCGAGGCACAATGAGGGGGGAAGTGCTCATCGAACATCAACCGATACCAATAGCTGCTCAGGCCGTTAGCACAATGATTTTTTTTTTAAAAAAAAAGGAAGACCACAATAGCAATGGATAAACTCACGCTTCCTTGGTATCTGGAATATCCTGGCCCCATTCCGGCTTGGGGTTCTTCATCATCTCATCCGTGACATGGAGCTCGGCGTTGTCCTTGAGAGCATCGATCCAGCCATAGCCAACACCGTCTGAGAATTGTTCCTTCTGTCTCCAGAGGATCTCATCCGGTAGGTATGCCTCCGTTCCAGGCTCGTCAGTGGTGTCGAATGCCTTTCGTAGAATCCACTTCTCAAGTCGATCCTTTGTGATCATCTTCTCCTGGGGGTCAATGTTCATGCAGGTCTCGAGGAACTGTAAATCATATTAGTACCGGTGCAATCTGGAGAACGGAGGTTGCGATTTCGCTCCACATACCTCCTTGTCAAGGAAGGGCACTCGAGCCTCAAGACCCCATGCCGAGGTCGACTTGTTGGCCCGTAGGCAATCTGACAGGTGAAGGTTCTTGACTCGGCGGACGGTCTCCTCGTGGAAAGCTTTCTTATCCGGAGCGGCGTGGAAGTACAAGTATCCTCCGAAAATCTCATCACTTCCCTCGCCACTGAGGACCATCTTAATTCCCATAGCCTTGATCTTTCGCGATAGCAAATACATGGGGGTAGAGGCACGGATAGTTGTCACATCGTAAGACTCGAGGTGGTAGATAACATCGGATAAAGCGTTGAGACCATCCTCAATAGTGAAGGTCATCACGTGGTGTTTCGTGCCGAGGAACTTGGCGACCTTGAGGGCAGCTACGTTGTCGGGCGATCCGGGTAGGCCGATAGAGAAAGAGTTGAGTTGTGGCAGGTATGTGACAGTCGAGAGTTCATTCTCATCATCGATACCGACCAAACCTTCTCCTTTGTCGGGGTCTTCAGTTGACTCAGCAGCACCGCTGGCAGCGTCCGCCGCTAGTTTCTTGAGTCTCAAGGTTTCCCGTTGTGCAATGGATGCAACTAAGCTTGAATCCAAGCCACCTGACAACAACACGCCATAGGGGACTTCAGCCATAAGGCGTTTCCGTACGGATCGCTCGAGCGATTTCCGAATAGCCTTTAGATCAAGGGGAGTGTCTGGTATCCTCGCGCCATCCCACCAGGTTGGCTCGAAATATCGGGTGGTTTCGTTGGTCTTGGTATCGTAGATATGTCCGGGAGGGAAAGCACGAATCTCGTCGCAAACAGTGTGTAAGCACTTCAGCTCGGAAGCGAAGTAGGTAGAGTTGGGCTCCTTGGAAGACCAGCCTTGGTATAGGGTGGTGATACCGATGGGATCACGGGCGGCAATGGTTCGGTCAAGGTTCTTGTCGTATAGAACGAACGAGAACATACCATCAAGGTACTTGGGAGCGTCGAGGCCATATTCCATATACTAAGAACAAGGATATTAGAGGACATTTTCGCGTGGTGAAGTCATTCAGAGCATTCTCACCAGGGGGATGATGACTTCGCAGTCGGATGCGGTCTTGAAGTGATAAGGGGTCTTGAGGTTCTTTCGGATTAACCGATGGTTGTAGATCTCACCATTGACAGCGAGGATGATAGATTCGTCCGCATTGGTCAGGGGCTGGGCGCCAGACTCTATAATATGGTTAGCGAGGGGGGAGGTCTCGATGCGCTCGGTAAGGCAGAGGTGGCTGTATTAACTACTTACCAACGCCGACAATGCTCAGACGCTCATGGCAAAGGACTAACGTGCATTAGTTAAGATGCTCTTCAGCTGAAGTCAAGTTATGACCTCGAATAGTGATTGATCTCTTACTTGTGTTGTTGCAGATGACACTACCACCTTATCACACGCAGTAGTAATTAGCATGTGTTCAATATTTAATACCAACTGAATCTACTCAAGTAGATATCCATAGAGGAATGACTCACTCCAATCCGGGCCTCTATGTCGAATTCTTCGCCAAATCAGTCAATTGAAGTTCTAAATCTTGGATAAGAGTTATACATACTGCTTTGCCAATTTCAAAGCGGTCGGTTTGAATTTTAAGACGTCGGGATGACTAGGCGCAAAGGTGTTCGTATTAGTATCACAAGTAAATATGATCGCTAGATAAATAATTTTTTGGTGGGGTGACTTCTTTTTTTTCTGGGTTCCTTCGTTGTGAAATTTACCCCTCCATCGTGTATCCCTTCCCTCTCTTTTCTCTTTCTATTACATGCATGTATCTCCTCCCATGTGAAAAAAAAGTGTAACTTGAAACTTACCAATGACAGGCGAATATTCCACACATCTTGCTTGCTTTCCTTATAGAGTGTTTGTCGAATACAGGGTATGCTGGACTGGGGATGGGAAATATGTATGAGTGAAAGGTTGGTAACTTTTTTTTTAAAAAAAAGAAGGAAGAAAGTGAGGTAAAGGATAGAAAGATAAACAGATTACCTAGTAGCAAGTAACACGCGACAAGGTTAGAACAGATGAACGGAGTGACGAGACCGCGATAGATGTAGAGCAGAAATCGGCAAGGGGTTGTACCTCTTGAGTCATACAAAAAGTATTGGTCTATTTCCGGTAGTACGTCTTTTTCCCCCTTTTTTTTTTCTAAATCGTTCGCCTTCTAGATAAGTAGATACTGATTTTTGCAATATGTGAAGTTGGTACTATAGGTACATGTATACATTTACAATCCCCTGATTCCCCTCCGTTTATTTGGAGAGTTTCAATGGAGTTAGCTTGACGGCAACTAGGTTACCTTAGCCTCGAGCCGCAAGGTCGGGTAACAGCCGATCTCGGACAAGCGAAAAGAGATGACTGGACTGATTAACCAAATGCCACAATCCTCATTGGACCGCTATCGAAGGACGGTGAGAAAGCTAGAATGTAGATATCGATATGCTATTATTAGTTCTTGGGTGTATATTACTTAATTATCGTTAACATACAATACCTACCTACATATGTCTTTTCGTGCTGATAAGGGGAGGATAGAGATACGGCGTATAATATGTTGCCTTTTGGGCCTAAGCCATATCAACCTTATGTAACACCTAACTTAGGTAGATAACCGCGTACTATTCGAAGATCTCGGCAAAATGATCTGTCACCTTGCATTTTATCTATACAGCCTGCGGGAAGATATCATATTCCGTCTTCATAGGTTCGCCAAGCTGCTGACTTACCGAGATTAGGCAGGACCTCATGCCGCCTGCCTTTCCTGTGGACCATTTTCCTGTGGACCATTCACTTCAGCTTTGATTTATATATGCCTAGGTATAATAAGATTCATCAAGTATGAAATAAGTCAGAATGGGGATACTTTCGTCATTTGAGGTTGTAATTGTCATTTATAGAGATTATCTTTTGCATACTAGAGTTCCGTGACTACGAGCCAACTTTAACCACTTCAAAACCACTCTAACACTTTTCTGGGTCATGGAAACTACGTGATCGGCCTCTATCAGCTCAGAATTTCAGTCAACTCTCATGGCCACCACGCCAAAAGTTATTTTGGGCCCTCATGCAGTCGCCTGTGCCAACTCCGAGGGCTCAAAGTGCAAAAAGTAGCCGTCCATATTTGGTATCCATAACCTAAACTCCGACCCTAAAGCACATTCGATATAACTATCTCTTTAGATTATTCGCTGCCCACTTTCGAAGAAAGTACTGTTTAGTGGGCTGGATTATCTTTGACCGTCCGCCTCACGCGTCTCTCGTACTCGTGCTTGTCCCTCTTGAAGAGGTTGTATGCTTCGGCCTGTGCTGGGGATTCGGGATTAGGGTTGTCCAAGAGATCTTGAATACCAAGAGCAATCTGCTTGACAGTGATTGCTGGCTTCCATCCCTCGTCCTCATTCAGGATCGAGAGGCACACGGTGCCTGATGGGTATACGTTAGGGTGGAACAGCGGCGGCGTGAATTTGCCTACAGGTGAAGGGTTAGCCTTGACTTGGTAAATTTCCGGTGCATGGAGTTAGTTGGACATACACTTAGGAGGCTTAGTAGGGTACTCTACGAAGCAAAACAAATTAGTATCACAAATGTCTCTACCAGTCTATGTCTCATCTGAAGACTTACCATCCGGAAACGTCATTGTCAGCTTGAAGAGACCCCCCTCCCACATAGTTTTCTCCTTGCCAGGGATACCACATTCCCACACCTTTAGATCTAAAACACCTTGGGCATTCTTAACTGGCCTTGCCCAGAATCCAAAAGGATGGTCTTTTCTCCACTGCTTTCTATCGCAACATGGAGCTGTTAGTAAGAAAAAGATAGTTGTTCGTGAGCGATTAGTGGGATACAAGCCGCAACATACCGTTCCTCTCCAAGGCGCAATTGACATAGAGCCATTTTCGCGGAATAGACCTAGGTGCAAGCGCTGACTTGGTAAGATTCGTACTTGCTGTAGTAACTAACCGGACGCTCCTCTACTAGGGAACGTAGCCTAATCAAATGTGACAGAAGGCTCCCATACAAGGTTCCGCGCAAAGTGCTAAGAGGGAGGCTGGAAGCACAAGTGCAGTGATGATGCTATTGAATCCTCAGTAGTGGTTCGAGGAGGGTCTAGTTTTATCGGATTCCAGCGTTCACAATGAATACTACTACTCTGTAGGTAGTATGCAGGTAGTAAATGTTGGTTAAAAAAGGATGTGAAACAAGCTTATGCGTGGAGAAGAAGAGAGAAAAAAGGAAGGAAAAGAAGTGAAAGTTAAGCTTGGTTGAGAGTGATAAGCGACGATAAGGGACGATATCAATGATGTGAATCAAAGTTAAGGAGACGCGCCTTCTTGTAGCAAGTTACTAGCAACTACTGCTGTAGGTAGTTAGGTATTAATTGCGATTTCAGCAGCCCACCAGCACTTTCTTACGCCCTTTATCATGGCTGATGTTAGAAACCGGAGGATTCAAGGTTGCGCTAGTAATTCAAGAAGAGAAGGCGGTAAAGCCTAGGCTGTTTCTGCCCAGAATTGTATTAGTAGGTACGGCTGGTTAGCATTTGCATTTGCAACCTAGAGTTCGTTACTAGTAACTACTACTACTAGTAGTCTGTTACAGTGTTACTAGCTCGTAGTGGGGGTTTAACTGTAGTATCATCTTGTTACCGTATCTCATCATATCGAACATTCTAGACTTGGAACATAATTGAATCATGGAATTTAATTGGATACCCGCAAGTTCTACTCGCAAAACGGTTTTGAATACGGTATAACTACAACTTTGGATGCGTACTACTAGTAGTAATAGGCGTTACCTAAGTAGTACATACATTGCCAAGCATCGCACAGCTCAAAGGCCTCGGCACTGCCCACTCTTGAATTCAAGTCGCATCTTTAAGTGACATTCTCTTTTTTTGTACTTCGTCTGTGTTGCTGTAACAAAGTTGCATCTACAACTTTCAATTTTTCAAGAGTCCCCTGCGCTTATCTTTAACAGATACAGCTCTATGCATACTCTTGGTCTGATTTCACTGTTCGGTCAAGGCTGAGTATTTCGCACAACTTTGGAAAGGGTTGGGTTGACATCACTTTATAACGCACCATCCCATTTATAAGAGAATTGGGTGGGGCACCCAGCATATAAAGACAAGAGGCATAACATAAAGGGGCAACTATGAGCGACAAGTCAAGTCAACCAGATGCACCTGAGAAGGTAGCATATTCTGCGCCCGAGGTAGAAGATGCATCAGACCCAGACGAAGACGATCTAGATGATCTAGATGATATGCTGGAAGAGTTCTCTCATGTGAAAGTGGACACGTTAAAACCTCCATCAGTACTTGGGCCTGGCAAGCCTACCAAGATCACACCACCCTCCATCCCAACTGCCACTTCAGCTTCAGCTCCGGCTCCGGCTCCGGCGCCCGAGGCTGCCGCCGCTGCAGCATCATCTTCAAGTGCAGACAACCTATTTGACGGACTGGATGATCTCACCGAGGAGGAATTCGAGAAGCAACTCCAAGCTGGTATGGCAGAATTAATGAATGGATTGGGCAGTTCGGTAACCAGCGCCCTCGCCACGAACTAGGAAACAGGAACGCTGACATAACCTAGCCAGATATGCAAGCCCAGTTTGAAAACATATTCAAAGGACTCGGTGAACCTGCTGCCGGGGGAAGTTCTGGATCTAAGCCAGAACCAGCCCCCCAAACAGCTGACAAGGCAGCAACAGCAGCAGCAGATTCAAGCCAGGACGCTTCATTTCAAGAGACGATCAAGCGGACTATGGCTAGGATGCAGGAATCCGGCGCCCAAGCAACTGCTGCTGCCGCCGCCGAAGGGGGTGAGGATGACTTCATCGCCGAGATGATGAAGATGATGAAGGATCTCCCTAGCGAAGGTGGTAGTGAGGAGGACCTCTCCAAGATGCTGATGGGGATGATGGAGCAGCTCACCAACAAGGAGATACTCTACGAGCCTATGAAAGAGTTGAACGACAAATTCCCCGCGTGGATGGAGAAGAACAAGGACACCCTACCACCAGATGACTTGAAGCGCTACCAGGAGCAACAAGTCCTCGTCGCAGAAATGGTGACGAAGTTCGAGGAGCCAGGTTATACAGATTCTAACGCGACGTACCGAGAGTATATTGTGGACAGGATGCAGAAAGTAAGCTGACTACCTTGCCATTTCATTATTATTTGCGTATGCTGACTCAACTACCAGATGCAAGCTGCAGGATCACCGCCCCACGACTTGGTTGGTGATATGCCTTCTGCTAAGGAAGTGCTCGACGCACCGGATGAGTCGTGCGCGCCGCAGTAACGAACGATGCAGAGATGAAGCCCTGAAAATGTATTCCTACAACTGGATCTTTTCGGGTCCAAATACCAAAAGTGGTTTGTACATAGAGGATGATGCGATCTCATCACACCCAGCAATAGAATCCTAATCCTAATATACCCCGTAACGCCAAGCTATGACCCTCCCTAAAAAAACCCCTGCCCAGGTATGTGGTGGCGGTGGACTAATTACAAACGTTGAAACGCACCTGAACGATCTTACGACATATCCATCTGTCCCGATGATACGAAGCCTTGACTACTGCTTTCTTGTTGCGATATTAGATCCATGAAGATGCTGTCATAGTCATCATCGTCGGAAAGTGCCGGGGACGAGGGTTGCAAACGTTCCCGGGGTGGTGATGAAGTCTCGAGCATGGCCAGCATTGCATTCAGTTCTTCCTCCTCTTCCTGGGCCAGTACATCGACCATCATGTCTTCCGGGTTTTGCGACATATCTTGCTCACGCTCTGGGATGTCTTCTATATCTTCCTCAAACAGCATGCCATCGAGGTCCGCGTTCTTTTGCTGCCGCCGTTGACGGTCTAATATCGACCACTCGAGTCGCAGAGCCTAAAGACGTAGTCAGTAACTAGACGATTCAGATGAGGGACAATTAGGACGAGTGAAGTCCATACCTCCTGGTCCCCTCCCCTCCTCTCCCATTGTCTATCATCCGCGCGCTTCCGTACATTCTTCAGGAACAAGTTGCGCCTGCTCTCTTGGGCAGTCTCTCGAGTCAGTCTGAGAGGATTTGGTTTCGCACTACGAGCAGCGAATTTAAATTTGGTCGGGGGTGTCTTTATGGGCGAAGACTGAGTATCATATCTGGGAAGTGTATTGGTGTTGCGAGGAGACAAGGGTGGGGAGCTCTGTCTAATGGGAGACGATGAGAGAGGCGAGGAATGGGCAGGCCGATGCGGCGACGAGAAGCTGAAATTGAAAGTTGGCATCGTAGCCAACATGTCGGGTATTCGGAGGCAATTCTATTTTAGTTTTCGTGGTGAGGGTATAGAATACAAACGAGTTGATTTTTATTTTTTGGTTGCTTGCCGGTCGAATCAAATGGGATTAATTGACTTGACTGGTCTTAACTTTGATTGTTAGAATGTCAAATAATAAAGAGAGACGCGGATTAGAAGTAAACGCGACCTCTAAATGATGCACCAAAGAGGGGTCTAACGCGTAAATGGATCTACAGGAATAAACTTAAACACTGTTATGACGTTTATTAGAATAGTTTGTGGCTCTAACCAATTTTTTCAACGTTCTTATGCATAGTAAGCAAGCAGTTACATAATATATATTCTTTAATCCATACACTGCATCTAAACTGTATACTGACACTGACCCACAAATAGAAGCTGTGCATCAGACGATCCCGATAGAATGATTAATACCCTTGTATGTACGAAGTAGAATGTTCCTTTACCCCTGTCCCTATGACGCCGAGGTTCATCTACGTATCCGATCGAAAAAGAAAAAAAGAAAAAAAGAAAAAAAGAAAAAAAGAAAAAAAGAAATTGAGAGAAAAAAAGAAAAAGAAAAAGAAAAGAACAGAAAAAAAGAAGAGATAGAGAAAATAGTGGAATTTTATTAGTCGGCGCTCCCAACACAATTATTACTAGTAACTGATACATTCAACAATCCCACAGGCACAAGGAGAAGGACAACATGTCTTCATGGGCTTCATATTTTACATTTCTCAGTTAATTATTAGAATCGTCCAATAAAGTTATAATATCATTGCAAATGACAACTTACCATGAAATGCCTTTCACTCAATTCGCTCGGCCGCTTCGCCAGCAACCGATCTTGGACTTGTTCCAATTGCCGCACCCAGATCCTACCAGCTCGTGTTAAAGCCACTCAAAGCTCTTTTTCGAAACGATACGGATCAAGCTCGTCGGGATATTCGAGAAGACCGCCTAAGCCTGCGAAGACGAGAACAACGTTGCTGACTGCCGCCGCAACCGCTGCTACCGGTGCCGGTGTCTTGGCTTTCACTGATGATATCAAATATGGATATGATGCTACGGAACGGACGGGAAGAGTTGCTACAACACTGACAGTATGCATCAATGAGTATGCTCTAATTATTATTACTACTATACCCTAAACGCAATGTACTGGCAGGTCTAACTCAACCTGCTATAGTTATCGAACCTCCTTGAATCAACGTGATGAGACGGAAGACCCTAAGGAACAAGACCACATTTTGAGATCATGTCACAAGAGATGCGCAGAGCGAACCCTCAAGGTCCTTGAGAAGAATGGAGGCATATTTATTAAGCTGGGGCAACATTTGGTAATGCTTCAACAAGCCAGCGCAAGAAGTTGAGTGAGCGCTTGCTAACCAGTTTCACAGAGCGCCATGACATATCTACTTCCACGAGAATGGACCGACACGTTTATACCACTACAAGACAAGTGCCCCGTGTCTTCCTTTGAATCGATCGAAGAAATGTTCCGATCTGATACAGGCGAGGAACTCAAGGACTACTTCTCGGAATTCTCGGAGCATCCAATAGGGGCTGCTTCTTTAGCCCAGGTTCACTTGGCAACGGTGAAGGAAAATGGCCAAAAAGTTGCTGTCAAGGTTCAGCATCCAGGATTAGCGCAATGGGCACCTCTTGACTTAGCATTGACTAGATTTACGTTCCAGACACTGAAGAAGTTCTTTCCCGAGTACGACCTGGAATGGCTATCATCTGAGATGGACATTTCCTTACCACAGGAACTCGACTTCCAGCTCGAGGCCGCAAACGCAATGCGTACCCAAAAATACTTCGCGCAACTTCCAGAACTACCGCTAGTGATCCCCAACGTACTATGGGCCAAGAAACGCATTTTGGTTATGGCAAATGAATCTGGCCATCGTCTCGACGATCTTGAGTATATAGACTCCAACCATATTGATCGCGACGAAGTATCTGCCACCCTAGCTCGAATCTTCAACGAAATGATTTTCGGCAAAAACTCATCGCTTCATTGTGATCCCCACGGTGGTAATCTAGCTATCCGGAAGGCTCCCCGTCGGAAGCGCGGTGGTCCTAACTTCGAGATTATCATCTACGATCACGGGCTGTACCGAGACATCCCCGAAGATCTACAGCGATCGTACGCAAAGATGTGGTTGGCAGTCATCGACGGGGACATGGCTGGTATGAAGCGCTACGCGCACGAGGTTGCCGGCATTACAGATGAGCAATTCCCTTTGTTTGCCAGCGCTATCACCGGCCGCGACTACACGGTTGTCAGCTCGTCTATCCTCAAGTCTCGGTCAGAGGAAGAAAAGAAAACAATGGGCGACGCACTGCAAGAGGGGCTACTGTCCGATCTTGTCACCATGCTAGGTCAGGTCCCCAGGGTCATCCTCCTGATCCTCAAGACAAACGACTTGACGCGCAGCCTGGACGAGAACCTCCACACGCGACAAGGGCCCATGCGCAGCTTCATGATCCTAGCCCGCTACTGCGCGCGCACCGTCTTCCGCGAGCAAGTCGAGGCGATCCGGCAGCGGCCGGGGAGCCTGATATGGCCCGGCAACGCGCTGCGCTTCATCGCCGCGTGGATGGGGTACCTCAGGGTCGAGCTCAAGCTCGAGGCCTTCGAGCTCTGGCTGAGCGTCAAGAGGATCGCCGGCATGAACACCGTGCATTACGGGACCACTGTACCATTATAATACTACTACAATAGAATACAACATAATAAGAAGCAAGACAAGACAAGACAAGACAAGACAAGACAAAAGAAACAAAAGAAACAAATATATATCTACCTAGGTAGGTAAGGATGCACCTAACCTACATGACTGGACGCTAGGTGCTTGCTATAGTACATACATACTACATATGGATGTTCATGTAGGTATACATGCATGCAGGTGCTACCTAATGTTGATAAATAATAATAACTTTTCTTAAAATTATCAACCTGGTTCTGATTCTCTATAAGCCTAGGTTAGTTAGGTAGGTAGGTAAGTAAGTAAAGTAAGTACCACTTTTCTTATTAAATATCCAAAAAGGCAAAATCCCTTTCCCTGCCTCCCCCCCTCCCCCCCCTTTTTCACAATGTTGCGAATTTACCTCCTCCTATAGTGAGTGTCCCGGGGAGAGTTTTGTCTTTTCAAGAATTCAGATGTTTTTTTTAAAGTCAAAAGTCAAGTCAAAATTTAATATATTTTTAAGTACATAAAACAAATAAAGCAGATACCTAGATTAGATTACCTAGATGTTACCGTCAGCGACTAAATTAACTAGCCTCCAGCCTCCAGCCTTTAGCCAGCCAGCAAGCAAAGCCATCTACTTCGCAACACCAATGCAAGCAAAGTACTTCTTGAAGGCGTGGACCTCGACGCTGAAGACGCCGTCGCGGTCGAGCAGGGCGGCGGGGGGCCAGAACTCGGGCTCGACGCGGTCGAGGAGGCCGGGGTAGCTGGTGAGGCCGCGGGGCTCGGTGACGCCCCAGGGGTTGCGCACGATGATGTACTGGGACCTGCCGTGGTCGTCGCCGTCGCCGTCGCTGTCGTCGTTGTTGCTGTTGCTGTAGGCCTGCCCCTCGGACACCCAGCCGAGCACCGAGTACGCGTGGTTGGCGACGAGGTTGCTGCCGCGGAAGGTGTCGCCGGTCGCGTGGGTCCAGGCGGCCATGGGCGAGATGGTCCGCTTGTTCACGCTGCAGCTGCGCACGAGCCCCGCGAGCTCGGCGCCCGAGTGCTTCGACGTGAAGTAGTACCGTGGCTCGCGCCCGTTGAGCTGCGCCATCGCCTTGATCGGGTCGCCGTTGTGCGCCTGCGTCATGTCCACGTGGTCGTGGTCGCTCTGCGCCTTGCTGTTCTTGCCGTTGCTGTTGTTGTTGTTGTTGTTGTTGTTGTTGTCGTTGTTGTTGTTGTTGTTGTTGTTTCCGCCACCGCGCGTCATCCACTTGATGAACGCCTTCTCGTACAGCGCGGGCCACGCCTCGTAGCCGTCGCTGGACCGCGCGTACACGGGCATCTCGGTCGAGTTGTTGATGGGGACCTGGTAGTCGACCTCGACGGTGCCGGTCTCGGCGTTGTTGCGCCCGCCCTTGTCGTGGAACTTGACCTCGAGCGTCCGCCGGTTGCGCCCCAGCTCCATGGGAGGAGAAGCGACCATGCTGCGCGTGTTGCGGTTGATCATGGCCGGGTTCGCCCAGAAGACGGAGAAGATGGCGGCGATGAGCCAGCTGTTAGACGACGCTCCCTGCGTCGGGTCGTCGAAGCGGTGGTGGTGGTGCTGCTCGCTGTTGCCGTGGCGGTTCCCGCCGAACATTGCAAAAGGAGGTCCGTCCATCATGAAGCGGCGCGGGAAGCCGCGGAATATGGTGTCGTTCATGTCGCGCCAGGTGGAGTTTGGCGGGGTGAACTCGCGGTCTTCCTTGCCGTGGCGGAAGGGCAGGACGATGTCGTTGATGGTCTCGGTGACATCGTGGTTGCCGATGGTCTTCCCGAGGGACTGACCGTCGAGAATGAGGCGCAGCTTGCCGTTCTGCATGCGCGCCATCTTGATGCGGGTGTCGCCGACCTGCTTAAGCCCGATTTTCTCGAGGTCCTCGAGCTTTCTGAGGCGGGACAGGTCAGGGGTGACGAGGTCACGCTCCTCGAGGATCTGGATCTCCTTCTCGGACAGCTCCTCGGCCTCGCGGTTCTCCTTGTTGAGCTTCAGGCCGGCGAATAGGACGGAGTTGTGCTTCAGGTCGAAGAGCTCCTCGTAGTCGGTCTGCAGGACGTCGGAGATGATGCGCGCCGTGGAGAGCGAGCGGCGGTCTAGCCTGTGGCCGATCATGGCCTCGACTAGGGCGTACGGGTTGATGGCGCCAATGTTGACGTCCTTGGGGGGCTCGTCAGGAGAGGGTTCCTGGCCCAGTAAGGGACGGTCGTCGCCGAGGTCTTCGTAGTCCTCGGTCATGGTTCGGGAAGACAGGGACAGCTTGTCTATCTTGCGGCCGGTCAAGGCCTCGAAGAGAGCGTAAGCATCGATGTTGCCTGGGGAAGCTCCTCGAGAGGAAGAGTCGGAATGAGGGCCGGCGGTAACCATTTTGCTTATTTGGAGGATTCTGATGTATTACTTCAAATATCTGGGTGAATGTGTAGTGGGCGGTAAGTTGGTGGAATGCTTAAGAAATTGCTGTCGGCTTGAGGCTTGAGAGAGCGATATCATATTTGGGAGGCTCACCTCATATTTATCCTCTTTATTAGATACCTGAAAGCACCGTACTCTCTCAAGCGGACTGTATGATGTAGGAAAAGGTACCGATTCATTCGTAAGTTTCTTTACACATCTCATCTCGCTCCGGTCGGGCTGAGCAGTAGCTAGTCTAATGCAGAGATCGAGTAAAAGCATGGGGGGCTCTGGAGACAAGTTCATGAACACGGTAAACGATACTTACACTTAGGCTCTGCTATCACAGCACCTTGAAAATATAGGTTATATTGTGCATGTATATTGTAAGTTACGGCGTGTGGAAAAGTAACGCGTACTTGGTAGTCGAATAGGTCCTTTGGACATCGTCATTTCTTATATCGCCTACTAGGTACCTGGTTTTCTGCATTCCTATGTCGTTTGATCTTAAGCAGTTAGATACACCAACTATTTCTCAAAAGCAATATCACAATGAGTACCTACCGACAGAAGAAGAGCTATAGGAGCGTCACTCACAAAAAGCTTCAAAATACATATTACAGTACGCCACACTTTCCGCCTGGTGTACCTGCCATAGCATCTCCGACGACAAGGATTTCCAGCTCTTGGTAAACCCTATTCGGGTTTATACTAAGAACATCGGACTATTTTCGAGGAAAAATGGGGGGGGGGGGGAAGCAAGCTTTGACTCTGCGGCGTCTGAGAAGTTTATATCATCAACATTAACTATTATTTCTTATTTCTCATTTCTCACACGCGAACTATCTAGGTTAGCTAACTATTTAGCCCTAGTTTGAGTTCGGTACCTACATATGAACCTGTAATAGTAATAGCAACATTAAACGCTGAACGTTGAAGACTGTACTGGTGTTCTATACAGAACAGCTACTCGCCTAAGTGCCTACCTACCATCAGCCATCAACCATCCTCCGACCCATTCAACCCCTTTAGCCCCTCCCAACACCAAGGATCAACATGGGATGAGTCATCCCATGTAAAGTCTACCTACCATCCTGCCATAAACCTCGTGTTTGGAACAATCGATACCTAGGTACATTTACTGGCTGGACAGCGTCGGACAGCCGTCCTTGGCGTTTACCTCTTTTCTCACCTATGCGCCGAAATAATGTATTCCATGTCTTGAAGTTTAAGGCGTAGTTATATGCTTCTCTGTTTGTATGGCTGCTAGTCGTGGTCCTACTGTACCAAACCTCTTAACCTTGAAATTTGCCTAGGGAGAGATCACGAAAACACACATAATTAGTCACAGAATCTATTCCATCCTTATCCTTCCATTACAAGAGCCTTAGTAGGGAGCAGACAGCAGACAGCAGACAGCAGCATAGTAGCTGATAATTATCTCTACTCAACTCTGACTAAAGCCATCCACTCTCACCCGCCGCTCCACCTACTCCTATTCATACTCCTTCCTATACTACCTATGCCCTAAACCCTAGACCTCCGGTAGTCGAAAGCCGTGCCTAGTTACCCCTATGTACACTTCAAGGCAAGCTAAGCAGCAGATAGCCGAGCACTAGCAAGAGTAGGTAGTCATCCTCAAGGTTCGTACGTTCTGAAAGAACCAATAAGTTAAAACAGTACCGGCCAATGCAGTCACGATAGCCAAAAGAGTGCCTAGCCAGCCTAGGCCCCTTTCCCCATCCAACGTACAGACAGTATACGGATGGTCTAGGTAGTATCATACTCGAAACGAAAAAAAAAGAAGAAAAACTGTGGACAGGATATCACCCGTGATTAACGGGATTGGGAGGAAGAGTGAATCAACATGATTGGGGGTAATACGAGAACGCCAGATGATGTACCTAGTAATGGTCGCGAATGGAATAATTAAAAACAAATAACTCCCCCTCCGCCAACAAATCTATTGAGAAACCAGTGCCATGCCCCGGATAAACGAAGGGAATTTGAAATATGTTCATCGTAATCTCATTGCTTGCGAGTTTGGTCGTGTGTGCAGAAGTGACCATCCTCCGTTCCTCCATGCCAATGCATGCCTTTTTTTTTTTGCCTTAATCCGCCACACGTATGCTAGATGATTGCTTGTTGGTTTGCCGCATTCATGGATGCTACTCAATGTCGTTTTGCTCATTATTCTCAGTGCTCTCTTCTCCAGGTTGGTCTAGATCCATAGCATCCCCTGGATTGGCATCAGAGCTCTACCACGGACCAACTCGAACAGGCGAACCATAATTGCCAGCCATCAGCTGATCAAGAATTGAACCTTGGTTATTGGGTGCACTCGGAGCTCCGCTGCTCTGTCCACCACCAACCCAGCCGAGACTCGTGGTCATGGAAGAGATGGCGGCTCCTAGCCTACCGCCAGATTGCTGATTATGCTTGGCCAGGATTTGATCCCAACCTCCCGAATGCAGCTGGAAGCCGGCCCCCTTCTTAGAAGCTTCATTGATCACCAGTGCCCAGGCCCTAGATATCTCGTCGTAGGTGTTTTCTTTGTGGTGTCGGTGGCTTTGACTTTCCCATTCAGGCAGACTGTGAATTAGTTTCGTAGCACCGTCGAGAAACTGCAATGAAACGTTGGCGCTCATTTCCATGGGAGGAAGATATTGGGGTGTAAAATCGACAAGGGCGTCAATGAGTGCGAGTAATGGCTGTCGGACTCGGTAGTATGTGTAGTCGGAGCTAGAAGCGCCGTACGGGAATGCATCTCGTAACTTGTCTTGATATTCCTTCAATACTTGCAAGGCGCACTCCACAGTCGGTCTTGGAGCACTCTTTACCACCTCTTCACCGATCTCGGGTTGGCGCTCGCAAATAGTTTGTAGAACAGCTCGTAGTTGGGTGGCGTCAAGAGTTTCGAGTAAGCGGGGCAGTGTTAAGGGGCGGCCTGCCAACTCGTTCGATCGCATCTTCTTGGACGGCCTAGGAGCAAGCTGTCGTGACTGAATGGCAGGAGAACTGAGGGGCGAAACAGACATTTCGTCGCCATCATCCTCGGCTTTTCGCTTTCGATTCATAGCCATGGTGTTGTGAAATGGAGACACTATTGATAATTAATATGGTTAGTTCATTATGCCATCTTTCTTCTACGGTCATATGCACAGTAATCGAGTCTGCAGTTCTTGAACTCTTCCACAAACCCGGAATAGGATAAGGCAAAAGACCATGTGACTCGGGATAAGGATAATTACAACATACTTGAACGGGTAGGAGATCGTCGGTTAGGATCGTGTTGATGAGGGAAGAAGGACGGAGGCTGCGGCGACAGCAACACATTCATTATGCTAGCAGTCGTAGTTTTCAATGGGGCAAGATGTTGCCTAGTACTCCTCCTAATTCCCCAAACAGCGACGGACGGTACGAACTATGGTGTTTGCGTAGGTAGGATATAAAATCAATAGTAGCAAAATTGCTCGAATGGATATGTCTTTGCGTTCTTGGTGTTTCGGGTGCGAGGGTCTTAGTATGGTGGTTGTCGAGGATGGAAATTGGTTGGTAGGCCGATAGAGCCCGACGTTGGGTGGGGATGAAGAAGGGGAAAGAGGAAGAAATTAAATAAAATTGAGTTGAAAGTGGAAGAAATGAAGGGATCGATGGGGAGAAAGAATGTTACTGCATGTAGGCAGCTAGGTCTGGTTAGCTGGTTACTAGGTACCTAGTAAGTATCAATATGTAGTGTGTAGTATTGACTTGTTGGTACTGTTCTCAGTGCTGGCTGTTCTGGTTCTAAGCTTGAAAGAGCACCAGACCTATGCAATTCAATGTTAACTATGGCTTGTGCATTGACGGGATTATCATTCATGTAAGGAGTAGTAATCAGTAGCAGAAAGTAGATGGACTACTTAGTGCATATGTATTGTACAGTGTAGTGTTATGTAGCAGACTGCAGACTAAGAAGTGGGAGAATAATATAGAGATTGATTGAATGAATAGGATGTGTGTTTTTTTGTGGATGTGGATGTTAATGTCAATATGAATGTGTATGTGTTAGTATGTGTATGTACTACTACATACACTAGCTAGTAGTATATTTATTCATGGTGGATGTGGTGGATGTGGATAGATGGATAGATGGATGAATGAATGAATCAATGAATGAACTTGTCTTGAGTGCACATGTGGACTTTGGCTGAATTGTGGATCACGCAAAAAAAAAAAAGTTCCATCTCTTAATAGTACATATGTAGGTAGTAGGTACTGTACATACAAGTACTCATCAGCTGCAGCTCGTGCTGATGTGGTTAGGCAAATGGCCAAAACACCCCGTTAGACCTCAAGGCTTCCATTCTCATTGGTCACATCCTTGTTCCCTCGACAAAAGATATGGGGACCTAATCCTTTTAGCTTCAATGCTATGGAAATGCCATCTAGGTAGTTACCTAACCTAGTACCTACATGTAGGCTGTAGCAAAGGAAAAGGCACAGAGTGCTCCTCATAAGCGCCGAGGCACGGAACGGAATACCGGTATCGATTATTATTTTTATCTTTATTTTTTTTTTTTCATTATTTAACTACATCCTCCATGGAAACAACTTCCATTCTTCAACCATCTTCCCATCCGCTACCAGAAGTGACGATAAATAGGCATCACTCCCGATACATACATTGTATTGAAGAAGAAAAAAAAAAGAAGAAAGGAGACACGCATCAACTTCAATCAGTTAATCAATACTTACTATTACATCCCACGTCCATCTACACTACATAAATGCCACAACCCCTCGTCGACCTCTAGTTACTATTAAACCCTTCATGGGTGGGGATCAGAAAAACAAGTCACAGGTAACCAACGCAGCAATCCTACCAAACCAACCTATGTAGGATTCCCCCCCTCTTAGTCCAGTCCACGATCCCTATAATTGGCTTAGCCTATACCACTCAACACCGTCAGAAACACCAAAGATACATACATACATGTATGCGTGACCGCCTCTTTCTACCACTACCACTACTACCACTACTATGTATATAGTAGTAAACTTATGTGTTTTGTAATCCCAAATTGCCTTGTACATCTTACCTTGGTCCTTCAATGTTGGTATACTCGCCTACCTACATCCACGTACCTACATACCCAACGCCATAAGCAAATGACGAATCGCTAATCGCTAGCCACGCTAACATTACGTGCACTTCGAATGTACGTAACGATTCCGAATAGCCTGGATACCACGCTCCCTACCTTGTTGTCACCATGCCTTAACGACATTAAGTAGTGGTAGATTCATACCCTCGAGTGTCTATATCACCTTATAATATTGCCCTACCACTCGATACATGCTTACAACAGTTGTACCTACCAAGTAGTAATCGCATCCATGCGTACTAACTACCTAGTATGTAATAACCTCATCACGTCACAAAGAAAACATCAATGTGTATAAGCCTATGTAGTAGTAACTCAAGTGCATTATGTACATACCTACTAGGTCTAGTACCTAGCACTCACTACTTAGTATTTGCCTAACCCACTCCTGTCCTTCGCGTCAAATATCTCGAGAGTCCTGTAGTTAGCTGTAGAGCTCTCTACCAACCCATGTTCGTTACGTTCCAACGAAACATGGCCATCTGTTTGTAGTAGTCCTCAAGAGATGGCAAACATGAACACAGATCGGGATCTGTACATATCCTCCCTTGACTGCCTCTCGAATGTTAAGCTATCTCTTATCTCTCTCCCTAACATCACATTGTCCTCTGTTTGGTTTGTACAATCAAAGAATATATGATTGCGATGAATTACATGAGGAACTCTCAGTGCCAGAGTTGTACCGCCATCCACACCATAAGAGGAGAAATAAAACCTAGAATAGGGGTCCAATGGCAATCGAAGACAATTTCCGAAGAATCTCATGTCTGGTGTCAAAACAGGCTAGAGATCTAGCTGTGGATAGGCACCTCAATTAGTTCAGTTGTCGTCAATATTATCATTCGTCTCGAATCACGGTCCAAGTCGTATTATCCTAGTCACTTCGGTCGATATTTCGGTCCAAACACGTTCCTCGTGCATAATATAAGCTTCAGATAAGCCTCATGAACGTTGTAGCTCAATGCTCGACTCACTGATGATTAGCATCGTCCAAGCGAAGAGTCTCGAAGCGTCTAGTCATGCCTGACATAGGGCTCGGGTCTCTTAGCTCATCCGCGTCGGACCGCACGCTGCTCGTCTTAGGGCGGTATGCACCCGTATAGATCGTGGTCGATTTTATTGAGGGCGCCTGGGCCCATCGGGACTTGGAGAGGCCCGGCTTGGAGGCAGGTCCCTTCGGGGTTTCGTCTAAGTTCGTCGAAGATCCCTGTGCCCATTTGGATTTTGCAAGACCTGATTTCAGGTTGGTTGCCTTGGAGGGTTCGTTGGCCGTTTTCAATGGCTCAGGTTCCTTGCAGGAAGTACTGTCACCCTCGACTGGCTTGAGGCTACTGAAACCGAGGCCACTACGTGGGATAGTAGATCGATCTGCTTGAGAAGTAGTTGTCGACGAGCTAATTATCTCGTAGCCCATGGCCTTAGGCGGATCCATGACCGGAGGCGGACCCATGACCGAAGATGGTATCATGGCCGGCAGAGACGGGCTCGTGACCGGAGGCGGGTCAATGACCGGAGGTGACACCGGCGCGGTTGGGCATTTGGTAGAGTTTGATGCTTTATGATCGTAGACGTGCTTCATTTCGTCTCTAGAAAACTCAGGCCCTGGGATATCTCCCTTGCCAATCATCGAATGAAGACCCTCGTCATCTACTACTTTCAATGACTGGGGAGTCTTATGCGCTACCACTTTCTCGGAATGGAAATCTTCGCCCCCGACTGCTTTCGAGGACTGGGGAGCCTTATGCTCTACTCTTTTGTCGGGCAGAGGAACCTTACGCTCCATTCCTTTCGAGCGAGTCACATGTCGGATGAATTCATTGAATTGTTGAACTGAATCTGGGCAGGGACGCGCAGACATTCGCAACTCGTTCATCTGCTCGGCGGAGCGAACGATCCGAGAATCTCCATGGAGGACATTTGTGTACAGCACTGCGCATACTTTTTGCTGTTGGTCCCATTCCAAAGCCTTGAAGTTGAAGCTCTCATTGCCCAAAAGATATAGTGCCGCAGCTTGCAGGCAGGTTCTTTTCACTACCTCATCATTTGGAGAGGACGAGCTACCTATGAGCATTTGGATGGCGAAGCGACATCCAAATGCTATCTCACGGTAGTTCTGGGCCGATAGGCTGGAAAGCATGAGAAGGGAATCTTGCGACAAAGCCTCTCCAATGTTGACTGACTCAATGATTGATTCAATGGAAGTCAGATCTGCAAGTTCGTGGAGCTTAGTCGTGTCTTTCTGCAGAAGCGAATTTCCGAAGAGGAGTGTAATAGGACTATGGTCCGGATTAGGCTGAGCGGAAGGTGAAGCAACTTCGGATTGGGCATCAGATTGGGCATCAGATTGCGCCTCATGAACTACTTCGGCGGAGGGCAATACATCGTCCACCGGTTCTTTGAGGTCCTTGGAATGCTGTGAAGGACTGGAATGCTGTGAAGGACTCTCTGGAGGTTGCAAGTTATATGAAGCAGCCAACTCCATCATGTCTGCCTCGTGTGATGTCGAGGTTAAACCGAGATCCTTCGGCACTTCTTGAACCACCTCCTTCTCTTGATCAACGTAGGGTATCTGATACAACGCAAAACCCTCAAATGCCGCCCTGTCTAGGTCGGTATCTGACCCTCCATTAAGAAAAGGTTGTTCAGTTATTTCGTCCCAACCTGCAGGGATTGGAGTCTCCTCAAGGATCGGTTCCGAAAGATTCTTCTCATGATTCACCAAGGTTTCTATTACCTTTTTGAACTTTGCTGCTAGTTCAGCACTGGAGAAACATATCTGGCTGGATCTCACAGGTGCTTGTTGATCAACCTGTCGTCGAAGACACACCATGCGTGAGGTGTGGAATACCTCTATGCATTGGCGAATGTCTCCTTTCCGGACCAATCCATCATTTAGTCGTATCTCCCAGACAATTACACCATTTCGAGATTGTTCGTAAACTGAAACTTGTCCTAAGACTTTCATACTCCCCTTGAGTAATTGAGGGAAAATGGTTGCATTAGCCTGCGGGAAGAAAACTCGGGCTGGCAAGATACTCATAATGCCTAGGTCTAAGCCCGTAGAAGGACCTTTGGCGATCTGGGATGGAATAAATGGTCCTCGTCGCTCATGGGGAGGAACATATTTACTACCGTCAGGCTTGCGGAATGTCTCAGCTGTATTATGCCCGGGCAAGTTGGTTTTGCTTTGAGTGAATACCTTGTTAGGGGGGAAGGCCTGGAAATCATGACCTCGTGTGGTCGGTCTGGATTTGATAGGCCCCCATCCCTTGACGTTGGCTCCAGATGGCATGACGCCGCCGGATGGCAGCTGTGAATGCCCCTGTGCAAAGGGTCGCGGAAGTTCCACTCTGGCGTAGTTACGTGAAGTGTGGATGCTGTTTACCGTTAGGCTATGAACAACATTAAGAGAATATGTATAGAAGAACTTACGATGGATCATACAGCGGAGCTTTCTTCAAGGCCTTCGTGATGTCCTTATGAATGTCTCGTGGCTGACCATTTCCACCACGAGTTCCCTCTACCGCAATTGGACGTAGTCTACGACGGTGAGCATTGCCGTTATCAAGAGGTTCAAGATCCTTGACTGCAAGGTAATCATCATCCTTGAACCGGCCCTCTTTGATAGCGTCTATTCCAATAAATTAGTGCCCAAAAATGCCCTCGTTCTGAAAGGAAAAGAAACTTACTCGTCCAATCATTAGGCCAGCCTCTCTTATCCCACGACTGGAGCGATTGATGATAGATCGGAAGGGGCTCTTGATTAATACGTCGAGGCTCGTCTTCAGTAGCCAGCTCTTCAAGGCGATGATTGCCTAGATCGGACTGTTGTGAATAATGGTTAGTATTATATATTTCAACTCTTGCGCATCTTCTCATATGGATGTTAAAATACTGGGAGTACCAGCCCCTCAAAATCCAGTGTCTCCACCAAGTATCCCCCTAATTGTGAATGGTAAGGGTGGGGATTTATAAGAGTATTACTTACCATCATGGCGTCGTAGGCCGCCGTCTGCTTCTGGTTGTGGGGCATTCCGCCTTGGGGCAGATTTGCCTTAGAGTCTGCCATGATTGACAGGCACTAATATGTTCGTGATGTTTAACTGTTGCAACAGTTGTGATCGAGAAGGTTGAGAATGTGGGAAAGGGTGGGAAGAGATGCAGGAGGAACCTAGACAAGTTGAGCTGTCCCGAAGTGGCTGAACTCAAGTTATCTGGCTCTATGTTAGTTAGTCGCTGTATAACTAGATAGTGTGGTTAAAGGATATACCGACTTGGGTCTCTTAGCTCTAAGATGGTAGAGAATAAGGTTGGGAAGGTATATCAGAATGACTTTGGCTACCTAGGTGGTTAGAAGATGAGAAGATGAGAGGAAGGCTATGAGGGTAGGAGGGTAGGAGGGTAGGAGGATGCCATGGTGATGAGGGCATGAGGAGGAGGAAGGAGGAAAGATGTATGGAAAGCAAACAAAAATGAAATGGAATAAGACTCAGAGGAGGAAAGAGCGCACTTACTAACGTTTCAGGTAGTCCAATGGCTAAAAAGGATAGGCAAATGGCCAATGGGCAGTCAGGTGCATGTAAAGTCAACAATTATGGAAGTCGCGATACTCTTTGGGTTTTCAAGTTCCAAGACAGGTTAAGCGGAACTGTAAAAGTACAATCCTTGTCTCTTCAGATAATAAAGACAAGCACGTGAATGTAAACATAAATGCTTACAATCATATATGCCTATATGTTCTTGCGGAGACTGAAGAATGATTTGGTTCGGACCTAGGTAGGAGTATGAGTGTAAGTAAAAAAAAGAAAAGAAAAAGAAAAAGAAAAACTTCAAGGTTATGGATTATGGAGAATGAAGGAAGTAAGGAAGGAAGGAAGAAAGTGATGGAGGTATCCGGAACTGGGTAGATATGTCTATGGTTTCGACATGTTGTCGAGAATATAGCGGAGACACTTACACAGTCGATACTCAAGTGCCCAAGTACAGCAATTTTCACTTCACAGCTTCTTGCCTTGTACAGACTGGAATGGAGCCCTAAGAATATCATGAGTTAGCTGGTTACCAAGCAATAGTGAATATTAAAGAGAGTGATCAAGGCAAGTAAGTGTGCCTACATATGGACACAGAAAGAAGGATGTCAATGCCAGGACTTGAAGAGTGTAGAACATACCAATCTCAGAAAGATTCCAGGCTCCAGGAACTGAGAGATGAACAAATCTCAACAGTCTGGCAATCAGAATGATCTTCAAGTCACAAAAGTACTAAAGCATGAACTCTAGAATGTAACAAGAAGACAGTAGTGCAAGGTATTGGAGGTTACGAAGTTCAGAGAGGTTTGGAAGAAAGATGGGAGAATGATAGGAAATGGAGATGATGGTGTTGGAAAGAAAGAAAATTCACAAAAAGGCAGCATGAGTGGGAGTATTTATACCATTACTTTCTAATCTAATCACTGGGACAAAACGACTTGATGGGCAGTTCACACTATGTTGACAATGTCGATTCTCCTGCCTTGCCCCGTATATTAGGAATCACCCCTGAGGAAGCGACAGCTCGAAATGTTTCTTGGAGTACCTATGCACTGTACTAACCTGAGTATTCAGGGCTTAAACTCCTGCCTTAAGCACCCATCTACTAGGCATTGTACACAAGATCCCATTGTGTCCTTGGCTAGGTAAGTACCTGGGTGGGTGTCAAGTCATTCATACTGTCGAATATGGGTCTCCAGGAACCATTTAGGGGTATTATTCAAAGCAGCCAACTAACCTTAGGTACTTACATGAAAGGCGTTGCAGACTTGTATCTATATACCTTAGGTACTAGGTATGCAAATATTTGAATTAGAAGCACGCAACTACATCGTAGGGAAGTAGTAAACTAATAGCCCCCTTATATTGAAGAAATAGGTACTTACCTCGCAATATATTGCTGAATAAAATCCAAGAGAAAGAAAAACAATGCATTATTTATGTACCTATATAAGCAGCTGGCTGTGTAAGTCACGTCTAGGCAGGCACCTAGGTAGATAGTATCAAACTTCATCACAGCATTGATATATGCCATCTCAAACTCAGACGCAGGTACAGATTGTTGTTCATAGAGATCTGATATTGAAGAATTACCCGATGTATCTCTACATAGGTCAATATTATGATTTGATAATTCGTAAGTGAACTTTGGCCCATAAAACGCACTGTTAACAGTATGTTCCTAGTTACAGGATCCTAATGATGAACATGATAGATGTGTATATATCTATCTAAGAGAAGCTGGTCAGCTGTGTTAGGCCAGACGAGGTCTATATACGTGAGCGGCATCAAGGGTAACGTATATATACGGAAGTACTAGACCTGGATAGGGCTAGTGTCCGGGGAGTTGTCCGGAGAGCTGTCCGGGACTGCGACACCTAAGCATGATAATTTTATGCTAATAATAATAAATCACTGCAGATACCTAGGTAGGCATCTAGCAGCTCATAACTCATATTTAAATCACAGCTGTCCTTTATTATCATATTTGAGGACTCAGAGAAGCGTATTATTACAGCTTTGTTGAGCTGGCGTGTAGTTAAGGGGCTATATATGTCGGGCTTGAGGTAGTCACGTGATAAAGATCAGGTTTCAATATGGGTACCTTATGCACCATAATTATATGCTTGCACTCATAGAATGACCATCTACATACCTCAGGTATACATGTAGGTACCTGAGGTACATAGGCAGCCAATATCTTTTTTCTAAATTTTACCTCGATCCTCAACAGCACTGTGATTCATATCAAGCATCCTAAGGCTACTAGACTGGAGCGTAATATGATAAATTACCTAGCCTAAGGTGCTGCCTCATGTACCCAGTAGGCACTAATCGTACCCCCCTTCCCCAAAGAACCATCATCTCAACCTATCACTTCCACTAATCGCCATCTAAATTATTCCCCAACGCCAACGTTTGCTTGTAAATCCACTCCGTAGCCGTCAACCGCTCTCCCTCTCCCCCATCCTCCCCCTCCTCTTCCTCCTCCTCCGTGCTATCCTTTCTCTTGATCCTCGTCATGACGCAGCAGTCTTCCGGCCGAACAAAGTACACAACGCTATACCGCGGCCACCGCCCCTGCACACCGGGCGCCGGGATCACGCGGTGCCGGCCAGCGCACAGCCTGCCGTCGGAGAACCTCACAGCGGCGTCGCCGAGGTTGACGATGGCGCACCCAGCTTGCGGTTTCACCCACTGCCATTCCCCCGGCACGTCTGGTTGGCCGTTGCACAGCTGGGCTTTCCGCGCGGACTCGGACCATACTTGGAGGCCGCCGAGCCAGTTCATTAGGATCGTGATTCTGGAGGAGGCAGGTCAAGTTAATTAGGGCTAGTGCCTGAGGTAGTTAGGACAGTTCCGTCCCAACCTTGGGATGAAAAGGGATTTGATTGCCCCCCTCAGGTTTGCAGTGGTGTTTTGCATGCCTTAAAAGAGTGGAGCGAAAGCAGGAGGTAAAACTTACGTGCCACCGTCTGTGTGTGATGGCGTCTGCACTTCGGCCATTTCCTCCACCACTCTTGGTGGGCCACGCGTAAGGCGCACATGGTCGCCCGAGGGCTCCTCGATCCTATGGCGGTTCGCAAACTCGGAGGGGTCAATGCCAAGCCTTTCTGCGAGAACGGACAGGACCGTCATCCCGATAAAGTGCGCGCTCTCCGAATACGACGCAAACAGCGGCTTGCTCTCCATGATCTCAGAGGGCCAAGGGCGCCTCATGCGATCGTCGGGTGCCATCATGTCGTTCTGGGCGACGTTGAAAAACTCAGCCGTATCCCGAGTTCCGGCCTGGTCGCCGACTGACGAACCGGCCCATTTGTATCCGAATATTTGCTTTCCTTGCTTGTATCGCATTTTCTCCTCTAGAGGTAGCCGAAAGACGCCCTCCGACACCGCCGCAATCTTCCCTGCGCCGTTGAGGATAGTCTCTCCAGCGTCGCAACCCCCGAGCTCGAGGTAGAAGAACCCACGTCGTGTGCAAGCCTCGAATACCTTATCTTGCTCTGCTACGTTGCCATTAAGCAGCTTTGACAGAGCGACGATAGGTAAGTCGATGACGAGGGTATCGTCGGGGAAAGGGGGGTATAGCTCCGGCGTAAATTCACGACATTTCTCCTCCGCATGAGGCATGGCTGGTTGATAGTTCAAAATTTATTTAACGATAACGGCGCTCTTAGTACGATTAAGATAAGTTGATGGCAGAGGCGTCACAGCTATATTAGCACATTCCGACGTTCGTACCTAGCTAGATTTACGAAGATGAGGGGAAAATAGCTACATATGTAGCTTACGCTCAAGAGATATCTGGAGGGGTAGATATGGGACATGGCGTTGTGAGGAAGTGCATATTATTCGTGCAGCGGAACATCACGTCGGTGGCGTGTGGTAGGTAGCATCACCCAACTCCAAGATAATGAAAACTGAGTAGCCAACTGGCCAATGGAACTGCCGGTCTGCAACCCTCCATTAAAGCAGCCTATTATCAGGCGAGGCGAAAGGTGTATACTCTGTGAAAGGCGTTCTGTGTTCTGACTACCTAATTACATAGCAGGTAGGCAGCGAGAAAGAAGTGTACCGGTAACAAGGAAGTGTATATATGCAGGGCTTCCCCTATCTATCACTTTATAGAATATTTTCTGATGTATAGCTCATCATGATGCATACATATCCTTGAATCTCATGATATGTATATGACTTAGGTACGAAAAGGGCTGATCTAACTCATGGTGAAAACTGCACCTATTTTCGAAGGAGCGTATATAACTATCATGCCGATTAACCACAGTTGTATGTATGTTGAATATCGACGTTGATCTAATTGTTAGGTATTATCTAGCGTATGTAGATGTCAGAGTCCCGAATACCTATGATCTTCAGATGCCAGGCTTATCTAGGCCTAGTGCCCCTATCCTGGACGCCTCTCACGTCAACGGTATAGACCTCGCCTTGGCCAGCTTCCCTTAGATATATTGATCACGTTCATATGTAGAATGTCGATGATATTGCATGAAAATAAACCGACTCCTACTGGCTAACTTGTAAATGGTAGATAATAGACGAAACCTGCTGAAAACACGATGTTCTGGCACTACGACAAACCACTATGAGTTGAACTCGCATTCGGATGTATTTCTTGATGGTAGGTAGTCAAGTGATAACTACCCACCGAAGCAGTTATATTATCGAGCTGCCTTGCAACCCAATGCAGTATATTGTATGACGTATTGATACATGCTCAGGACTAGTATCCGACTATCCATTCATTGACGAGAAGACTCTCTCCTGAGATTAATCTTCCGCCATTCCATATCCTCCACCCCCCCTAGAACTTTCCTCCACGTCGAATCTATTTCGCCTTAGCATCCTTAGGCAAACCTTCCAAGCCCTCCTTTCCCTGCCGCCCAACACTGCTCAGGTCAACATCGTCCTTCTTGCTCGCAGGCTCACGGAGACCCGAGGCCGCACCCGCGCCCGTCGAGACGTCGCTTGAAACGCCGCCGGAGCCAACGTTCACATTGCGGGCATCTGCCGAGTTCCAGTCGGAGGCGACGGGCGGTTGATCGGGGAGAGGCAGTTTGGATCTTACTTCCTCTGCGTGGGCTGCTTTGGATTGAGGCATTTCTGGGGTGGCGTAAAGGTGTTAGCTGTGGATCGATTTAAATACCATTATGTATGCTAGGTAATATGAGAGAGGAGAGCTTACTGGTTGTTTGTGTTTGATGAAGAGAAGATCAATAAAAGGGGTAATTTTGGTGGTTATGACTTTGTGGTTGATTATTGGTGTTTAATCACGGGATGCTAAGATGAAATGAAGTCAGTGTAGTCCAGATATTCATGGATATCGAAGGCTTTAATACACAAAGCCGTTTGCTAGGAAGCCGCAATCATCCCCAAGTAGCGAATACCTAGGAGCTTTTCATCCGGTATGTGGTTGACGTCATTGACGAGGTACCTACATATTACAGTGAAGTAATTGTGTACGTAAGTGATGTCATAGAAGTCAAATTAAGGTACAGGCTAGTATGGAGATAGCTACCCAGGTGGATTTCAAGCTTCAAATGCTGCCCATCAGAGTCCAAGAGCTTCTAGAAAGACCCACCCTTTAAAGCTTCTCTTCAGCCCCAAACCCACTGGACATCTCGATCCAGGTACATGGTTGAGCGGGATGGACCGTAACGACGTAATCGTGACTTGGTGTGCTTCGTGAACTAACATTACATACATACATATATGTATCTACATAGTGTAGGCAGTAAAAGCAGTTCAAGAGAAATACTGTCCATAGTTTGACCCGAGTTTACTAACCAATGAGGTATCTATGCAGCTATGCAATGACAAACTTTTCCATATTGGCTGAAAGGCTGCAGGTGGTTGGTAATTGTACTTATTGCCTACCTAGGTAGATACCGAGGCAAGTATGCGCGGATTACACACATCTACTACTGTATGTTTCGCAGCTATACCATCCATACCGCATCCAATCCCCTCTCAAAAAAGGACTAAAAACGCCTCAACACCAATTTGCTGTCTTCTGCTGCCAAATGTTGTGGTGAAACCATCGATACTTTTCATGGGACATAACTTCGTAAGCGTTGCATTTCCTATATGAGGCATGGCATGGCAAGGATCAAGGCATTCTCTTGTCTGTTTCCGCAGACGTAGCTTTCTCACCCTCGTCTGGGTTTAGATAATTGGCGTCCTCTGCGGCCTCGTATTCAGCAATGAGATCTGTTACTACCTCCCTGGCCTCGTCAAATTCGTGAAAGCCTTCTGAAAAGGGGGCGGTTTTCTTATAAGTATCTACGAAAGCATTGCGCTTTCGCATGCCATCGTACAAACGCACAATACGTTTGAATAACTAAAAAGCTGTTAATTTTGGGGGGCTATGTTCGAGGTGCAATATATCATCACTTACCGTCGCAATGCTGGTATGGTTAGCTAACATCAAGCCGCTGACACGGTGGCTCATCGGGATGTATGGGCTTCGCTTCGTTAAAGCCACTTGAATACTCGCCGGGCCCCATGGGATGAAAGTCGCCAATCTTCGTTCGCGAATACGGAGTAGACTTTTGTGGACATCTGTCGGATCGACCTCTCCTTGGATGACGTTGAGGATAGAGATATAGCAGCTCTTCTTGCCTGGTACAGTTGACACCATGCGATTCTTAGGTTGCAATAGTCGTCTCATGACATCTAATACGGTAGTCTTTCGAACAGTCTTGGCTTGCTCAACTTGGTCTCCGGTAAAGGGGGTGTATGCAGTCATCAGGAAATGACAACGTGGTGTTGGGATCAGGGAAGCAAGGATGCTGACAAGATCATTGTGCATATAGCCAGGATATCGCAAGGTTGTGGTGCTAGCTGACATGACGGTTGAGACTAACTGGTTAGTTTGTTGGAACGAAGGTTCTTGCACATGTAATCTATCGGCTGCAATGTGAGATAACGCCCCGTTATCCAAAACCACGACCGAATCGGCGTTTTGCGTCAGTCGCCTCATCGAGAGGATGCTGTTGTACGGATGAACAACGACATCACCTGAGCTCGTAGTGTCGGGGAAAACCGAATATGTCTGGATAATTTTCTTGGGAAATCTGTCATTCATTCGTTCGAGGAGGAACGATCCTAGACCAGACCCGGTACCACCGGCAATGGAATGAAGCAGCATAAAGCCTTCCAGAGAATCGCTGCCATCTGCCTCACGCTCTATCATTTCCATGATTTCTTCGTGGACAGCTTCACCTGACTGATATCCATCACCCCAGTTGTTACCGGCGCCAACACCGCTCTTGCCTACGTAGAAATTCTCCGGGTTGTAAATGTTTTTATAAGGACCGGTTTGTATGCTGTTGATGACACGAGGTTCGAGATCTATCAAGATAGCTCGGGGGATATATCTGGTGTCGTCACTCTGGTAGTAAAAGACATCCTTGCGATCACCGCCCTCCGTCGCAAAGTCTTCGAGGTTACCATCTTGGTTGATACCGTGCTCCTGGCAAAGTTGCTGCCAGAACTGGCTACCAACTTGTATTTATTAGTCTATCAAGTCCGTCAAGATTCATTGCTAGTAGGTATAGATGGTCCCAACTTACTGCTGTTGCCGCATTGGCCCGCCTGGATCGTAATTATTTCCCTTGGCAAATTGTTAGATAGATCGATCACATTAGGGTATTATATAAGAGAAAGAGAGTATGTGCTCGCCTACCTGGGCATTATGGTGGCATGAGTTAGAACTTGCTACTTGATGTAGGAGGCTCGTCGAATTTACGATTGCTGTACTTTCAACACTATAGTGTTATACACTGCAGTAATTATGTACAGTGCTATAGTTCCAAGGTTATGTCAACTAGACTTTTTACGCGAAGCGCGTTTCCACAATACCGTTGACGTCTGGTGCGCTAAAGTACTAACTATGTACCTATGTACCTAATTATTTTGGGCCCGACTGTACTAGGTACTATGGCGGGGTTGATAAGAAACGGATAGTTACATAATCCATATTTACTTACATATTTCATGTTCGATATCTCTATGGCATTACACTTAGTTAATCATACTCATGGAAGTGTTTAATTGACTGGTAACTATTGGTGTATGTTTGTTTGGTACTATGTAGCATTGATATTGATACCCGTGGACCTCTAGCTACCATAGGTAGATACATACATATGTAGGTGCTGTAGGGAGATATGAAAGATGGGTGGCCTCCACCGTGGGTCGGAGAATTAGTCGACGATGTCTCGTACGAAACAAGCTGGAAACCGGCAACTGAAACATTCTAGAATCAGTTGTCATACGCTTCAACCCTGATGCCGCAAGCCCCTAAATCTAGGAAGCTACTATCTATTATCACATTGTAGATTTGATCGAATAGGGTGCATGTGATTGCTAACTACCCTACAATGTATGGCGTTTGCATCCTTCAATGTTCACCTAATAAGAGCATTAACATTGAATTAAACTGCAAGCAGATAACTAGATGCAGCCTCGCAGCCGTGCAGCTATCATTGATGCGGCCATGCAATCCATGTCACCAATGTAGGTACTCTGTCATGCATTGAAGGCTAAATAAATAAATAAAATCAACTACATTTACACTAAACCACCGGCGAGAACTTTATTTATTTTATTCCTCTTCCCTCTTCCCTCTTCTTTCACTTCACAATTGACTTTCATTACATTGATGTAAATCAATAACTTCAAGTTCTCGTCATGTATTGACGGTTAATCCTCAAAACATTGAAATCCCTCAATGTTCCAGAGTCCTATCTCATTTAATAGTACATACAATCTACATCTCCACCACTGGCAAACCCCCACAACACACATCCTTTACCTACTTTTCGCTTTTTCGCTTTTTCGCTTTTTCGCTTGTTCCCCTTCGATTTTGTTCCCTCGATCTCACACTAAACTACTAAAGCCGTGTTTAGCATCTTTTCCTACTACAGTCTACTACTAGTAGCATCCAAATAATCTCTTTTTCTCATATTTCCATATTACCAGTAAAACTAATGTACATCATGTTGAATCCATAGTCACGGTCTAATTGGTACTAGGTAACTAACTCCATTTTATTCATCTTTCTCATTCGTTACAATTTGCCGTATTTGTCTTTCCTCCCCCCACATCCAATTAAAGCAAACCAACTTTCCTTAATAGACTTTCCAGATAGGGGAACCAGTTTGCACGAATCGAGGTATTCCGTCACTTTCCGTCAAGGCCTTTGCGCTTTTTGCCTTGTTAGAACGATGCGCTAACACATATTGGATTTACCAAGGCCAAACTCTCAAAGGATCGAAAGGGTCGGTGCTACGCGCCCGGCCACCCGCCAGCCATGCAGAGATCCGCTGGCAACACGCCGACGCAACATGCGACTCCTTTCTTTTCCACCAATATTTGGGGGGGTAATAGTAAAGATACTAGTAAAGATACTAGCAAAGAATCCAAAGACAGTAAAGACAGTAACAACTTGCTACCCCGACCCCAGACTTCTAGCAGATCGCGGCCGGGCACTAGTTCAGGGGATAAGGATAGGGATTTTAACGTCTTGACTAAGGATCGTGATCGCAAACCTTCTTTCGGGCGTAGACCATCCTTCTCTTCCCCTTCTAAGGGAAAACGCCGTCCCAGTTCGTCTCATGCTGGGTCATCCTTCAGCAACGAAATCAAGACTGACGCGGCTACGCCTCCCGCCATACCTGCTGACTTTGCACTTGCTGCTGCTGCTAAGTTATCGAGAGAAGCAGAGGTAGTACCTTCGCCCGCATCTACCGATTCCTTTTCCAAGATGATGAGCCGAGGCGCACCGACACCTACTCCGGGCTTCCATACTATTCCCGCGACATCACCTCCCATACCTCAGACTCAAAATGAGATTCCATCTCTTCACCAGCATATACATGAGGTCGCCAACAAAAGGATATCAACCTTAGATTATCTGCGCAAAGCGTATGCTGAATTCTCACCTCTTCCTCCCCTCCCCTCTTTTTACCAGTCTAAACATTGAAGTGCATCTACTGACGATCGGCATAGACATGAGGGTCGAATTTACTGGTTTAACACGCTGCTCTTTGACAAACCTGACTTGGCACGAATGCCCTACTTCGATAGTCGCAAACTTTCTTATCGCGCCACTAACTACCTCTTGCTGGGGTTGTCACTGCCTGCCGTTATCGACTTAAACTCCTCTACGCCACTTGAATTCCTCCGCTCTCTCAACACCCTCATTGCTGAATTCGAGTCCTACCAGCAGATACACACCGAAAATGGCCTTAACACGAGCTCTTTGTCGCGTGCGCGCTTACCGAATATGTTCCGTCGGGGGGCTGGTGGGAGAGGAAGGAGACAGTCGGGCGCAGACCCTTCTGGAGATGCTGGCGGAACCACTAGCGGCTCGGCAGTAAATTCTATGCCTACGAGTGTCATCAACTTTGGCCTTGGAGGTGAAGGCAACGATTTAATTCCTGGAGAAGAGTATACGCATCTTCTCACGCCCAACCTTCCGTTCGACCCAGACTTTTTTGAGACATTTGCCACATTATGCGACGTGTTGATTGATTGCTATTCGAGGCTCATGACTCTTTTACCTACGCCTAAAGACTGTACGCCCATTATCGCAGAATTGTTTACGAAGGCCGACGTTAAAATACGCAGAATGATTATCCAGGCGGTGGTGAAGGAGTTTGAGGAGTCAAGCCGGACTGGCTTAAGACAAGAAATGACCAACGTGGGCAAGATAGCCCTAGGAGGGCTGGTATGAGGATGTACATATACGTGCATAATAGCGACCTTGCGTTTACTGGTTTGATTATTGATGTTGGTGTTTTGGGAACACTTTGGATTGATACCAGGGTCGCATAGGTATTGCAGGTACCAACGGCGTTGATTTTCATAGCAGGAGCATTGATTGCATATAGTATGCCCAAAGGTGTATTGCGAGGCATGACAGATAAAGTATATTTAGTTACGTATAATATATTTGGACACGATTGTCTAATCATAAGACGACATGAGAACCATATGCTTGGTGACATACATATATATAAAATTGAGGAAACGGGGCAACATGACTAAGAATAGCAAGGGGAATGTTCATCAGATACCATAACGCATTTAGCAGTCGTCAACGGGCTATACCACAAAGTGGCAGTCCTCAGTGCTTGACTCTATTATTGGTTGTCATCAGCTGAACGTGAAAAAGTCGCCATCAATGAGAGTTGGATCCCCCGAGATATCCACGAAACCTCCAATCAAGGGTAGCGCAGACGGAAAAAGAGACTTCCCACGAAGTCCAGAGTGTAAAAAAAGGTCATCTGGCTTCCCTATCATGGAGGGAAACCCCCCTCGCACCAAGAATAAGCCCCATCGAGTAACTAAGCTTTACTCTCCTCGAAAGGAAAGATCCGCGAAGCAATCGCATAACTTTCGATCTCGACAACAGGGAGCCTAACCCATCCTTAATGTCTCCTGCCCACTTGATCCACGGCCACACTGCCATCGACTCGTTCTCTGGTGCTGCATAGACTACCGAATCCCCAACCAAGAGCGCGGACTCGTATCTTTGTCCATAAGGTCTCGAGGCAGGAAAAACGGCAGCTCATGCAGACCAGGGAAACAAACGACTATAGCGACAGGCGGGGCGGTTCAAGATAAGGCAAGAGACAGACAGGAAGGCATGAGCCGCTGTGCTTCTATGGCGGCGCGTTTCCGCAATTCTTCTACCACTCGCAAGCGAGCAGCGAAGCCGTCCGGGGACTTTCTCCCAAAGCTTGGTAGAAGAGGGGAGATGATCAATCTGGGATTGAATCGTCTCTGTGTGTAGCTTCGATAGCGATTTGTTGGGCGAGGGGGGTTTGTTGTGGAAAAGAAGAGAAAGAAGGAAGAAATTTTCTCGGGTCGAAGTTTTTTGTAGTAGAAAGTTATTATGGGTCCAAGACTCCAAGGTACGACTTATGTCACTGGTCCAAGCTCTGGTATGTACCCACAAATGTTTTGATCCAATCAAATTCCGGATTCCGACACTATCTAACCGTTAGGATCGTTGGATTGTTAAGCTCCTACCACTAAGCGACTTTGAGAAGTATTTAAGTCTTGGCACCTTTTTCATACTTCAACCGCAAACGCGTTGGTCTTTTTTGACATCAAAAATTACAATACTATTTATTTCATTACCGCAGATTCGCCAGCCACACCCACGACACGACCACTCACGCTAGCTGTTATTTCTTACAGCATTCCTTTACTTCCATTGTATACCCTCGAGATACCCCACGAAAATAATATTTAGTATAAAGGCTTAAGAGATAGGTGGAGGTAAACTCTGTTACAGCTTCAAAACGTCGGAAATACCATATCTCAATTCTCAGAGCAAAGTGGCGCGGCCTCGGCTGTATCTGTTAATCCCACAGCAGCTGCCATATCCGAGCCGAGTACTATCACGTCTTTTCCACTCATTTCCATCAGCCATACCTATACCTCTTCGATATAGCCATTCATCAGACTCCGATACCAGCTGTTGAAGACAGCCAATCTCTCAGAAGATGTCGGGTCTCTTTGGAAGCTCCGCTGCCGCTGCTGCCGCCTCTAGTAGTAACACGATTGGAGACCTGAAGAATGACGTAGCGCTTTCGAACCCTCCGGAGGATACCATCACCGATCTCGCTTTCTCTCCTACATCAGACATTCTCGCTGTCTCCAGCTGGGACAAGAAGGTCCGCATATACCAGATTGCTTCTAATGGCTCTAGTGAAGGGAAGCATATGTATGAGCATGACGCACCTGTCCTCAGCGTGGATTTCTCCAAGGTACGCAACATCTTCGTTGCCCAATACCGTATACTTACAAAAGGATTTCTAGGATGGCCAGAAGCTCGCGTCCGCCGGCGCCGACAAGCAGGCGAAGGTCTGTGATCTACAAACCCTACAGACAGTACAAGTAGCCGCACACGAACAGACCGTCCGAACAGCTCGCTTCTTCGAGCTACCAAACTCCAGCGGCCCCATGCTAGTCACAGGCTCGTGGGACAAGACTGTCAAGTACTGGGACCTACGTCAGAGCAGCCCAGTCGGCACTGTAAATTGCCAAGAGCGCGTCTACTCTATGGATGTGCGCAACTCGTTGCTAGTTATCGGTACAGCCGATCGTTACATCAATGTTATCAACCTTCAAGACCCGCTCAAGTTCTACAAAACCCTTCAGAGTCCGCTAAAGTGGCAGACAAGAGTTGTTAGCTGTTTTACAGACGCCACCGGTTTTGCTATTGGCAGCATTGAGGGTCGCTGTGCTATTCAATACGTCGAGGATAAAGACTCCAGGTAAGCTTCATATTCCCCTTTCTTTTTCGTATTTTGTGAGACAAGTCACTAAAAAATGAAACAGCTCAAACTTTTCGTTCAAATGCCATCGCGATCCGCCTCAAGGCAGCGTCACGCAGGTGTACTCGGTCAATGATATTTCGTTCCACCCACAGCATGGGACGTTCAGCACTGCTGGTAGTGACGGGACTTTCCACTTCTGGGACAAAGATGCTAAGCATAGATTGAAGGGGTACCCAACTGTTGGTGGTAGTATCACCGCTACTACTTTCAACTCTGGAGGTACCATCTTCGCGTACGCCGTCGGCTACGACTGGAGCAAGGGTTACAATGGCAACAGCCAGAACTACCCCACCAAAGTCATGCTCCACCCCGTCCAGGGAGATGAGTGTAAGCCCCGCCCCTCTGTTAAGAAGCGGTAGAATCGTGCACAAAAGAAAAATTCAGATGAGGCGGGCAGGGAGATGTCGATATCACCAGCCGAGGCGTCACCAAACGAACGTTTGAGGGTTGCTCTGGAGACTATGCCGAGGCAGAAAGTAGACTTTTCGCACATGGAGGTGTGCAAAGATAGGCAACAACGTCGGGAAGCACTAAATAAATAGGGGCTGAGAGAATTGGGGTGGGATAAATGATTTCTATCAATCCATGCTACGCTACGACAAGAGTAGGCTTGAGGCTCATAAGGCGAGCGAGTACTTCACATTACGAGAAAAACAAAACACGAGACGAGTTGCTGAGTGGAAGGATGCGGTAATATTAGGCCGTGGAATACTTTTGCCTTACTGCTACCTGTATCCATACGAGTATCAGAGGGGGATGAAGGTCGGGCGAATAAAGGAAAGATACCATGCAAGCAAGAAGTATTATCACTAGTTGTTAGTATAGCACGAGGTGATACCTACTTGGTAGATAGGTTAGGAGGTGGATAGGCTACCTACCTAGGTACCAGGAGTAATGAAACCCCAAATAAGAATATTCTATAGGTAGTCGATGTTGGTGTGAGGTTTTTAAATCGTGATTAGCTGATCTATGGATGCACTAATACCCTAGGTTATTTGAGCCGCATCCGTAGGCCTGGAGTTGGCATGACTCCTAAGAGATCGAGTATCGCACGGATCCTCAACATCAATGCTCTGTTTGCTCCTCCTTGTCCTAAGCAGTCGTAGACTGGAGATGCTGGAGTTGGCAAGGTTTCTTGCCACTCTGATCAACGGTACCCATGATGATCCTTTGCTGAAGATCCAGAGAGTTGGCAGACAGGCCACGAATACCGCAATGCCGCTTTCGACCATTCCCCAGTAGATAAAAGATGTGACTAGGACTACAAAGGCGTTAGATGTAGTTCAATGGTGTGACTATGGCAAACTACTCACGAATAGGATCATCATCTGGGTCATACCCAACTGCTAGAATCCTTGTTGTTAGGGCAAGCCGAGTCACGGACGCCGCTACGGTTCTGGCTCTCGTCAGCGGGCAGGTGATAGTCATGTGGTTTTCAAACTCACATTGCCCCAAAGAGGAACACGGAAGTAATAGCAATCTTTTTGGCGGTAGTCAGATTCAATCGCCAAACCTAGAAACTTGTTAGAGAGTGCCAGACATTTTATCTGGTCGCCATTACCTAGGTACTTACCAATGGAATGGGTATAACGAGAATCACTACGTCGGCTGCAACATCTGTAACGGCAAGCGTGAAATTTGGGTATGTGTCTGCGATGCAATGGTCCAGAATTGCCCTAGCTGTTGTCCAAAGCGCCCAGAAGTCCAGCCGGCACATGAACAGGAACGTGAAGAAGTAGGCTGCCATCCAGACAAAGACAAACACACACATTCCTACCAGAAGCATGTTGGTCTTGCTCCATGTGCTGACGGCGAAAATGCGTCTGTAAAATAGCAGGAAGCTGGCCTTTGTGCAGCCCAACGCTAACGGGAGTAGCAGGGTGTAGGCCCATTGTATCTGTCGTGGTCGGTCTGGTTAGCAAAAAATGAACACACATCACGCTATATCTGAATCTACATACTGCTCCTTCGGTACCGATCTGTTCGGTTACAATAGACAGACTGTCTTCTGGTGGGTCTGGAGGGACCTCAAAGGGATAGGCGAGGGCTTTTTTCGACACGCCGTATACCATGGAGACACCAATCCCTATAGTTAGGAGCTAATACATTTAAGTCAATCAACCTTTTTCTGTTTTGCAGAGCGTGGAGGGCTGTCACGATATGCACATACTGTTGCAGGAACCAAGAACCAGTCATCCGCTTTCAGGGGCTGCCGCTGCTTCTTCCTTGCCGCAAACCTCAACAGCACAGCAAAAATATCTAATATAGATAAACCTATTCCAGCGGCAATTACATGGCCAGGTGTTTGCCAGTAGCCGTGATCGTATCCGTCTACGGACATTCTTTCAAGTACTTGACAGGCGTGGTGGAAAGTTTAGGGGGGAGAAGTAACGGCTCAATATTAACAATTGCCAAGGTTGTAGTTTTAGATAATGGAAGTTGGAGAGAGAAGCAAATGAATTTTGAAATTCTCTAGTTGATATTTAGCAAATTACAGAGAAAAGGGGAGAGGCTTGCTGTGATTCTAGTGCGACAAAGCGATGGTAGTCTAAGGCAGCCTACTAGCTAGGACCTTGTGAAAACTTCGCTATAAACAATTATGTTGCAATTTGGCTTTGGGAAATACTCAGGTGAACGATCATAGAGAGTGTTGGTGTGGGTACGGAGTAGCCAAGCATGTTGGTTGGTATGCTTATGAGTTATAGTCGTGCTACGTAGTTATTAGCGGCCCAGACCTGTCCGTGTATTGGAAGAGCCTGCAGTATGTAATAGGACAACGGCGTAGGGAATGGTATTTTCAACCAACCGCATATTTCAGGCATGGGAATGAGACATGTTGGTACGGATATTACCATATCAGCGCGCCTAGAGAGCGCGCCTAACACTGATTAAAACGTTGCATTTTACCACCAACAGTCGTACCGTAGAAAATTGAGTTGCAGTGAAGGACGCCCAACAAGCTCTCTTACAGAGGAGTTTACTCAGAAAAGTACGCATGCAAGTACTACACATTAAATACTACCTAATGAGATAGCATCTATAGAACACGTGAGCTTCCGACTTCAAATCTATGAGAGCCATACTCAATCTTGCTAGCTGTTAATAGGCCTAAGGAGTCATCTTGTAAACTCTTTGCAAATATGGACACTAAGGTTAGGTATTACTATAAAGGCTCGCAACTACCTAGATACCTAATAGACACAATATTTTCTATGGCAGTATTCAACATTGGGGTGATAGTTGTCATTCAATACTTGTGAGATCTACCACTGCCATGTCCTGTGTCGCGTAACTATCTGGGACTGCTGTATGATAATCAAAGGAAATAATAAGAGATCTGTGACTGGTAGAACTCTTGCTCTGTATGTGTTGAACCTTGTGTGCATCTCTCAAGATCCTTCGTCCAAGTCTTCATCCTCGACTACTAGGTGTTAGATTAGTGCAGGAGGTATGAGTTCTAGGGGGCTCACCATCTAAAGTCGACGTGAAGGGCCGTGCTACTATTTTCACAAATTCCGGCGTAGGCATGCTATCCAAGGGGGCTTTCTCTCTAACAATCAATTCTGCTAGGTGTCAGCTCTAAATTAAGCATCTAGTGGGTATCTTCAGCAGATAGCTTACTTGTGGGAAAGGGGCTGGCAACCGGGAAGCCCACGAGCAATGCGGACAGGGCCATATAAATCTTGATAGAAACCATTTTGTAATTTCTTGGGAGTTTTGATGTTTAAGACTTCCTTGCGTAAAGGGATTTGATAGCTTTGTAACAAGAAGTGAAGAAGGCGAAGACACTACCTACACAAAGCAGGTAGGAAGGGTATGTGGGCGGAAGGTGAATTTATGATCACTTGTTAGTCCTCGTCAACAGCCAAGCCTCATCTAGAGCCTAGCCATTAAGTGGTTATGATAAGGCCGAATTCAAAGGTTGCCATGTAAGCTGTCGTGATACACATACAGCCGCAACCTTGTGTTGGTTTGATGATATTGTACCCATGTTGATTACAGGCATCAAAGTATAATCCATTCCCTACCTAACACAATATCTCGGCAACTTAGTAGATTAAAGGTCATGAAGCAGGTAGACCCTTGGCAGTAGGTAGGTAAGCATCCAGGACTATTTTCTATGTTTAAAGAGTAAAGCATACCTATCTAACACCATTTAGGAGACCAGCGCCCAACCTGTCGAATTCAATCACACAATAGCCCAACGTATCTTCACTGCTCTTATTTTCACGTCAATTCTGCGAAGCTAATCTAGAATATAAACGAGACGATGACTATATACTCTTTACTTCCTAGGCAAACTAGCCTAGATGAACAGTACGACGACACAGTATCTACACAACACCTTGATTATGACCTTACGGGATCGAAATCAAGGAAAAGTGTGTCAGGAGCACTCGTACTGTTCCGAGCTTACTACTGGATACTCCATATTCTCGTACTTGTCTTGGTAGGTACACAGTGGAGCAATATGTACCAGGAGACCGGTTCAGTTCTACCTCAGGGAACTACATGGTGTAAGTTTACATATATCTGGGTGTTCTGGGATGGTTCTAACGCATAATTGAACGTCTTACAGCACCTATACAAGGTTCTATACGATATGAACTCAGAAATATAAATGATGAAGGTAGTGAGATAGAAGGAAGGTTTGGAGGACATCCAACTGAGGAGCAAAACATCGCGTGGGACCATCTCATAGATGGTATGTACCTAGCCCACTTAGTGTTGGCATAGATCCTTAGATAGATGCTAATAATTTAGGGTCATTTTTCAACGCAACTATTCAAGAGCTCGAGAGAGCGGGAGAGAATCTCCAGAACTTAGCTGAGTTGACGGATGGCGGATTTCTAGCTACCATTGGCGTATACCATGAACTTCATTGCATTGTAGGTGATCGTGAGCATAATCTGATATTGAACAGGCAACTAACAACCTTCAGCGACAACTTCGACTCTATGTATACAGGGACATATACTATCCGAACCTCACACATACAGGAGAAGGCCATCTACAAGAGCATCTCGGTATATACCCATGCATTCTTCCGTGTGTTAAAGTGCTCAAGACTAACAATATTTCTCTAAGACCATTGCCTCGAGGCTCTACGTCAGACGATCATGTGCTATGGGAACACCGCACTTACAACCTTTTACTGGGAAGCCCCTATCTCTCGGCAGCCGTCAGTGAGGTCGAATTCAAAGTCTTTATGTGCTAATTGGGATTCCATTGAGAATTGGACCTATTCTAGGAAGGTTTCGGTTGACCCAGATTATAAGCGATCATCTGGGAAATAAAAAAGTGGTGTGGAGTGATGTTGTCGTGAGTGTAGAGACCAGAAGGATGTTCCTAAGGGACCAGATACGTAGCAAATACTACATACCTACCTAGTACAGACTGCCTACATACTACTTAGCTGCGTACCTAGGTGAGCAAGTACTAAAATTATTCTCCTCCCAGGTCTCTTCCATCTACAGTACTGCTCGACAAAGATAAGGCATGAAAGACCCTTTGGGTTACTACGATTCCTAAAATACAGGGGTAGACAAGTACCGAAGCGACAGTGACATCGGGCGGCTATTATTAGGCAGAGTATATTGCGACCTCATTCTTTCGAATTCAATCCTTCCCATGCTATTGGTGTCCCTGACGCGTTGGTGCAAAAGACAGGCGAATTTCATGGTGATATGCAGTTGGTTGAACCTCGATCTTGCTCTCCTACGTGTACATCATAAATTCTCTCCGAACCTACTAGGCGCCTAGGTACCTAGATAGGTAAGTACCTACCTAAATAGGTGTGTTGTTGGCTGAGGATTTCCAACCCCAACATCCTTCTTATTTAGGGTTATGCATGCAAAGGGGAACTGGCCCAGGAAGATTTCCCGCTCTATTGGCTCTTCCAAATTTTCCATTCGCAGTAGCGGATGACATATTGGCCTTCAAGGTTTGGCTTGTGTCTAGGTCGTGTGATTCTGTTCACTATACTCAAGTTCTGTTCCCTTGCCTGCAAAAATATACTCACCACTAACACCCTCATGCTTTCGTCATCTTGCCCAGAATTTCCGGACTCCGTTATATTGTCAGGATGTCTAGTCGCATACGCATAGCCATAATTGGCGGGGGCCTTGCTGGCGCTTTCATGGCAAACGCATTGAAAAAGATATCGCATCTCGATGTGCAGGTCTACGAATCTGCCCCTGAGTTTTCTGAGCGCGGCCTCGGCATTGGACTATCTCGACTCGCTCTACAGGCTCTGGAAGAAATCGTTCCTAATGCGACCGACTTCTTGAAAAAGGAGGCAAAAGCAGTTGCCATAGGCGCATCTCGGATTGTGATGGTCTGTAAAGCCCTCACCATATTTCTGCGCGTAGCAAACTAACGCCCATTAGGGCTCTGGACCTGAAGCGGGCACTGTCGTCTGTGACATCGAAGGGGATACCGGGCTGGCGACAACCCGCGGCCCTCTGCTCAAGGCGCTCCTATCCCTTCTACCAAAGGATATTCTCCACGCTGGTAAGAAGCTTACATCACTAAAACAGACGGCCTCCGGCGTAGACCTCACATTCGGTGATTGTACCACCGCTCATTTCGATGCTGTCATTGGTGCGGATGGGATGCATAGTACCGTTCGGAAGTACATCCTACAAGGTGAAGCCGAAGAGCATTTGGCATCGCCAACAGGGCTCTGGGAATGTAGAAATTTGGTGCCTGTCGAGAAGGCGAAAGCTGCTCTAGGCGAGGAGTCCTTTGAGGTCGATCGCGAGTATTGCTGGACTGGAGATGGGGGCTTTATGATGCACGCGCTCGTGGAAAACGGCACGATGGTTCAGTGCATCGTATCAGCTACCGAGGAGGACTCCCCTCCAGATAGGAGGCGGAAAGTCACAAGAGAAATGCTAGAAAATGCATTTGCAAGAGGTTGGCTTGACGGTCCTGTCGCAAGGGGGATGATTGAGGTATGATGTTCCCTACCTGGTTACGCTCTCCTAACACTGCAACTGAACTGACGAGGCTATAGCTCATGTTGGATCAAGAAGAATTGATAGGGTACTCCATCTGGGACCATAAACGCACACCGACTTACTCAAAAGGCCGGGTATGCATTGTTGGAGATGCCGCACATACAGTAAGTCCATATCAAGGCGCTGGTGGTGGCCTAGCTATCGAGGACGCTTTGGTTCTTGGACATTTGCTCGGCGCTATTTCATCAATTAAAGTTATCGACGCTGCATTCAAAGCTTTCGACGTAGTTAGGAGACCTAGATGTCAAGCGGTTGTCGATAGTAGCAGGGCGACAGGCCAGTTGCTCACCGGCCAGGACTCACAGATAGGGATAGGCGCGGTAGATATGGGAAAAGCATTGGGCCCCCTTTTCGAACACATAGATGCTCTGGATCTAGCATCACATAAGCAAATGGCGTTGGATGAGTTCGGAAAGCAGGTCGATCTAGCTGTGTCGATCATTATTTGCACCGTAAATAGAACATCCACCATGATAGCCTCATAAATAAATACCTTCTTGCCTGAATAGGCAGCCAGGGACCACCGTATATACCCCCATAGCCCCTCTTTTTAAGCCCCGCGATCCCAGCGTTCATCAACTTTATAATTGCGCTGCGGCGCGGTATGGACGACATACTGGGTTAGGTAGGTCTAGAGCCCTATGCATATCTTGTCATTCAGGGGTAGGTGTAGTCTAGTGCAACTACATCCTTAAGAAATATCAGACCTAGGTATCTCGCCCGACGCCCATGTTTAATGCAGGAAAGATGCAACAGACGAGCTTCCTAAGTACATAACCATAATAAAGTATACGACGGTCATTAGAACTAGTTTTATCACCTATTTGACTTTCAATCTTTCCCGAGGAAAACGTGCTTGAATGAGACAAAGAACGCTCGTGGTGAGTGATGATTGTATTTCACTAGGGTTGATAGATTATTAACATTGGTGAAGCTATTAAACACTACTTAGGATACAAGCACTTAGCTTCTCACAACTACCACTCTACTATTATAAGTTCCTTAGTTAGGTACCGTGAAGTCTTGTCCAATCTTGTACTATAACCCAGTCCTCCCTTATACAACGGTACGTATCGACTGTGCTCCACGATTAGCACTTGCGTAGGTTGGGGAATCCGCTGGTGTCGCCGCCCCTATGAGGTTGAATATTAGAAAATTGTTCCCATTAAACGTTGATAGAGACAAATAACTTACCTCCCACGAACACAAGCTACACAGCCGTCATAATAATCTCTGTATGCGCTACCGGCATTGCAAATAGCGGGATCATTCTTACGCGCGTTCTGCTCCAGTTGAGCGGCGTTGCAAGTGTCCCAGCATGCACCGGGAGTGTCGCGTGCGTCTAAACTTCCCTGAGGAATAGTTGCAGCTGAAGCCAGAAGACCGGTCTGGAGCCAGGCGACAACAGTGATGATGGATGTTGATCTCATGGTGGATGAAGATGGACAATGACAGGCAATTTGAATAGGTGTTTGATGAAGGCTTAATAAGGGAAATATTTGATGTTGATTAAGGAGCGTATGCTAGTCCATAAAGATCTCTATTGTCTGCTGTTAGTATGGGAGAGAAGAGACACATTATATAGTTGCTACTGTTCAGTCTACCATATGAATATCCCCTTTATTTCAGACTCTCACTCCTATTCGGGTAGCTATTGTGATGTCAATACATTCCTAAAATCTTACGTGAGAAACCTAGGTACCCTATCCCGGTCAGGTTTATTAGATGCTGGAGATGGATCTCTAATGTCCTAGGTTATACTCCCTAAAATGATGCTTCCATACCCCTTCCAAGTACCTAAGCACACAAGCATCTAACGCCTGTGTCGTACGAGGCTCTTGTACTATTACAAATGACTAGCTATTATAGGTAAGATTTACAGTGCTTTCGTTGCTTAATGCTTATTATTAACAGCCGCATGCCTTGCTGTGCCACTGGATAAGGCTATTACCATGGTACGTTTGTATGTCTGGCCCACCAAATAGCATAACGGCAGTGCATGTATAAACAACCTTAAGCCGACGGTCAGCTTTGTAGACCTATTATGAGGCATAGGCAGGACTTGCAAAGTCAGAACACTCCAAGAGCTCATTAAATATATTACTGAGCTGCCTTGGCTTCCTTGGGTGTTGTTTTGAATCCGCCGATAACTTACATCGTATACCTGATGCAGGCCAAAAGGGTAAAGCTTCACACTTGGCAGAATTCCCGGTAATTACGGGTGATATACATGGTAGTCGGTCAGGTACTCAACTAGTTTCCTCGGATCTTCATCTTCGTAATTTTCAACCAATTATGCGTACCATGAGTGACCTGGTTCATGCTCCCCGGGTCTAAGAGGATATGGGAGCAGACGAGGAGATAGGAGACATAACATTGGAGGAAGATGTCCGTCTTGTTTTACTAAGCACAACTTTTGGAGTTAGTTATCACGATAGAATAGATTAGGTTGTAAGAACCACAAAGAATATTTTCTTTTTCTAGCTATGTACGATAAATTTGGCAGTAACCAATTTTATTATCATTCCCCCCATTCCCAACACACTTGTCTCGGCTACCGTTATGATGAGTTCGTGTGTTCTTTCAGTCTAACTAATTCTAATTCGCCTAGAAGTAGACTCTCAAGGAAACATTTGAGCTTTACGATCGTATAGGGGCACACAGGTCGATGGCTTTGACAGCATTTTTACTTGAATTTCCTTGGCTGCGCTGGGCACTGCGGCTATGGACGGTGAGCAACATTACAGCTTGGACGGACGGTATATGACTGCCTTTGAAACCAAAAAAAGAAAATTCACATATGAATGTTTCTCAATGGCAAGATGTATCCCGTTTCCACAAGGCCATTAACGATTATGAGTATCTATGAACAGTATCTATCAACCGGGCTGCGTTTCTAGGAAGCCCCCCTTATCCCATATGTGTCAAGAAGTGTAATATGACACTGTCATATACATCGAAGATACCTACTTACCGTATACCCAAGTTTATGGAATCTACTTAATGGTCGATTTATACCACATCACTCTCTAAACTCGAAGTTTTCTTTCCAAGTGAAAACGTTGAAAGCAGTCCGATTTCTGAACTGACACAAAGAAAGTATTCTTGGCAGAAAGACTTGGCATTAGCCTACTAAGGTGATCATAGGCGTCGTGAGTATTCTGAACCTCCTAGATCCCACCTCTCGAAGCGAATTTCGCCCGAGTTTTATGGTTTCTTCTGCTGCGCCCCGTGAGTTCACAGGCCACAACTTCATAGAATAGGGGTATCACGTGACCAAGGGTTTGCGTGAGCATCTAGTAGATCACATGACTGTTTAATTCTACGTTAATTTATTAAATGAAAAGAAATCTTAACCATCGCAGCTAGTCATAAGTATAAGCCTATCTCTAACCAAGCCAGTTCTTAATACTTATTAAGCAGCTATGATGGCTGGTATATCATGCCTTTTATTCTGATGATAGTTGCATCAGAGGTCACGTGAGTGCCCTGAGCGAGCACATACCTAGGTTAACTCCTAATCCGAAATAAAAGGTGCAATATCTTACAAGTACTCGGGTTGAATAGTGAGAATTTGAGGGATTACTTACATCAATTAAAGTGATTAATATATGTCTTTCTCAATGAAATTGAGCGCGAATGGGTTTGTTGGTATTTGAGAAGTTGTTGCTTATGAAGATCACCGTCAGTACAAGGGTTGAAAGCCACGTATTCCTAACCTTTACCCATTTGAAGCATGCGCTAATTATTCTATGCATGATACCTCTGTAATTATAGCACTACTTATCTAGTAGCTACCAATTTTAGATCTACATGAATCTGCCAGTCTATTTTATCCAGTAAAGATCGCTCTCATAACTCAATAACACCACAACTTTGCCACCATTTGGTTAACATGAGAAGTTATTAATATAAAACCTTAGTTAGTGCGAGGTGAAACTCAGGACAAACGGCATATTAGAACAGAAAATAACACCGAAACCATATATCTATCTCTATCTCCTATGCGGGTTTCCTGCTTGCAGATCCTATGGCACATGCGGCGTTTTGACGCTATTTTCAATCATCACAGTTGTATATACCTTACATGTTTTACATAAGAACATCTCTACTTACCTGAGTAGCTCAAAGAAACAAACCTACGCGAATTTTCAAGTATAAATATTGGTCTTCATCACCGTGAGACTTGTCTTTCTACCTTTCCATAGAGTTCACATCATAAAAGCACCAATTTCAACTGCCTTTACAAATACCAACCACCCCAAAAGGTATCAAAACTTGCCGAAGTCCTCACTACGATACTCCATAACAATAGCCCATCATGCATGCCTCTATGTCTACACTCCTCCTCTGTCTAGGGCTGGTCGTTAATGGGTCCATGGCGTATTTGACGATTGGAAATAAATGTTATCACTCAGGCACAGTTCAGTGCGAGTAAGTATTCGGCTTTAACCAAACCCTAAAAGGAAATCACCCTCTTCAGCTGTGACTAACCATCTATCACGAATAGATCGACTGAACGCGGACAAACCAACCAGCCGATTGTCTGCAATACAAACCATATATGGATCGCTCAAAGCGGCCGCTGTCCCGACCACACAGTTTGCACAGTAGACTCCGAAAAGAACTATGTTTCGTGCAACCCGCGCGATAAAGTTGCTGGGGCGGATCAAATGGACGGAGCTGAGGGTGATCAAGTTAACGAAAACACTGATGAAGGCATTGAAGAGGCAACTGCCTAGGGTTTTTACATGGTATTTGACCCCTATTGGAGAAGACATGGTTAATAGATAGCGGTAGATTGTATATACATTCGTTATTCTCTAATTATTCCTACCTATAAAAGCGTTGTCACGTCCAGGGTGGTCACATGACAGCACCCAATCACGTAAGCAAGATCAGCGCCTACAATCTCGACCCAAATGGCCGGGTCTTCGATCATTCTCCTTTTCTAATAAATTTTTTTTTATATTCGTTAACTGACAAAATTCACTTTTACGTGACTGACCTTGGCAAGTGTAAGCACACTTTACTATGTGACTAACAGATATGTACTTCCCGGGCATATCTACCGAGTAATTTCGAGTAACCAAAAGGAACCTCCACATTGTCCTTGGCATCATTCTCACTGGCTGAGTGGCTGACTAGATGGTCCGGAATTGGCTACCAAGATGCGTTAATGGAGAATCGACCCCCGTCCGTTCCCCATTACAGCTACCCACTTCTCCACAAACTTACCCCGGATTGTCCAGAACCGGAGCTCACGCACGTGTGCCGAGACAATGGCCTGGAAAGCTGGGGAGTGGCCTGGAAACCGGTCGAGTATACGCCGACGAAAGGGCCGATAAACTTGATTTAGTCTCGTGGCACGAAATTTGGGAAGTCCTTTATGGAGCGCCGCGTTACCGTGGGCCGCGGTTCGGTCAGGAGATTGAATAAATATAAGGGGGATTCCGACTCTTCTTAGAGAGGAGGTTTATTCTCTGTACGCTTAATCGTCCTGTTATTCGCCAAAAAAAAAAACGCCATGACTTTAGGAGGTAGACCCTATCGGGCCTTGCTCGCCCTTTTGCCGCTCTCATCATGGCTGCTAGGCGGTTCCTGCTCTGCAGTTTCGAATCCGACGAAGCCGTCGTTCTTCCCTAAAGGAACAATGAAAGGTGCTCATCAACTGCCCTACCGGGATGCATCGCTATGTATCGACGATAGGGTCGATGATCTCGTTCGGCGCATGACACTCGAGGAGAAGGCTGGCCAGATGTTCCACGCCATGTTGTTTATGGGCGCTAATGGCACATTGGACGCGGGGAGCGAAGAGGCTCGACGCAACAGCACCGACTTCATGATTGGCGACCAGCTAATAACTCATTTCAACCTTGTCGGCGACATCACCGATGCGCGGGAAGTGGCCGAGTTCTACAACCGGGTCCAGAAACGGGCCGCGGAGACCCGCCTCGGTATCCCCGTAACTCTATCCTCTGATCCCCGGCACCACTTTACCGAGAACGTGGGAACCGGGTTTAATGCAGGACGTTTTTCGCAGTGGCCCGAGACTCTCGGGCTTGCCGCGCTTCGAAACGCGAGTCTTGTGCAGAAGTTCGCCGAGGTTGCCCGAGAGGAATATCTCGCTGTCGGTCTCCGTGCCGCGCTGCATCCCCAGGTCGACTTGTCAACAGAGCCTCGATGGGCACGAATCTCCGGTACTTTTGGCGAAGATTCCGAACTGACAGCTGAACTCCTAGCTGCGTATATCAAAGGGTTTCAGGGCGAGGAGCTAGGAAGCCGCTCCGTAACGACGGTCACGAAGCATTTCCCCGGAGGGGGCCCGATGGAGAATGGCGAGGACTCGCACTTTGTCTACGGGAAGAACCAGACATATCCTGGAAACAACCTCGAGTACCACTTAATCCCCTTCAAGGCGGCTATCGCGGCCGGAGCTCGGCAGATGATGCCTTATTATAGCAGACCTATTGGTACCGAGTATGATCCTGTAGGATTCTCGTTCAATAAGCAGATCGTCACAGAACTTCTCCGTGAAGAGCTCGGCTTCGAAGGAATCGTGGTGACTGACTGGGGCTTGATCACCGACACCGAGATCTCCGGGCAGGACATGCCCGCGCGCGCGTGGGGCGTTGAGAGCTTATCCGAGCTCGAGCGCGCGACGCGCATCCTCGAAGCCGGGTGCGACCAATTCGGCGGCGAGACCCGTCCCGAGCTCATCGTCCAGCTCGTTCGGGAAGGCGTCATCCGCGAGTCGCGCCTCGACGCCTCGGTGCGCAAGCTGCTGCGCGAGAAGTTCGTCCTCGGGCTCTTCGACAACCCGTTCGTGGACCCCGAGGCCGCTGTGCGAATTGTCGGGAACGACGAGTTCGTGCGCCTCGGCAACGAGGCCCAGCGCCGCGCGTACACGCTGCTCAAGAACCAGGACAGCGTCCTCCCGTTGAAGAGCGTGGGCCCCGACACTAAGTTCTACATCGAGGGCTTCAACGCGACGTACCTACAGAGCCGCAACCTCACCGTTGTGGCCGCGCCCGAGGAGGCTGATTATGCGCTCCTGCGGCTGGAGGCGCCGTATGAGCCCCGGCCCGGTGGTTTCGAGGCGGGCTTCCACGCCGGCTCGCTCGAGTTCTCGGCGGAGGAGAAGGAGAGGCAGGCGGGTATTTACTCGGTTGTACCGACGATCGTGGACATCATGCTTGACAGGCCGGTGGCAGTGCCCGAGGTGGCGGAGGGGGCCGTGGCGATGCTGGCTAGCTTTGGGAGCAGCTCCGAGGCATTTCTAGATGTCCTCCTGGGAGTAGCGGAGCCGGAAGGGAAATTGCCGTATGACCTGCCAAGGTCAAATGCCGCGGTTGAAGCAGCGATGGAGGATGTGCCGTTTGATACTGAAGATCCGGTGTTTAAGTTTGGTCACGGTTTAAGATATGCGTAGTAGTGCACTAATAGACTAATAGGGGTTGGATTGTTATATTTACACTCATGGGCAAGGTACTGGAGGAGGTATGTTGTAATGATATACAGTGTGGATTTATTGACATAGGAAAATATATACTGTCCAAAGCTACCCCTATCTACCCCTATTTACCCCAACTATATACAACCACCATGATAACAGTAATCTATCTATACCTAAGTACATGTAAATAACCTAGGAAATCGTATGACATATTCAACACATATATCGTGCATAAGCACACACGTTGCCGAATATTCTCTATAGCGGCGGCGGGGGTCCAATGTAGGGCTGCAGCTTCTTCCCAGCAGCATCAAAGGTCATGTCCTCGTAGCCCCAAGCTCCGAACTTGCTGACATTAGGTCCGACATTCGGGCGCGGGAGCTTCAACCTGTCGGGGGTGGCGAACCCCTTGCCCTTGGGGCCGCCGAACGCTGCTTTCATCCACTCCTTGTGGTCCTTCTCCTTGTCGTGGTTGTTGATTTTCGGGTAGTTGGTCTTGACTTCGTTGGACCACTGCTCTGCCACCTTCTCGATCCGCTCGAGCTCGCGGTCTATAAACTCGGCATAGAGCGCGCGCAGCGAGGGTTTCAGCTTCGCGTTCTGCCCCGTGCGCTGGGGCTCGCCCGGGTGGTTGTTCTTGTCGCCCCAGGGGTACTGCTTGTCGAACTCGTGCATGGTGTGGTCGATCCAGTTAGACACGCGCATATACTTGTTCCAGATGGAGTCTTTGGTGGGCGACTCGATGTGCTTCCCCAAGTACCGGAACACCGCAACGGCCTATGTATCTTCTAGTTAGCATCATGTCATAGCAACTGAAATCTAGTATAGGTGCGTTCGGTTTAAACACTAACCTCTCGGACTTCATTCCGTGCCGATTGAACGTCTTTATTGTATTTTGCCCTGAAGCTTTGTGGCATGATGCCTTTCTCAAAGAACTTTCCCTTCTTCGAGTTGATGCTAGCCTGAAGGACAGCAAGGTCTTTCTGTGCCACCGCCTTCTCCCTACGGTAGTACCCCTCTGCGCCGTCGGATCTCCCAAAGCCATATGCTATCACTGTCTGTAAGTAATCCCCATTCGTCTGGGTTCCCAGCTTGCCCGGGCTTCTGCCCACGCTCTTGATCATGAAGTTCTTAGGGTCCTGCTTCGCAAGCACCTTTTCGACCCAGTCTTTGCTTGGTTTCTTGTGGGTTCCAACGTCATTGCCGTCAGCCAGCCATACGTAGAACTGAGAGATTGTCTGTGCTTCGAATACATGTTCGGCTGTACGTGATATGACGGATTAGTGACCCCAACTCTTATGAAAATGTCAGACAGAAAAGGGGGAACTTACTATGGTACTTGTAAGTGTTCATTGTGGGGAAATTACTTATAACCCTAGGGTCCTTAGACAAGGGGTCAATCTGCCGAATGCCAGTAGTCTTGCATTCATCGTTCTTGATCAGGAATGCCTTGGCGATTTCTGGTTCCCGCATGGCTTTGGCGCAGGGAGCGTATTTACCAAAACTGATGGTAAATTTCGATACTAATTCGACTGCGTTTTCTTTGCCTGAGCCCTTTTTTTTGCCTCTGGCATTGAGGGACTTCCCATCATCGATGTTGCAGGCTTCCGGGTCGTCCTCCTCGACCACGGCACACTGGGGGCCGGCCCGTCCATACATCATCCCCCATCTAGCCTCCAAAGCATCTTTCTTGACCTTCTGACTACGGCATGGTGCACAATCGGTCTCGCTCTCTTTGTCGCTACTAGCTGTCTTGGATGCGCTAGACTGGTTCGTCCTGGTTGGTTCCTTGGTCCCTGTATTAGTTTTGGGAGGGTCGGTCACCTGCTTCGTACGGTCGGCCGTCTGTGTTGCCTGTTTGTTCGTTTCTGAGGGCTTATTTGTAGGCGTAGGCTTCGTGTCATCCTTGTTACCCGTAGGTTTCCCGCCATCCTTGTTGGCAGGGGGCTTCTTGTCAGGTTGCTTGCAGGACCCCTTCTTCTTTACACATCCAACGCTGGCACCGAATTCCGCGTCGGGTGCGTCAAGAAGCTTAGGATATACCGTTGAGCCAAGTAGGTCTATGTTCATGGGCTCCGCCGGCTTGCAAGCCTGGGAGACCCAACCGCCAAAAAGGTCGGTTGCGGTCATACCATTCTCAGCAACAGATTTAGCCGCTTTAACAGCCCACGAAGCTCCTCTGACAATCTGGCCCCCTGGAAGAGCCGTGATGGCCCCTTCGATGAGAAAGTCGACAGCACTCAGCACGACTTGGCATAGAACATCGTCAAGTTTCTCTAAGCCTCTGGCTATGAAATCGATCAACTCGTTGCTGAACGCTTCAACAACCTCGTTTTGGCATTTGCACGTCGCTGGTACATACTTGTTACCCTTTTCGTCTTTCGTATAGCTTCTATACCCGTCGAAATTGAAGTCGTTATACGCGCTTCGATCACACTTGAGCAAAGGTCAGCAAACTCGAAGTTTTATGATGCCGAGCCCCTGAGTAACAAGGCCCCTATATCAACTACTCACCTCAGCGTAGCCGTGGCCGCCATGATTGTCACAGTATGTGTTACACGTGTCCAAGGGATCCCAACTTCGTGCTCCCTCATAAAAATAGGGGCAATGACCACTCTTCGCCATTGATGCCCTAACATTCTCGTCCGACGACGCGGACACTTGAACAATGCTGAGGGAGCCATACAATAACCATAGTGGCGAGGTCACCCTCATCGTGGACGAATCGCTAATATTCTTTGATATAAAGATGCTTGAAGAAGTGAAATAGTTGTATTTGCTGGTTCCAAGTCGTGCTGAATAGAAGATGCATACACAGTAGAGATAATGTCAAATCTTTGTGTTGTCGACGTCGTTATATACGTTGTATCCATCCCCTGCTTCAGATATCATCGAGGCATATCCCATGCCTCTGCGGCGTGAATGAGGCTAGTAGTCATGGTAAGCGTCGTAGAAAGAAGAGCACTAGCGATCCTGAAAGGAGTCCATCGTGAGAGTTGCATTGGAGGCGATCTCATAGCAATTCTAGGAAGATAGCCTTGTATGGATGACACAACTTAGGTAGTCCGCGGCTGCACCGCCTTGGGAATATTCGGTCCGCAAAGTCTCGGCATTCTATTCTTAAGATTCCTGTCTCAGGGTAGGGTATAGATTTACTCTATCATAACTATAAGATTTTGGCAATTCAGGGATGAGTGACTGTTCATGGAGGGCGTATGTAGTTCCTCTGCCAAGTTATAATAGGTCAGGGGTAACAGCCAACAGGTAGGTAAGCGTGTCACCAACGTGAATGAAACTATTTCTAGTTTACCTAAGTATACATAAGAATATGCCCTTCTAGGTATCTTGCACGGCGATGAAAAGCAAGAATCGAGCCTCGTTCTATAATTAAATAGAAATCTTATATCTCCTGTGGGTAATATCTGGAAGATCACTGAGTAATATCATGGGGTTTGCGAATAAGCCCCCATCATTGTTCATAGGCATGTTGGAACTACCAGCACTATCGTATATCTCAAGCCAAGCGGTTAAAAAGTACTGGGTAGGTAAGCTTACCTTCAAGGTTTCTATCAAATTACACCATTGGTTGGACTTTACGGTAACAATACAGTACCTACATGCCTTGATACTTGCATGCAGGTGTTCAATGAAGGGCTCTATCTTATACATATCAACTGCTGGACTTGGCATTTGGCCGTAGTTGGTTCCAGGGCGCCTAGAATTACGATACTTGGATCCTTTAGTTTGATCGATCAGAAAAGTACCATCGATGGATCATTCCGCTTGCTATGCAGGGTTTGTTACATACTAGGTACTGTAGATACATATGTATTCTCGAACCATTGCCGTCGCCAGGCTATTAATTAGGTACTAGGTAGTAAGAGGCTTGTCTTATTATTTAGCACGTTGCTAGGTGGCTACGACTTAAGGACTTAAGACACTATAACAATGAGCTCATAACAATTGCCAAAGGTACCTAGGTGTAGATTGGGCCAATAATATTAGTTGTCAAAGTCTCCCTTGCCCAATATGCCCATGTAGATCTTATAGTACTCCTTTTTCATGACATAAAAGAAAAGGCCCCCAACTATCTAAGCTGGGCTAATAGGTTTGAACCTACCAACAATTAGCTAACTATAATCTTATATCAATCCTATATTTATAGAATAATTACATTCTCATTTGTCTTTTTGTCTAATTGTCGACGAACTTCCCAACGGGTCGTATAAGCTTAGATGTCCCACGCAGGAATATAGGGCTGACAGGGTACTTGAATATCATTATTAACCCAATTCTCTTCAGCGGGTTAAATACAACGTTGAAATGAAGATAGGGCTGTAGAACCACTTAATAGACATTTAGGCTCGTGGAGGCGGATGAGGCACAGCAAGTCGTTCATGTTACTTCGTTCGCTAGATGATCGGCATTTCTTGGAGTTGGAATGCGGCTATAAATTCCGTTTGCTTTAGGAAGGTAAGTGTTTGCGAAGAGCTGTTGGCTTGGCTTTCTTATTTGTATTACGTTTATGCAAGATTCAATGTTGATAAATAGTATTACACCCTTAGGTATAGCCCCCAAAAAGAAGACTGAGGAAGAAGTCAGATAGACCGACCCTTTTTATTTTTTGTTTTATTTTTAATTCTTTTTACTTTTGTAGGAGATCTCTAATCTTTCAGGAGCTCTCTCCTTTCAAAAATTCCTAACGCTACCAAGCCAAGCTACTTAGTTTGAAGTAAGATATCGCAATCATGGAGGGGATCACCCCTGGCACCATTGTAGAACGGGCACCAAACCACGATCCCAACAACTACTGCTTCACAGCTTGGGAATACCTGGAACCTGCGGAAGACGACACGGATGATGATACGGATGATGGCACGAACCATGGGGCAACTCCAAAAAACCCTATCACCAGGCATAAATGGTCAATTCAGATTTATGTCACTATACCCGAAGCTAGCAACGAGGAATATCTACGTGCGCTAGTCCGAAAAATCCACGATGAGACATTGCAGATACGCGGCGGCAGCGGACGCCATGCCCCCGATCGTATGGACATGTACGGCCTGCCTCTGCCGCCCGGTACGTCTGAGGAGGAGACGGTTGCGCAGTGCGTGTCGCACCAAAAGCACGAGATCGCAGCCCGCAATGCGACCGGGCGCAGCGACTTCTTCATCCCGCCCACCTTTGACAACACCTACAACAATCTGATCTTGATCGTCGACCAGCCCGAGGAGAAGTGGAATGAGGGAGAGGGCGGCTTTCTCGTGGTCCAGTTCGATAAGCTGCCCCAGTACAAATCAGACCAGTCGGATCCTTCCTGGATGCGGGTCGACTGGGATTACCTGGGTCAAGCGCTTTGGCAGTTCAGAGAGATGATTGAGTGGTTCTATGATAGCTATGTGTACGATGGCACCATGGATGAAGATCTGGAGCGTTGGCACCGCGAATCTTTGGAGAAGACAAATGCTCAGTGACGGTGTTGGCGTTGCCGGCCATCGCTACAGCGTATCAACTGTCATACTCATACTGGGATTGGCTTCAACCAGTATAGAAATATTGGCAGCCTGAGTAAGCCAATAGACTTACCGCTAATTAGATGGTTGAAGGGGGGAGTCAGTATGGACGGTAATTCAGGCCAGTTTAGGTGGAAGCATTCTCCCTATGCGGTCAAGGGATGTAGACCTAGCTACCTATCACTAGTTCGTTCTATAACTACTGCTACGCGATTGCGCATCTAGCAATAAAAGCTTCGTCGTATAATATGGTATCGATAAAAAGCCATTGTAGCATTGCCCCTCGTTGCCGCTATCGTATACTATAGTGCTTACATAGGCAGTAAATGAACTGAGTATACTAGGATGAGACATCTTGGCATACAAAAGGATTGAAGCCCATGGAATAGAGCTCGAATAATATACGAAGATCCGATCAGGATCATGATGTTGAGATCAAGTGCAACAGATCAATATGACCAACAAGATGACCAACATTGAACATAGTTCGTAGGCTAATAGCTAGTAGGGCAGTAGGGCTGGGTGGGGGTTTAAAGGGCAAAAGGGGCAAATTACCTGCCTACTTCGGTAGATACTTGGGCGATCGACCAGGTGCTCGCTAGGCACAGATCTTACTGCATAACTCCCCTACCTAGTACCTGGGCTACATACCTGGGGTAAATAGCCCTGGAGCCTGGAGGATTGAAATGGGCCAAGGCGTTGCTTCACCTACCTACCTAACCCAGAAGGCTAGAACTTCCAAGCTTACCTAGGTATTTATACCTGAACATCGACACAACGCCAAGATGGCACAGAATAAACAGTTCGTCGAAGAAGCTCACAAACCCACCCCCATCCCGAGGCCACGGCGGCTTCGTAGCTTGGTAATCTGGAGATTCCTTGTCGCCGTAGCCCTATTATCAATCCTACTCTTCAAGGCAGTGTTGTCTTTCCCGGTTTTCTGGCGCATCGCCCCCGAAAATCGCCCGGCCTCTTTCTCTTATTGCGGTGAGCGCATCGCGTGGGAGGAATGCGGCGACCTCCATGGACGACCGCTTGAATGCAGCAGCATTGACGTGCCGCTGGATCAATTTAATGCATCTTCTTCTCGCGGCGTGAATCGCAAATCCTTCAGCATCCCGCTGATTCGCCAGCGCGGCCACAATGCCACTCAGAATCTGCTCCTGAACCCCGGCGGGCCTGGCGGTAGCGGGATTGAGTTTATCTACCGGCGTGGCGAGCAGCTGCGCGCTATTGTCGGTGAAGGGTTCCACCTATTGTCCTTTGACCCCCGCGGCGTCAACAGCTCGCGTCCACAGGCTACGTGCTACCCCGACGCTGAGACGCGCCGCGAAAGGTCTCGCGTACGCGCCAGCAGGGTCGTGGAAGACAGCATTGAGGCATTCGCGTGGTCGCACAATTTTGTCAGGGCATGCGCCGATTCCATGGGCGAGTACGCGCCGTACCTCAACACGCCGCAGACGGCTTCCGACATGAACAGCATTCTCGACGCGCTCGGACAGGAAGACTTGGTGTACTGGGGTTTCAGCTACGGCACGTTGCTGGGCCAGACGTACGCGACTCTGTTCCCCGATCGTTCTAAGCGCGTCATCATTGACGGCGTCGCGAACCAATTCGACTGGTACGAAGCACTGCTCGATAACGAGACTTTTGAGGACACGGAAAACGTGTGGGATGGCTTTTTAGACGAATGCATCAAGGCTGGCGCCAACTGCACCCTCTCATCACTGGTGAAGTCCAAGGAACTACTAAAGGACAAGCTATTCGCATTCATCGACGACCTAAGAGAGAGCCCGCTCAGCGTGTACATCAACACCACCGTCTACGGGACCCTGGACTACGAGACGCTCTGGTACAGGGCCGTGTTCCCCGCGCTCTACAAGCCCGCGACCTGGTACGCGCTCGCGGACCGCCTCGCCTCGCTGCTGCAGGGCAACGCGACCTCCGCCTTCCTCGCGTACGGCCTCGACGAGCCGTGGAACATGGAGGGCGACTCGAACGACTTCATCACGCACAACGACGGCGCGTCGGGCGCGGCGCACTGGCCGCAGGACCGCAGCGCCGCCCTCGACCTGCTCATCCCATACATGAACACGAGCCTCTTCGCGCCGGCCGAGTACGGCGGGTACTACACGAAGCAGCAGTGGCGCGTCCCGCGGGCGCACAGCTACGTCCCGCGCTCCGGCGTGCAGACCGCGCACCCGCTGCTCATCCTCTCCACGACCTACGACCCCGTGTGCCCCCTGCTCTCCGCGCGCTCGGCCAACGCCGCGTTCGAAGGGTCCCAGATCGTCGAGGTGCAGGGCTACGGACACTGCTCGCTGGCCGCGCCGTCGACGTGCTTGGCAAGGCACGTGAGGGCGTTCTTGTACAATGGCACGCTGCCGGATGGATACACGCAGTGCGAGGTCGACGGGCCGTATTTTATCAAGCCGGAAGAGGACGGGAAGGTGAAGGCGCAGAAGCACTTTGAGGATCCGGAGGAAAGGGGGATTCACCTGGCGCAGCTTGAGCTCGCTAGGGATTGGGAGTGGTAGTTGGCTGTCTCGACGCTTGTGTGTGCGCTAGGTGCAATATGGGACAGATAAAGGCGAAAATCAGTATTTACCCCTATTTAGTTTGCATCCATGGGTGTAATGCTATTGGTTTCGAGGATAGACTACTAGTATTTAGTTGGTAGCTACCTAGTCACCTCCTCGGGCCGACACGCTAGGATCTGATCGGCGAGAAAATTTGACTCGACTCCATACTTGCTATCCTTATTCGTAGACCGAGATCGCGCAGCGGCGTAGACATCAACTCTCGCGATGTAACCAAGGGATCTGTACTTACTATTCCCAACAAAGAATAGTTACAACAGCCATATGCAAGGGGAATAAATGGAGTGCTTAGCAGGCGTAGCAGAATTGATGTTGAATTAGAGTTTGCCCCTTCTTTTTTTTGTCTTCCTTCGCTACGATTGTATGCATCCCTCAATATGTAGAGCCTTGGGCTGGAGTGCGGCGTTGACTTACGTGTAATAGTGCAAATAGGAAAGGAACTCACGACCTACCTAACCTAGATTAGTAGGTAGCTATGTGCCTATGTAAAAAATCTAGAGCTAGCAGGATGGTATATACGTAATGGATCACAAAGCAATGATAAGGGCATGAGGAGGAGTGATGAAACGACAGGAAGGTTGGTGATAGTTTATAGTTTAAACTAACCCCTCAGGAAGTAATGCATCAATGCAGGTATGCACTATCACTATCAATACAGGCGATACGTCTCTAAAATACGTTACTAAAATACTTCCAAGACACTTATAATAGGGAGACGGCGCGAAGGAGCCCCTTTCGCGACCAAGAATTAGGCAGTGCATCAGGTACATAGGTATCACAGAACAATCTATCATCACAAGAACTCATAAGAAGACTTTCAAATAAAATTAATTATATTTGAACTATGTATAAGAATTACTAGGAAAGGATCGAAACCGGAGTAATCCTCATTTGCTTCCCTCCCCCCCTTTTTTTCATAACCTTAGCCACCTAATCCGTCTAGCCGAAAGACTATCGTTGAGACTCGTTAATCCGTAAGCAATGCATCGACACCAAAAGCCAGTTTTTTTTGTGTGTGTAAACTTCTTTAGTGAATTGAAAAGGAATGTATTAAAAGATGCTTGAATACCGAAGAGAATGTGGTAGGTAGGCGTAATTCACAAGGCTAGGACATCAATCTGCTTGACAGTTCAAGCAAAACGGGTGGGTTTGCGAAGGAAGCGGCTTTTTGTTTGTTTGTTCATAGGACGGAGACGCGCTTCGCCTCGGCTTTCTTAGCCTTGGGGACGGTGACGGAGAGGATGCCGTTCTCCATCGAGGCCTTGACGTTCTCGGTGTCGATGCGGGTGGGGAAGTTGAAGCTGCGCGAGAACTCGCCTACGCTGCGCTCCGAGACCCAGAACCGGGACTTGGGAGCGGCAGCAGCGGCCTTGGATTTTTCTTCGGTCTTGGCGACTTCCTTGGCCTTGCCCTCGGCGGCTTCGTCCTGGACGGTGGCATGGTGGTTGTTGTTCTCGCCGCCCTCGGTGATGGCAGCGCTCTTCTGGGCTCCCTCGAGAGTGGCTGGAGGGGTGCCGGACTGGTAGGAGCGCTCGACCTTGCCGCGGACGGAGATGGTCTGGTCGTCGGTAAACTCGATGTGGACGTTCTCCTTGGGGACGCCGGGGAGCTCGCCGTTCAAGTGGTAGGCGGTCTCGTCCTCATGGATGTCAAACTTGGGGGTGATGAATGGCTGGACGTGACGACCAGCTCGCTGGCCCTGGACATCGCCGGACTGGGAGGCATACTTGTCGAAGTCGTCAATGAGACGGAAGAGTCCCGAGAAGTTGGGGGAGTACTCGGGAGTGTTGTAGAATCGTGGGCCGAATAGCGACATTTTGCGTGTGGTGTGTGGGTTGACAATTACTTTGGAGATTTGTCGTGGTAGTTTTGAAGTGATAGCTCTTGAAGCTCTCATGAAGAATTGTTTTGATTTCTTTGTGTTGTGATGGTGATCTGGGGAATTCAGAAACAAGTTTCAAGCGACGTCGAGACCTCTTTATCTACTCGAAGGCAGAGCGTCTAGCATTTTCTTGACGTTTCGCGCGCGACGCAACAACGATCCCCACCATCGTCTGACTAAAAAGAATTGGGAAACAACGAGATGAATGGTACCGATGTTTCTAGACTTTTCAGGTCGATCGTAGTTTACTTGGCTATCGAAGGTTATCGAACAATCATCTCATCTTCACTAACGTTGTCGTCGCTTCCGTCCACTTACACCAAGCTTCGCGGACCCACCAGAACGTTCTACTGGTTTCTGCAGCCCGGACGTTTTGCTCCTGCACCACTTGGAGTCATGCAGTTGGTTACGCAAAAGAAAGTCTATGATACTATTATCGCCTGATCAGAACGATACTTCTTTATTTCCATATTTTTAATTGAATTGACACGTTCGACAAATATTCTATGTTGATAGAATAAAGTTGATGTCGGCGCTTTCAGTACAGTGCATCTACACAGTGCGCAGTCCAAGTCAAGGAGTTTCGCACGGCGAAGTCCATCCCCCTTTCCCAAGTTTTCCCAAGTCTGTCCTAAATACCTACCTTTGTGGGTAGGGAAGTTTTTGGCATTCACGTCCAAACTTTCCAATTTACCTAGAGTTACGAGTCTCGACGTCAAGCCTCCTATTCAGGTAAGTCTCAACCGAGACAGTTGAGGTTTTGAACTTTGAACTGCTTCGTCAACAACGATGGGCAGAATCATTTCATGTCTGACATATCTGAAGACTTAGGCACGGTCATAACTTCTTTTACATAAACTTCATGGTTTAAAATTTCCCACTTAATACATTCCCTTTTGCCTGATCCAGGCAATTCTGTATAAAACTAGTGCCTTTAGATACCTCGACATCATATACTTGGGACTCGGGAAGGTGTCTCTGCTTATGTCCTCTCAGCGTTGATATTTAATTGTAACTTGCAAAAGGCTAGGAGTTCATTAAGGACTCTCTTTGACATTGACATTGACGTCCGTTAAGTTGACAGAGGCACCATTTGGCATTTGTAAGTCTGGGTCAAACATACTTCGGCGACTTTCGGCTTCCGGCACAATCGGTATACTAGAGAATTTAAGATACGATTTCCAGGAGAGCCTAGTGCGGGTATCTTATTCTCAGGATGCAGAATGTACCACAAGTCGATTAAGGCCTGGTCCCCAGTGTTGATCAGGTCAATATGAGTTAGACTGCAACAGCAGTATCGCAATCTGCCATGATCAGGCTGATACCTGTTTCTCTCTATGGTGGATCCCTAGGTATGTATGTCAATGGAAGGTAACACTTAAACTGCTATAGGAACTGACTTAATACGTTGGGGACATAGCGTGGAGTGGGCCTCGAGATATTGAAAGGGACTAATGACCCCTATTGTCTTATAGCATCGCAGATCGCGGCAAGAGAATACCTGTAACGAGTTCTTTGTCAGATTTGACTTGCCTTCTAGAACAAACTAAAACATGCCACCTTTTCATTATCAAGCATCATAAGGGATGAAGATAAGTTATAGGTAAAGAGAGAGCATTGCTTCAATTTTGAAAAAAAAAAAGAGAGCAGACCTCTGTTCGAACACAACCTTGGAACTATTGCACGGGCCTTGGCATACGGCAATGATAGAAGCTGACATTCTTCCCATTTTGTCTTCAGTCATTGTTGTAGCCGCAACAATCATCATGATACCTCAAAGTGTTTAAGGTTATGATGGCTTCTCGTGCGGGCTTCGATGCTCATATCGTCAAATGGAGAATAGGTGGAATACAGAAGCAAAGTCTGGCGTCCTGAATCCTGATAAAGACGTAGATTGCGAATCCAGTTTTCCACCTTAGTGGGTTCATGTAATGAAGTTTGTCACACATGATTGGGGTTCACTATAGTGTCACAAGAATTATGTTTGCCGGTTGCTCATGAGAAATAAATGGCCGAGGTCACCTCGAGTCCCGTAAATCGAGACTTAACTGTACACCGACTGCACACCGAAGCTTTTGAGGCTAATACTTGAAGAGTTTAACAATGGGTATCGCAAGAAGCTTACATGCATGTTGTACGCAGAGAACCATACGGTAATGACCTATGTATCATCTAGTACACGAGGATGAAAGAAACAAAGGAGTACAAATGTAACTTCCAAGGTACCGGGTACCTCTGTCTACTGAGGCTCGTTTGATAGGTAAATCATGTTTTGGAAAGCGGCCGGAGAGTACCGGAATAGCTATGAGGGTGGCAGTAGACAGCTTCACTTTTCTACACCTAACGCATCTTGATTAAATCTGATGAGGGTGGTCGTACACATACGATACACTTACGAATCACGATCGATTTAAGGTAGTTAAATGTACATACTATACTCAATACGTGGGGTAGTATTCGCGGACGGCTCATGACATAACCGGCCCAAGGGGCATGCGGGATTACATGCATATCATGAAAAGCGCTAACCTGAGCCTGCCTTGAGGTATTCTGTGATTGGCCTGATGAGCTCACAAACGATTTGTTTCGGCACACGAAATAAGCTGGCAAATGCATATCAATACCAGTAAAACTTACATCCCGCGCCTCTCAGTTTCCTTTTCAAGTACTAATGTTTTTTTAATCTTCATTTTAGTGTTTCCTGATCATCAATATCCGCCTTGGCTACTCTTTAAAAGGCGTTAGTGTTGGTCGTCACGACCCGTTCAGCCCATTGCTGTCGTCAGCTTGGTTGTGGCTGAGGACTAACTAACTAACTGTGGCGAAAGACATCTTTGTGACCTGGTGCTGCGTAAATTCGGGACTCGATCGGCAATTCTATTTATGGATATGTAGAATGTTAGGTCTGGAGAACCTTGGTATTCAGCCTACATATGCACCTTTTGTTGCAAGACAACCACTTGTGCGTGGCCTTTGAATCTTTCTTGTCGTTCTTAAGCCACATTATTTGCAGTGGTGTAAGATAGAGTTCGGTTCATGATTCCGCTGCAGTGGGAAGGGACCTCGAAATGACCAGGATGTCAATCAGTTAATCACTAACATTGAAGTCAGGGTTGTTCCCAAGTTATGAAACTTCAAGCAAACGACGTCATTTATATAATGTGGTACAGGCTCACACGCTAGAGTTGCTGGGTGAGCTGGGTCTACTGGGTCCTGCTGCCGGGGTGATGGCTAGCGTATGTTTTACATCCCTGCCTTATTTATAGAGTTTTGGCCGTTGTACCGTTGTACCGTTTAACTCTTAGGTAACTAGGTATTTTTTTGCCTAGGCGACTTGGGGTAAAAGCGAGGTAAGAGGGAGGGACAATGAGGGGCGCAAGCAGCTACTACTGGCCTTCGCAATTTGCTTACTGCGCCTGGCTTTGTTGACTTGAAACAGGCAGACAGAACATCACCTGCCCTCTCAGCCCTTGGATGCATAACATTTCATTATTGCCATTATTGCCGTTAGTTATTACTATTGCACCCTTGTTATGTTCAACGTCGCTGCCCACCTGTGAAGTCCCTTGACACTTTTCCTTAGGTGAAACCCTTGAATTTACCTTTTTCGTCAAGCATCTTTTTTCCCTTTCACGTCGACCCCAATCACTTTCATCTCTGTAAATCCCCCTGGTTACGAATACCCCCCTTGATCTTATCCCTCGAGTCTTCTTGAATTACTGATTATTGGACTCGTCCTTTTCTTCCAAGGAGAGACCATTTCCATCCAATATCCTTCCTTTATTCGTTGTCATTATCACATATACACCTCCCACATAGGTATACTTACACACAACACACATTTTAGCCGTCTCATAGCCGCACTCGGTAAAGTCATTCGCAAACAAGAAAGTCTTTTCAGGGTCAAGGGTCATTTGAAGCTGGGGCAAATAACCTCTAGAAGGTTACTCTTCCTCGTTGGCCCCATTCCATACATGATACTTGCATTCCACCAGTGAACTGGACTGGGTTCTCTCCTTGCGACCACAATCGCATAACCGACACTACGTTCGCTTTTGAATCACCCCATAACAACCTTAAACAACCTTAACCGCTTAAGGCGCCTGACCTGCCTGCAGGAATAATATACGCACCATGTCGTATAATCGACTAGGTATGTATCATCCTCTCCAAGTCCTAGTCACTTCTTTGCCTTTTGCCCTCCCTTTCACTACTATTCTTTGGTGCCGCATACAAGCTTTGTGAGCAGTCACAGCCTCCATCGTTCGCCTATGTACAACTTCGTTACCAATAATATCCTATTGTGTAAAGAACAAGTACTGTTTCGACTTTCTTTTGTCCCATTAAAGGCGACGTAAATTCAGTGGCGCAGGCGACACACGTAGCTCGGAGAGCTTGGCTACCCTTATCTAATACATACCTATCCCACAACCGTGAAGTGTCGGCTTGAGCTAGACTAATTCTTACAAACACCTTCTCTATAGACGACGACTACTACGATCCTACGATGGATAACAATCATAGAATAGGACGTACGCCTTCGCCAGGCCAGCCTCTTCAACATGGATATCAGCTTGATGATGTGCCATACGGACATCACGCAACACCTGCCAGTAACCTCGACATACCTGGTGGCCCAGGAAGATATACCCCGAGCGATGTTCTTCCATTAAACGCTGCGCACTCTACCGACACCCTTTCGCAGAGTCCGTATGGGCATGGCCAAGGCTACTCCGAATATGCTGTCAACCCTGAGCAGCACCATGATGCATATTATAACCAGCCCTATGAACCACACACTACCACCACACCATTCAGCGATCAGCACGCATATGAATATGATGACCAGCGGCCAATGCTCGCACAGAATGACCCTTATGCGCCAGGGGGTCAACCACAGCAAGAACCCTACAGGGACGAACCACGTAACGCACCAATCAAGAGATGGAAGACGGTAAAGCAGGTGCTCCTATACCGCGGTAACTTGGTTCTTGACTGCCCAGTACCACCGCGACTCTTGAACCAGCTTCCCCACGGCGAACGCGATGAGTTTACCCACATGCGATATACAGCAGCTACTTGCGACCCGAATGACTTTTTCGATGAGAATTTCACTTTGCGCCAAAAGCTTTTCAGCAAGCCGCGACATACGGAACTCTTCATTGTGATTACCATGTACAACGAAGATGATATCCTCTTTGCGCGGACCATGATTGGTGTTTTAAAAAACATCGAGTACATGTGTAACCGGAAAGAGAGCAAAACTTGGGGGCAAGATGCCTGGAAGAAGATTGTTGTGTGTGTCGTGAGCGACGGGCGTGCGAAGATCAATCCCCGAACGAGAGCGCTCCTTTCCGGTATGGGTGTTTATCAAGAAGGTATTGCGAAGCAACAGGTCAACAGCAAGGATGTCACGGCGCATATCTACGAGTACACTACACAAGTCGGCATGCAGATCAAGAACGACGTAGTACAGCTGATACCCAAAAAGCAGCCAGTGCAGATGCTATTCTGCTTAAAGGAAAAGAATCAAAAGAAGATCAACTCTCATAGATGGTTCTTTCAGGCATTTGGTAAAGTTCTCAACCCAAACATTTGCGTGCTTATCGACGCTGGTACCAAACCGGGCGGAAATTCGATCTACCATCTATGGAAAGCCTTTGACCTTGAACCCATGTGCGCTGGTGCTTGTGGTGAAATTAAGGCTATGTTAGGACGAGGCGGCAAGGAATTACTGAATCCGCTCGTTGCGACACAGAACTTCGAGTATAAGATGAGTAATATCCTCGACAAGCCGCTCGAGTCAGCTTTTGGTTTTATCTCTGTCTTGCCCGGTGCTTTCTCTGCATATCGGTATGTCGCTCTGCAAAACGACAAGAATGGGCTGGGCCCGCTGGAGAAATATTTTAAGGGCGAGACCCTACACGGAGCCGGTGCAGGTGTTTTCACGGCCAACATGTATCTGGCTGAAGATCGTATTCTCTGTTTCGAGCTAGTCACGAAGCGCAACTGCCACTGGATCTTGCAGTATGTGAAGTCTGCAACGGGCGAAACGGACGTACCTGATTCCGTCACCGAACTCATCTTGCAACGTCGCCGTTGGCTCAATGGCTCCTTTTTTGCTGCCATCTACGCTATCGCGCATTTCTATGAATTCTTCCGTTCGGATCATTCTATTCTTCGTAAGCTGATGTTCTTCTTGGAATTCGGCTTTCAGACTTTCAACATGATCTTCGCCTGGTTTGCTATTGGCAACTTTTTCCTGGTTTTCAAAATCTTGACGACAAGTCTCGGAGACGATAAGCTACTTGGTCAGGTTGGTGATATTCTTGGTGTAGTTTTTGAATGGTTCTACGGTATTTCCCTAATGGCTTGCTTTGTTCTATCCATGGGCAATCGTCCAGCTGGTTCGGGCAAGCTGTACACCGCTATGGTAATTTTCTGGTGTGTGATTATGATGTAAGTCTATCCATTATCTTCCAAACTAAGCTCATTTACTAACATGTATACTTACAGATATCTCACGTTCGCCGCGGTTTTCATCACCGTTATCGCTGTCCAGGAGCAAGTCGCGAAAGGCTTCAATATCAGCGACATATTTAAGAATAAGCTCTTCTACTCGCTCATTGTCTCGATGATGTCAACTTATGGTCTGTGGCTAATCGCCTCGCTCATGATGTTCGACCCATGGCATATGATTACTTCTTTCCTGCAATATCTACTTTTGACACCCACCTACGTCAATGTTCTGAACGTTTACGCGTTTTGCAACACGCATGATATATCATGGGGTACTAAAGGAGATGATAAAGCTGAAGAACTGCCTACGGTCGACACGAAAGACGGCAAGGGTAAGACCGATTTGCCTGACGAAGGAGATTTGAATGCTCAGTATGAGAGAGAACTGGCGGTATTTGGCAAAAAGCACGTAGACGTTAAAAAGCCACCAAATGACGCCCAAAAAGCTGAGGCTCAGATGGATTACTACCGCTGGATTCGTTCTCTGGTCGTTCTTATCTGGATGATCACCAACTTTGGTCTAGTGGCTCTCGTGCTTAGTACTGCTGGCCTCGAGAGACTCAACCCTCAACAGACGGAAGATAACCAGGATTATCGTGCAACACTGTATATGACGATCATCCTGTGGAGTGTTGCTGGACTTAGCGCTTTCAAATTTATCGGCGCAGTTTGGTTTCTCATCGTTCGTATGTTTAGGGGCGTTTAGAGATCTATCCGCGGGTTGGTTTCGGATTCTTTTTTTCAAGGAACCAGCCGATTGTCATTTCTGTATGCGGAAGCTTGGGTGGCATGCCTGCGTTGGCGTCCCCAAGGGGTATTACGTGTACTCTGATGGTTTGGGAGTAATGGGGAACGACTTTTATCACAATTATTTCAATATTGCAATGCCTACCTAGGCGTTCACTATTACTTCGTCACATCTTCTACTCGCTGCTTTGGTTTTTCTTGTAGGCTTGTAAACGACCATGGCTTCTTAAGGGCGACGTTTTTCTATGCCTGGATATTTTTCCCCATCTTCTTTTCCGCAATTCTTTCTTCTTTTATATATACCCCCTTTTTGTGTAGAAGAGACGCAACGAAACGAAACGAAACGATAGCAGCACTGGACTTTGCGCTTATGTTTGGAAAGGAAGGAATAGGTTGTGGTATAGTTGATTAGGTACCTAGTTGGTTGTATGGTAGACAACAAGGGAAGGGAAGGGAAGGAGGGATAAGTTTCGAGTTTTGTATTTAATGTACCTAGTAAAGAGTCTGAGACGAATATATGATGAGGTTTGCTGGTGTTGCTGGAGTATGAATTCAAAATTTTCTCTTGATAAGAGTGTCTTCCTGGTGGAAATGAATTGCGACTTAATACAGTAGGTTAGGTACCTACCTAAATAGCTTTTTGTGTTGTGCCGTGCGATGGGGACTGTTTTCGAATACTGCATCACCCCCCCTATTTATTCAAATTCTTACCCAAACCCCATCCATCCCCCATTTACACAGTCACCCGAGGTATTTGTCAATTCACGCATAATGGATGTAGTCTATACCATAGGTAGACATTATCATCAACAAGTTAATGCCAACAATGTGTCTGTATCTTCACATACATCTACCTAGGACGTATCAAACCTCCCCCCCCTTTTCCCCTTTCCTCTTATCCCTTTTCATACGTATGTAGGGAAACGTGGGCACATACATGATCTTACTCATCAAGTCTAACCGACTTTTCCTTTTATACCCAGGTAAAGCGGTAAATACCAGTACATAAAGTAGTCGTAGGACTATCGATATTGATAGGTTACCTCTGTTTGATAACTAGGTAGGCATACAACTAACAGCAGAGAATCAAGGAACCTCCCGCCCCAACCTTTCCAGCTCTTCGCCGATAAACTCGCGTGCGTTGAGGAGTTCCGTGCTGCCGTACACAATCCTCTTCTTGGTGCGTCCGCCCGCCTCGCTTGTTCTCCGGACCCATTCCTGGAGGTTGCCGTACTCGTCCATACTACCACCCCCGACCGTAAATACGACGGCTTCGGTAAATCCTTGCCTGCGCTGTCCAAAGCTGGCGCCTGTTCCGGGGCCTTGAAGGCCAAGTCCTGCAGCGCTCGGCAGGGAACCGGGCGCGTTGGCGACTGGTGAAGCGCCAGCCCGCATGGCACTTGGCGGGGGCATGGTACCACGCGCGCTGGCGCTGCGCGGGTCGAAGTAGAGGTAATTTTCGGTCTTAGCGATAGCGGATGTGGATGCAGCCTGCGGGTCCATAATGGACTCAACGATCTTGGTGATGGTAAAGTCACGATCGGCGGGTAAGAAGTTTTTGATCCCACCGATTAAGTTGTCGAAGTTTGACGCTAAATTCGTGGGGACGCCAACGCCTGTTTCCTTCAAGCGGTCCGTTAGACGGCTGGAAAGGGAAGAGAAACGGCCGAATAAATCTGTGGAATTAGACTGCGTGGCAGTTGGTTGAGAAGGCCCGACGGTAGTTAACTGGGTCATCTTCGTCGTGGCCCGAACTCTGCGAAGGTATGTTAGTTTGTCTTTCGTGAATTAGGTAAGAATAATTGGAGGTTCAACGCACTGTCGGACATATGCAAGACTGGTACTATCCGCTCCTGCAGTTGTGAGAGCCTCCTCGAACTGAGTCCAGTCTGCGCGACTGACTTCTTGCTCGGTACTGAGGAACCAAATTATAAACAAGCGGAGCTTGTCTAAAGGATCGTTGCCTTTCGTATCGTCTTTGATAACCTCGAGTATCTGGGCCTTGGTCTGCTTCATGACGTTCTCTTCTAATTGGAAGTAGTTGTCTAACTGCCTGTCCTTTATGCCCCTTAATAGAGAAGCGAGGATATTCATGTGCATATCTAACACGGCCTTTCGCTCCCTCAATTCTGGCAACAACGTTATCGCAGCCTTCAAATGTTGTGCGCTCGCGCTTGTGTCATTCTGCAAATCCTCTATTGAAGACGCACCCGTTTTCTTGGTGATTTCTTGAGCATCCTCCTTGTATCGCATCAACTCGGCGTCAATGTCTTCCGCGACTTGTGGAAAGGGAACACCTGAGTTTTTTTCCCAGAAGAAATCGGTGGCAGTTAAATCATAGGCCTTTTTGGTAACGCCCTTTGCGGGGTTGTCCTCATCTATAGGTGTTTCGATGGTAATCCGATTTAGCTTCATATTAAGAACATCGTGTACGAGAGATTGGTATGTCCAAGAGTGAGAGAGCATGGGGTTTAGGTCGACGTTTCGATCAAGTATAACGAGAACCGGACGAGAGGCGGGCGTATTCGCCGACGATGCCGAACGAGTATTGGAGGAGAACAGGTTATCCTTAGAGTTGAGAATATGATCGCGGAGTTTTCGGTCTAGCTTGCCGGCGATCATTTCCGCAGCGGCTCCCTTGGGACAACGTATGATCGGGATAACACCTAAAAACATTCTAATTAGCTCCCTACGCGACGAAAATGGGTGTAGAAGCATCATACCCATAGTTACAGCAACACTGAACAGGCCACTGACTATCTTATCAACAACATGATCTAGCTCCTCGTCCTTCGTCTTTGCGCTATTCAATGCCCAATATGTGTGCTCTTTTTGCATTCCCAAGCTAAACAAATCGGGCTCGGCAACTATGAAATTAAGATATTGGTCGAATAGTTGAGCGATATGTTCCGCAGTACCGGCTGTAGCAGTTTGCGAGGCGAAGTCTTCGAGAAGAGGGCGGGGTATAGACGAGAGGAAGTTGATATACGCCGGAGAGTATAGGCCTTTTTGTAGATCACTTGTTATGCCCTCCAAGTTCTTCGCATTAGGTTCGACGAGATATATGACCGGAACATCGGGAATAGGGTGCCGGGAAGTGGCGAGATGCCTGAATAACCACCATGCGTTAGCTAATCAGAGAGCAGTATAAGGATATACTTGGTTATCTGTACATATGCATAGTAACGCCCATGGATCGCAAGTCATTCACTCGTAGGACACTGCTGATTACGTCGCGACCAAGGTCATCAAACACCAGGACTTTCCATATTGGTTCGCCATTAGCTGTTAATATAGGGCCCGCTGGGGCCAGCCCGTTAGCATGTGAATCATCTTCGTCCTTCTGGTCGAGGACTTCGTTTAAGTTGAGGATCTTTTTCAGGGATACTAATAATAAGTTAGTATGATAGATATTTATGATACAAGGCGGCAATTCGCTTCTGGTGTCTAACCGATTTGGCGATCGCGCAAAGAGTTTCCTTTGACTCCAGCCATGAGGACGATGATCTCAAGTTTTGAGGGTGTGACCTTTTCACAGCTGGCTGAGTTTCCAACCTAGTATATTTGACGCTGGCGCGGTGCCGTTGAGGGTATATTTGTCGTCGAAGTCATACATGTAGGAGGCTGAGATCGCTTGGGTATGTACCTGGGTGGGTGTAAATACGTCGGGAAGCTGGGAGCTTTAGAAGAGGTGCGCTGAAGTGTATCGAAATGTGAATTTGACGTGATGATGCCAAGCCTACTCTTCACTCATAAATGTCTACCATATCGTACCTAGGAGGTTTCGCAATATATTCTATGGTATTATGTTTCAGCAATATTATTGTCGTCTTGTGAAATCAAGTATGAGGGTGTTGGTTATGGCGAATTTGGAAGTGATAACTAATATTGAAATATGGAAATGTCAAAGGTGTGACTTGTAAAAGTACAAAATAAGTGCATGTAATCTATGTAGCTCTTTCTCTCTTCCTGCAAATGACACGACTTTCAAATGACATAGCCTTACATGTGCGAATTGGCTGTGGAACCCAGACTTAGCACTGTCCTCTAGTACCTATCATGTTTGGATAATAACTGGTTTAAAGATAGTACTATGCAGGTAAGCAACTAATTTATACATGAATGAAAACATTCAAAATTGCACATGTGGGTTACGCACCTACATACTATGTACTGTACCTACTTGTAAAGGCTACCACATGCATGTCATCCAGCTTGAATCCTCCCATCAATGAAGGTTACTTACTAAATTAGTATCTGGGAGATGGTGGCAGGTACGCCAGAGAGGAAAGTGCGAAGCACTGTGGTCATATATTTAAGAACATTTTAGTAGCAAAGTCTGATCCTTAGATCTTATCCTTTTAATATACAGGTCCACCCACATTTATCTGGTAACCCCCCACCGGAAGAGCTATGGTGATAGCCTTATTTTTGGTTTTTGGTTTTTTTTGATAATTGGGACCTTTATTGTTTTCAAAGTTATTTTAATCCTTTTATTGATTAAAACGTTATTATTAATTGAAAGCTTTGTTTTAAAAGTTAACGTTTATTTAAAAAGTCGTTTGTTTTAAATTATTTAAAAGTCGTTTAATTAAAAAGTCCACAGTTAGTTTATTTAAATTAAAAAATTTAAAAACCGTTTATTTAATTTAAAAAGCCCACAGTTTACTAGCCATTATGGCTTATTTTATTACCTCTTATATAGGATATATTATACCTTATTTATCCGATTAACCCTTTACTTTAAAAGACCACACTTTTAGCACCTTATCGCTGTTCTAATACAGCGTTACCTATCTTTAATACTCATTAAATAACTATATAATTCAGGAACGTTTATATTAGAGCTTGTTGGCGCTGTTAAAACAAAGCCTAAAAATGCCTGAGACAGGCATTATTGTCCCTCCCTAGTAGATAGTGGCAGGTATGCCAGAGAGGAAAGTGCGAAACACTATGGTCATATATTTAAGAACATTTTAATAGCAAGGTCTGATCCTTAGATCTTATCCTTTTAATATACAGGTCCACCCACATTTATCTCTGGGATATCTACACTATTAAGTACCTACATGATACATGCACTATGACTATGTAGCACATTAGCTCGCCAAGTAGATACTATGTAAATACGGCGTTTAATGGTTTAACTAAGTATTACATATGTACGTATATTACATATAGCACATGTGTCTAATTATAGTGATTATGTTGAGTACATAGAAGTCAAGTTGCAATAACTACATATGTAAGTCAAATGGTTTGCCAGTAGTCAGGTATAAATGCATATGATTAGCTTTTATCTACATAATGTCTCATCAATTGATGTGCAGTACGCCGTAGGTGTGTAGGTACATGCCTTCCCAAGGTTGGCTGGTAGGTACGCTATGAAACAAGGAAGCCGACATACCGACGCTACTCTCAAAGGTCCAACCACAAAAGGTTTAATGTGCCTGCTCCACTTTGGGCTATGGACTGTTTTCCTTCTTCCTTTTCTCTTGCTCGGCCCCAAAAAGCTTGCAACGCCCATTCTTCCTCTTCATCCACAACGCGTCCCCTTCCTTCCCACCTACTATTATCATCACCCAACATCCAAACATCCATCAACCTTTCTCTCTTTCCCATTTCCTATTTCCCATTTCCATTTACCATTCATCACCTTAACATCTACCATTCTCAACATACCCTCCGTGTCGCAACTCCGATCCATATCTACCATAATCCATCATCTGCTTCGTCTGAACAGTAAATAATCTCATAGAGGAGGAGGGAAATCTTCTTTTTCTTCAACTTGATTTGGCAGCTGTACTCGGAAATTTGTGCCGGTCTATCGATCGCTCCGTCGCTCGCTCACTCATTCCTCGATTATTCAATTCTAGCAAGCATCCAACACTTACCTCCAGTACATTGGCAACCCTTCATTCACCAACCAGGATTCTTGAGATAGACCTTTTTTTTCTCTTCTAAACCAACCAAGGAGATTTTGTGCCGTAAAGTATATCTCTCAATAATGAGAGCATGACGAACAACTGTATTCTTCATAAGAAGAATCAGGACAGCATCAGCTGGTATTAGCCCGGCAAACGTGGAACTGGAATAATTAACTAAAACACTAAAGGGTATGAAAATAACATTAACCTCTCTCCCTTCTTTCCTTTAAGTCTTCCCTTAAAATTTCCCATCTTTTGCATTGCCTTTCAACACTATCATCTACCCAAATGTTTAAACAAAGAGCATGTGTATACACAATATGTGCGTGTTGCGCCCTGGTTGATCATTTGTTATGGATTCTCCACCCACCCACCCGCAAACTCCGATTTTTGCATCACTTGTATTTGCATCTCGGCAGGGGAAATTTGGGCTGGCAGCCATCACAAGATAAGGGAGACGGGGGCTGCATCCTCACTTTGGACTACATCAGAGCAGAGCATTCGAGGGATGCGACTTGAACAATGAAAGTTCTAGTGACCATTCAACATCTAACAAGTAACTCCTAAATTCCCATCTTTGAGAGGGACGGAGGCTGAAAGGCGCTTTTTTAAAAAAAAACCACGAGACATCAATGTAGTCTCCTCCAGAAAATTCCCCAACTTTGAATATGAAGGCACTAGCAGTATGTCGGAATCGTTCTGATTTCGGCTACTGTTGGGCTTTTCATCCGTCAATTTTAATGGTCCCAGTTGTTCACAGCCAAGAGTTCTTGAGCCTCTCCAGGAATCAGAGATCTACCTTATGCCAACAAGTCGGCCAAAGGTTTGGGCAGAGACAGTATAGCGAAAGCACATGCAACCAACAGCCATCGCCAAATCGACTCTGGTTCCTACCTAGATATCGAGCACCATAATTTACAACTATGCAATCTCGACCTTAACTACAAACTTACCTATAAGCTAAGGAGATATCGGCAATATGGCTGTATTACATCTTGTCATAGGAAGTTCTGTTTAGGTCTTGACGGTTCCTAACCACTATTCAGAAGTCTCAATACCTATCCTCTGATGGATGTGCCAGTGTCACTCACCCTCTGTCGACAGTCGAAACCCCATTTATTTTGGACTACGCCCCACCTCAAAGAATTCATTCATCATGTTGTCTAACCAAATTTTATCCATCGAGTGCTCTGGCTTTTAGAACCCCCCCTTATTCTACCACTGAACCTATCCTCATCCGTGTTATATTTGTTCTTTTCTTACTTTGCGCTTGAGGCCAAAGCTGATTTGTCTATCTGCAGGTGGCTTAGATTTGCGCTCTCTATTCCCGATCCGGCCTAATCATAGCCTGCAAGTCCCAGCCGCTTTTTACAGGTCTATTCTAAGCACACCCCTTGTGTAACCCCAGTGTTTTTAAATAGACACCCTGGTTGTCTTTTTAATTATCTAATACAACGCCTCTACTCACAATCGCAAAAGACAACGCGTTGTTATATGTTTTCGGCTTCATATTCAATGATAATATTGTGCAGAAATAAATCAGCTGTCATAATTACTAGTAAGTGTTATTGTTCCCATTGTGTGCATCTTAACGGGGAAAGCCGACAAGTAACACGACCCCTTTTTCTTACGAATTTTAGGGGCGACTTGATACAGCCGCCCCACCACCTTAAATACTTTTGGCTCTGCTAGTCTTTTATGCTAATGCGCCCAGGTCACGTGCTTCCTTTCAACCCTCGCATTCCTCACTTCTTCCATCACGTGACATCCCTCAGCCTCAACAGACAACCATGACCCAAAATGGCCATGGGTGGCAAGACAACCCCTATGCCAATGACATAGGTGGTCTGTCTAGTCACGGAGGAGGAGCGTCAGGAGATCTTGAAATGAATAATTTCAATAACTTCCAACAATATGGAAATCCGTCAAACCAGACCTACGAAACACCAGTAACAAACAATCAATACTTCGCCTCACCTGGGTTTTCCACCTATCCGCCTGTCCATTCTGAAGGTCATTTCGGGAGTGAAACATTTGGAGGAGGCAACATACCAGATCAGGCTTCTTATTACGCGACTGCTCATCACTATAATAATAACACAGACTCCAACGGAAGTAGTCTACATAGTCACGGGGCTCCAGATCTACAACAGCAATACAGGGAGACACCTTTCAATCCCCACCAGGGATATGAAACGTCATATCAAAATCAGCTTCCAGCTGAATATGTTTCTGAACAGCCGGCACAGAATCACGGCCATGCTCATACTCCTACTTCGTTCAGTGGCCCGTCATGGCAGGGCACACCAGCTCAGCCAGTCGCAGCCCAATTCAATCAGAGGCCTATGAACTTTGAACCTCACAATCCTCAATCCATATATCAACAGCGGGCACACATCACACCATATACAGGTCTCCAGAATCCTCAACCTAGCCAGAGGGGCACAGCGTTCGTTCCTGATCATAACACTCCAGTAATACCTCAACAGATGATGAATGGCTTCGACCCTCGGAATGGCCAAGCTTACTTCAGCCCTCCATCATCTCAGCCTGTATTGCCGCAGTTTGAGGGATCGCTACATGACGATGGACAACTCATGCAGAAATTCCGAGCTACACCTGCCGCCACTCAACAGCGCCTCATGGATGGCCCAATGGCTGTTCACTTTCAACATCAACAGACGCGCGGCGCCATGCCGACAATTGTTCCTCAACCTACACCTAGCAACTCTCAAATTTCTCAAAGTATGGACATCACAGTTCAAAAGGAGCATCCTTGGGAGCGTCCAGATGGGTGCCCTTTCATATCAATCAAGAACCCGCCAAAGACTAAAATCGGTACTTTTGCTTCCATAAAATCTTTGCCCATTAGCTCGGATAAACCATTTGTTGTTAAGCATGATACGCTTAATTTGCGCGTTCTACCGCAACGCCGCACTCGGTTACCCTGCGAAATTCAGAAGGAACGTGATGCACTGTCCGCCAAAATTCTCTCGCCTAATTCACTATCGGAGTCGGAGAAGCAATTAGTTGAAATTGAGATACAGCGGCTGGACAATGAGCCAGTTGTTGTGGCAGACAGCGAAGGTAAATCAAATCCCCACTTTATTTCTTTTTTCATGTACATTTGTTCATATTCTCGATCTCGTCGACGTCTCAAGTACCTATCTCTCAACTTTTCATTACGCTAATTCAAACTTGTAGCCTCCAAACCATTAAAAGAATCAAAACCAAAAGCGACAAAGCGGAAAATCTCCAAGATGGATTCTACCACCAAGAAGATTGGAAGCTCAACTAGCAGCAGTGACGACGAGGAGAACTTGGAGGATACTACAGCTCGCGAAGTAAGCATTTCTGTCTATCTGCGCCATCCAATTGCCCAACATCACTAATATTCTCCTTTCACTAGATTAAGCTGAAGCCGCGCCCTGACGACACCCTCAAGGCCGTTGAATATGATATCATCAACATCCTCTGGCGCGACCCAAAATCACCAGAGCCTACACAGAAAGCTGTCGGAGACAACATTCATGCTTTTGGGAACTATGTTACAGATATATGGACGAAAAGCAAAGATCTCAAGAGTGATCTAGAGAGAGCGCAAGAAAAGAGCGATAACGCCAAACTAGAATCACTGCAAGCCGCTCTGGAGGATACATTTGCATCGATTCGCACTGCTATCGAGACCGCCATCAAATATGGTGATCGCTTTACTCTGACACAACTCGGCACGCATAAGAAGCTGCTCGGGAGTCTGTCTATCCTCTTGCGAAATCGATTTGCATCCGAAGATTACAACGGCTTTTTGCCAAAGGCTATTCTCAAACTTGTCTCGCTTTTCGTCACCGTGAACACGGCGTTCCTAACCGACAGGGTCAAGTTGGATCGTGTCAGGCAAAAGTACAACCACTATCTTGATGAAGAATCTAAGGCATACATGGAACAGATATTTGATAACGCTCGAAAACGTTCCATGTTAGAGGCAGAGGATATTCAGGATGATGGTAAAAAGGGAGACGACGCTAAGAAGGTCACTTCAAGCATTACTAAGAAGTCATCGGCGTCGACGAATGGCAAAGACGGCTTACTTATGACCAAAGCACAACCTTTGAAGAAAGACCTTCCCTTAAAGAAGGCTACTACGGAGATTAAAAAAATACAACCAATCGATTACTCTGGTTTGGGATCTGCGAGAAAGGTGAGCAGCGTGGCAGCAAAAGCAAACCCTCAGAGTTCTGCCAAAAGGCCCGGAGACGAAGACATGGATTCACGAGCTCCCAAAAAAGCTGCTACAGAGAGTGCTATGGGTGTTCCAGCAACTGCCAAGGCACTATCTACTTCAACTTCAAATACGTCGCAACCCGCATCGACAGCAATTACACAAGCTCGGTCCAGGCCGAGTGGATCAATGCTCCCAGGTAGAGCACGTATACCCACTAAATCGCTGCCCAAAAAAGCAGCACCGCAACAATCCAGCACTTCCATTATAGGGGGTCTCCTCGATCAGATTCAAAAGCCCAAGGAGAAGCCCAAGCAACAAGAAGAGCCAACAAGGGCCCCTGAGACTCCGGAGGAAACTAAACTACGACTACGCAAGGAGTCGCGAAGGCATCTTCGCGTCACATGGAAGCCCGACGAAGAACTTGCCGATATCCGGGTTTTCGAGCATGACACAGCAGAAGACAAGGGTCGAGATCATAACATGCTTCGAGATGCTCGTGATAATCGCTCCGAAGGCCAGATGTTGAAGCAACGGTTTCAGGAAAATGATGACGAGGATGAAGAGGAAAAGGCCAAGGAGGTCGCCATCCGTTCCTGGTATACCCCCACACCGTTTCTATCTGAGCTGGCAATCTCTGATGAGTGGCGGACGAAGACGTTTGTTACTCGCGGGGGCACCCGTATGGTTGATTCAATGCAGAAGAAGGTTATGGAGAATTACGAAAGCCGCGAATTAATGACGATTTACACCAGCGTGTCTGAGATTCCAGAAACACCTCGATCGCCACCTAGCAAGGTCGCCGAGACTTTCAAGCAACCGGCTATATATGTTCTTCCATCAGACCTATATAGATGGCAGGAATCTCTTCCACCAGACTCTCCTCGACGTGCCGAGATTCATACTCGATGGTCTGAGTACATCCAGCGTGGACCTTCCATAGCACTGGAGAGTGCCCTGCGCCGATTAAAACTCGCATCTAGTTCTTCTCCTGCTGCACCACAAGCATATCCTTCAAACAGACCTACTCCACGTACCGAGCAGGAAAACGCAGCAGAGGTTCTCCGCCTTCTTACGTTGGATAAGATCAAGAGTTATGTCGACCCCGATCCGTATGATCCAGCAAATCCGAAGACCCAACGCCGAAATGATTACGCGGATCCCAAGGTTCAAATGGATATCGATTCCCTAGAAACAGTTTTTTCCCAATTCAAAGACAAACCGTTCCCTACGACCGAACCGCCGGAGCATATCCAATCGAACCCAGACCGTGTTGCAGAATGGCACGCCGGCCGCAATCGGGACCTTGAGGCACAACGGCAACCGCCGTCACAGCAGCCGTCACAGTACTCGCCGTCGATACTATACCCGTCGGCTCCCCAGCTGCCGGATCAATACGCAGCCATCATTCAGCAGGTTAAGGCCATTCAAGCTAGTCAATCCACAGCTCAGCCAGCTCAGAGTGCTGTGGCTCCCGTTCCTGATCAGCTTGATCCGTCTGTCCAGAACATCCTGGCAGCCCTGAGACAGACAACTGCACAGCCTACTGCAGCGCCAGCTTATGCATCCAACTATGCATATCCACAAGGCTGGAATCCGACTCAAGCCCAACTCCAGGCTAATAACGGTTATAACAGTTACGGGGCCCAGCCCCAATCTACTTCGTCTATTGCCGCGCAGCTGCTACCTCAACTCTACAGCGGCCAGTCTCAAGCTACTCCCGCATACGAGGGCCAAGCACAGTCTAGCCAAACGCCAGACATGCAAAACCAACGCGACAATCCCGACCGAGGTAATCGCAAAGACTTTAATCGCGGTGCCAAAGACCACAAGGGTATCAACCGCTCCTTGATCGGCACCAAGCCCTGCACCTTCTGGGCCAAGGGCCAGTGCGCCAAAGGCGACAAATGTACATTTCGACACGACCCGAATGACCTGATATGATTCGATCGATTCGGGGTAATTAATAGCCTCGTTCTACTAGATAAATAATGAGGAGGCGGATATTCAAAAGGAGATCAGAGAAAGAGAAAGGGGAGGGGTTAGGGGGTTTATCAGGGGTATTATGGGGATGGGGTATTTGAAATGTAACCAACCAATCATCCGATGCATGCATCTGTGGGCGTTCTCGCGACATTGCATTTGTAATTTTGGCGGTCTAGGGTCTATGAACTAAGGTCTAGGGATTAGGGAATAGGGAATAGGGAAAGGGGCCTGCTTTGTTTTTTGCAAGCAGTTGGGCCTTCTTGATATTTGCTTTCATTGCTTTGCTTTGCCGTTCCACTTCTTGTGTCTTCCCACGTTGTAGAAACGTCGTGGAGGATTGGAAGAGTCCGGTCTGCCTACCTACCTACCTACCTACCTATCTAGTAGGCGCAGGCACAGGCAAACGAACGCATATGACAAGATCGCATATGGGATGAGGCGTTTTGCGCTTTCCCTCCTAACCCCCTAAACTCTGTTGGTTTTCGTTTTGGTCCTTGTATAAGGGACGGGAATGGAAATGAAATTCATGGATGTGTATAGTAATACCTACTACTGCTACTGCTTTTGCTACTGCTATTGCTGTTGCTGTTGCTGTTGCTACTGCTGATACTGCTACCGCTGCTATTGTTATTACTTTACTATTGCTGCTGCTGTTACTCAAGAACTGAATCATGACCACCACCCCCTTTTTATGTATGGTATGACATGTTTGAGGTCCGTTTCTGCTTGTCTGTCTGTCTGTCTGTCTGTCTCTGATAGGCTTTTCGTGACTTGCATTTTCATTTTCTCGGCGCTATTTTCGCACGTCAAGTCAATATTAAATCCCAATTACTCGATTTTTCTACAATTTAGTCTCCTATAATAACTACGTCCTCAATTCCTAAATTTTCAACGAGGCAACGATATCTTCCAGGGTAAATATACTCCCCATAACGCCTGTCCTTCCTATGTAAACCCGCCATCATTGAAAACCCCCCCCCCTTTCTTAGTAAAACTCATACTACAGCACACTCTCAACGAAAAATCTCACCCCTCCAAGCCCAACCTATCCTCAATAACAGCCACGATATCGCTCCACTCCATCATGGCGCCGTCGCCCACATCGCCACACGCCAGCGTCTTCTGTCCGGGCCGGAGCACCTCGAACCAGCCGTCCGTGTCATTCTCCTCGTGGTCTGCACTCTCGCCGCCGGGTTGGGGTTTGGCCTGGGCTGGGAGTTTGGAGTGGACGCCCCATTCGTCCTCGAGCACGGCGAGCTGCTTGGCGGTGATGGGGTGTCGCCACATGGCTGTGTTCATTGCGCTGGGTAAGGGGGTGGTTGGTTAGCGGTTTGTGCATGCACATGCCACGCACACACACACATAGAAGGGAAGGGGGTCGGTCACTCACGGAGCGACTAAGATGCGCTTCTTCTGCTTCCGCCTTCGACTACCACTGCCGCCACCGTTGGAGTTGGGGTTCGGGACATCGAGATCCCCCCACGCGTCCCACGCGCGCACAACGCTCGTCAACAGGCTGTCGGCGAAGCCGCCTACGATCTTGGCCATGGTGTTGGCGCTCAGGGGTGCGATGACGAGGAGGTCGGCCCCTGTTTTTTATATTAGCTATTTCTTCTTATACCCGAAGTATACAGAGCAGAGGAGGGGGGGGGGAGACTTACACCGTCGCAGCTCAATATGCACAATCGCATCGCCGCGCTTCCACGGCTCGCGCCACTCGTCGGCGTCGATGTAGACGCCATCGACGCAGTCCATGGTCAGCAGCGAGGACATGGGGGGCTGCTCGTGGGACTGGCCGGCGAGGAAGCGGGAGGCGGAGGGGGTTAGGAGGACGCGGATGCTGAGGTCTTTGGCGGTGGCGCCATCGGTGTGTTGTCGCTGCGCGTGGTTGCGCGCTAGGGTCGAGATGATGAGGGGGAGCTTGATGGTGGCGACGGAGCCGGTGGCGGCGAGGAGGAGGTGCGTTTTGTTGTCGTGCAGGGAGGAGGTCAGGCTCGCGAGGGAGTTCTTGCGCCGCCGCTCGTGGTGCACGTCGTGCTTGGGGGATATGGATTGGAGCATTTTTCTTCTTTATCTATCTCTTCCTTTCTTTTGTTCTTGATATTTCTCAATGGGTAGATTATTAGGTAAATAAATCACAATTGGATCTTCTTAAGAATAGTCGGTCAATATAAATTTGAGGTTGTGAAATGGAATATACAGCTCATATGTGGCTGGGCTTGGCTTAAGATAAATACAATTGTGACGATGGCAAGTTCCGGGGGATATGGAGGACGAGATCGGAGCTTGTCAGGAGCTTAAGCTCTTTGTTTAGATAAGCAGATCACGAGTGAGGCAATTCCCACGTTTAAGTGAAGCTTCTGATCTTTGTATGTAATGGACTTTACTAAGTATGTAATTAGAGTCCAGGGTACTATGCAGCGTTTATTATTACCCGAGGTAGGTTCTAGATAGGGCTACGGGTAGGTGTCCAAGCTGGGTAGCTCGATGCGGGACAGAAGCACCTGGGCACTTAAGCTTTTCTTTCTTTCTTTCTAACGGCCGGGTCCAATTGGTATTAGGGTCATACTGTCGTGGTTTTTGTATTTTTCAACCATGAGGTAAACTTATGTTGGGGCCGGCCACTCAAGAAATTGGGGTTGGTCATATGATACTATGTAATGTATTTCTCCAAAGTTTAAAGTGGCATGACGCGCAGTCATTATCGATTAGCTAGCATACAGGCAAGGAAAGCATTGCAGATGAGGAAAGGCAAGTGAGGGGAAACATAAAAATGCATTGTTAAGAAAGAAAGGAAAGGGGTCACCAGTTTTTGCGATCGAGAGCTCATTGGTCCAAACTTAGCACAGCAAAGCAGCAAACATGCCCACACCGGCGTATTCCGTACTCCGCGCGGGGCAATGTATTGAGGTATCCATAACTCCGATATCCCCGAAACCGATAAACCCCACTTGATCAAAGCTCAAACTAAAACCCCTAACCTTAAAACCTAGTCTATTCGATTAGGTAATCGCCAACTTCCAACTCCCAACTCCAAACCCCAAACTCCCAAGTACACCTTCATCCACTCCCTTCACTACCTATACTCGCATCCATCGAGTGAGGTAGTTGATCGGCGCCAATGGTTTATAGGATATCTTGTTTCCGTTGAGATTACCCGCACGGCGAGATTCTTGTAAGGTTCCACGCTTAGTAGCGTAGCGGCGGGTTTTCCCATGACTTGAAGCCTTCGTAACCTTCCCAACCTTCGTGATCTTGGTAATCTTGTTCTTCTTCGCGTTGTCGCGGGGGGGAACCCAAGGGTCGTTCTCGTCCTCGCTTCCGTAGTCTCTTGGATCCTTGTTCTCCTTGTCCGAGTCTTCATAGTCGGACACGCCGTCCGACAGGTGGTCCCAATCCATATCCTCGGGCTCTCGGTCCATGAGCTTGTTGATGAGGAATTGTACATGAAGTGGTGAAGTTCGGGCGTAGATCCGATCGGCCTTGGAGACTGGCTTGTCTTGGAGCCATCCATCTACTGCTTTGGCGAGGCAGCTCTCCGGCTTGCCCTTGTCCCCTGCGAGGATCCCTCGGTAGTGCGTAATCTTGATGTAGACGCGGCGAGCGTGGATCATGGCTTCTAAGAGTGTCGAGATCAGACCGTTCGGAAGGTCGGCCGCCCACATAGATCTCATTCGAGCGTTCTCGAACAAAGACTCGTTGCAAGGGTGTGAGTAGTAGTTTCGGGTAGGGAAGGTTTCTCTAACTCCAATGGCACGGTTGATGATACCGGCGAGAGACAAGTCGATAGTATGCTTGTCCATTTCGGGCGACAAGACCTGAAGAGCCTTGATGATGTGCTCCTCGTCTTCTTGCTGGTTGAAAATCTTCTGGCCTTCTCGGAAGACGAAGCCGTGCTGTGGCAGAATCTTTTCAAGTGTCATGCCCACCCATTTCAAAGACAGCTGGGTCATGCTGCTCTCCAACATCGAAACTACTCCAGTCGACGACATTTTGATACCGTGGCTGAATCCCGACGTTAGCATTAATATCAGTGTCGGCGTTGAGGTTGTAGCTATAGAGTGGAGGGCGCGTCACGAACCTGTAGCTGCTAGTGGAGCGAATGTATTGAAAAATGAAATTGATGAAAGTGCGATAAAGCAGTCTGTTCGAGTACTAGGAATATTTATGAGACTGTTGACGGCTGGTTGTTCTAGAAAACGTAATGAGTGTGGAAACAGTAATAGCGATACGCTACAAGCGTTGATCTCGGGATGAGATGATGTGTTGTAGGGATATATCAATGATATTTTAGGCGTCTGTGTTTGTATGTTTAGGTATCTGTTGGAGGATGTATTCGGGTCTGTAATTGAGATGTTGTAGGTTGTATTTAGGGTCTGGAGTTGAAAAGGTGTAGGTTGCAGGAAGGTAGATGAATTGCTGTAGGATGATGGGTATTTAAGTATTGTTGCAACCACCACATTCAGTAGGTCTATTGTGGATGGGAGAGGAAAGGAAAAGAGAAATAGAGCAGGAATGAATGGACAGTGGGAAATAAATTAGAATGGTAGCCATGCAGCTGATTCTAGAGTCAATGGCTAAGGTACAAGGTACTGTGCTCTAGTATGAGTCGATTATATAAACCACTTTCTTCCATTCAAGTTCTGAATCACTACTTACGCACTGTTCATACTGATATGGATGCGTTTCGCGACTGGTTTGCATGTCGAAAACACCAATACTGTGTGGGCTAAAAGATGAGGGCACCTGTGCCCTAATGCAGATACGACCTGGAGATGGGATTGAATCATATCAAAGAAGCCCAAGGCCATCATCACTACTACTCTTCGGGCACCTGTTGCTTGAGATATTGGACGTTGACGGCCGGTTATACGGTCGCAGGAAGCCTACCAGCAATATACACCTGGTAGGCAAATATTCTTTTGAGTCTGTATTCTTACTAGAAGCGAATGTGAAGAATCGCACCTGTTCCATTACCGAGTCCGATGATGACCAGATTACTGGGTGGACTTTTCAAGGTCGCAGCCATGACTACTTTAATGTGTTGGCGTTCCACGGTATGAATATTATATCCAGCTCATAAAATCATCACTAGTCTAGTGCTGTTGAGGCGAAAAGGGGGTTATAACAAAATAGGGGCAACTGAAGTTAAACACTATGAATCTTGTGGATTGAGAACCACGGCCAAGGGCATTTCTTGTGAGTTTTGACACTCCATTTCTGTAAGTCTGAGCCATGTTGGAATAAAATGCAGTATCGCAACTCGCACGCGATTATTAATGAGTTATAGGCATAACCTACAGATGTGACAAGGTCGGCATCCTATGTGATGGGCTAAATTATGACAAAGATTCTCCTTAGCAAAACCTATGAATATAGACACCTCTTGACGGTTACTGATTGATATCCTAGATGAGTAGATAAATTCAGGCAACTTTTGAAATGGGCAATGGGGTGTGAAATGACAAGATGAACTTCCAAAGAAGACGGAGCGTCGTTGATAGAGAAAAAGTGGTTCCTATCATTCTGAACAGAGCTTATTGATATGAAAGAGTAAATTCGTGGACTATATAAAAAGACAACGCCAACATCAAAGAGGTATGTTTTCTGACAGAAGTGATGCTGTTCACGGAACGAAGAGATAAATACCACGTAGAGAGAACTTGGTGAACTAGATAGAGGGCATCAAACTCGAGTCCAAGGTGGTTTTATGAACCATGAAGCTACCAGGATGACTAAAGTGAAGTCAATGGGAGTTGTTAGGTGCCCTATACAGTTCTCCTACTCTTATGATTCCTCTTCTTTTTTGTCAAACTGCTTTGAGTACATTTTCGGAGGTAAGCCCGGTACTGAACTTCTGTCCTCCAAGAATCTACCACCTTCTGCCTCTAAGATTCTGTAAATTTGTGGCCTGGAGTATGATATACGCACTTATCCTGCTCTCGTGAGGTCATATCCAGTGGGTTTATATGCCTCTATATTTGCTCTCGAGTAGATATTAGGAGTATAACCCCTTTGTGATTGTATCTCCGTGGACAAAGAGGTACCTAGATCTTGATTTGAATGTACCTCTGTACCTCTCGCTTATAGGGCCTTTCCTACGCCTTTTATTTTGGTGCCTTGTTCCATAGGTAATCAAATAACCTGGAGGTTGATACCTTACGACTCAGGCCTCAACTTGCCAGCTGGCCCGTCCGTGGCCCCGGCATCGAAACGAATACAAGCGACCCCCCCAATTGCCTGGCCGTTAGTTAACCCTATATACTGAAATAACTGCATTCCATTTCAACCGACCCCACATGTTGGGTGGACAAGAGGTTAGAGAAAACTACCGCCGGCGGGTCATATGCTGGAGGCGTCCCTGCACTAAAACGCTAACTTGACAGTACGACCCGTTCAAAGGAGTTTTTCGTAGGTATTGGATTCGATCCTGGGGGGTACCGAGCTTTTTTGCCATTTTTCTCCTTTATTTATATTTTTATTGTTTTTCAATTTGCCCTCGCCACACCCACCATCCATCACCCATACGCGTACCCATACCTTTTTTATTATTTTCGATCTATATCTCATGATATCCAGTTATTTCCCCAACACACTCATCATTAGCTTTGCGGCAAGTGATTAGAAGGTCGAGGTGGTCTGCGCATAGGGATGACTCGTTCATATTGAACATCGATGAAGTACAAAGTACACGTACTAAAGGACTTGACGAACGTGTAAAGAGAATCTGACTCGAAGCCCATATATTTCTATTCTAGACACATATGAGTAGTGGAATACGTGTATGCGTGGTATGCAAACGTGCCACCTGTGTCGAAATTATACTGACACGAAACTCTGAGACTGCCAAATTCATTGAACCACACCGTTTCCAAGACCAACAGTTGCAATGTATTCGAAATGGGCTCGACCGTGTGTTTGAGCATCCAAGGGGCTCACTTAGTTATATGCTCTGAAGTTTGTCCGTTTGTTCATGAGAATTTCAACACTTGTCGTCGCCTGAAGCAAACTACACGACATGTGAAACCCACAAGGGCCAAACCTTTCGTACTATCATGCTACCTAATCACTGACCTACGCATATATATAACATTCCACGGCGTGCTAGCCTGACGGATTATTTCATCCCAGCACGGCATGTGACCAGATCGCCTAGCCGACACGAGCAAATCAAGCACCTGACGCAGCCTCTTCTTTCATTCTACCCAGAATGCCATCATTCCTCTACGTCTGAATACTCGAAGCAACGTGGCTTGACAACCCTATGTATTTCCTGGTCTTAGCATTGCTATTCTGGGTATTCGACCGACTCTTATGCTCGAATAACCACAACAACTCATCCGAACAACCTGACTCTTAGGCCTTTTTTGACGCAGCTCGCGGGTGGCGTAATGGCTTCCGGTCTTCTGATGACGCTCTTAGCATTTATCCAACTCTTCTGTTTTATGAAACCGACACGCAGGTATTTTTATTAGTATCCGTCATGTACCTGCATGCATACGAGCAGACACTAATGATACACCTAGATGGAGGAGACGCAATTCGATCAGCCCATCAACCTCTCGAACAAGCTCCCTTTCTTTTTCTAGCGATATGAATGACGCTCGGCGACAAGCGGTTTCGATATAGGCATGCTGGGTGAAAGACGCAAGAAAGAGTGGGCTTGGTTTGGCGATTAAAAGTAGGTAGCTTTAGGATATATAGTAAAATTACCCCTTTTCCTACCCCCTTTCTGTACACACAGCGCGTCGATAAGCTCCTCCCGCATACTAAACACTCTACCTACCCTACGAACTTCGGACTTGGCACAGGTACTTAACCCTCCTACTTATCACCCACAGCATTCCCAACGAAACCGTCGGCACGCCATAGGTAGCAGTTACAGCCAAGTCCATCAAAACTCCAACACCCCTTTAAATGGCGTACCTTCGGGCTATATTAGGGGTAACGATCCGGACGTGCTTGATCCCGGTCTTTTGGTCGTACATATATACGTAGGTACATATGATTGCATGACTAATTGTACGGCGCCGGGCCCGGCGTTGTGGATTGAGGGGATGTGGGAGCGACACGTTGGGCTTGCTAGAGACTTAAGAGTTACATACCTACCACTAGGTAGAACTATTAGGTAGGCAGGTAAATATATTAGGCATTGACTTTTATTAAACTTCACCTATACCTAGTACATATGTTGTGCCCCCTATAACTAGCTCAATACATGTAAGCGGAAAGTTCAAAGATTTATAGAAAGAGCATCGTGTGTATCCTTCCATGTTACATTGTGATAAGTCAGATATCCATAGGCGACTAATACTACAACTACCAAGAATTAGCGATCATTCATTTAGTCCCGAATGGGCAAGAGGATATGTAAAACCACTACTAGGTCCGAAACTCGGGGCGCCTATTGCGCTATACTTAGACTATTATGTACCTACCTGCCATTTACCTCGGGGCAGAGCGGAGGCTAATACATCATGGCTTTCGGACGGCTATACATACCAGGCAACCCGGTGAACCGCAACGGGTAGGTACATCAGAGACACAGAGTTGAATCATCGTCATAGTTTTCTCTAACCTACCTACCTATTCATTTGCCGTTTACATCTTGACTTTATCAAGCTGGGCCACATCATCTAAATCCTTTGATAGCCACTGTGTATGCACCTTCACTTCACGATGCCTCTCACAACACCCTCCGTGTTCCCTCCGGAATCAGACGTCTTCTCCAAGTTTCCGAGCCGTCGGAGCGTAGTCCACAGCACCAAGGGCATCGTATCGTGCACGCAGCCCCTCGCGGCGAAATGTGGTATCGAGGTGTTGGAAGCCGGTGGTAACTGTGCCGTATGTACCTACCTACCACAGTCTTTGTTCTTTGAAATCGAATTGATATTACATCCATATTACAAATTCTCACGTACTTACTTTTATTTCTAATCTTTAAAATCTAGGATGCAGCCGTAGCAGTTGGTATGTACATCCTCTGGCTATAAATGGGTTATGGTAGGGTAGACTACTAAAAACAGACACTTCCTCACAGCCGCCGGGCTGAACATGACGGAGCCGTGCTCCACGGGCATCGGCGGCGACATGTTTTGCCTCTTCTACGACGCCAAGACCAAAAAGATCTCCGCCATGAACGGCTCCGGCCGCTCGGGCAACAAGTGCACGCTCGAGACCATCCGCGCCTCCCTCGGCCTCAAGGACGGCGAGTTTGGCAAGATCCCCATGAGCAGCGTGCACGCTGTCTCCGTGCCCGGGGCCGCGGCCGGGTGGCACGACACCGTCGAGCGGTTTGGCAGCGGCAAGGTTACGCTGCAGCAGGTCCTGGCGCCGGCGATTGAGCTGGGGGAGAAGGGATTTCCGGTTTCGGAGGGCGTGGCGCACTTTGTAGGTGGAAACCCCCCCCCCCCTTTCCCCCTTTTAGACTCAGAAGCATCATAGTAACACACAGAACCCCCCATTCAGTGGAAGAAATCAGAGGCACAGATCCGCAAAGCCTCACCCAACGGGAGCGAAATGCTCAAGAAGGACCCCAGCGCCCCGGACGGCGTACGTGCTCCTCGGGCAGGAGAAATCATGAAGAACCCCACGCTAGCCAAGACCTTCCGCGCCCTAGCCGCCGAAGGTAAGAAAGGGTTCTACGCCGGCCGCGTCGCAGAAGAACTCGTGAAAGTAGTGCAGGACCTCGGGGGCCACCTCGAGCTAGCGGACCTGGCGCACCATATGGAAACGGGCAGCGAGCCCGTCGAGGCCATCTCGCTCAAGTTCCGGGGGCAGAACGTGAAGGAGCTGCTGAAAGATAGTATCCTCAGCGACGGCCAATCTACTAAAGACAACCTAGACATCGGCCTCGAGCTATGGGAGCACCCGCCCAACGGGCAAGGCATCGTCGCGCTAATGGCTCTCGGCATCATCCAAGAGCTCGAGGCCGCGGGCACCATCCCCACATGGACCGCCGCAGACTTCAACACAGCGCCATACCTCCACGCCATCATCGAGTCCCTGCGCCTCGCCTTCGCCGACGCGAGCTGGTTCGTCGCGGACCCCAACGTCTCCTCCGTCCCCACCCCCTCCCTCCTCTCGCAACCCTACCTCGCCGACCGCGCCAAGCTCTTCAACCCCTCCGCCGCATCCAAAGACCTCCCGCACGGCTCCCCGGCGCTCCAGAGCAGCGACACCGTGTACTTCGCCGCGTCCGACAGCCAGGGCAACGCCATCTCCTTCATCAACAGCAACTACGGCGGCTTCGGCACCTGCATCGTCCCCGCCTCCTGCGGCTTCACCCTGCAGAACCGCGCCGCCAACTTCTCGCTCGAGGCGGGACACCCCAACGTGCTGGCGCCGAGGAAGCGGCCGTACCACACGATCATCCCGGCCGCCGTCACGAACCTGCACGACGGCTCGCTGCACAGCGTCTTCGGCGTCATGGGCGGCTTCATGCAGCCCCAGGGCCACGTGCAGGTGCTGCTGGGCCAGGTGGTCGGGCGGCTGAGCGCGCAGCAGGCGCTCGATGCGCCGCGCGTGTGTGTCGGTGCTGGCATGAGCCAGGGGGCGTCGGGCCCGGATTGGACGGTTTTTGTCGAGGAGGGGATGCCGGGGGAGACGGTGGAGGGGCTGAAGGGGCTGGGGCACGAGGTCAAGGTCGTGGAGGACATGGAGCGCTCGCAGTTTGGACGGGGGCAGATTATTAGGTGGAGTGTTGATCCGGTTGAGGGCGTGGGAGTCTGGTCGGCGGGGAGCGATCCGAGGGGGGATGGGGGGGCGTATCCTTTGTGATGCGTGTGTGTGTGTGTGTGTTTATGTGTGTGTGTGTGGGTGGGTGCTCTGGATGTGTGGGTAGATAGGTATGAGTAGTAAGCGAGGAATTGGTAATATGATATGTGATATACATGTATTACACCTACCTATCTTATGTAGTAGAGAGATAGATATTCAGATAGTCTCTTAGTACCTATTAGGCTTGTCTATTAAGTGACTTAGGTACCTAGGTAGGTATCGTCACCTTGTTGGCTATAGAGTCTTGATCATAATTACGTGTGTACCTACATAGCTACCTAGTGATAGCCATAACCCAACCGAATGTGATCATTATGTACCTTAACCTACTCACCTAAGTAGGTAGGCAGTGTACGTAGACGTCTCTTGTCTACCTACATGGCATGCTTCATATATAGGTACTTTGGATTGATCGTACAAACCTCATTCCTTTCATCCCATCCTGCCCAGGTGTCCCAGTAATCGGATGATGTTTTCTTCTTCTTCTTCTTCTTCTTCTTCTTCTTCTATCTAGAAAAACAAAAAAAACAACAAGTTTGCTTGATCATCACATCGTTGTGTTTCCTTCCCATCCATTTCGTTTGCTCCATTTACATACCTATGCATCGGACTCGGCACTTCCGTCAAAGGGGACCAGGACGCCCTTTTGCTCGAGCATCTTGGTCAGCGAGCCGTCCTGGTGCATGGAGACGAGGATATCGCAGCCGCCGACGAATTCCTTGTTGATGTAGAGTTGGGGGATGGTGGGCCAGTCTGAGAACTCCTTGATACCTGTTTTTTTCACAATCGGTTAGTTTTTTCGTTCTCTTTTTTTTTCTCCTCCCCTCTCTCTCTCTTTCTCGTTTCCTAGGTACGAAGGTAGGTACACCAAAATCGCAAAGGCTTCTATGGGAGGGAGCAAAGGGCTTCGTTTTCAAATACCTGATCGCAACTCGGGATCCTCCAAGACATTGAAGGCCGCAAACTTCTTGGGATCTACACCTTGCAGGCCGAGGATCTGGATGCTGGCGCGCGAAAAGCCGCATTGGGGTGACTCGGGTGTGCCTTTCATGAAGAGGACTACGGGGGCTGTGGCGACTGCCTTCTCTATCGCTTGCTTTGTGGTGTCGGATAACAGGCGATGTTGGAAGCTTGTGAGGAAGGGTGAGGGTTTAATGTAGGCAGATGCGACTTGTCTGGGTGCTGGTCGAGCGGCCTGGCGCAAGGTCTGTTGGTCGCATGGGATGTTAGTCAAAGTGTGGCATTGTATGGACATATGTAGAGTAACTAGAGTGACTAGAGTGACATACCGCCGAGAATAATGGTCGCGAGAACATTGCGATTTAACAAACCCGACTAGAATTTTGTGATTAACGGTGATTTGTTAATTGTTGCAAAGAAAAAAAAAAGTTGTGATGATCAATCAATCAATCAATCAATTGACCTTATGATGTAAACGGTTGGTGCCGGCGCTAGGACAGGCACCTAATCAGCCTTGCAGGGGAGCTGGCGCCACATAAATGTTGAGCCAATCACATGCTTACTAGAAACCATTATTAATCGATGCTTTGAGTAACTACTTGTAGTGCTTTGTTGCAAGATTTGATGATTAATTGAGTGATATTGCCATATCCGTAATAATGAGCGCTACATTGCTCAATTTTGAGATCTCATGAGAAGGTACATGTATCGATGAGCAGATATGTGTAGTACTTCGGGAGTGCATGGATAGAGCATCGAGTAAGAGATATAAGATCACTAGGTTAAACAGTTGTAGCTTCTAGGGTTCTCGAACTTGTCTAATAGTAACACATGATAGAGGATGACATGTGCAAGCTGAAAACCAACTTTAGTAATGGTAGTAGCATCGTAGCAGTGTAGCACAACTTCTCCAAGGATACCTAGCTACCAGAAATAAAAGGAAGGCCAAGCCTACGTAAGCTCTTATTGGTTAATACTAAGGAAGCCTGCAGCAAATCGAATATTGCCACTGATGATCCAAGCTTTCCCCGCATTCTGGTTGCATTCAACCAATAAAACCAAGAACCGATCATCTTATCAGCGAGTCGGATCAATTAACTAAGCAGTTGGATTTGAAAAGCAATAAAAATCCTTATTAGGTAGGCCTCGGAGGTCGGGCGGATTAGTCGGCGGTCAAATAGTGTTAGGTTAGACGTTTCCCTCGTTCGACCCCCCGTAAGTTTCAATCGCACACACCCACCATCGCATCATCCATCGCATCACCTCACATCACCAACTCTTTCTTTCCTCTTCCTCTCTATTTATTCCTACCCCATTTCTAACTACCTTTTATACCTAAACTCTTTACGTATTGGACCAAATTCTATCACCTTACTCAATACGGACGAGTTGTTTTCTATCTACCCTCAAATCCAAGGGGTTTTAAACAGGGAACAGGGAAAATTCTGGTGGTTTTTATTAATAAAAAAAAAAAAGAACTTACGGTTTCGAGGCTGCCTGCATCGAAACCTTCTAACACTACCACCTCCATGTCGGTATAGTCACTTAAACTAAAGGGACGTCCAATCAAGCCTGACGAAACCCATTTTGAACGCCTACCTACGAGAATTCGCCCCCATCTGTACCTACATCGCAGCCATCGTCGACATACATATTTGCCATAATCTCCAAAAACCCCCCCATTTGAACTCGCTTGCCACCAAGCAAAATGGTCCTCACGCACACGACCAACCATACCTATGCTCACCCATTTCCAACCGTCACCCTAGCCTTCTTCCTCCGCTACTACTCGCCGCAACTTAATCCCTTCTCCAGCCATGTTCTCTCTACCGATACCATATCCTCTCATGTCGACCCGGACACTGGTCGCCTACACACCGTGCGTGTCCATATGAAGAAGACACGCTTGCCATCCGCGGTAGTGAAAATCTTGCCTTCTAGTGTTACCGGTGGGGGAGGTGACAAGTCAAGCTATGTTCTCGAGACTAGTGTTGTGGATATCAAGGAGGGCTGGATGAAGACCGAGAGCCGCAACATGAATTATACGGGGGTATTGAGTGTTGTAGAGGAACAACACTATTCGACCACTCCTCCCGACCAGGCCACTACTTCGACCCCGTCGCCCAATCCTGCAGCGATGATCAGGTCCTCAGCTGCTCCCTCGACACAGAAACCGCTGTTCCCAAACACCTTCGTCACAACTACGTTTTGCTATCAGTCTACGCTAGGTGGCAAGAAGCCCGAGAGGGCAGTGGCCAAATCGACAGATGATGCCAAAGAACCCAGGCCTCAGCGATTTGGCGAGTGGATCTCTGGTTGGGGGGCCAAAAGGATCCAACAGAGCATCGAATCCATCGCTTCCAACAAAACAGACGACCAGATGATCAAGTCACGGGATGGGATGCGCATCGTACTGGAACGACTGCGAAGCAACGGAGTGGTCGCCGTGCTCAGGGAACTGAGAAGGCGGGAAGGGAAAAGCGTCTTCGACCAGCAATGATGCAATCACCATCATTATTATTCCGGATGGATGACTGGCAAGACTCACATTGAAGGACGAGGAAAAGCACAAATCTGTATATCCACGTGCGATGTTTCAAACTTAGCAAGGCGTTGGGGAAATTATTATTTCGCCGGAAGGGGAGGGGAGAGCGAAAGAAAAAGTGGCTTGGTGATCGAAAGGGAATAACTGGAAGTCTTTTTTTACGTATTAGTTACGACCGACGAAAGGTTTTTTTGGTCAAACCGGGTGTTGAAGTTCAATTTTAACGATATCAAATCAGGAGAGGAGAATGGGACAGAGGGAGAGATGATGGCAAGGCTTTTTTCTGGACATATGGATACTGCTACTGCTACTGCTACTACTACTACTACTCTTAACAAAAACGACTATGATTCGTACGGTGTGGTGGCATAGTGTAGTGTGGTGTGGTGTAGTCCGCTCATTACTCCCCTCATGTAATCAAGCAAATGATTAAACCTTTTTTTTTGCGCCTTTTTTCGCCCTGATCTTTTTCTCCTCGTGCCATAAGACTTAGATATGTGTTTGCTAGGTATGTACCTAGGTACTTATAAAGAAGCTGAGTACTATGATGTTGATATCTTTTAACTGCAAATATCTATTAAATACTTGCAGATCCTGTAACTGTGTAAACGTCTTTGCTTGTAGGTGGGTGGGTAAGGTTAGGGGGGAGCAATACGTAATAGAAATCGCCAAAGACTAAGGTAGGCAGGCATACATTAAACTCAAAGACGGAGTATTTACATAACTAATCTCATTCTCCTTTTTATTCATCAAATTAATTTTATTCATCACACAACTACTACAAACCTACCTACCTACCTACCTATCCAGGCCCCATCATTCATTCATCACAAGCTCACCACCACCGCAACTCCCGCCACCACCATCGCCGCCGCCGCCGCACCACCACCACCCATCCGCAGCGCCGCCGCAGCAGCAGCACCGCCCGTCTTCTCCACACCAGCCGTCACCGCCGCCTTGGCCCCAGCCGCAGCACCGCTCTCGTCGACCGTGCCCGGCCCGGTGCCGTTCCCCAGGTCCCCCGCGCTGGGCTGCGGGTAGCCCGGCTCGATGGTGAAGGGCTGGACGGAGCTCAGCCCGTCGACGCGGCCGAGCAGGAACTCGAGCTGCCGGAAGGCGGCGGAGGGGGCGTACTGCGGCACCATGTGGCCCGAGAGGTCGATGCCGACGTAGGTCAGCCCGCGCTCGGTGTGCGCGGTGCCCAAGACGCCGGCGGCGGCGACGGAGGCGAGCTTGACGGGGTCCGTCTCCGCGTATATCTCGTCGGCGGTGCTGAGGGTGTGGTACGGCACGAAGAAGGGCTCGGTGGGCGGGGACTGGAAGCCGAGCTGGCCGCCCCAGGTGGTGTTCTGGATCGCGAGGAGGGTGCCGTTGGGGAGCAGGATCATGTCGAGGGAGCCGTGGCCGATGATGACGTTCTGCGTGGCGTCGATGACGTGCGGGAGCACGCGCCAGCTGGAGGGGTCGGAGGAGTCGCCGCCGACGAAGACGTCGCCCGACGCGCACTCCTCCCACGTCGTGTTCGCGTCCGCGTGGATCGCCGCCTTCACGTCCGCCCGGTCGAAGTAGATCTCCCCGCCCGCCGGAAGATAGCCGATGGAGCCGGGGAAACCGAGGACGTCCCAGAGCAGAGGGCAGGTCGTCGCCACTTGGTACACGTCGAAGCACGGGTTGATGCTGAGCGCTTGGTCGAGCACGGCGCCCCAGAGCGAGCGGCACTCGCGCGACACGCTTTCGCCGTAGCCGGCGGGCTGGGGGCCCGGAGGGGGGTAGGTCAGGTACTTGGCGTTGTAGTCGGCGAAGCCGCAGGAGTCGTGGAGGCCGTGGATGTAGGCGCTGAAGGAGTCGTTGAAGGGCATGAGGTTGTGGTGGTAGTCGACGAAGGGGACGGTGGTGACGGAGTCCTGGACGACGTCGTCGCCGAGCACGGGGTCGTAGATCAGCATCCCCGACACGTTGTAGTAGTCGGTGTTGTCGGCGTCCAACATCGCCGACGCGATGTACGGGCAGTACAGCCCCGCGTACGACTCGCCCGCGATGTACACCTTGTACCCCTGCAGCGAAAACGTGTCGATGAAGTTCTTCCAGAACCCGAGGAACTGCGCCGCGACGTCCTCTTCGCTCGTCGCGGTTACTTTGCCCCGGCTGAACCCGGTTCCGATCGGCTGCTCGACCCAGACGACGTTCGTCAGCCGGTTCCACGCCCACGGGTTCGGCACGGGCTTTAGGGTGCCGTATTGCCAGATGAAGGGGCCGTTTTCTTGGAGGAGGCCCTCGAAGGAGGAGCAGCCGGGCTGTGGTGTGTGTTAGCGCGTTGTGCCTTGGATGCTTGCAATGGGATCATGCAGAGTTTGGGTAGGTAGGTAGTGCCAAACAACGTAGGTACAAAGGTAAGAAAGGAAAGGGGATGGATGGATGCTTACACCACCGTTCAGCCACAGCAAAATCTCCTTCTCGGTGTTATTTACCGTGGAGGTCGGGAAGAACCAGAAGAACAGCTCATTGGTGTCGTTGGGGTCGTCGCTGATGGGGAGATACCCCGAGTAGGACTCGCCGACGTCGAAGTCGACGTCAGGGATCTTGGTGCCGTCGACGGCGAATTCTGTTTGGTTACAAAAACGTTTTAGTCAGCTTCACTCATGCTTAATTAACCCTATGTATGTTGTTGTTGTTGTCGCTAAACCAGTGAGTAGTTAGGAGAAGAGGTATAGCGTACTCGTGGTATTCTCATTCGCGAACTTGGGCGCGGGCACCTGTCGCGTAGCCAAGTAATGCGCCAAGTCGTTCTCGAGGTCCGGCACGGCGGACTTGGGCGTCATGTCCTTCTTGCCGACATGCTGGAAGCTCCTCTTGGCCTCCGTCGTGGTAGTCGCCGCGGAGAGCAGAAGCCCGGACGCAAGCGTGAGCCAATGCATGATATTGGCCGGCCTACTACACTTGGACGTGAGAAAGAAGTAAGTCAAGATGCGATTCTTTCTTTAAGACTTGTCTTGTCCAGTCCCCTCCCCCCAATTGATTGGTTTTGCAAGGTGAATGAATCTGCGCCAAGATTCTTCCAGGGAAAAAAAGACTTGCTTGCTTCGACAGAAAAAAAAAACGAAACAAAAGCAAAAGCAGAGCTTGAAGAAAAAAAAAAGAAATGCAAAGAGGTGCCGTGTCGTGCAGGACAGACACAAATCTCTCTTGAAGTTCCGAGAACCCCGGGTCGGGTTACAGACGGCAGATCAGCTACCTAGTATTGTACCTACAGTAGGGCAATCAGTGGAGTGGAGTAACCTAGAGTTTATCATGGATGAAGAGCTTCGTTCGTGTTTAACCCATTCGCTATTGTAGGTATTGTTGCTCGCTTGGCTAAGATAGGTAGGTCGCTCGTGCGAGATAACACAAGACCTGTCGTCACCCATGTCATAATGCGACCTCGTCTCACGATGGGGAGGAGTATCAGTATCTGCACATGTGGTATACCTACATAGCATGAAGAAGCATCCCTACCTACCTACCTAGGTACCACGATGAGGAATGAGGGGGGTTGGGATGGGATGGAAGACGAGACCAGCGAGCTACAGTACAAATCTGAGACAGTGAAACCGAGACGGTTCCAATTCGAGGAACATCCATCTCGGTATAATTCGTCTAGTTTTTACAGACAGATAATGGATAATGCCCTGCCGGTGTAAATAAAACAAGCTTCTCCAATCTTACCCCAAACCGGATCGTCAATGTTTGTTGCCATTCATCGACTGTGGGGAATAACTAATAAGGACGGATGCCGTTTATTAGCCCTGATTAACTAGCCCCTACCCGACTGCTTATGCCTGTTTAGGAAGCTCTCACCACCATCCGTACCAGTTTACAGGCTTGTTGATAAGCAACTAAACTACCACTGGCACCTACATTTATACGTGTACCTGAATATGTGCGTAGGTAGTAGGCAGCAGGCTAACCTAGTAGTAGCTACATGAGATAATCATTCGCCTTACCTCACTCAACTGCCTCATCCCGCTAGATACTATCTAACCTAGGTGGATTGATTGACGAGATAGCAGTGGTAGTTATACGAGAACACGAACTTTCGCAACATTGAAGTTTTTAAGACTAGGTAAAACGAAAAAGCCCCTGGGCCTAAGATAGTGTAGCATATGTACACCATCGTACAATACGATTGTACGATATAGCACGGAGATGGATACTCGATCCGTCTGGTTTTGGGTTTGAACCAGAGAGCTGAGAGCTCCCAACCCACCTAGTACAATGGGAAGAAAATGGAGAGAGAAGCTCACCCGTATATACAAACAATTTGCTCACCGTTCTAGATAATTCGCGTCGTAGCCGGCATAAGGAAAATATTCTCTTCATTTGTTGCGACATAGCTGTATGAACACTGGTGTTGCTTTTTTGACTGCCATAAAGTCAACTAGAGAAGGGCGGTTCGGCTTAGCTGACAGAAATCAAGGTCATCTTATTCGCGTCCGTCCAAGTCTCGAGGTTGAACTTGCATACGGCAGCTGGCATTGTTCAAGTCGTCATGCAAGATAGATGTTCCTCATCGATGTCGTGGCTGATATACACATTGCTTTAATGTGGACAAGGGAGTAATGATGGTGAAGAATTATTTGTTCTTCTTCCCTTTACCCGTACTCGTACTAGGTGTGTTGGGTGCATTAGCTGCCTCCTCTTCTGCCATCAAAGTCTCTATATCCCGCTTGACTAGCCAATCTCTAGTGCTCTCTATGATTTTGTCTAAGGTCTCGCCGCCGACCAGCACGTCTGGCAGATTGTGCACATCTAGGCCGCTACGGTGCTCTGTACACCGATTCTGACTGTAATTGTAAGTCCGGATCTTGTTGCCGCGCTGGATCATGTCGTTGCTTAATACACTATTTCGCAGCGCCATCGCCTTTTCCTCGCGCGCCTCCCTCCGGCGCGCCGCAAGTCGCGATCGCAACAACGTCCATGCGGATGCTCGGTTTCGATGCTGTGATCGTGAGTCCTGCATAGATACCGTGATACCCGTCGGTTCGTGCGTCAATCGAATCGCACTCTCCGTCTTGTTCACGTGTTGGCCTCCTGCGCCTCCTGCGCGCATCTTCTCTTCTCTAACCTCTTTTGGATTAACGTAGAAGATGCTGTTCGGGTCGTCGTAGCTTTGTTCAGTCAGGGTGTCGCTCTTGGTCTCGGGAAACGACGGCAGAACCCACACAGCGGCAGCACTCGTGTGGGTGCGCCCGCTCGCTTCTGTGTTAGGTACACGCTGCACCCGGTGCATGCCCGCTTCGCTCCGGAAATGTTCATATGCACCGGGATCCGGGATCTCGAGAATACCCTCATTCAAAGGGGACTCGCTCTGGCCGGCCATCATAGAATCGCCTCCAATAACTGTTTCATATTTCAATACGTTGTGTCGTATACCTTTGCGAGAGCAGTATAGTCGGTACATGCGGAATACGGCGTCCGCAAAATATCGGCCTTCCATCCCACCAAGTGCTGGCCGCACTTCAAGCAGGCAGGGCATATCTGCAAAAGGATCGCGCGGAGTCAGGGAGACTTTCAGGGCGGTCGCTAGGCCTTCAATTTTCGCATGTGTAGTCGCCAGCTCTTCTTTAGCTAGCTGACTCAGTTCGGGATCTGGCGACGATACAAGAGCTGTAAGGTCTATTATAGATGATTCGGCGAGATTCCAGTCTCTCAAAGCATTGGCGACACGCGATAGTTCACCAACTTTTTTTGCAACTTTGGGGTCGAATTCATAGGTGAGTGCGGTAGCAAGTCTAGCATGTTCCCTAGCAATAGCATTTGCGCGTTTTAGAAGAAAGGACGGTAGGATGGCGTTTGAGGCTTGAACAATTAATATTAGCTATATGTACCTATACTTTATATATGTAAAGGGAAGACAGGAAGACAGGAAGACATGAGATGAATGATATTGGAGGGTGCGCACTTGTGCTAGATAACCGCAGGAACTGTCGACTCCTGGGTTGTGCCAATGCCTTAAAGCAACTACGGCAGACCCATTGCGCTGTCGACATGCTTGTCCCCTTAAATCACTTTTAAAAAAACGGCCAAGTTTTGGAATTGGCAACTTGAAAGGAACAAAAACTTTCAATGTTGGAGATCGGGAAGATTGAAGATCTGAGAAAATTGTGGAGTTTACCTACCTAATATTCTGACTAATCTGACATATTACCGTTAAATGATTACATAAGATAAGGTTTTTGTTGTACTATGCAGTAACATTCTCACCATTTAACCTTCAAAAGTTCAGCTAAACCCTTTTTAAGAAACCCTTTTTAAGAATGGATCTGTTACTTGAACATTCTCAGTCTTATCATCAATTCAAGTATGAGAATGTGAAAATGACTTCATGTCCTATTTCTTGCTGAGCCACTTATCTACATTCCCCTTTACATGTATCAACAAGAACCTCTCCACAACTGCAAGCACATGTGATGATATGTGCCTTAAGTAACATTCTAACTTATGTATCTGGTTGGAAGGATTCTTGTGGCCTGCTATAAAGCTGTATGTTCATGGGTAGGTAGGCAAGTGGGTACCTAGGAAGTATGTAAGTGAGGGGCGGTGACAATAACATGGGTTTACCACGGGAGAGAGGCGTAGGTTAGATGATAGCATCGCTGACATGTCTATTTCTCTCTCCCTTCTTTACCTGCTTCAGGCGAAGCTCCTACTAAGTAATTTATCCACCCATACCTCCTTCACTACCTACAAAGAAAAGTATCGTCCAGCATGCAAGTTCGTGGTGTTGTTCTTATAGCAGGTGCCGGTAAGTAATCCATCCCGCCGTTGCTACCGGTAACTCGCCATTCAAGCCAAGCCTCCAACCGAAATCTCACTCTGACTGGAAACAGGTAGCGGAATCGGTCGAGCTGTCGCCCAGCGGCTGGCTTCTTTAGGTGCCGATATCGTGGTCTGCGCCGACTTGAACCTTGATGCCGCTGAGGAGACAGCGACACTATGTCGAAGCATCAGGCAATCCTCCAGTTCTGAGTCTTTCAAAGTAGCTGCCCACTCAGTCGATGTGCGTGACGAGGATGGCGTCGATAGTTTAGTTAACCAGGTTGCCAAGACTTATGGACGCCTTGACGTACTTGTCAACACTGCTGGCGTAGGTCTTCTTTATTTCTTCTCACCTACAAAACTTGACTCTTCATGAACATCTGGCTCATATTGGGATGCTGGCAAAATCAAACAGTTCGGGAATAAAACACTATCTCCCATCCGCGACATGACCCTTGCCAGTTTCCGCGGCCAGGATGATGTACATAATATAGGCTGCTTTTTGATGACCCGGGCTGCGTTGCGTGTTATGGATAAGCAGGACGCCATAGTGCCGAATCCAACTGTCAACCAATCGCCAGTCAGGGGTTCAATCGTCATACTCACGTCGATAGCCTCGGAGGGTGTGTTTCTAGGAGCGGGTAACTACAACGCAGCGAAACATGCAGTGAAGGGGATGGTGCAAACGGCAGCCCTCGAGAATGCGGCAAGGGGCATTCGGATTAACGCCGTTGCGCCTGGATATGTCTCGGGGCCCATGATGGACCAGTTTCTTGAGGCGTCGCCAGAACATAAGAAAACCATAGTTGGTGATCTTCCCATGGGTAGGCTAGTCCAACCTTCCGAGGTTGCAGACGCGGTGGCATTTCTTGCTTCTCCGGCCTCAACTTATGTGAATGGCCATACTTTGGTGGTGGATGGCGGTGCGTCGTTAGCTTTGTCGAATACACCTTTTAATAACTACCCTACCTAGTAGGTAGGTAGTCTTGATGTAGTCCAGAGTCTAATTCACTGTGCAGGCTGTGACTTCTGTGGCAGGCCCCATGGCAGTTTCCAAACCTGTACTATCAGATACACTTACTTCAAGTCGAATACTATGTATGTACATACATAATGCATACATAATGTACTCACTTTAATGTTGCACACGAACGTTGGATACCTACCTAACTTTTGTGGAAGTTTAACCGACAATGCAATGTTGAATCTCAATATATTACCATCACATACTTACAAAGCAGCAGCTTCACAATCATGAGTGACCAAGCGCTCATCAAGACAGCGCGGTTCGGTCCACCCTCATGCGTTCTCTGCGGCGCACCAGCCTCGATAAATAAAGAGCTGCAGTTATGGCTGCGGGAATTCCGCGCCGGTATAGAAAACATCGCATCTTTCTGTGGACCTGATACCACGGCAACTGGCTGACTTTGTCCCTGGCAGTTTATGTGCTTCCCGGCATCAAGGCAGTGTGCCTTTCAAATGTTGTCCAGGTCGTAAGCGACGAATTTTGGATTCCGGTCGACGATGCAGCCAGAAAGTTGTTCGTATTTCCGGAACATCAAAAGATGATGGAAATAGACCTCCTTGACAAAAAGGAGGACAAGACTTCGCCATTAGCATTCGGATTTGCATTCCATACTTGCTACTGGCAGGTTCTTTGGCAAGTCTATTCGTGCTATGGGTCTCATGTCGATCTTCCGCATCTATTTGACCTTTGCGTGACTCTGCCGTTCATGAAAGAACTGCCCGAGATGATCCTCGACTGGGGTCATGACTACAAGGGACTTATCAGCCCGATCACTGCCCAAAGAGATGTCTACGGTAACGAATCTCGCCCGCGAAGCATGTTTACTATTATGGAAGTACTCAGTCAAAACCCTTTCTATAATCCTAACTTACACCTCATCTTTTCCACGACTCGACCTTATAAATGTGGTCAACAGGCTACTCCCAAACCCCCGCAGAGAGCAGAAGGTGACAATAACGATGGAGACCCCTTTTCCGGGCTTTGCGAGACAATTCTGGAAATGATCCTGACTTTTCTGGACTGGGTTGATGTAAAGAGGCTCAGGCGAGCATCACGAGCTTTTACCGTTACACCCTTGTCGAATCGGTTCTGGCATTCTCGTTTCTGGCCTGGAAATGAACTTGACTTTATCTGGGAAGCAGGCGCTTTCCGGGAAGCCGACATGAACTGGAAAGCCATCTATCGACGCATTCACTTGCTCGCGCAGCAAGGGGAGCTGGGGAACAGGCAACGGGTGTGGAAGTTGGCACGTCGTCTCCGAGAACTCACCGAAACGCGAAAAGCCTGCCATGAATGTTCTGGAACTCCTGTTCCTCGAAAGAATGGTGTTGCGACCGAGTATGCCTGGATTTGTCTCCGCCGAATGTCCCGCGCTGCGAATATGGGGCCCATGAGAGCCAAGGCGACAACGCTGGAAAATACATCTGAGAGTATCCGCGACCACCCTGAGGTTTATGTATCCACCGTCAAGATAAATTCCAAAACCTACGTTTCTGGTATTCGACTCTCTTATAAAGACTACCCTGGTTCTCGCCTCGGCTATTGCTGCCCTGACAGAGAGACGAAGGTTACTTGGGAACCCCCCCTTTTATTATTACGTTTGAATGGCTTTCATGTATCGATGGACTCCAGAGGAATCCGAGGTCTTCGAGTGATACCGCAAACAGGACCACCCTCAAGATGGGTTGGAGAATTTGACGGCCTCGCACATGGACCTGTTGTTTTCCCCACGTTGGACGGCCTACGGCTTGGGATAAAAATGCTGATAGCAGATTTCGACGTAGGTTCTCCAGACTGGCTGTCATCGTAGTGCTTCGTCTAACTATGTCAGGCTTTGGTAATGACCTCATTAGGAGTCAGTGACATGTCCCCGGCTTCCAATAAACCGACCCTTCTGAGCCAGCTCCGCTTCACGGAACGTCATATGTAGTACGGAGGAATTCCCTCGGAGGAGTTGAGTTTCCTTGGATGCGGGCATATAAATTTCTGTCAAAATATATGTCTTCCTCCATTTGAAGTGATATATTTCGGAGGGCGAGACGGAGAGGATCTCCCTTATCTCACCAGGATCACGACTTGGACAGTTGACTCTCTTTTAGTGACATGCGTACCCAGAACTACACATATCCATGCAATCGAATTCTCTTATTCCTATCCCAATGGCGACCAGCGTTCGCTCAGTATTGGTGTAATCCCCGACATGGAATGGGAGCATCCTCGGCCGGCGATGAAGCATTTTGATATCAATTCCAGTCAAGGCGAGCGCATAATAAGTCTGACCGTTCATTATAAGCGGCCGTTCGAGGTCAATCGCTTTATCGTAAGTATACTCGATGGCGCAAACCCTTACCGGTACCTAACGGCCTTCGACTTACATTGATTTAGATAAAAACCAACTACGATCGCATATTCCAAGCTCCCTCTTTCAGCGCCGTTGAGCCCGCGACTTCTTTCTTGCGTCCCGAATACCTAAAGCCGGACAAAGGGATGATCGTTGGCTTCTTTGCTAGTTTGGTAGGCCGTGAAATGCTCCCCCATGGGTTCTTGTGCGATGAGGCTAACAGAGGCCGCTTATTCTCGTGTCTAGGAGCATCCTTTTTATTTCAGGAGTATGGGCATCGTTTGCAACGAAAACTTGAGCCTCGAGCCAGTCGACGGGCTTGCTGCTGTGACCACCGCGTTTTCGTCGGTTCACTGCTAGTGAAAGGGCCGAGGAAGCAGAGTAGCGGGGATTTGGGAGTGGAGTGCCAGCCATGGAATTAAGTATCTCTTGGAAGTATACCTAGTTACCTACATACTTCGTACCTTCGACCATCTACCTATGTTGAGTATGCTAGGCGAATATTGCTGGTTGACAGGATTATGAGGGGAATCGAGCGTGAAGGGTTGATTATGGTATGGCACCATAGCGGACGGACTCAGCGACATGCGGGCTTTGCTTAGGTTGGCTGGCACCTCAGCGTGAGCTCCTTCTCGAATGTTCATTAGATGACAATACAATGTCACTGTTCCATGTGTTTCATGCTTTGCATCATGCTTCGAAGGGCGTCCCCTTCTTCAGGTGTTTGTACAGTAAGGAGTCAGTCCTTGGGTCTTTATACCTACAACCAACATTGGACTGGTAGGGTTGCTATGGATAAAGGTGCAGTACCGAGGTATGTAGTATGTACGGAGTAGAAGGTAAGAATGCAATTCAGGGGCTTTGCTGCCTTTACGAAACTATCGTATCTCATGATGCTGAGCGGGTCTAGATTTCCCATGGCTCAAGCTCCAATACGAATGATAGATCCATTTGTATGATTTTCCTGGTGTATCCGTACGTTGTATGTATTTATGTACATAGGTATGCATTGTTGGTGTTGTGTATCCCTTTAAACGTTATAAGGCAATATAAGCAACAAAACTACTAAAAATAAACCCTAATATATCTCTTTTAATCCATTATATCTACATTTACTTATAACTTATTTCAGTAAACTTAAACTATAAGTTTATACTTATATATCTTTTTAGTTATATTAATTTTTAATTAATTATAATAATTAAATAAGTTAAAAAAATAAATATAAATTTATAATTTAAATTTATAATATTAAATTTTCGTTAAAATATAATTAATTTAATTAATTAATTAATTAATTAATTAAATAAAAATATTTAATTACGTTTATCTTATTTATTAATTATTAAACTTTTAATTAATTTAAACGTAAGATTTAAAAACGTTTATAAAATAAGTTATAAATTATTTTATAATTAGGTTAAATTAAATTATTATTAACGCGGTGTTAACGCGATTATATCTTACCTTATTATAATAATCTTAAAATAAAAAAAAAAATAAAAATAATTAAAGCGTTTTTTAAAACCTTTTAAACATTATAATTAAATAAGAAAAGTTTTTAAAGCTATTTATTATAATTACTTTTATTAAAAACTTAATTTAAAATAATTTAATTTAATTATTATGTCGTAATTATTAACGAGTATAATAATTTTTAATATAATTTTAATTAAAAAAAATTAAAACGTCACGTTTTTAAAAGCTTTTTAAACGTTATAATTAAATAAAAAAGGTTTTTAAAGTTAAATATTATAATTATTTTTATTAATAACTTAATTTAAAATTATTTAATTAAGCTTTTATAATATAATTATTAACGAATATAATAATATTTTAATAATTTTAATTAAAATAATTTAAAGTGTTATTTTAATTAACGTTTTATAATTTATATTTAAATTAAAAATTAAAAAACATTATTTTTTTAACCTTATATATATATATATATAAGTTAAAAAAAAATATATTTATAATATAAACGGATATAATTTAATTATTTTTTAATTTTTAAGCTAAGCTCGTTAAAATAACTTATAACCTTATATATTAATTTAATTTTACTTTAAATATAACGCGATATAAAACTAAGGAACGTGTTATAACGATAAATATTTTAATCCGATATTTAATATAATTATAATTAAAAATAATTTTAATAATTAACTTTTTAAAAATATTTAATACGCCGGCGTAATTATGTTTAATTATTACTTAAATTAATAATATTAATTTAATTTATTAATGGATAAGGTTTATTAAATATATCATATATTATAATATAATAATAAGTAATAATAAATATGTTATTACTTTATAATAACGTTAAATGAGATATTAAATATATGGTGTATAATTATATTAATATTTAAGAAGTAAAAAAAGATTATTATAAATAATTATTTAAATAAATTTACTTAAATGCGTAATTATATTACGTGATTATATATTATTAATTATTATATAATTAATCCATATTTTTTATTTTTTTTTAATGGTATTTTAATATTAGTAAATTTTTCTTTTTATAATAATATAAAATAACGGTTTAAGGGGTGTATCGTTAAGGTATAAATTAAGTTATTATTATATGGTTATACGTTTAATGTGTGTGATTACTTTATTACGGCGTTAACGTGTAAAGGGTAAAAAAGGGGTAATAAAAGTAAAAGGGTTTATTATGTTTTTTTTATAAGGAAAAAAGTGAAGGTATTTATATTATTTTACTTATTATTTTTATGAGTTTTATTTACGTGTAATATTTTTTTAAGTTATTTATCGGTTATTATAATACCGTTTTATAATATGTTAAAAAAGTATTAAAAAGTTAAGATGTATAAAGTTAAGTTCTTTTTTTACGTTATTTTTTAATTTTTTTTTTTTTTTTTTATTAAGTTAATCTTTTTAATTATATATTTTTTTTTTAAATTTTTAATATATTATTACGTTTTATATTATATTATTGTTATATTTATATTATAATAAAGTGGGTATTTAAAGTTAATAATATTAATAACGGTTATATTTATTATAAGTGTTTTAAAATTAATTTATTCGGAGGATATTTTTATGTTAGAACTTTTTTAGAAAATTACTATGGGAAATTATTATGGGAAATTATTATGAGAAATTATTGAATTAATTATGTTATTAAATATTTTTGTAATTTTTAAAAACTTGTGTAGGAAAATTAGGATTGGTTAAATTATTCTTAACGTTAATTATTTAATAATCGTGCGTTTTTTTTAAAAGCTTTTTATTAGCTACATTTCTTTAAAACAAACGCTTTTTATTAGCTATATTCTTTTATGTTAACTATCTTAAACTTTGTTAACCATAGCCGTACGTTTCTTTTAACGCTTTTTATTAAGACATGGCTATAAATGTGAATAAGTATAGCTATTTATAACTGTTGCCGTATGGGCATATCTTTATTATTATTACCATAGCTTATTAAACCTTATCGGTATATATATAGTTAGCTTAAGACGTTAAGAGCTTAGCTTTTTTTTTCTTTTCTATATATTAATTAACTGATTAATTTTTTGAGTCTTATCTTTTGCTATGGTTGGTTAAGTTACTTAAGGCTTTGCCGATGGCTTGTGCGTTAAGGCTTTTACGACTCTACTAATATATAGGGATAAAAATATAAGGGGAATAGTGTTTCTAAGATAACCATGTTAAATGGTTGTATTGGAAAGTCTCGTTAGCTAAGGTAACCAAAAATTAAAAGATCTTATCGGTTGGAAGGACCGAAAATTAAATGTCTTAGCCACGTGTCTCCTAGCTAAGACGTGGATAGCCACGGGAGTGGCTATCCATGGCTACTGCCATATAAGCATCTCCATGATTACTGCTGCCATAGCTGTCCATAACTACTGCCATATAAGCATCTCCATAGCTGCTATTACCACAACTTACTAAACCTTATCCTCTAGATGGTCACGCCTTCCTTCCATCACCCATTCCCAACTTTTAACCCTTTTTTAACTTTCAACCCCTTTTTAACTTTCTAAGATAATCTTTTAATTAAATAAATAAAATTTCTTCAGCCAACGCAGCAATTCCTGAAAAAAAAAATATCTAAAAATAATTCGAAGGCTTGTCCCAAAGCTTACGAAGGGCTACAAGCCGATAAATCACTTTTAGATATTTTTTTTTAAAGAAAGGCCGGAGAAATTTTAATAAATACGTTTACTTTTTTAAGTTTTTATAAGGTTAATTTTACCTTAAATAAATTAATAAAATATAATTGTTATTATTATATGAAAAAACCGTATATTTAAGTATATATATAAAAAAAAAAGAAAAAAATAATTATATTATTAATACTTAATTAATTTAAAACAGCTATAATTTAAGTTATTATAGCTTATTATTATATGTTATAAAAGAATATAAAAGTGTGTTTAATAAATAATTAATTATAAATTATTATTAGCTTTTTATAAATATTTTAACGGCTTTTATATTTAATATAATATTTTAGAAAATTAACGAATATTAATTTTTAAGGTAAAATATATAAAAATTATTATAAAATTTCCTTACGAAATTTAATAAATGATTTAACTTATTATTAAATGTGTTAAAACCGGTAAATATATAATATATTAATTAATTAATTAAAATAATAATAATTTTTTTACCATTTATTATATTATATATCGTTATATATTAAAAAATTCCTTTTAATTTTTACTCGTTTTAATTTTATTACGTTATTTATATATTATAATTAATGTTTATTTTATCCTTTAATTTAATAAGAATTATTTTTATTTCTTTATAATTAATAAAAAATGTAATAAAGTTATTATTATTATTTTTATATTTTTATATTTAAATAAAACGGTAATAATTAAAACGATTACTTTTCCTTTTAAACATTAAATGTTTAATAAATTAACATTTTACTTTATTATATATAAAATATTTTTTTAAATAATTATTATTAATATCGCATTAATTATTTAATTTTTTACTTAATATAAAATTCTTATAATTAAGTATAAAACTTTTACTTTAATTAATGCTTTAATAAGTATAATTAATTTAATATTAATTATTAATCGTAACGTTATTAGTGGTTATATGATAAGGGTACGTATTAACGCGGTACGTACATGGCTGGAGGAGGTATTTATGTAACTTAGATTATATAAGGAGTTAAATCCCCTTTTTATTCTTAGATTTAAGCCTCCTTTTTTAAACATTAATATTACACTAGTCTCACCCCCATTATTCTTACTTTACTTATTACTTAATTTATTATACGTATGTACTTACTAATAATTATATATTATATACGCCTTATATCGTAATAAATTACTAATAACGTTTTATAAGTTAAAATAAACGTTTTTAAAAATATTTATAAGTTATAATAATATATTAATAAATGT